GGGGGTGCAATCCCACCCAGACACTAACCCCTTCTAACAACAGCACCACTGGTATCATTTTGTACATGTCCTCAGTTCAATTACACTAGTTCCCTTTGCAGTGGTAAGGGGTGGATGGCAAGGCACTGTGGATGGATCTGAATCTGTCAATGCTCTGTGGATGGATCTGAATCTGTCAATGCTCTGTGGACAGATCTGAATCTGTCCACATGGGTCCAGTTTGCCTCCAGTGAGCAGATGATTGATTGATTGATGGGTGTCATACATGTCTGTCCATGGTCCACATATGACATTGACCATATGCTTTATTTATGTGTGTACTTCACTGTCCTCCACTGCCAGCCATTCAAATCCAGGCACCTCTTCAGTCCAGCCCATCTTCAAAACCTGGTGAGAGCTCAGAAATGATGTCTTGCCCACAGATCCTGCTATGGGGCCATATGCTCAATGCATTGCCTCCCAAGCCCTCATACACTGAGGAGCCTGCCCACACCATAATTGCTTGCACACATGGTGGAGGCTAGTCAGGTCATATAGGACTGGATCATCTAATAGTACCATCACCACTGCCAAGCCGCCCATCACAAGTCCTGGGCCAGCTGCCACCTCTGCCCAACCATCTGCCCAAGGGTCACCTTTCAATGCCTTACATGCTTTGAGAACTGGGCCTCCTAGCCAGTCTGTCATCATGCTTTCCTTGTGTTTGAAGACAGGTACTTGCAGCACTTGAACAAAATCAAATTGCATCTGAACCTTGTGTCCTTGCATCCAACCATGCTTTGCTAGAGACTGTAGACCCTGCCACTCATCCATGATGGGATGGGGCATCATCCTGGTCAGGATCTCACTCATTGCCATGGTTAGTGGCAGCGCATTCCAACAACCAGTCAACTGATTGGTTCCCTGTCAGGTCAGTGACAAATGCTGTTGGCCACCAGATTGGTTGCATCTGATGGCCATCAGCTGCATCCCAAGTGATTCTGAATACCTTATTTTTGTCTTATTAGTGATCAATAAGTTGACTGTGTCTTTGCATTCCCCAAATGTTGCAGTGAACAGGGTCAAGATATCAGGGCCTGACACATGTTTGATTGATTTGCACCAAGTGAGTGTCACTTGACCATGGCAGTCATCTATCTTGATCACTTTGGTGGGTCCATATGTGGTTCCATCAGACATCAAGAACATGTGCACAGTGTGCAACTGGGGGCTGTAGCGAGCATTGGTTTAGTCCCCCTGAGCAGATATGACCATGCGCAGATGCCTCAGCAGTACATCAGTCATATTGCCTGATTCTCCCAAGAGGGGAGCCTCCGGCTGTGGCTCTGGCTCTGGCTCTGGCTCTTCCAGGCCAATGACCTCTCTGCTTCCATCTCACACACATGTAGGGGTGGTGCTCACAGTGCCAAATGGCTGTGGGTGCAATCTAGTTCTGTAACACCATCAGCATCATGTTTGCCCCTCCTGTGTATTCACCACTTACATGTCCATGAGAGTGTTCAGCTGGAGCTGCACACACAGGGCCACACACTCATGCTGCACAAGGAAATTGTCTATCCCTGCTTGGCCTTGATCACCCAGGCCACTGCTACCTTCCTGTCTGGGGTACAGTCAGCCTTGCCTCTTACATGTTTCACATGGGCTCACGTGTGAGTCTGCACATTGAAAAGGACAATGGGCACATTGCCTGGCAGGCCTGGATGGGTATTGACTTGGGGGATACCTAGGCTGGTCAAGACCACCCTAGGGACTGTGAGCAATATCACTTTTACCTGGTAGATCCACCAGAACCAAAGATTGCATGGAGTGGATATAAGAAAAGTGTGCCAGGGCATCCACCATGCTTCCAGCATGATTTTCCCCTCCATGGCGACCTGCAATGTCAGTACCAGAGAATTTGATTGGCTTCTCCTGGCTGAGGTAGGGCTCAACCAGCCATGAGCATCCCTGATGAGGGGGCAGCCCTGCCTTCATGATGGTGGACTGCGCTACCTCAAGAGCTAGCACCTTGTCAGTATCACGTGTCATATGGCATCACCAAAGCAGGCATTGAGGGCACCGGGACTCATGGTATGCTCGAATGGCCATTGACTCACACTGCTCTTGAAACACCGCAAAAATGTCCTGAGCCTGCTCAGCACCCACCAGCTCTTGTTGCAGGTGCTCCCAATTGGCCAGTGGGCTGGGTTTGGTGCCAGTACCATCATTGTACAGGACCTTTGCCATGTATGCAGACATGGACAGTGGATCGGTCTTCTGTCGCAGCTGCCCTTGGATCAGTAGGACACCAGGTGAGCACTCCTCAGGTCATGCACCCAGTATGCCCTTTTTGACAGCCCTTCTGCGAACACCAGCAACTGAAGGATGATTTCCACCAGATCACCCTGTGTGCACAAGATAGGGTGACAGTTGAACTCATCAAGACTGACAAAATACTCCTGTACAACCACAATCTGGTTGATCCCAATGGTGGACATATATGCACAAGGAGGATGCAAAGTGGATTGCTTAGATGGTGCCTTCTGGCTGATTGAATGATTTTTGGTAGGTGAGCAAGTGCCATTAGGCATTTTCCACATGGTGGATGTCTGCATATGCAATGGGGATGGGGAAGGTGAGTGCTGACCTTGCATAGCACAGACACACCTCATGCATGTGTGTTCTGGGCTCTCAGACCCCACTACTTGGAATGGATTGACATCAGCAATTTTGGGGCCAGTTGGACTCTCTTGCCCCAGCCCTTGCTACAAGGTGTTCAGCCTGTTCTCTGGCAGTTATCATGGGCTCACATACCAATCACTCCTTGGCCAGTTGGGCTTCCCTAAATGGTTTGGGTAGCCAGACCATCATCTTCAGCATGAACACCCACTTTTTCTGATCCCTCTTGAACACATGGCTATTGCAGTATTGAGGGTGTGTGTACATATTCCACACATGCTCCAACATGGTATGGTGGGGAGCTACCAAATCGGCTCCACTTCATAGCAGGAGAAACCGGGTCTGTTCTCTACACCATCAGGCTTCATCAGCCTTTCCCAGCTTGCCAATAATGACACCCCTTTGCTCTCACCTCAAATCGGGGATCATCCATAACTTTGGTGTTCAGCGCCACTATGAGGTCTTGCTGAACTTGAGACCAAAGAGTCCTCATGTCAAAACTTCCAAGAGGATGAATCCCATGCTGTGATGGGTGGGTATACTCAACACTGTGCCCACCTATAATAGTAAATAGCTGTCTTTGGTAGTTTCCATATGTGGCACCCACCTTCACCTCCAATTGCCTAACCTTAAGTGTGGCCAGGGCACCAGTAACAGTGGCTGCACCCACTGGGAGCACTGCTGGGGCCACACCACCATGGGCCATAAAGTGTGCACTTGACTGTGCCCATTTTTCAAACATGCATGCAAGGGCCTGGTGAGTGCAAGTCAATGTGTCAGGCAGGTGTGGGGAACACCTGAGCCTTTGATGTGTGGGTCTAGGCAGTCATCAGAACAGTGATCCTAGAGTGTTTCTGATGCAGAATGTTCAGCCTTACTGGGTGGGAGGGAGCTGTGTTGATCACAATCCCCACACAGAGTTCCTGCACATAGGAAAGGGTAGTCATGACCTGACATACAACCAGACCTGAGGGCTCCCCTGTGTGGTCTTGCACCTTGCATGGGGCACACATGGCACCTTTGAGGAAGGGAAAGTAGCCACCACAACCTTGGCAGAGGGGGGGGGGGCTAAGCTGATGCTCATTGCTTGAAAGAGGACAGTGACTACATGATATGAAAAGAAACAAAGAGTGTTCCTCCAGCAAACACAACCTCATAAGTGGGGTTTTGTTATATATGATGCCACTGACCACTTGAGCAAAGTGTCCAAGCCAACTGGACACTCTATTCCAGCACTTGACCCAAGCTTTCATCTCTCCCCAGGAGTGGTCACCACAGAAGTTTGATAGGAAGATCCTGGGGTAGTGTACTGGGTAGAATGTATGGATATGGTTCCACACAGTGCTGCCAACAACCCAATGCTTCCGGTGTGGTAAAGTCCTTCCATGTGCTTCCGAGGCATATACTAGATATGTGGCGTGGTCTGTGTCCACATGTGTGGACAGACCCTTGCTGACCATGGCCCGATGGATGGTCATTTCCGAACGTGGACGGGAATCCCTGACGGAAGCTCCCTGTTGTGAAACTCGTCCCAGTCGGATGTCCACTGCTGCCGTTTATATTCGCATTCGACATCGAACGTCTTAGGCTCGGCGAGTGCAGTACATTGAGGCACCCATCCTGGGGCACTCCACCAGCTCACGTGCCCAATATTCAAACAATCTCTGTCCCACAAGCATGATTTGTTTGACTGCGTATGCATGGGAAAGGGCATGAGGCAGTTCTTCGCAGGGAGGGGGGGGGGAGGACTTTCCCCCCCCTAAAGGAAGGCGACTCAGTCTTGGTCGCTGCCGAGGTCAAGTATGACCTCAATACCGGATCCGTTCAATCGAAATCCCACTGGATGCAATCAATATGGATCACAACTGGGTAAGTGTGGGTTGTGACCCAACCCACCCTCTGGCTGATACTCGGTCCCTCCTCAGTAACGCAGTCCAACCAGGCGTGGCTAAATGATGTATTGGCATCCATGATGAGGCAGGGACTCACCCAAAAGAAAATGGTCCGAGACTTAGGTGACATTCACAGTGTTTATATGAGGTGCGTTGCTGGGCGTCTTGATATTCTGATACTGGCACTGACTAATCCCTGCTTGTGGTGAGCGATCCTTGTTCTGATGCATGTCGTGTCTAGGCATTGCAACGGCCTGCCGGCCGGTTCATACCAAGGAGGAAGTCGCACAGGCTATTGTGGAGCTGGTTGAAGAAGATGTGGTGTGCAGGTGGGGGCGGGCGCGCATACACCATAAGTTGAAACTGCACAAAGGTATGCATGATGCGAATAGGCAAGTCTCATGTCCATGCACACCATGTCTTCCGCAATTAATCTGCCTGCCTCCAGTGGTTTCGTGCGACAATACCTTGCAGCATTGGACGCGGACAATGTCCTGGCAAGAACGCCAGGTCAACAGCACCTTCAAAAGTCCTCCCTCTGGACAATTGGACCCAGTGAGGAATGGAGCGGAGATGGTCACGACAAACTGGCACGAATGGGGTTACCCATTTGGGGTTTACGTGATAAGGCGTCCTGGAGATTGTTGGGCCTATGGGTGGTACCCAATTCCCACATCCTCCAGGTTCCAGCAGTGTTGTTCTTACAAACTGTGCTTGCCGTTGGAGGTAAGCACAAATGGTCGCATTATGCCGTACACTACTCATGCTCCCTAGGTGTCCCGCTCAAGGTAACATTAGATCAAGGATCCGAAGGCAGCCTTTTAGGGCAGTTACAGACGGAGCTCAGGTAAGCAGGCACAGAGTTGGGATGCCATCTCAGTTCTGGGCTAATATTGGGTCGGTAGAGCCCAATTTGCGCCCGACCTGGACCCCGTCGCACTACCCCCTTTTTCCCAAATCAAGTCCGTCTACAACATCACAATCAAGCGGTCGTGGCGTTTGCTGTACGAAAACGAGCTGGCTCCATCCTGGAGGGTTGGGAAATTGGAATACGCTCGGGTATCTACCACGAAGCTATCCCCATGGAAAAGTGAGTGGCACGTTGCTGGGCCGTCCCCCCTTGACATCTCCCCTCAGAGTGGTCGCACAGTGGGTCTGGGCCAACCTGGTCCAACAGCGTTTGGACCAGTATGTTTACGAACGCAACTCGGCGCAAATTCGCAGGTAACTGCGTGTTCATCTGCCAACAGGCAACACTCCCAACGAATTTTGGTTCCATCCCACAAACTGGGATATGCAGAATTGGACGGTCCCTGTGCCTGCGCAGCATGTCGAACGGCTTCTGCAAGACTACGCGTCCCCGCACCTGTGGCGTTTTGTCAGCGCAGAGGATGAAGAACTGTGCGTGGCATGCTTTGCCAAACTGGGATCCCCGACTCTGATGGTGCTGAATAGGTGGGAGGTGTATGCCAGGATGCTGGAGATGACGGCAATTCCATAGGAATTGCAGACATTTCTTATTAGTCCCATTGAAATATATGCATCTATTAGAATCGGGCGGTCGACGGAGGCGCATGTGGCTTCTCATCAGAGAAAATTGCTGGATAACGGTGCATGAGATCCACCATGGTTTTCCATGTCGGAAAGTCTGTATGCAGGGCATGAGTCAAGTTCATGAACGGTGATGACATGGCACACGGACCCATTTCTGCACCGATTTCTGAGTGGGTGACTAATTGCACTGAGGTGGTGCCTGTAACAAGGCCAACCACCTCAATATACGGACCCTTCGCTCCGATGGGAGTGGAGTATGTCTAAAGTCGAGTCCATTAGCCAGAGTGTCACAGAATTTCTCTCATTGAACCTCTGGGATGTCTACGACAACAATTCCATCATCCACACACTTGGCAGAGAAGCGCGGCCTGGGTACCTTTGATTACAGTATCAGCTCTCAAGAACCTTGAACGCGAAGAGAGACCCCTGCCAGCACTCTGTTGACTTGAAGGATGAGGTGCACGTGTCTGTTCACAAATAGAGGGAGGTGCATCGAGTAAACCCAAGGAGTTGGCAGTGGAAAGGGGAGCTGTGCCGTGGGTTGCACCATGCTCCCCTCCGCACTGTTTGCCGTGTCGCCTCCCACGTCGTCGATTGGAGGCAGTACTGTAGATGCATTGTCCGGTGGCCCATTGACGCCTTCACCTTCGCGAACGGATGCAGGACTTTGGACTGGCCAGTGTTTGATTGCGGTCATTGAAAGCCAGGGACGCGACACACACAAAATAATAGTTCTCCTGTGTGCTGGCCGGTCCATCTTATAGGAATCAGTGTGTGGCCAGTCACCAAACGAACGTATGGGGCGCGGAACTGAAAGAGATCCATCTACTGGTGTGGGTGTCGCCGTCACACAGGGTACCAAGTGGATCTGTCATATTGAACCCATGAAAGATGAGTTGCGTATATATGAAAGCATTAAATGGGGGCACAGAGATACCAGGATGGATACCAAGTGCCATTTCTTTATCAAGCACTCGTTAGAAACATTTCCGGAGACCCATCCACGCCCGTCTGCCTCCGAACTCGGGCCCACGCACGTCTTGCATCCACGAGCATCGAAGCATGTGTATACTAGCATTCATTTGCGTCGTCAATTGCCTGTGCCTATCCTGGAACGATTTTGAGCTGATTGCGAATCGGCACCGGTCCCTGGAGATGCGTGTTTGCAGATTGATGGGGGTCAAGCTTTATGAGTCTCTGATGTCGATGTGAACCTGTACCTGTGCTGCCTTCCCCAAATTCAGTCCTTCACATGCCTCTGGCCTCATACAGACAGAGTGAGGGAATAATCGAGGCGGTTTGCATGCATCACTTGGGGCGGTATCTTGGCATTGCCAGGTGCGGACCGGCCTCTTTGGTACGTACAACTGAGTGAGGTCGACCTGACTCAGCAGCGGATGGACCGTGAAGGCCGGGTACTACTTTTCCGCCGTCATGGGAAGTGTGATGGGGACTATTGTCGTTGCAAGCCACCCCGCGTTACGTGACACTCGAGCTGGACGACCCCGATCAAGCAGGAAGGGCGGCATTAGCACAGGACATGATTAGCAATGCATGGGAAGGCAGACTTTTAGTTGGGTTAGATCTCTGAATGGCAGTCACGTACATGGACCTGTCAGATATCGTCCAACGCCGAAGCATGCCCGTCGTTCCTGCACCGCTCAGCAAACAATCGGAAACAGACCAAATTACTAGGAAGGCAATCCCTGGACGATGAACGCACAAGGATCGGACAGAGCCTAGATCGACTGGTGGCAATCTTATATATACAACCAGATAAATATTTATCCTTACATCAACTACATAGGATGGCGTGACATTCGATCCTATGCCAGGTGGGCAAGTGATCACAGGGCACTCGCATATTCAGGAGTAACGACGTATTCATTTCCCTCATGTTCAAACGTAGTCACGAAATTGAAATACACACGGGAAAGTTTCCATGATTGATGTGTACGGCTGGTTCCGGCCAGGGTCGGCCATGGACGGCCGTGGGCAGCTTGTGGGCACCGCAGTATGGCTAGGAGGGACCTGCGGGCCGCAGAGTGGGCCTAATTAGATTGACTGCACCAAATGGGAAGCATCTTGGTGACGGTACAGACGTGAAGACATGTGGACGTGCTTGGTCAGATGGAAAGGAGAGGTTGCATGCACACGAAGTGAGTCATGCGAACCAGCGGATTCCTTGAATGGGGACGAAGTAAGGGCGCCAAATCTGCCAATCATCCATCGGTAGATTGACCATATGGGAGCGAGCAATTAGGAGCATAGTATGTTGTGCCTAATAAAGACATGAGTGAATACGGGAATGGGGCAGGGTTTCTAACTGAGGAATACAGAGATGTTCCATGTGCCCCAGGTCCTTGGGAGGTGGGCAAGCATTTACAGCCATGTCCGGACGTTTACGACGGGGAGACACAAGCCCCCCAGCCCGAAACCCATCAGAGTACAGATTTGCGGTACGCAGAATAGGCCTCAGAGAGGGTAGAGATTGCCATGTTGGTGTCAGCTGGTGTATCGAAGCCAGACTGGGAATGCACCCAGTCTACGAAGGCGAGGCGTTCATCGTCGATATTCCCAATACTAGGAGGGAGAGGTTCGTCGAACCAGTAGCTCTGCATGTGATCGTAAAACTGCTCGACGAATACAGCATGGTTCGAGTCGAGATCAAGAGAGAAAACGAAAGAACCAGTCGGGCCAATTTTTTGCCGTTTGGAGGGCTGAGAGCCAGATTGATCACCACCTGCAGCCAGTGATGTGAGAGGCTCATTCAAGGCACAGTGTTTGGCTGGTACAAGATGGATGGGGTTGGAGCCAGAGCGACTACGCACGTGAGGCGCATGGAGAGAGGGGCTACAGTCGGACGTAGTTGCCGAGTCCTGGGCAACCAAATATTGGCTCGGTGATTGGACAGGAGGAGAGGCGATGGGTGGTAATTCGGTGGGATCGGACGTGGATATCGAGCTGGGGTCCTTGACGGAGTGGGTGGACTTGTTGTCGTTGTCGGGCTTAGACTTGCTGGGCTTGGACTTGCCGGGCTTGGACTTGCTGTGCTTGGACTTGCTGTGCTTGGACTTGCTGGATTTGCCGGGGTTGTTGGCAGGTTTGGTCCTGCTGGCCTTGCTCGGGGTGGGCGGGCACAATTTGCCGGAAACGCGCGAAGAAGCTCTTTTCGGAGCGGGGCTATGGTTGGAATCAGTGTTGGGGGACGAGTGAGCAGCTGCCATGATGGCTCTAGTCACAGGGCGGGGAGGGGTTGACGGGGGGAGGCCATGTACGGGACGGGGGCTGGACAACCGCAGGAATCGCTGGGATGTGTGGATTGCAAGGGACTCCTGCGGCAGAGGTGTGGGATCCCCTGAGGGTATTTTTGGTGGAGCACGGGTTGAGGGAGAACAAGGGGCTGCAGGGAATCGATCAGTCGTAGACGATGGGAGGAGAGGCAGGTCATGCGGAGGTGAGACAATCAGAGGAGCAGCAGTGGGGACGGGGGGACTTTGCATAGAAGAGGAAGACGAGGGCGGGCCTGGGGTTTGTTCCTCAAGTGGGGTACTAGGCACCTGAGCGCATTGGGACAGGACGGAGTTGTATTCTGAAGTCACCAGGCAGACAGGATCAACGACTGAACCGGCAGTTATTTCGAGGGATGAAGAGGGTGATGAGGCTGGTATGAGCATCCGCGACTGGGAGGTCGGAGGAAATCGAGACATGGGATGGATATCATTAGAGGCGCCTGGGGAGAGGACTGCATTTTCGGGGCCACGAGATGTGTAAGTTTGGTCAATCGGGCCAGTCTTTACAGCCTTCTGCACAAGGATTGGGGGGGAACTCAGCCGCAAGTTCTTTGGGATATGTTCCAGTGCCCCAAAGGACGATCGTTCGACTGTGGAGGGACTTTAGCTCTTCATTGTAGTAGGCCTTTGTGCGAAACTGCGAGAGCCAAGGAGTAGGTTGGACGTCATGAAGAAGAGGGGGAGTACCAGGAGGAGTGGTAGTGAGGGGGCCTCCGGAAGGAGGAAGTGATGAAGGCATGGTCTTGGTGGAATCGGAAGCGGTGAGGTCGGGAGTATAGTGGAAACTAAAGTCTCTGACTTCAGACTCAGAAGGTATCGCCGTACCTCTTACCGAGGTTGGGTGCGGTGGGGTAGCGGACAATGGTACATTCCGGGGAATGTGCGGAGAGAGGGATGGGGACGCATTTGGCTGGGAGGTGTGGTCCACCTGGGCTAGAGGGGGAGGGAAGCTCACCGCTGGGACCAGTGCGGATGCACCGTCAGTGGGGCATGAAGCGAGGAGAAGTGATGGGGATGTGGGCAGAGGGTGTGGTGTCTTGCCAGGCAATGCCGCTGCAATGCGATTAAAGAGAGTTGGTGGCAGGAGGAAAGGCGATTCAGAAGTTTGGATCGCAGTGATAAAACAATCGGCAAAGGCAGGGATGAGCTGGCCTAGGAGATGGGGAATAGTTGTGGTGGGTCCAGTGAGCTGATCAAGCGCTTCGTGCGCGGCTTGCTGGAAAGCTGCTTGTACGATGGCGTGGTTGCCCTGACGAATGAGATACATGAGGTCAAGCACGTTGGACACGTGCGAAGGAATCCGTTGGCCGGAGGGAAGGTGGTCGGCATTGACAGCGACATGATAACGCTGCAGTACAGCATCAAGAGAGGCATACAAAAGCTGGGCTGAGGATGTGAGTAAGGTGGGGATGACTTGTACAGGATGAAAAATGGGCACTCACCGCATTCTCTAGCTGAGAGTGAGTGGAAGGCACAGTCTAACACGTCAGTAATACCACGACACAATTGAGACTCCAGGTCGCTGGCTGTGGGGGTACTTCCATCATGGATGGCGGATTCGGACGGGGATAGAACTGGTTGATCATTGGCGGAGGGGGGATTGGGGACGTCTGTGCTAGAGCAGGGAGTTGAATGAGATGGAATTAAGTCAACCGGGTTCAAGGAGTTGGCAGGGATTGAGGCAGTGATATCCGGAAGACATGGATGTGGTGGACTACTATAGAGAGTGGGACGGGATGGACCGGGAGGGGTATAACGTACGGGTGGGGAGGTATGGTGTTCCTGGAAGGACTCTACCATGTTATGTTTCTTTGGAGAATCGGAAAGGTGTCTGTGTTCGACACCCAGTGTTGGGGGGGTATGCGGGGTAGACCATTGCTGATCAGGAGAAAGGTATGGATCATATGGTGGGGAGGGACGGGCATGCGGCGAGGTAGATTGCGTGAGCTGAGGATGATGGGAGAAGGCATTTCGCGACTTCTCCGATTGGGGAAGACAGGCGTGCGGGGAGAGATAAGGTGAAGACGGCTCTGGTGAATGGAGAAATGTGAGTATCCCGTTACGCAAAATACGACAGATGGAATATACTTGTTCGAGTTGGATGGGACCGCAAAGGGACGTACAAATGCTGTTTTGTGGGGAAAGAAGGGGTCAGTCTCAGACGACAGAGGCGGCTCCGAGTTTTGATGAGTACCATATATGCGTACTTGGGAGGAACAGAAGCATACTTATGTGTGAAGGGGGTTGCATATGCCCACAAGGAGACAAAATAGTGTGATGTTGACTATATAGGGCAGGATCGGCCAAGGGAACTTGAGGAGATGTGCTCCGCTGGGGCGGGACCTCAGTATGAGTGTGATACGGTGAGTGGGTGAGCCGGGATTGGTCAAGGGGAGGGGGCCTATAGTCGGACAGCGAAAGATATGGAACAGGCTTTCAAAGGAGGGATGTGACAGGCCAGGCAGGAGGAACAAGGTCAAAAGGCCGACATGGGGTTGAAGATCAATCGAGTGCGGGTCGACAGTGGTTTGTGCATAGGGATGGTCCGTTGGGGGATTCGGGATCCAAAAATTCCATAATGCATCAATTAAGCGACTCGATCAGACTAGATCCAGTGCCCGCATCAATGGCCGGGTTACTGAGGAATGCAGCGAAGGAAAGTAAGCCCTGCAGGGAGCAGCAACTGTGAGACAGACACGGTGGGAGCAGACAGAGTATACAGTGTTCGAAAACGTGGAGATCTGATTCTGGCACACAGTAGCATGAACAGGGGTCTGTTTTAATGAGGTCGATTTGAGGACAGCCAACACGACTAGTGCAGTGTGGTGGTAAGAGAGAGAGGAACGGAAGGCATTAGGCTCTCGGGGACAGGGCACCAGGAGACGGGAGCAAGTGAAGGCATCCCTGATATTAGAGCTGGCAGCTCATGCCCACCGTACACCTAGCCCTCATAGATGTAGGGTATTGCGGCCTTATGCAGGATCATAGCCAACTCGCTGTACCTCTCCTGTTCTTCAAACATATCTGCGATGCGTTTTGTACGTGTCACGGGCCCGGCCTCCCAGCACATGGAATCCTGTTTGTGCCGCCTCTATGCTTGCGATCGTTTCATCGTACATCACCTGCTTCTCCAAGAATTTGCCGTGCGATCTACAGGTTTTGTACATGACAGTTCATAAGGGGATCTAGATCTTATACTCCCATCAGCCTCGCCACGGCCTCGCCATGGTTCCTCTGTTTCTCCAACAGGTCCGCGATGCGTTCTTCGCACATCTGTGCATCTCCGGGCTTGTTGTCCGCCAGGAACTCAACTCTTGCCGCCTGCAGATGCGTAATCGCCTCATCATACTTCTCCTGCATCTCAAATACGCCCGCAATGTGTTGTGCGCATTGTGCCGCCTCATACCGATCTCCCATCGCTTGGAATTCCTTTCGTGAGGTCTGCAAGGTCACAACTGCTTCGTCGTACTTGTGTTGCTTCTCCAAGAAGTGTGCGAGACGTTCTACGCACATGCATGCGTCCTTAGTCTCGTGTTTCGCAAGGAATTGGGCCATCGCTATCCGCAAGGTCGCAACCGCCTCCTCGTACTTCTCTTGCACCTCATAGATATCCACGATGCGTTGCGCGCATATCGCTGCCAGATCGTGATCTCCTCGTCCGTGGAATTCCGTTCGTGCGCACTCGAGAGTCGCAACCGCGTAGTCGGACTTCCGCTGCTTCTCGAAGATGTCTGCAATGCGTTCAATGCAGCTTTCCGCATCCCAGATGTTGTCGTCCATGAGGAACTCGGCTCGTGCACCTTCCAGCCTCGCCACCGCCTCGTCGTACTTCCCCTGCCCCTCAAATATGTTCACGATGCTTTCTCCTAACATCGCCGCCGTCTCGCGCTTTCCCAGCGCTTGGAATCCCCTTTGTGCCGCTTCCATGCTCGCCACCGACTCGTCGTACTTCCTCTGCCTAAAAAATATGTTCGCGATCATGTGTGCCAAGCTCGCCGCCTTCGCGCGCTCTCCCAGCGCTTGGTATTCCCTTTGTGCCGCTTCCATGTTCGCCACCGCCTCGTCGTACCTTTCCTGCTTGTACAAGATGTCTGCAACGCCTTCAAGGCACTCGGCTGCTCTTTGGCGATCTCCGACCTCACAGAATTCGGTTTGTGCTTCGTCGTAGCGCGAAATAGCGTCGTGGTACCTCTCCAACTTGTAGAAGACATGTGCCAACCGCTGCGCACACTCCGCCGCGTCCTGACGTTCTCCGAGAGCACGGAACACCGAGATTGCCTTCTCCAACTTGGCAGCTGTCTCTATGTACCTCCCTTGCATACAGAGGACGTCGCTGATGCGCTTATCACACTGAGCTATAGCAAAACGGTCTCCAAGATTGGCAAACTCCGCCCTTGCCTCTTCTAAGCTGGCACAGGCATCCCCGTACTGGTTTTGGCACTGCCAAGGACTTTTGCAGACTGCGGCGCGCCAATGGGATCTCTGGAAGCTTGAAATTCAGATCTTGCTTCCCTCAGGCTGACAGTCGCCTCCGGGTACCTTGCTTGGCTATATAGGACCTCGCCGATGCGTTTACTGGACTGTGCCGTACCCAATCGGTCACCGAGCGCAGAGAATTCTGTTCTTGCTTCCTGCAGGCTGGAAAATGCGTCTGCGTTCTTCTTTTGCCTGTGTAAGACATTGCCGATACTCTGTGTGCACTGAGCTGCGCCATGGCGATCTCCAATCCTCCGATATCTTGTTCGGGCTTCTTCAAATCGCTCTAAGGCATGGCTATACTCATATCGACTCTCGAGATGATGCCCAAGCGTTTTGATACATTTTGCAGCATTCGCGTGATCGCCTTCAACGTCCAATTGTTGAGCAGATCGTCTCAGGAGATCGCTGCAATCGCCAAAAGTGAAGAAGATAGAAAACTCGCTCAGTTGGATCGTCGCCTCGGTAAGAGCCGTTCTTGAATCAAGTGCAATGTCCACGGTGGAACGCTCGATCCAGAAATGTTTCAGGATAGACGTAATATTCGCAAACTCCGCACAGAGTTGCTCGATTGCTTCAGCTGACCGCTTGTGGCCCAGTTTGCCCACTTGATCCGTTATTTGCATGAAGAACAGCCGTATGTCTGCGAGATACAGTGGCATGGGAGAGTGATTTTGGAGTATGAACTCCCGAACAGGGGCCAGGCACCGGATACGATCCTTCTCACGTATAGCAAGGCCTGATCGTTCCAGGATCAGAGAATTGGTCTTCGGGCTGCTCATGGAGGTAAAAGCATCCGTTATGCTAGAACGTAGCATTCCATCGGGGAGTATGCATAGAATCGGAAGCATGTTGACTGCCTCGGGATGTTTGACCATGATCCTGGAGTTGAGAGACAGGCGGATCGAAACCTCCAAGCTCGTCAAATGAGTGTCTCCATTGATACCGAGCAAGGATGTCTTCTCCTCTTCGTACCATTGGATGAGCTGGGAAGGCGTCGCCGCGGGGTCCACAGTGGCCATTAATCTGACTGCAAGTGGCATGCCATCAAGCATGCCCAGGAGCGTATCGAGGTTGTCATCTATGCTGGACGTGGTATCTGGCCAAATCTGCCGTGTTGAAGATAGGGAAAGGGGAGGTAGAGGAAGGCGGCAGATGTCCGCCCATCGTACAGGTCCCGGGGGGTTGGTTCCTCGCATCGTGATCATGACCGAAACGTGCGAATTCTGGGCGACCGTCCCGGGCCAATTCTCCACAGCGTCTCGGTCCTCCGAGTCTAGTAGTGTCTCAGCGTTGTCCAGAACAAGGAAGGCACATTTGAAAGACGCTAGATGGGCTGACACAGCTTGGCGAGGGTTGGTGTTGGGGTGGAGATGCAAACCGGGCGCAATCTTGCCTGCGAGTTCGTCGCAGTTGGTCACCTTTTCACAGTTGACGAAAAACCGGTTAGCGCCGAACTTGGCTGCGATTCGTTCGTCGTTTATAACAGCCGCAGCTAGAGTGGTCTTCCCGATGCCGCCTGGACCGAGCACAGGTATGTGACAGTTGTCGTTGCTACAGAGCCGCTCGACGATCGATTCGACCAGTTCATCACGGCCATAAAACACAGCGGGCTTGGGCGGCATTTCCATGAGCGGTATGTCAGCAGGTCTGGAGTATGAGGGTCAGTGTTCCGTAGCACTGAAAAGAAGAACGCCAAGACGTACAGCTGAAATGAAACGGACCCGTCCCGCTGATATTCATTAGCCGCGCCATATGGAACACAACAAACTGGCGTACCCATCTTTCGAGTAGGACCAGACGCGAATCTTGATGATCGAATTGGGAATTGTGATCCTCCAGTCGTGAAGCATGATCAACCAATCGTGAACTACGATCATCCAGTCGTGAATTGTGATCAACCAGTTGTGAATTGTGTTCATTCAGTTGTTGGTCGTCAATATCCAACCGCCGACTGTTTTCGACAACAGTTCTCAGCTGCTGGTGCATCAGAGCGAGGATGGATTAGGGCATAGACCAGAGCTCACCGAAAACATTGATATGATGGAGTCGAGGCGCTCACTCAGAGACCGGATCTCATCGTCGTCGGCTGGCCGATACCGTCTGTTAAGATCCCCAAACTTCCGCACTACTACCTCGATACCCTTCAGTGCTCTGGATCGGTTCGATTAGTGCAGAATTGCGGCCCGAATCGAGGGACGCACTCAGAAAAATCGTTCAACAAGTCTCCTGACACGTCGTCCGTGGCGCCTGTGGTCTGCTGCTTGACCAGTGCGGCTACCTCTTCCAACTTCCGAACTTGCTCGCCTCTGCGCTCCACAAACTGGAAGAGTCATGAGTCAAGGTCCGAGGGGAAGCTGTCAGAGGGAAGGACGCACACGCGTAATCCCCAGTAAATCTTGTGTTGTCCTTTCTACACGTTGTGTGATTTCACCCAATTGGCCGCCAACCAAGTGGGGGGAGTATCTCCCGAATCCTCGGACGGAATATTTTCCTGAGACATAGTGATGCAAGATAGTGGTTCTAGGCAAAGGACAGGGGAATACCCAGTGGGTATCAAATGTCTCGAGAGAACACGCGAGGATATGGGTCAAAGAACAAAGGGTGGACGAGGGTGAACTGAACGATAATATAGACACCAGATGTCAATGTGGCTGAGTGATTGGGCGGGACTTGCTTGTTGTCTGCTGTGTCTTTGGTTGTCCGGTCGACTAGATGAGGCAAGTGCGTCGTCGCCTGCTGTGTCTCTGGATATCGGCGACTGATTGAGGGGAGTACGAAGCACAGCGCCGGGAAATGGCTGCAATCCGAGCAGTATTCCATTAAGGAAATCACCAGCATGTTCGCTGGTAAACTAGCATAGAAAATCTCAGAAGGATATGTGGGGGAAATCGGACAATCTGCATGGATGCTGAGGACGAATCCGATGAGCGCCAAATGAGCCCTTCCTGCCTTGCCGTAATGGCTCAGATTCGCCGTGAAGCTCTCTCACGTGACCTATTTGGGTTTGTCACTTATGCATTTCTGGCCACTTTCTCGATGAGGACATTCTATCCCTCCCACCTCCCTTGGTCAGGTTGTTCTATGCGGTAAGTTATCACAGACCGTACTCTCATCAACCCAAGCTGGGCACCAGGCCGTTCAGAGAGAGGGCGTTTCCAATCCATATTTTCGACTGATGCTGAGTATACATATTGTTGCGAGCTAGGAATACACGACGAGGGGTGTGTAAGCATATACAAGTGCAGACGTACAAAAACACGAAACCAAGAGCGCATGTGCAGAACAGACCTAAAGCCCTACTGACCACCAAGTATCTGAAATCAGAAAGCGCCCATTCCACGCTCATCGACCACCCTCACCCCCCTCTTCTTCAGATGCGAAGCGATGTCCATCATACCCCTCCTCGCCCCCGTATCCCCTGCCCGTCCAAGCGCCCTCAGCCAGCGGAACTCCATGAGTTTGACTCCCTTCAGGCCTTGCAGCGCATCGTACGGGATGCCATAGCGCAGGAAGGCCGCGTACTCCAGCGTCACAAGGGGGCGCGGGAGGCAGACATGCTCGAGGGGATGGAGCTTGCCGGGTCGTGGTGGGTCTAGCGCCGGGGGGATCGGGTGGAGCAAGGTTAAGTGGAGGAGGTCGGGGCAGAGGACTAGAAGGTCGCTCGGAGGGGCTATGGGCATAGACGGCCATTCTGGACCACGAGCAAACGATAGGGAGGTGAGCTTGGGACCATGCGCAGCGAGGAAAGGCGTCATCAGTTCCCCGTGGTGGCCGGTGTAGGGTGTGACCGTAAGCGTACGTAGCGCAGGCAGTGGTGAGGCGAGCAGGATAGCGACAAAAGGCGCGGCAGGGAGACCAATCAGTGAAAGCGTATGCAGATGATCCATCCGAAGCAACTCGCCCCGGTAGGCGATAGGAGGGTATGGTAGTGGAGCTGACATCCCAGTGCCGCATATATGCACCTCTTCCAGCAGCTTGCATGCCCTCATCATCCCCACAATAGCGTCTTCCCCCTGCTTACTCCTGTCCGCCCTCCATGTGACACCTCTGAGGCTCCTCAGCTGCGGACAATTCTCCGCAAGCCCCTTGATGACCCCTGCACAGACGATCCATTCTCGTCTCAGGGTAACGTCTTCCAATCGAGGTATCATGGGCCAGAGAGACTGCAAACAGTTATTCAGTTTTAATATCTGGGTTTTCGTGAGATTAGGTGGAAGGAGAGAGAGGTCGAGAGTGCGGATCCAGCCTGCGGGAATCGAGTATGGGCTGCGGTGAAGTGGAGACCAGAGCGAATCGGTATGCCGTAGATGGGACAGAAGCGAATCAAACGTTGCTATGGTCGGGATGTATGGAGAAGAATATAGCTCAGAAAGAGCTACACGCTGAACGCCACGTCAGCTCCAGACAAAAGTGTGGGGTGCGCGTATGCTCACCTTCCACCACTTGCACACCCTTGCAACATTCCATCTCCACTTCTCGTCCTCGTCAGATCGGACATCGTTCTCTCCACGTCGTAAGGCAAGAACGACGATGCGTGCCCACAGTTCCGCTGGAAGCGGTTGGAGATGGATAACAGGAAGAAGTGGGAGCAATAGGAGACGTGTCTGTCGTGATTTGACAGGGCTGAGGAAGGTCGTGTGTGGAGGTGAGGTAGACAAAGGGTCGATAGTGAGGGTAGCTGTGGCCATGCGATTCACCTTTCTCACGTCGTTCTAGGTATATCTCCTCCTTGTTCACCACTGCCGTCTAGGAGGATGTCAGAGAGTTGATGGTCGTCTGATGGAGAAAGACGAGTGGACAGCGAGCACGCTGACTGTGCGCGTGAGCCGATGTGGGGGGATCGGAGTTCGGGCCGAATAGGGGATCTGATTCCATCGCCATCGGCTATCAGACGGGATCAGATCGATCTTGGGTTGTTCTCTCTTACGAGACTATCACAACCAAACACAGCCAATTTACAGAGAACTCGCGTCGGAAGTGGACGAAATTGGAACAGAACATTCCCTCACTGCGATCAAAACCCTCTCGGCCGAATTTCTGAGTATCAATTGTGTTCTTCTACACTATTGGGCGAAGCCAGATGTGGACAGCATGAATACGACCTTCTACGCAACTCGAAGGATCGCGAAATTCTCGTACCTCGCAAACTTTGGGGATTGTGTTTTGCCTATTGAGTTCAGCTAGAACACAATTGGAACTACACGGCGAAGACACGGTGGCCGCCGAGTGCATGCGCCTCACTGCACAATCCCTGTCTCTCCATAACCAATCGAAAGAAGCGTTGCCTCTGTTAAAAGAAGCGGCGATGATATTCAAAACCAAGGGTCGTTCTGAGTCATTCGCCCAATGCGCTCTAGCTATGGGTGAGGCCATGTCTATGATGAGCCTTTATAATGAGGCAAGGAGTCAGTTCGAAGAAGCCAGAACCCACTTTGCATCCCTCGACGATCGATTAGGTGTGGCACATTGTACCCGAAGCATAGGCAACACACTACGCATGATGAACAAACATGCCGCTGCGATCTTAACCTCAGAGGAAGCCAGGGCTGAATTCGACGAAATGGGACACCGTCGAGGCGCAGCTCAATGTCTCCGAAACATGGGCAATTCTCTGCGTGTGCTCGGCAATTACGACGAAGCGCTTTCTAAATTCGAGGCATGCCGTGTTCTCGTCGACAGCATCGGAGATGAGCTGGGCATGGCGCAGTGCCTCCGAAGCATGGGCGAAGTTTTGCGTATGATGCATAGATATGACGAGGCACGCTCGAAACTGGAAGAAGCGTACGCGAAATTTGCAAGTATCAAGAACCGCCTTGGGATGGCCCAGTGTCCGCAAGCCATTGGCAACCTCTTAAGTGCACAAGTCCGTTGCAAGGATGCACTTGCCAAACTGGAAGATGCCCAATCAGAGTTCAGAGTGGTTGGAAGTCGGCTGGGGTACGCTCAGTGCACTTGGAATATTGGCAACATGATGCGGATGTTGAATCGGAATGAAGAAACGTTTAGCAGCCTGCAACAAGCATGCTCGGAATTCGAGAGCATCGGTGACCAACTGGGCGTTGCGCAATGCTTGCAGCTTCCTGGAGATGTGCTCCGCCAACTGGGTCGGCCGCTTGAAGCGCTGGTAGATCTTGAAAAGGTCAAAGTCCAGTATCAAGCAGTCAACAATGGATCGAGTTCTGCGCGGTGCACCAAGGAGATAGCCGACACGCTCCTTATGCTTGGTAGAACACAGGACGCGCTGACGATGTTGGACGAAGCCAGCACGGAGTGTCGATCGCTTGGAGATCGACTCGGCGAAGCACAATGCAAATGGAGTCTTGCGCATGCTTGGTATCTTTCAAGTAGACATGATGATGCGATATCGAAATTGAGGGAAGCTGAGATTGACTTCAAGTCTGTCACAAACCTGCTCGGCATAGCAGAATGCAAGAGACTCCTTGGTCATGTCGAAATGACAAGGGGCAGTCCTCAAGTTGCTAAAGTGCTATTCACGGAAGCACTGAAACTGTACGAAACGTTGGGGACGCCAGGTCCGCTGCAATACTGTAAGAAGATGTTGAAGAAAGCTGAAAGAGCTGCTGCACGACATGGTGGGTTGGAGACTAGTCAGATCCTGCCCGACACATAGATGGTCTCGCGCCGTATTTTCTCTCTTCCGAATACCTCCAGAAGAATGTGTCCAGACGAAGTTCGCCTAATGCCAGCGTCGATGTCGAGCACGGTTCCTCTCCCAACGCCAATTGTGCTGCGTGTTCGCTGTTTGGCCTCCAAAACGTCGGAAGTCGAAATTTGAGAAAGAGGAGATTCGTGGGAGGTGGTTGCAGGAGCTCAGGCTGTTGAGTATGTAAGTAGTATCATAGTCGGTTAGAGACCTGAAAGGCCTCTGATTCTCACTTCAGAGATACCTTCCAACGCAATTGTCGAATATGTGATGAGCTCTCCCTTCAATTTTTCCAGAGTAGAGGGGATGACGCCCTCCTAGCTGCAATCTCTTTGCTTTTGACCCTTTGATACGCCAATGTAGAGTAACATTCCCAATAATCACCGATATAATAAGATCAATACGACTCGGTACTACTACCCACTCCAGCTAATCATACCTTCACGCTACCAGCAATGGCCTTGCCGTTTACGTCAGTGAGCGGCTCCAGCCCCTTCGCCTTGAGCTCCCCATTGATCTTGTCAACGTGGTTCATGAACTGGGCCTTCAAGTTATCCCACATCTTCGGCTCATGCTCATGCAGCTTGCCAGACCGCTTCATCGCATAGTCGGTCAGGGTGAACATCATGCTGCTCTCCATCATGAACGCGATCGCGCCCTTGGAGATGTACTGCGGGGTGAGCTCCATCTCGGTCGCGGCCTTGAACTCGTCGTACGCCACACCGTGCGGGGTGAAGCCGCATTCGTAGGAAGCACCACCGGGCTGGAAAGCATCGGAGCGACCGCCGTACTCGCCGTAGATAAGACCCATGAACTCGGAAGCGACGTTCCTGTGGTAGTAGGGCGGGCGGTAGGTCTCGTGTGCGACGTCCCATCGAGGAGAGAAGATGAGGAAGTCGGCGAGAGGCGTGCCGGGAACCTTGGACGGGGCGGTGAGGACGCAGAAGATGGAGGGATCGCAGTGGTCCTTGGAGATAGAACCGACGTTGATGAACTTCTCGAGTGCGTACTTGCAAGGGACGTAGTTCCCGTGCCAGGCGACGACGTCGAAGGGCGTGTGCTCCTGCCTGCAGTTGAACAGCTTGCCGCAGAGCTTGTAGACGATGTTCCACTCGGACTGGTCGATGTCGAACGCTGCGACAGGGTGCTCAAAGTCGCGTGCGTTAGCAAGGCCGTTGGCACCGAGAGGGCCGAGGGCGGGGAGCTCGTAGTGGACGCCGTACACCTCCTGAATGTCTGTATGTTCTGTCAGCATGAGACACTCGAAGAGATAAGGATAAACTTACAGCCGCGAGAAGGTCCGTCGGGAAGCTTGACCTTGAACCTGAGACCGCGCTGGATGATGCAAACTTCACCCGGGCGGACCATCATGTGTCCGTACTCGGTCTGGATATCGAGCCTCCCCTTCTCAGGGACGATCAAGAGGTCGCCATCGTTACTCGAGAACGCACGCTTCTCCATGTCCTTGTTGCAGGCATAGATATGGATAGCAAGACCCTCCTTGAGCGTAGGGTCACCGTTGCCAGCAACGGTCTTGAGCCCGTCGATAAAATCGACCGAGTTGCCCCCGGGGATATCGAAGGGTGTCCAAGCGAGCTGGGTGGCCGAGACGTGCACGCGCGGGTTTTGCGGGAGGAAGTTGCTCTCCAGGTCCGGGTTGTCAGGCAGCTCTGTGAATCCCTGATGGGCTACCGCGGGGCGGATACGGTACATCCACGAGTTCTGGTTCTGATGCCTGGGAGCGACGAAGGATGTTGCTGTGAGCTGCTCGGCGTAGAGGTCGTAGGCGCATTTCTGGGGCGAGTTCTGCCCAAGAGGAAGCGCGCCTGGACTAGATAGGAGAAATAAAGATAAGCGCCAGGTTGCGCGTGGGACATGTTGACTGAATACGACTCACAACGCTTCGCTGGCAAACCGATTCCCGAATCCGACCTGAAGAATTCACGTGTAAGGGTCAGCTAGAACAGACACGAAAGCACAGGAACCGAGCGCACCTGGTATGTATACGGGTCCTTGCTCGTATTCCCATTATCGCCGACGACGGCGTACCCCCCACGCTGGGTGTTGAGCTCGCGGCGGAAGGTGCGTGCGACGGGTGCAGCAGCGACGACAGGGCGGGAGAGAGCGAGGGGGCGAGCGGCAGTCGAAGCGGCGCGGACGGCCGAGAGGCGTGCGACGGCACGAGCTGGGCGGCGGTACATTCTGGTTGAGCAGAGGTGCTGCCTGTGTGGGAAAGGAAAAGTGAAGAGGGAGCGTACGTTTACCCCTGATTATCACTGCGCTTTATAGGCCTTTTGGCGGAAAAGACCCCCCTTCACGCCCATCATATACGGTGGAATATAATTCCCCGTGACGGGTATGAATTACTCGAGGGGAAGAGCGTTCATCCAGAGTACTGTATAGATCTCTAAAGGGTGTTTAGTGTTTACCCCCCTCTCGTAGCCTTACTATCGTTGGTCGGCGAGTGTCAAGTCAGCCAAGGGGGGTACACCCACCAGAGACGGTCTAAGTTCTCCTCACCGGCTCATCATTTATCCTTCAGGGCAGAGTCAAGGGTCCCGGGATGTGGGGACGGGCCACCCGCCGGAATATCTTGTCCCCGCCCGCTGCCCAGAGTGGATGAGTAAACCGAGGCCGGATGCCGGTGGGAACATCTGCCCTGATCGCGCTTTGGCTAGGACTGGGTGAGGGGGACGTGAGGGAATGTTACCATTTTGGGATTTAACGACTGTTTGACTGTTTTGGATAACTCTTCCCTTCCCATCGTGTCTTTCTCCTCAGGAGAGAGCTTTTGGCGCCCATCTCTTCAACCAGAGTGTATGATCGTTATGATCGTATTCCTACCGGAAGTGTGTTGCGGGCGATGGCCGTCTCAGGATTCTAAGAATTGATGACATGACGCGGACCTGGCGCTGGGCAGGGATAGTACGATATACATAGTACGACGATCACCAATTTCCGAAACGCGTCAGATCCAATTAATGTAGTTGTTCTTTCGGTGCTTGGGTGCTATAGCGCCCGATCAGGGCAGCCCTTGTCAATGTCAACATATTCCTCTCTCCTACCTTGGGAAATACCCTCTCTCTCACAGGTTTACAATCCGATCGTGATGATATATTGTATACAACATCGCACTGCGCAGTCGGATGCTGACAGACGGCCCGAGTGCTATTCAGAACAATATATGGAGCCTCCACCGCAGCCAATTATATATACAGACGCCAGCGTCCTTCCCGAACAAGAAGGAAGCAGCCAATTACAGACACAGGCGCCAGCGCCAGCGTCCTTCCCGAAGCAGAATGCAGAAGTAGGGAAACGCGTGGCCTGGATATACCTAGTCATCCTCAGGAATCAGGAATCGAGAATCGAGAATAATGCGCGGTGCCGCCTGTCTTCCACCCAAACCGGTCCAATCCAACCAACCCGCGACACGACACGACACGACACGATGACGTATCAGTCCTCGGCAGCCCGCAGCCCTCAGTCTCCAGTCTCCCGCCTCCAGCACCAAGCACTAAGCAGCCCTAAGGCTGCAGATCGGCAACTTGTACCATTCCAGCTTGAAATACTGCCTGCTGTCGTACCACGCCTCCAGGACGTCAGCCTTGACCCATACTTGGACCCAGTGCGTGGACAGTCCGAGTTTGAGAAGATGGATCTCGGCGAGGCGGGAGGCGACGTCGTAGAACACCGCATCTGCGGGAAGGGGGGGTGAGCTGGGATTGTCATGCGGCGATGGACGGGGAAGGGGGAGGGGGAAGGGAGACGTACTCGTCGCGCCTAGACCGTTGAAGAATGAGAACCTAGCGCGTGGACCAGAGAGGATCTTAGGAAGGAGGGCGAAGAACTGCCTCAAATCTGTCGGTTGCCGGAGAAGGGATTTCAGTCCCTCCCTATGTATGCCCAGGCTGGCGACGCACCAGAATAATGCTCCGAAAAGGTGTCAAAGTATACTATGTCCCATTTCTCCCCCTCGCCCTCCCCCTGCAGGAGGACGTCCTGCCATTTCCCTCTCCGTATCTCGACCCCGGGCTTGTTCGCCCAGCCCGTTTTTTCCATATGCGCCAATACGTCCGGGTGGGGCTCAATGATCGTATGTTTCACAGGGGAGAGGGACTGGAAAAGAGTGTCGATCTGCTTGTGCTGTTAGTGGTTGGCGAGAAGGGGAGGGGAAGGGGACGGACGATCCCGAGCCCGAAACCGACGTTCAGAACTCTTAGGTCTTTTCCTCCTCCGAGAAGGGAAGACGAGAGCAGGTCAACGGTCTCCTGCACTGTTCATCTGAATCAGCTACGTTCGCATTTGGTGATTAGGAGGGAGGACACACTGATCACCCGCTCCCAGGCCATCATCACCCCCACCTCTACCTGTTTTTCCTCCCCCTCCTCGGAAGAAGGAACGTAAACGGAGCATACTTCCTGCCCGTCGCCGTCTGTGTGGAAGACGAGGTGAGAGGAAAGGAAGGAGTCGATGTTCGCTGCGGGGGTGGGGTCGGCTACTGTGAGAGCGGAATGCTGGGCTAGGAGGTGGAGTAGTAGTTCTTTGATTGGGGTTAGGTGGTGTGCGGGGGTGGGGTGGGAGACGCACCGGAGCGCAAGCCAGCGTCACGTATGAGCTCGTACACTCCTTGTTCGTTTCTCGATATTGCGATATCCGCAGCCGTGTTCCCCAAGTTGTCCACTATATGCATCCCCTCAGCTAACGCACTGACTCCCACCCGCACGGCACTTACAGGCATTCCACACCCCTCCAGCATCCAGCACCGCCTTTACAGCAGCTTCGTCCCCCCACTCGGCGGCGTAGTGTAGTGCACCCCAGCCTGACTCTGGGTCTTGATACCATGCTGGTGCGCCTGCTTTGAGTGCTGTAAGTGTTGAGGGAAGGGAATGGGAGAGGAGGGATGATTTGAGTTCGTTGAATGTTGTTATGAGTTCTGGTGGGAGGGCGTCGTCGTCGTTGGCGTCGTGTTGGGATGCCATGATACAATGAGGGAATGAATCAGAGTGAATTGAGTGTGATTCGATGTATATCCTCTGGCTGTTGACCGGAGCCGAACATTATCTCCGAGTGAAAGTGCCCGATGTGTGTGCACGCGTTCGCCACTCTTCTCTCTCTCACCTCTCTTGCCATACCCCTCAATGCCCACCATGTCTGAGATTTCTAACATTCTTTATGGTACGATGTCATCCGATCCACGCACAAGGATCGAATCAGAATTATCTCTAACACGTGCATTGCCTAATCCTCGTACGTCATTCCTCCCCTCACCTTGTATGCACTCACTATGCATGCAGAGACTGCCCTACTTCTCTCTCAACTATGTGCGAGTGAAGAAGATATTGCATTACGTCAGAGTGCAATCATTTCACTCAAGAAATACGTCAGAGAACATTGGTCACAGACACTAGACGGGTTTAAGCCACCTGCTGCGAGTCAAGAGATTCAACAACAAATTCGTCAAACTCTTTTCATCTGTTTATCCGATAATCAACAAAAGATTCGATCTTTAACTGCTGCAGTAATCAGTACAATCGCACGCTCAGACTTTCCCTCTAAATGGCCTACATTACTGGACCAACTACTCGCTCTCATGAGCAGCGGCGATCCCGCAAAAGTACACGGGTCAATGACAGTACTCAGCGAACTCGTACGCTCAGAACTAGGCGAAGACCAGACAGTGCCTCTTCTACAACGGATGCTGCCTGTATTGCTCAGCGTACTCGGCGCAGGACAGGTCCATTCGGGCCATACACGCGCTCGTGCAGTAGCCGTCTTTGCGGAATGTCTACGCGCACTCGAGATGCTGAAAGCGGAGTACCCGAAGCAGATCAAGACTGCGACAGAACAGATACTGCCCACTTGGTTAGAGGCGTTTGTCGTTTTGCTCAGGAGTGACCCTGTACCGGAGATTGACAAGGATGCGGGGGGAGATTTGGCAATGCGTTGCCAGATATTCATGGTGCGCCTCCATCTATCCTCGTCCATCCCTCATCCCTCACTCACGCGTTCACAGACATTAAGCACAATCATGTGGACCTTCCCACGTTTCCTCGCTCCCTCCACACAAGAGCTCTTCGCACTCAGCCTCTCCCACCTACACGCCCTCTACCCAAACTTCCACGACGAATACCTCCTTTCCTCCGGCACGGGTCTCGAGATCCCCGTCCCCGGTTTTCTGGACGACGACTCTGTCGCCTGTGGACCGCAGCTCGTTTCCCCCATCTTGGATTTCATGGCTGGCCAAGTCAGGGCACGGGGGATGAAACAGTGGTTTGAGCAGGGAGGGGTTGGAGACGTGCTCGCGGTTGTCGTTAGGTGGATACAGATGACGACGGATGATGAGGATGCCTGGATGGGGGATATAAACTTGTTCGTCAATGATGAGGATGATGATGCGGATACGTACAGTATCCGCTTGAGCGGGTTGGAGCTTGTTGATGTACGTCTTGCGTCTTGCGTTTCCTGGGGCTTAAGGCTTGTGCGCGTGGCTGACGTGCGTAGGAACTGTTTGAACACTTCGCAGCGCTCGCTCCCAGAGCACTGGCAGAGACGGTCCAGCAATCGATCCAAGCCGCGCAGGCAGAACAAGCCGCCGGCAAAACCGAATGGCAAGTTCCTCCTTCCCCCCTTCTGAGTCTAACCAACCCGCACCCGGTAGGTGGAAACCGATCGAAGCGGCCCTAGCTATCCTAGCTAACAAGCCCTGTGCCGACGCCCTCCTCATAGCGCTAGACGACGCGCACCTGTCCTCCGACCTCCTGCTCCATCTCTTGCGTGACGTCCTCCCCCCGCTCTGTGCGATCCAGGGCACACCCTTCCTTCAGGGTCGCGCCCTGATATTTGCGGGACGGTATCATCGGCTTGCAGAAGAGGGGCTGGCGAGGGAGTGGATAAACGCTACGTTGTTGGTGTTGGAGAGTGAGGCGCAGCCTGTGGCGAAGGTTTCGGCAGTAAGGGCGATCCAGACGTGCGTCCTGCTTCCTCTTCCTCTTCCTTCTTCCTTCTTCGTGCCAGCACGGTGCAGAGCACAAGCTAACAAACAGCAGATACTCGTATAACGCCCCCCTTACGCTTCCTTTTGGGGAACGCATCACCCGCGTGCTCGCCCCCCTCCTGACACAGTCTACGGAGGACACGCTCACCCAGGTACTGGAGACGCTTAACGCTGTCGTCAAGCTCCAAGATGGGGAATGGATGACCGAAGCGTTAGCTGGGGAGTTAGCAGCAGGGTTATTACGCGTCCTAGACGAGAACGCAAAGGGTTTGCTCTCCCCCCTATTCGGTGAAATCGCTTGACAAACTGACTGTGGACAGACATGATATTCGTCTCCGTCCTATCAAACATGTTCGAAACGCTCGCTTCCTCCCCCCACTACCTAACAGTCATCCGGCACACCCTTCCCCCCCTCGCCCAATCCGCAGCGTCCAACGCCCTCCCCAACCCGCACCTCTCCGTCCCTGCCCTGGAGCTCATCACCAGCCTTGTCAAAGGCTGTAAGGGGGAAGGGCTGGGACAGGGGTTTGTAGATGTTATCATGCCTGCTATTGGGGCTTGTGTAGTCGCGGAGGATCGGGATCTTGTGGGGGTGCGTACCCCCCTCTCTGGAAAAGGAAGGGTGGATGCTGATACACTTGGTGTTGGGGGGTAGAGCGCTGTCGCCTGCCTAACGCATATAGTGCGCAAAGACTGTCCTCAACTCCTCGCCTACCGCACAGCACAAAGCACAGGCCTAGACCAAGTCCTGCAGATTCTCTCCCACCTCCTCTCTCCCCAGGAATCCGAATCCGGCGGGCTTTGGATCGGGGATCTCCTAATCCACCTCTTACGCCGAGCGGGCGAGTCACTCATCCCTGTCCTACCGGGACTGCTAGTTAGCCTCGTACACCGGCTTGCGGGAGTGCGGACAATCCCCTTTATCCAGAGTCTGGTCATTCCTTTTGCCTACCTACTCCAGAGTGAACGGGCGTTCGTACTGGAACTGCTGGGTAAGACGCCTGTGAGGATCTTGCCCACTGGCTCGGGGGTGAGGACGGGGGGAATGGGAGGGTCCTGGACCGGCACCGGTATGGCTACTGGTGCGCAGGGGCAGGGGCAGGGGCAGGAAGCTGGAGAGGTAAGGACAGGACTGGAAGTGTTAATCAGGATCTGGACAGAGAACTGCGATTCCTTCCAAGGTCATTGGGCCACTCGGATCAGGTGCGCTGCCCGCAACCCCGCCGGACTAGGACTGAACTGATACGATGAACATGAAAAGTGATCTGGGGCTTTGTCAGCTGTTTCTGTCCGCCCGACCGGAGGTGCTTGAAGCCCCTTGTCAGGGGTCGTTGATCGTCAGACCAGAGCTGGAGGGGGTGATCATCACCCGGTCTAAATCGAAGACGGGTGGGTCCCTATCCTCCGCATTCCTGTGTTCCTAGGCCAGGGCCAGGTTCGCTGATATGGTTGACCCCTTGAATAGCGCCGATCGAGTATACGACAATACCCTTCAAGGTCAAGGCTATCAAGCTTATATTGGGGGATATAACCTCGGATACGGAGCCTGCTCCTGGGGTGAGCGTGCCGAACTTGAAACTGGACTTGGAGGAAGAGGAGGATGTGAGTCCTTTTTACTCTACTTTACTGGGTGGGGGGGAGATGTGCTGATCATGGATGGACAGGACGAGGAGTGGGCGGATGAGGAGACTGTTTTCCAGGATAGGGTGAGGGATGACGAGTTTGGGTTCTTGTCTGGTGCGTGTGTTTACCCGGGCACGGGCGTGCGCGCTGGGCTTTCGCTCATTTCGTGTTTCGTGTGCAGAGGCCTGGGGGGACGACGACTTCCCCGATGATATGGACGATGAGGACCTCAAGGAGGATCCGGTGTCAAAGATGGACATGCAGGCGTACCTGTTTGCCTTCTTGCGAGACTGTGCAAGGAACAACACGAACGATTTTGCGAGGATCGTGGATGAGCTCAACGTCGAAGAACAGATGACGCTGCAGCGGGCGATGCAGGGCTAGACATGCATATGGCTTTCGGCGGCGGCGGCGGCGGCGGCGGGTTATGACATAAACGGATTTGTGCCAGCTTAGGATAGGCATTAAGTAATCCTACGACATTACGTTTGCGTCTTGTGGAACCTGACGATGATCTCCCCTCTTATTGCGCGCGGGTCTATGCCCAGTCGAGGCAGGACAGCATCGAACCGCTGCGAGTCGAGTCGTTCGAGGTACTTGAGGATCTTGGCCCGCTTGTGGACCATCGTCTTCAGGCTACGCTGGTTGTGTACGTCTTTCCTGTGTGTTTGTAGGTGGTTCCAGAGGTTGCGGATCTGAGCCGTGAGGATGGCCGCTGCGGTATGTTAGTACAGGTTGGAATGAAGGACGAAGGGAGCAACCTTGGACTTCCGGCCTACCAGAGTCCGACTCTGTCTCCCCGAACACTTTGATACACCTCCTCCGATTCTCGAACGCGATCCCCTGCGCGTTCGCGTTCCTCAGATCGAGGATCCTGCTCAAGTAGTTCGCCTGCAGCCGACTGATCAACGTATTATCTTGCAGCTCGTCCATCAGCCGTTGTTCAGATCTCTTGTCATCGAAGACGAGGCCTGTGGTGGATGCTAGCGTAGGCAAGCTCTCGAATAGCACTCGTTCGTCCCCTTCGCCCAGACCGTGCTGGTACAGTTCTGGAAGATTGATCTCCACCTCGTTCAGAGATAAAATAGGAGCGTCCTGTACCGCCTTCTCATCCACCAATATCCTGGCTAGGTCGCACCCGAGCCAGTCCGCTTCTCCCTGAGGAGTATTCGGCAGCCCCAGCACGGGATGAGGCGCTGTCTGCTCCTCAAATGCGTCTCGCCGGGTGTGGAACTCGATATTCCGCTTGCGTTTGATTCGGGCACGCTCTTTTCGCCCGCTGTCGAGTGCGGGTCGGGTGGTGTGGAAGGATGCGCTCAGTGATGGGAAGAACGGCGTAAGGGAGCATGTGGTGCTGCTTGTAGCTGTTGAATCTGATCAGAAGACTTGTACAATGGTAACAGAATAGAGTACCTCGTGAACAAGCACGGTTTAGAATTCTGAACATGTTGAGTCTTGTTGTGCAAGGGAAGTAAGGTGATAAGAGCGAGTGCACTGAATTTGGCGGCACGGGACGAGGAGAAAGCAGACCCGATTTGGAAGAGCACGTGGGGCTGCTTCCGTTACGAATTCAGTAGCTTCCCAAGGGGACCATGTACAGGTGTCCTCGATATGACCAGCCATACAGCACAGCAGTTCACACAAGTATACGACAGCTACCATGGCACCGACTAACGGTGTCAGAGAGCGCAAAAAGGCTTCAAAGTCAGCCAACAGCACAATACCAACAGAAAAGGTGCCATCAGCACCGCAAGTCTCCCCAGAACCAGAAGCGGATGATCAACCAGTGCGTGAGAACATCGCCAATCAGGAGGAACAGGGCACAAGGTTAACGACTCTTGACAGCCACAGGGCGGGAAATTCTCGACTTTCCGACAGAGACTACGATACTTAATCTGGTCTTGTTTTGGGTTATCTCTTATATTATACATTGGACAACGTGTACGTCCATGAACATGCCGTTGTCGGAATACTGAGTAGTGGGTAGTTTGGATATGCATCAGTAAAGCAAAACAGCCGTCCTGCACGGCCTAATGACCTGGCTGGTTGGGAGCCGCATTTCCCTCCTCCTGATCAGGTAGTCACCACCGCAGACGTGGAGAAGCGTGATGCTGTAGTGCGTGCTTTCAAAGTGTGTCTTCTTCCTTTGTCGTAGTCTACCCACTGATCACATACGCAGGAAGCATGGGTAGCCTACGAGACCGACGCGTTTGGATCAGACGAATACCACCCCATATCGCACACCGGTTCCAATCTCTCTACAGATGGCGGAGTGGGGTATATGATCGTCGATGCGTTGGATACGCTCGTGATGATGGGTCTGGACGAGGAGTACAAGCGAGCGAGAACGTGGATTGAAAAAGATTTGAGCTGGGATCGAGGGGGAGGAGTAAACCTGTTCGAAGTATGGCTACCTCCTTTTACTAGGCCTCGTGGGGTCTCATGCAATCCGCATATAGGTGACAATCCGTGTCCTTGGCGGGCTGCTCTCATCATACGCGCTGACCTTCGACCCTCTCTACCTTACTCGAGCTGAGGAACTTGCCAACCGTCTCCTTCCGGCCTTCTCTACTCCATATGGTATCCCTCTCACCTCAATCGATCTCAAAGCAGGCAAGGGGATTCCCGATGCAGGCAACTCTGGTTTGAGCGGGACGGCAGAAGCGACGACTCTGCAGCTGGAGTTCAAGTACCTTGCCGAACTGACCGGAGACGAGGAATGGTGGAGGGTAGCCGAGAAAGTCATGGGCGTGGTAAAGAAGGCGCTCAGATCACACGTAGTTCCCATTTTTATTAGGTGAGTGAGGATTTGTACCAGACGGTTGGGCGCTTATGTGCTATTGGGGTCGGCAGTCCAGAAACGGGAGAGTTTTACATCTCAGAAGTCCGTTTGGGATCACGCGGAGATTCGTACTATGAATACCTCTTGTGAGGTAACATTATTCAAATCGATTATAGATATTGACGCTCCTGTCTAGGAAACAATACCTGCAAACGGTTCGCCGGCCTCGCCCCATGATCGATATTTAACTTATCCATTGTCACAGGACCGCTCTGAACCGATCTATCGTCAGATGTATGATGACGCCATGACGGAGATCGACCAATTCCTTATCCATCGTACAGTCAAGAGCAACCTCACATTTACAGCGGAGATGCATCCGTATCGAACTCCGACTGGTGAACTGTACGCACCCCTCCCTGTCCGGCGTCCTCTTTCTGACGGGCCTGCGCAGGAGCTGGCGCTTAGCAGCCAAACAAGACCACCTAGCGTGCTTCCTCGCCGGCTCGCTCATGTTGGGTGTGACGGAAGGTCAAGGCCCCGTACCGCCAGACGCGAGCAGTTGGACAGAAGAAGATAAACGAGACTGGAGAAATGGAGAGGAATTGCTGAAAACGTGCATGGCTACACATGACACGATTACGTACGTTAATGGCTCATGAGCCCCCCCCGGTTAAGGCTGAGAAATTGGCTAGTGGGCTGGCTCCAGAGATTGCCATGTTTCATGACGCGAGCAGTCCCATGGCGAAGCGGAAGGACTGGTATATCAAACATAACAAGTACGTCAACTTCGATGATTTGCGCTCATAGATTGATGGTGTTCAGGGACGGTTCTGCGATCCTCGACGGAAGGTACATCCTCCGACCCGAGACGATTGAGTCTCTCTTCCTTGCCTTCCGCTTGACAGGGGATATCAAATATCGTGCATGGGGATGGCAGATCTTCCAGGCCATCCAGCGACACTGCAAGCTCCCATCGGGTGCGTATGCGGCTGTCAAGAATGTGGAGACATTACCAGTGCAATGGGAGGATAGGATGGAGACGTTTATGATGAGCGAGACACTGAAATACCTCTTTTTGCTGTTCAGTGACGCGAGCGTATGTCCTCTCGACCGTGAGTTTCTTCCTCATTACTCTATCGCGAAATCGTCAGTTGACCACGGTGTAGAATGGGTGTTCAATACGGAAGCACATCCACTTCCCGTATTCAGTCCGTCGTTCAGCACAGCCGTTGTGTAACATCAAGACGAAGATAGACAATGAGATTCATTGTTGCGCGGCTTAATATGCCCCAATCCCTGCGCCATTCAGTACGCACGCAGATAATGCTGCCCCAAGGAGTCCCAGCTTGGCGAACCTTCATCGTCGGCCCGTCAAGGATAACATCCCCTCCATGAAGATTAAATGATATTTTATTTTTATTTTGTTCCCTAAAAACACCCGCTCAAAGAAGATTATACCTCATGCGTAGGGGATTTGAGTCATAGCACCCGTGCCTGTCAGAAGCTCGCCAGTAATATTGCGCCAGCCACCATACATACGTACAGATTACGTACCTCAAGTCGGCGGAGTGCCATGCCTGAGCCTTCGCCAAAGCCGGGCTACCCCGTCGCTGCGTTCGCGGGATCTCAAGATGCCTGTGTCTTGCTGTCTCTTATGACCAGCAAGCCGGGCCTGTTCCGCCTGCACTTCGCGGGTCGAGGAGACGCACTCGTCCACGCTCCTGAGCTGACCGATCGCCTGGAATTGAACCCTGGCTTCCTCTATGCGCGCAAGGGCTTCCTGATACTGACCCTGCATGCGGAAGATTTCGCCGATGGTCTGGGTGCACTGAGCCGCACCGAGGCGGTTTCCAATCGCGCGGAACTGCAGCCGTGCCTCCTCCAAAACCGCAGTCGCCTCGTCGTACTTAGATTGCACCCCGAACATCTTGCCGATGCTCTGGGTGCACTGAGCCACACCGAGGCGTTCTCCAATCGCGCAGAACTCCAGCTGTGCCTCCGCGAACACTGGGGCCGCCTCGTCGTACTTGTCTAGCATGAGGAAGATGTCGCCGATGCTCTGGGTGCACTGAGCCACACCGAGGCGTTCTCCAATCGCGCGGAACTCCAGCTGTGCCTCCGCGAACACTCGGGCCGCCTCGTCGTACTTGTCTAGCATGAGGAAGATGTCGCCGAGGCTCCGGGTACACTGAGCTGCACCCAGGCGGGATCCAATCGCGCGGAACTCCACACGTGCCTCCTCGAAAACCGCAGCCGCCTGGTCGTACCTGTCTTGCATGTAGAAGGTGTCTCCGATGCTCTGGGTGCACTGAGCAGCACCGACGCGGTCTCCAATCGCGCGGAACTCCAGCCGTGCCTCTTCCAATACCGTAACCGCCTCGTCGTACCTGGATTGCGCGACGAAGATTTCGCCGATGTTTCGGGAGCACTGAGCCACACCGAGGCGGGACCCAATCGCGCGGAATTCCACCCGTACCTCTTCCAACACCGTAAGCGCCTCCTCGTACTTGGACTGCATGCGGAAGGTGTCGCCAAGTCTCTGGGTGCACTGAGCCGCACCAAGGCGGGATCCTATTGCGCGGAATTCCATCCGTGCCTCCTCCAACACCGCAATCGCCTCGTCGTACTTGTCTAGCATGCGGAAGATGTCTCCGAGGCTTCGGGTACACTGAGCCGCACCGAGACGGTTTCCAATCGCGCGGAACTCCACACGTGCCTCTGTCAACACTGTCGCTGCTTCGTCGTACTTGGACTGCATTTGAAAGATGTTGCCGATGCTCCGGGTGCACTGAGCCGCACCCAGGCGGAATCCTACCGCGCGGAACTCCACACGTGCCTCCTCCAACACCACAGCCGCCTGGTCGTACCTGTCCTGCATGTAGAAGGTATCTCCAATGCTCTGAGTGCACTGAGCCGCACCAAAGCGGGATCCAATCGAGAGGAATTCCGTCCGTGCGTCCTGCAACACCGCAGCCGCCTCGTCGTACTTGGATTGCATACGGAGAATATCGCCGATGCTCCGGGTGCACTGAGCCACACCGAGGCGAGATCCAGTGGCGGAAAGCTCCACCCGTGCCTCCTCCAACACCGCAGTCGCCTCGTCGTACTTGGATTGCATGCAGAAGATGTCGCCGATGCTCTGGGTGCACTGAGCCACACGGTAGAAGTTTCCGCTCGTTTGATATCTCTCCTTCGCTTCATCATATCGCCTCAAAGCCTCGTCATATTGATTTCTTGCTTCCAAAGCATACCCCCTCAATTGAATGCACCTTGTTGTGTTTTCTGCGTCCTCTTCTATTTCCAGCTGCTTGAACGCAAGTCCTAGCAGATCGCTGCAATCACCTAACCGAGCAAAGGTGGAGAAATCGCTGATATTGAACGTAGAATTTGTCAACGTTGCTCGCCAAGTATCGTCAATGGCATCTCCAGACCGTTCGATCCAAAAATGCCGGAGGAGAAAAAGTATATTGCTGAATTCTGCTGAAAGACACCCGATCGCATCGCGCGACCCTTCGCCACCAAGGTCGTCCACTCGTTTCGTCATGTTCATAAAGAACAAGCGGAGATCTGCCAGAGGTGCTGACGGCAATTTGCCAGACTTGAGAATGAACTCTCGAATTGGCGCCAGACATCGGATTCGCTCCTTCTCACGAATAGCAAGCCCGGTCTTCACCAGCACGGATCCGTGCTTACTCAACGAGGGAAGAGCTTTTGTCATCGCGGCAACCAACATCCCATCAGGTAACAAGCACAGGATCGAAAGCAGATCGGCCGCCCCAGGACTGTTCACCATAGTATGAGAGTTGAGCGACAGGCGGATGGAGATTTCTAGACTCGTCAATCGTGTCGTTCCTCCGTTGCTCATCAACGACGTCTTCTCGCTTTCATATCGATCAATCAGCTCGGCAGGCTTGGCCACTCGATCGAGAGTGGCCATCAACATGATCGCGATCGGTAACCCATCGAGCATGTTCAACAGTGTATCAAGTTCGGCATCTTCGCTTGCTCCGTGTGCAAGCCACGTCGCACGAGAAGCGGAGAGAGTCAGCGGTAGAAGAGGATCGCGGAAGACGTTCCTCCATCGAACGGTCGTCGGTGGGCTCGATCCTCGCATTGTGATCATCAGCGAGATATGTGCTTCTCCTGCGATCGTGCCCATCCAGTTCTCCACATTCGCTCGATCTTCGGAATCCAACGCTGTCTCGGCGTTGTCAATTACGAACAAAACGCGGCTGAGAGACGTGAGATACGCAAACACTGCCCGACGTGCGTCTGTATCGTGGTGGAGGCGCAAATTCACGGCAAGCATACTGACGATTCCGTCACAGGTTGGCACTCCTTCGCAGCTGAGGAAGATCCGGTTCGCCCCGTATTTCGTTACGATCCGTCCATCGTTGATCACCGCCGCAGCGACCGCTGTCTTCCCAATCCCACCTGGACCAAGTATCGGTATATGGCAGTTGCCAGCCTCACAGAGGCCCTGTACAATCGATTCGACCAGTTCGTCTCGCCCATTGAAGACAACGGGCTTGGGTGGCATCACTAACAGTGGCAGATCGACAGGTCTGAGAATAACGGTTGAGCGCATGTTGCGCATACATAATGGGCAGACCAACATACACTTGATATACCAGCGCTCCATCCCTCTATATCTGGTAAGTCGCGAGTCTAAAGAAGAAAATCAACTCTGCGCACCTGTTGCTCCAGTCTGTCCACACGCTCGCTCACATGGACCACAGTTATCACCTGATGGAGGGTGAGTATAATGCGGTGTAAGGTTCAAGATCGACGACGTACGGAAAATTTGGCGAGGAGAGAATCGAGCGCCTCCTCGAGCATGTGAATCTCAGGTTCGACAAGTTCTTGATAACGGGTCAGAGTACGCTTGCCATCGCGTTTCGTGATCAGCGCGTGAATGTCATTCACCGCTCTACATCAATTTGCGTCAGTCCTGGAAATGCGCCGCTGTCAAGGAACGGACTTGGAAAGATCGGCCCGTAGGCGGGTTGCTGCCTCATCAGTTGCCGGCGCCGTAGACACTCGTTCCAGAATGCGAGTCTGGACCAGAGCCGCTTTCTGCACCAGTTGCTCACATCGCTTATTCTGATGCTCCAGGACCTGCGAGCTAGAAGAGGCTGAGGAACGTGTCGATGAGAGAATGGACATACGTCGGAAATCCCGGCAAGCTTTTCCAGCGCGTCTTGTATCCCTTCCTTCGCTGCATCTACCTTGGCACGAAACCGGCCATTAGATCTACGGGGGCTGCTGGTGTTTGGCTCCGTGTTCATACGGAAATTCTAGAATGTCGGTATATGATCTGGGGAGAAACCTTGGTTGGGCTGCAGGAGGCAGAGGGCGTCTTTAAATCGAGGAGAGCATATATGGGGACTCACGGAATATAAGCCCAGATGTTGTGGGCAGGATATAGGGTGTGTGCAACTCAGCTGTGGTCGGGGATAGCTGGGACTTGTTGACGCTCTGGTGGATATTGAACGGCGAATGCCTCGAAATCCGGGGCAGAATCGCTCAGAATGTCCAGTAACGAGTCTTCGGTGAGCGCCAGCACAGGGAGACGGAGATGACTAGATGCGGACGACGGGCAAAGGCTATCTAGCAAGAAGGTAAAAGATGGAGGACCAATTAGCAGGCGCTCGCTGGGTTTGCGACAAGAACAAAGGCAGGGGTCACCAGCATCGAACAAGTGCTCACGTCGCAAACATCAAGACCCAAATATTAGTCTTGAATCGCCTTCCAGTTCAGGTGCAAAGAAGCTTATATTTGCTTCTATCTTTGATAGATAACGATCACCAATGATCTGAATCCGATCGTGTTCTTTCACGTCCCTGTCGTCATATCTGCCGTTAACAAACTACTCGTTATCTCCGCCCCTTTGCCCTCACTCGATTTGAAGCGCTCCTTATTACCTTTGGTCTATAGTGTTCAACCTACCTGAGTGGCTTGAACATGCGTTAGGATATCCTCGCATCGTGTCAGACATCACCGCTGAGGAACAGAGATATCCAGAGGACCTCGCCAGGATATTCATGCCTGAGCAGGGAATGTTTAAGTGCGTCCGCCCCTCCATAGTTAGAGAACGAAACTGGTAGATCGAATAGACTGCTGGTGCCGGGTCGGATTCGGATATGACATGATGTGGGCATTTCGGTAGGAAAGCAGAGGAATGGGACGTCACGGAAGACGGGTGAGTCAACTTGGTGGGATTTCTCCACACAAACTGACGCACAATTGGCACTGTTCTACGACTGTTGATGGACACGAGCTCTCTCAGGGGCATATGAAGAAGGCGGTGACGTGACCTACTCCGTGGGTCAACAGTATTCTGCGCGAGATGTCCGAGCAGGCATTCGGATTGTTCGGAGCGGGTCGGTTGTCGTCCTCGCTCTGTGATTTGCTCTCTTATAGAGCTCTTACCAGGTTTATTGCTTGTGGGCACATGGGCTTTTTGATACGCATTTCGAGACGATGAACAGATAATGTCACACGCGTATAGACAATAACAATACTTCTTGAACCATGTAGCGCTCAATCCTGGTGAGGTGTGCTTTGGAGGGCTTGTTCGCCCTAAGCGCTTGCTTGCCACACCGAAATGAACTAGGAACCCATCCTCCACCCTCTTATCAGCGCCACTTCTATTCCCCAAGGTCATGAGACTTGAATGATACTAGTATGGCCACCAGTCCAGCCGCACAGCCCGGAGCGTACAGCACATATCGACCAGTCGAATCACAGCCTGAGATCTCAATGCTCTGCCGCCTCTCAGAGCCTGCTCAGTCATGCGTCACCAAGAACGACATGAACGGATGTACATACTTCAGCGCCGGTGCCATGCCTCCTGAGTCTTCGCCAGAGGCGGACTACCCCGTTGCTGTTTTCGGCGGAATTCCTAATACCTGTGTCTTGCTGTCTGTTCTGTCCAGCAAGCCGGGCCTGCTCCGCCTCTAATTCGCGGACTGTGGAGACACACTGGTCCACGCTTGTGAGTTGACCAATCGCCAGGAACTGAACTCTGGCCTCCTCCATGCGCGCAAGGGCTTCCGGGTAGTGGCCCTGCATGCAGAAGGTTTCACCGATGCTCCGGGTGCACTGAGCCACACCGAGGCGGTTTCCAATCGCGCGGAACTGCAGCCGTGCCTCCTCCAACACCGCAGTCGCCTCCTCGTACTTGGATTGGATGTACAAGATGTCGCCGATGCTCCGAGTGCACTGCGCCGCACCGAGGCAAGATCCAATCGCGCGGAATTCCAACCGTGCCTCCTCCAACACCGCAGTCGCCTCCTCGTACCTGGACTGCATGCAGAAGATCTGGCCGAGTCTCTGGGTGCACTGAGCCGCACCGAGGCGAGCTCCAATCGCGCGGAACTCCAGCCGTGCCTCTTCCAACACCGCAGTCGCCTCCTCGTACCGGGATTGCATGCGGAAGATGTTGCCGATGCTCTGGGTGCACTGAGCCGCACCGAGGCGGTCTCCAATCGCGCGGAACTCCAGCCGTGCCGCCTCCACTACCACAGTCGCCTCTTCATACTCGGATTGCCCGCCGAAGAGGTTGCCAATGCTCTGGGTGCACTGAGCCGCGCCGAGGCGGTTTCCCATCGCGCGGAACTCCAGCCGTGCCGCCTCCAACACCGCAGTCGCCTCGCCATACTTGGATTGCACGCGGATGATGTTGCCGATGCTCTGGGTGCACTGCGCAGCACCGAGGCGATCTACAATCGTGCGGAACTCCAGCCGTGCCTCCTCCAACAACACAGTCGCCTCTTCGTACTTCGATTGCCCGCCGAAGATGTTGCCGATGCTCCAGGCGCACTGGGCATGACGGTGAAAGTTTCCGATCTTGTGATATCTCTCCTTCGCTTCCTCATATCGCTTCAAAGCCTCATCGTATTCATTTTTTCTTTTCAAGGCATCCCCCCTCAACTGAATGCACCCCGCCGCATTCTCTCTATCCTCTTCAATGTCCAGCTGCTTAAGCGCAATTCCCAGCAGATCGCTGCAATCACCCAACCCAGCAAATGTGGAAAACAAGCTGAGGAGGAACGTGGAGCTCTTCAACCTTGCTCGCGAAGTATCATCAAACACATCTCCGGACCGTTCGATCCAGAAATGCCGCAGAACGGAAAGTATATTGCTGAATTCTGCTGAAAGACACTCCACCGCTTCGCGCGAGTCTTCCCCACCTAAAGTCTCTGCCCGTTTCGTGATTTCCATAAAGAACAGCCGTATATTCGCCAGAGGTGCGGACGGGAGTTCTTGAGATTCGAGAATGAACTCTCGAATTGGCACCAGACATCGGATCCGTTCCTTCTCACGAATAGCAAGCCCGGTCTTCACCAGCACGGATCCGTGCTTACTCAACGAGGGAAGAGCTTTTGTCATCGCGGCAACCAACATCCCATCAGGTAACAAGCACAGGATCGAAAGCAGATCGGCCGCCCCAGGACTGTTCACCATAGTATGAGAGTTGAGCGACAGGCGGATGGAGATTTCTAGACTCGTCAATCGTGTCGTTCCTCCGTTGCTCATCAACGACGTCTTCTCGCTTTCATATCGATCAATCAGCTCGGCAGGCTTGGCCACTCGATCGAGAGTGGCCATCAACATGAACGCGATCGGCAACCCATCGAGCATGTTCAACAGTGTGTCAAGTTTGGAATCCTCGCTTGCTCCATGTGCAAGCCACGTCTGCCGAGACGCCGAGAGAGAGAGCGGCGTGAGGGGATCAAGGAAGAGGTTCCTCCATCGAACGGTCGTCGGTGGGTTCGATCCTCGCATGGTGATTATCAACGAGATATGTGCTGCTCCTGCGATCGTCCCCATCCAGTTCTCCACATTTGCTCCGTCTTCGGAATCCAGTGCTGTCTCGGCGTTGTCAATGACGAACAAAACGCGGCTGAGAGACGTGAGTTACGCAAGGACTGCCCGACGTGGGTTCATATCGTGCTGGAGGCGCAGATTCGCCGCCAACATACTGACAATTCCGTCACAGGTTCGCACTCCTTCGCAGCTGAGAAATATCCGGTTCGCCCCGTATTTCGTCATGATCCGTTCATCGTTGATCACCGCCGCAGCGACCGATGTCTTCTCAATCCCGCCCGGACCAAGAATTGGTATATGACAGTTTCCAGCCTCACAGAGGCTCTGAAAAATCGCTTCCACCAGTTTATCTCGTCCTTGAAAGACAACGGGCTTGGGTGGGATGGCCAACAAAGGTAGGTCCGCAGGACTGAGTTGTCGACGTCAGTGTGTTATGTATAGAATGAAGTCGAATGACAAACACTTGAAAAACAAGCGATCCATCCCTCTAAGTATTGTCAAATGATGCTGTTTCACCAAAATATGCGCTGTGCGCACCTGTTGCTCCAACATGAGCAATCGTCCATCATGGGCATTCACGCGTTCGGTGACATCAGCCACACCTATTATCTGATCGTGTCTTAGAGCAAAGATGTGTCTTTGGGCATGATAGAGCGCACTGAAAACTTGGCGATGAGAGAGTCGAGCATCTCTTCGACATTACGGACCTCCTCTTGGGCCAACTGTCGATACCGTTCGAAACGAGGTTTTTGTTCACTCCTTGATGTCGTCTTCGTAACGAGGGAGTGTATCCTTTCTACAGCGCTGCAACGATCGTTAAGCACCAGGATTACGGTCACATAAACGAACCTACTCGGAAAGCTCTACACGGAGGAGAGTTGCCTCCTTGTCCGGCGTTGGCGGTTGCATCATCCGGTCCAAAATATGGCCTTTAACAAGAGCCGCCTTCTGTTCTAATCCCTTTCGCCGTTCGCCTTGATGATCGAGGAGCTGGCAGGGTAATGAAGCCTTCTGATACGTGGAGGAGGAGAAAATAGGCATACATCGGAGATTCCTGCTAGCTTCTCCAACCCATCTAGCAGCTTCTCCTTCACTACATCGGGTGTGGTCTCGGACGATGCTAATTTCAATCGATCAAAAGTGGTGCGAACTAGTCCTATCCCTCTGTTGGAGCTACTGGGTTCCGTGCTCATTGTGTCGGAGGACGAGGGGCTCTAACGAGGAGATAACAAGATACTAAGCAATAAGAGTCGAGAGCAAGCGAAATGTCAAGTGAGACGTGGTGGTCGAGAGATAAAAGGCATCGTCTCAAGGCTCTCTCGAGATAATAGGCCTGTGTGGTATCGTCCCTGGCATGGACAAAAGCCAGCAGGCTGTACGTCGCAATTCCCGCGACTGATTGACGCCGACGGCTATGCAGATCCGGGAACGCGCTGGATCCCGAGCAGAAGTGCTAGGAGGATCAGTATCAGCGATCCCAAGTCTGACGAGGGGTGGACAGATATGGATACTGCACAAATCCTACAACGCAGCGAGGCAGGTCGCATGTGTGCTGGGCGATCAGATGAAATAAGCGCCGAAGGGAAGCGGGGGCAATTAACAGATGTGCTCGCAGAGTTGTCAATCATATCCCAAGTAGTAAGTAGGATTTCACGCCTCTCCGCTTGTCCACATTCCCCAACAGTGCCCTCACATAAATGGACTTCAAACACCACCAGGGCATCGAGGGAGTAAACAACTCCAAGTCCACAGGCTGGGAAACGTGAAAGCTTCACGTCCTTTATAATGCATATCCCAAGGCAGAATAACATATTTTTCTCTTCCTTTGTCCTCAATTACGGTCCTATCGCGTACTCTCCGGCCACGATCTGTTCTAGCGGATCGTCTTCCAACCTAGTCAAAAAGAAAATCAACAGCAGCCCGGCATATGAATGACCACATACAGATAATTCTGCTCAATTTCACTCAGAACCGTTAAGAATTCCCATAAATACGTTAGTGCAGTTTGTGACCCTGGAGGTCCTCCAGACGTTTGTTGAACACGATCGAGAAACACGCTTGCTACACGACGGATCTTTGCCACGAGTGTTGGACCATTCGCGGCAACAGCTTGGATAGGGATGCTAGATATGAAGAACGAGGTTGAGCTTCTCGAAGAGGGGGGGGGATAACGATGACGATGGCATACCTATGCAGTACTTGCAGAAGGTCTTTGGCGATCGCGTCCTGCTCGTCAGCGTGCTGTGCCTTCAGTTGCTGTTGCCTCACTGCATCATCCGATGCGAGCTCTAACCGGAGTTCATGACGAAATCTCTCGATCAGTGAACGCACCAGTTGCTGTGGTCCCTTTAGCGCATGTTCACAACTAGAGGAATACACACACGTACTTGAGTGACATACATATTGGCCTGCAGTACGAGGAAAGGGTTGCGCGCCTCTGCGCTACCCGAGCCCCGATTCGTGAGGAAGTCCATCAGATCGCTTCTTGTCTGCTCGCTCTGGCTAAGGCCAAGCAATTCTCCCAGATCTCCGTTCCGGACTCGGACATCAGGCCCTTCACCCGGCTTTCGCAGGCGCAGATGAGGCGGCACGTCATCCAATACCGACATGACTTGGTCATGCAATGCCTCTACCTCCTCCAACCGGGCCTGGGCGAACGCGCCTGTCGGAGGAACGCGACGGTCGGCGTTGAGTATAGAAAGTAGATAATCGAGGACGATGAAAATCCGTGTGGTGTAAACAAGACCAGAGATGATGGAAGTCGTACCAGGCGGCTGGATGCCTACGCCAGACAGGGTGATACTACGAGTGAAGAGTTAAGTCAATATCCCAGTTAACGACTTCCTGAGAAGGAACTTACTATTCATCATCCACCTCGATTGGGAGGTGCGCCGTGAACTCTTGGCTCGTCAATCGACCCGGCATTTCTTCCGCATCTAGGCTACTTTGCATTGCTGTATGGCATCATTAACGAGGTGTTGAAAATAGGTTCTGGAGCTCACATACCACCATACAACAACCAGATCAGCCTTGAACGCACCTCTCGCTCAATCGGGTCGCAGGCATCGTAGGTCCGCTCGTCGTGCATGCGCGCTTTGAGCGCGATATGGACTGCTTCATTATATGCGCAGTCTGAACGGCGCTTATTTCCGCAACTTGATCTGGGGTCAGTGGCTAGTATTTTCAGAAGGAACTATACAAACCAATCTAAATATCGTGCATCGCTGGCCATCATCGTGAGTGAATATAGCGTAACGGACGTCACGAGAGGATCGTACTCACAAGAACCGGATCGCGACAAGCATGCTCGGACTTCTGATCGGCGCATCGACCGTTATATGTCGACTTGCTTCATAACACGCCTGAGCCAGCCTCCTCACCTCCAGTCTGCTCATAGGCAAATAGCTTCGGGGCACTTGGGTGACCGTTCTTGCAACCGTGCTCATAACTAGGGCAAAAAACAGGCTGTCCCTTTCTTCTCTTCTACTCTCGAGATCTGCCCAAAAGCTGGGTTTGTGCAGGAAAGGCGTAAGAGGGTAACAGAAGTCGAAGAACAGCTGTAGGATAAGGATGACCTTGTGCCTTGGGTAGATGTCCGATATCCGGTGTTGACGGTTGTAGTGGTAGTCGAGGGGAGGATACAGCAGGGCTGCGCGGGAAGGATCGGGTGCGGGAGTACGGTCACGTTTGGAGTCTGGGGGTTGGGAGGGCGGTTGGGAGGGATGCGGTCGTGTGGAGGGGAATAGTGGTCCGCCCTGGACTTGAGTCTGGGGTGGTTGGGGAACACCCCGTGCTTGCACGGGAGGCTGCATAGCCAAACTGCTGGTGTAGCTGTCTGTTACGCTCGGACTCGGCGCATAAGGGAGGGCGAACACCGGCAAGTTACTTGCGTCTGCTGTCGGGGAGGTCGCCCACGCCAAGCTGGACATGCCGATCTGGGCTAGCGCAGTGTTTGGAGACATGCCTTCGAACAATACAGAGGGTGAGTCGGCCATTGGGGTATCAAGCTGCGGTGGAGGCGCAAGTGGGGAAAGAGAGGAAAGGGACGTAAGGGTTGCTGCGGCTTGAGCGGCAGCCGTTGATGGGGATGACGGCGGGTGGGTGGATTGAGCGGTAGCGGCGGCAGCAGCAGCCTGCTGCCGTTCAGTTAGTCGCCTTAGATATCTGATATCACTATTAGTAAGATCTAGAACGCTGGATCAATTTACGTACAAGTACGGTGGCCCCCGTTTCTTCTTGATTTTATCCTTCCCGTCTCTTCCCACCTCCACGTTGCCTGCAACGACGCTGCCTCTCTCGCTGCTGCTCCCACATTCAGCACTGACGCAATGGCCTTCACCTACTTTCCGTCGTGGAATGTAGTCAAATGTGCATGCTACGTTCATCGCGCGACATTGTTTACATGGGGCATGATTGAGGCTCGAGCTTGTTGATGCTTCTGAGGGGCCTAATTCGGTTTGATCAAGGACATCTGTGTCTTGTACGCAGCGTACTTTGCGCTCACGACATGCATCGCAGCCTGGGTCACACGTTAATCCTCAGACTTTAACGGGGTCTGAACATAAGACTCACTGCGTACTCGTTTCTTCCTGTCTTCAGCCTGACCGTCCATGTTGCAAACAGTCCCAAGTGCTGTTCACTCCCCTTTTTATTATCTTGGGCGCTTCAAGCTACGTCAAGCGGTGCGATTCGCATATGCGACAGAAGAAGAGAGACGTTGTCGCCAGCAGATGGCGGTCAGAGTGCAACTGTGAACAGCCGGCGGACCGTCGACCTCGGGAACGTCAGGGACCTTCAAGTTGACCGGCGGCGGAGGTGGAGATGCGCTCAACCAACCTGGGCAGTTCTTGGGAATTCAATTCTTCGGGTATCTGTGGTATGTGCACCGCAACACGTCATTGCTCAAAAGATGTTGCACGAGGCGCTTTTCGGCAGACAAAGATTAGGTGAGGGCCGTGAGAAGAGTAACTCAGGGTATGTCGTACAGTACTAGCCTCATAATTACATTCTCCCCACACTGATCTTTCCCTGAGAAATCTAGACTGAGGTCCTTTAGACCACAACATTTTAAGACGTACTTTTCCCTCCAATTCAAATGAGTAGAAACAAGGTAAGACTGAGGAGGCGCAACGGCGTATTAGAGGAACACCGACAATCCTGTCAACGCTGACCGACAATTACCCGATGAAAACGCGCGAGATGCGGGGGTGTCGGCAAACACTCAACAACGCATCTCAGTGACGTAGACAACCGTGTCATGAATAGACAGGCACACCGCCTCATTCATTTTTTTCTCGCATACCCGGCCCAAACGTTCACATTCCCGTCCACTGCAGTCTGTTTCCCAACTCGACCGTTCCCCGAAGTCTGACGTCTCTTGTGCTTGCCCTGACCAGAATCTCATACTTCCCCTTCTCGGCTCTCCACTCCGCGTGTCTCTCGTCCCAGTATCTGAACGCCTCTCTGTCTAGCTTCACGCGCGCGCTAGTACTCTCCCCGGGCTTGAGGAATATTTTAGTGAAACCCTTGAGCTCGCGTGGGACCTCCGGTAATGGGGGCGAGAGTTCGGAGACGTAAACTTGAACAACTTCGGCTCCATACACAGCACCAGTGTTAGTCACCCGTAAAGGAAACCGTGAAGGCACCCGATTCGCTGATGGGCGAAAGTGCCAACGAAGCAGTAGGACAGCCCATACCCGAAAGAGAACAGAGTCTCGACAGAGGACGTGTTTGTAACCAACGTAGATGCCTTCTGTGTAATAAACTTTTCCTGGTGTGGGGGTAGTGATTCCAAACGACTCGTATGTGTTGCAGTCTTCCAGCCGCTTCCTATTGGGCACGAATTACCACCCTATTCTCAGGGAATAAGAGTGACATACGGGAACGTAACAGCAAGCTTCCCGCTGGGGTTGACTTTCCCAAAAAGGACATCCGCCAGCCCATGGCCTAGCTCATTTCCCCCAGAGAACGCCTGTACAACGGCTGGTGCCTGGTCGAGCCATGGCATTGACACCGGTGTCCCGGATTGGTTCACGACCACCGTATTAGGATTCACGGCCAGCACGGCGGAAACAAGGGGATTGATGCTTCCCGGAAGGCTGGCTGACTGGTAAGTGCTTCCCACGGATCAAGACCAACACCCATACTCAACTGTTTTCCTGTCAAGGCCCTCAGACTCCCAATCCGCATTTAGACGCAGGATCATGACAGCGACTGTGAAACTCTTCGGCCACTTTTATGACCGGAAAAAGGGTCCGTGCTCACCGTCGCACGCTTTAGCCACCTCCACAGCCTCCATGATCGCCGTGGACTCCTCGAGAGACGGGATTGCACCTAACTTGAGCGTACCAGTAAACGCCACAGGTCCATGTCCCGCCCTTTGGCTACTCAGATGCATGCGAACTTTGATCTCATACTGCTTCCCTTTCTCCATATGCTGGACTAGATTGCGCTTTTCCATGGAACCTTGGCCAAAAAAAGTTTCCCCTGGAACGTAGGCCTTGTTGTTATCAATGAGCAGCTCGCCGTTCAGGAAGAGATTAGCTTCCCCAACTGAGGTGAGGCCGAAGAGCCATGGGCCAGAGACGGTAGGCGTGAAGGTAGCCGAGACACAGATGTAAGGTATCGGTCCAACGAGGTCGAGCGGTATCCCATCCATCAGCATGAAGCTTGACGACTGCCGTGTGTTACTCTGAACTCCATCCAGGCAAACATTTTAATCACCTTGGTCATCATCACCCAGTCGGGCTGGATATCAATCTTCTCGGCCTTGTCAAACCAACCCCCATGGTCCACCTTACGATCCCAGCCTTGTCCTCGTTGAAGAACTCCAGTTTCAGGCCTCCTCACCAATATATATGTCGATATTCGGCACAAACCGAAATGCAGCCGCACCCATCGCGTACTTCACCTGTGCCCCGGCTTCCTCCGCTGCTTCCCAAATGCCCTGCAGGGGGGAAACACGATACGACGCGTTCACTTCGGCACTGCCTCCGCCCGAGATCTGGGCAGTGAACGCGTTTGGCCCGATGACGGCGATCTTCTGGCCCAATTTTGGGGCCAGCGGCAAGACGGACTTCGTGTTCTTCAGCAGGACGATGGACGAAGAAGCCGCTTTACGCAGGAGTGCTCGCAGCTCGGGCGTATCCACTGATTCTTCTGGTGCATCGAATGGAATGCCAGAGCGGACAGCATAGTTGTGCAGCTTGAGCACCTGCACCATATCAGCTCCTGATCAAGTTAGATATCATTCGGACGTACATTACGAACTCGCTCGCACGTATACTTGAACGACTTCGGCGCCGGCTGGCTTGCCTGTGTTCGTTGTGTTCACAGAGACGACAAGATTCCCAACTTCACTGATAGAGGAGAGGACAAGGTCGGAGTATAAGAAAGTCGTGTATGACAAGCCATGGCCGAAAGGAAACATCGGAGCTATTGAAAGGGCGTCGAAGTGCTTGTAGCCAACAAAGATATTTTCGGAGTAGTAAGCCTTTCCTGGTGTTGGGCTCTTACTGCGAAATGAGTTGTACGTCGCGCAGTCTTCAATTCTTTTCCTGTAACCTCGGTTATCTTCAACTCACGCAATAAGATCGAGTTGACGTACGGGAACGTGACTGGAAGCTTGGCATTTGGGTTGACCTTCCCAAAGAGCACATCCGCAAGCCCACTGCCCAGCTCATTTCCCCCATAGAATGCATGCAGGATCGTGGAGGCCTTGTCGGCCCAATGCATCGAGACCGGTGCCCCGGACTGGGTCACGATGACTGTGTTAGGGTTGGCTGTCAGGACGGCCGAGATAAGGGAATTGATACTTCCTGGCATGCTGGAAGATGGGGTCAACTGGGTTCCCAGGACGTAAATGAGAACTTACTCAATGGTATCACGATCGAAGCCCTCGGATTCCCAATCCTGACTCAATCCAACAACCGCAATTGCAACTTCCCACAGGTTAGTCTTGCTCAACGGAGGAATATTAGTTCGCGCACTATCCGAAGCCTTAGCAACCTCCACAGCCTGCTCGATGGCTTCCTCCTCTTCGAGAAAGGGGATAGCCCCAAGCCTCAGCGAGCCGGCAAACGACAACGGCGGGGGAGCTTGTCTCTTCTCGCTAACATGTAGTCTCACCTCGAGCTTGTACTCCCTCCTTGGTGAAGATATGGAACCACCTTCCGCTGTTCCTTCGAGCCCAGGCGGAGGAACGCTTCGCCCGGAACGAAGGAGCGGTTGTTCTCGATTAGGAGGGCACTGTTGAGGAACATGGTGGCTTCACCCCCTGAGACGAGGCCGAAGAGCCAAGGACCAGATTGTGTAGGCGTGAAAGTGGCCGTTACGCGGAAGTAGGGCGTCTTGCCGATGATGTTCGTGGGTATGTCGTGGACGAGTATGAAGTTAGCTGACTAGAGCACGTCATTAGGATCCAAATACGTGAGAGAAGGGGCCAAAAACATACTTTGGTAGTCGTTACCCAATCCGCTTCTCCTGAGATCTCCCCAGCTCCATCAAACCAGCCTCCATCGCTGGCCATGCCACACCTTACCCGTCTTCTCCTCGTTGAAAAACTCCAACTTTAAGCCTTGCTCTCCCAAATAAGCATCGATGCTAGGCACAAACTTGTATGCCGCGGCTCCCATTGCGTACGTCACTTGTGCGCCTGCCTCCTGTGCGACTTTACGGATCCCCTGCAAGGGTGAAATGCGGTAGAACGCGTTAACCTCCACGCTTCCTCCACCAGAGATTTGGGCTGTAAACGCGTTTGAACCGATGACGGCTATCTTCTGGCCTGGCTTTGCAGTAAGCGGGAGGATAGAACGGTCATTTTTCAGAAGGACGATAGAAGAAGAGGCAGCTTCGTGTAACAATGCTCGCAGTTCGGGGCTATCGATCGCATCCTTTGGAGGGGCGTCGAAAGGTATGCCAGAGCGGACCGCGGAGATGTACAAATTGAAGACCTAGAAACCGGTAAGAATTCTGCAAGATGACAAGAAACAACCCCTACATTCCGGACCCGGGCATCCACGTCTTCCGAAGTGAGTTTCCCTGCTTGCAGCGACCGATTCAGTGGTGGACCCCTCATCACTCCAGGTCCTGGGAATTCTACATCCAAGCCTGCTTTCACACTCTCCACGACCGAGTATACGCCGGTCCAGTCGCTGAGAACCAGGCCGTCCCAGTTCCACTCCTTGCGCAGGATGTCTTGTAACAAGTTGGCGTTCTCGCTCGCGTGCGTTCCGTTCACCCGGTTGTGTGCCGTCATGAGGCATTTTGGGGGAGCATGCTTCATCACGAGTCGGAAGGGCTCGAGATATACTTCCCGCAAAGCGTGCTCAGGTACAACACTGTCCACTGAGTATCGTTCATATTCTTGTTCATTGGCCACCTGCGATTATTTTCAGTGACGCCTCGGAGGGATTGACAAAGACTGACAAAATGCTTCAGACAAGCGGCCACTCCCCGTTCCTGCAATCCTTGTACATGCGCCGCTCCCGCAAGACCGCTCGAAACCGGATCTTCGGAAAAACACTCAAAGCTCCTTCCTCCGAGCGGGTTCTGGTGCATGTTTACTGGAGGGCCTAGCAAGATGTGCGCCCCTTGCAGACGGGCTTCGTCCCCCAACGCACGGCCGACAGAGCGGATGAGGTCGAGATCGAAGGAGGAAGCGAGGCCAGCAGCGCACGGGAAGCAGGAAGCTTGAGTGCGGTTGAAGACTGTACATGATGGGCATGAGAAAATGATCATGGCAGGGAAATCGAGCTGCTCACACTGGATACCCCTCACACCATTCGGCCCGTCGGAAACGCGGACACTGCCGATACCAGCATCTGGGTGTCCTGCTAGATGCCAGAAATTGGCAGCAGAGAGAAATTTAACTTTGTCTCGTATGGACAAGCTGGAGATCGTTTGTTCGACGTCGATCTCTTTGGAGATAGTCATGCTGAACCTGCCAGGGGCGTCTAACTCGTTTGATGGGTGGGGGGGTATTCGGAGGGGTGAGGACTATCGTCTTTCACACCAATGCTATTTATAAGGTTGCGAAGTGATAGTAGGAACGCCTGCATGATGGACGTCTTCTACCAATGAGCACGTAAGATCAAGTAGGAGTTGGTGAGGAAATATAAATGTCGACGCTGTCCTACTCGCAAAAAGCGGAGTAACGGAGAAAGATCGGGGGAAAGGATCGGGAAATGTATTGGAGAACCCTGGTGGGAAGGGAAAGGTAATGGCAAGCCTACGGGTAGGAACCCAACTGGCAACGTTGAAGTTCGTAGGAGAAATGCACCCCACACTTTAACCTTGCTTCACTTTATTTGCTTCATTACTTGAGCAGATATCCATTAATGTGAACGAGACGTCCTCAAGAGATTAGCCGAGTTCTAAATAAATAACACTAGTGAAAAAAAAACATTTTACGCATGCATGCCAGGCTGCGGGATACCCTCTAAATCTGGCAGGTGTACGGCAGCGACCCAAGCTAGGACGATCTCCACCCTCGGCCCATGCAGCGGTATGTTTATCAGTCCTTTCTTCTTCTCCACTCCGGCAGCGCGATCAGCGCGTTCCTTTTCGGCTTTCCGTCTTTGGCGCGCGGCGACGGGAGCGAGAAGCATCCGCAACGCGTCCAGGTGCTCTACAAGGCTGGCGCCGGCAGCGAAAGGGTTGGAAGCAGTCGGATCGTCGTATAAAACGCCTTTGCCTTTGTAGTTAGACAAGGGTAGAGACACCGACATTGACAGGGGCGTGTCGCTTCTCGATGATGGCAACGAGGATGTTGAAGTGACGGCCGAAGTGGAGCCAGAGGCGATTGCATTAGAGATACTCGACGATGCTTCAGATGGCTCGGGAGAGGCTGTGCTGCTTGAAGAGGGTGAGGAAATCCGGATTGGCGGAATAGGTGGACCAGCCTCGATTGCCAGACGCCGGAGGGACAGGCTGTGAGGCACCGCGCCCATTCTCCAGCCCGAAGCAAGCCGTTCGAGTACTTCAATAAACTCGGCTTGAGCCATGCTCCGCGCTGGTAAGAAGATGGGACATCCGTCCAAGCCGTCAACAAGCAGCGCCGTTCGCTGGAAAGCGGCAAGCAAGCCCGCAAAGTCACCCAGGACGAGGTAACAGATCAAGATACTGAAATGTGATTCCACAAGGAGAGGATGGTATGTCGTAAGCGGTGCTGGGCCGTCAGGAATGGGAAGTGGGGGAGGGGCGAGGTTCGTTTGGGACGACGCCTGATATGCGGCCAATTGTATCTGGCGCTCTCGCTGCTGCCCAGGGCGTTGAGATTCGGAGAGCAAGAACGCCGCTTCCACCCTTTCGGCCAGGTTGCCGGGGAAGCTCGCACCCGTCTCGAGCGTTTCGAAGTGGCCTAGGAAGCGCTCATGATCTCGCAAGCTCTTCTTCACAAAGGCAATGATGGAGGCGCGGAAAGTCGGGTCACCGAGCCTTGCCCTATATGCACGCAACTTTGAGCCTTCCTTGGGCCCTAGTGGACCATCTGGGTTGCCGATCTCCGTTCCGCCGAACTGCCCATGATCGAGATAGCATAACCTGAGTTCGGGCAGATCAGGTGATGTGGGCTTGCGGACGCCTTCCAGGTTGAGACACGCTTGCTCGATCTGGAAGATGGCATGTTGCAGATAGGCAGCACCACGAAGGAACAGACACTGAGTCTCGAGCGGGCTCGGCGGTTCCACCGATGTTGAACGAAGAGAGTCGTCGTTCACGGCTGCATCCTCATCGTCCGCATTCCCATTCGCAACGCCGAACTGCCGATGATCATGATGTCTCCCGCCTTTCTTGCTTTTCTTTCCACATTTTGATTGGGCCATCAACCGATTCGGTTTCTTCTCTGCTTCGACCTCGTGCGCGCGTCGCGCCTTGCGCAATTGGATCGACTGCCTGATGGCATTGGTGAAGTCCTTACATGCCAAGGAGAATTCATCCCTGAAGCACCGGACGATACCTCGCGTTCGGTAGTATTCCAGGTGCAGAGGATTGCTCGCGATCAGCTCATCTAAGACAGTGGTCGGCGTTGACTCAGCCAATTGTCTGCACAGACTGGGTTAGTAAAGGCGTACACGCGCGGTCCATCATGTTGACATACCGTGAAGGGATCTTCTCGTGGAAGAAATGCACATATCTCGCGTCGGCGTTGTTGGGTTCTATAGCGCTTGAGCAAGATCCTGCTACACCAGCCGTAAGGACTCACCCTGTCTCAACACCCTCTGCGCTACGTCATCCAGCGCGCTTGCGCCTTGCATGACCATCACACTAGCAGCAATCTCGTCCGTCCGATATGCTTGTGCCAGCCTCTGCACCGCAAGTGCTCTGAGCCTATGCGTACGCACCGCGCTCATCCCGTCCCTTCCCCTCCCTCCTTCGTTCCCCATCGGGTTCAGTCCGAGGGTCTGGGCAGCGCTCCATACGTTCTGGTTCGCATGACTGGGCATGCTCGCCAGGCTTGCTGCAGATAAGCCCGAAGCGGCCCGCACGGCCAGGTCAGAGGCCTCGTCGATCAGTCGTCGGATCTGGGTGACGCTGCGAACGACTCCTGGGTCTATAGGTGGAGGCGCGGGCCCGGTGTCGAAAGGAGAAATAGGATAGTCCAGCGCGCTAGGATCGAACTTGGTCAAAGCAGTGGACGAGGAATCGGTTCCGTTGGGCGAACGGGCGCTCCGAGAACGAGCCGAGGGGGGAGAGAGTAAGCCGCGCAGCTGTGTGCGCCGTGGTCGGAATGCGGAAGAGAAATTGGGTGAGGAGGGAGGGGAGGCGTCCGCTTCGGCCGTTAGAGCGAGGAGCAGAGATTCGAGAACCTCAACTGGGAGTTGTAACCATGGGCCCTGTTCCCACATAAGTATCTCAACCTTCAGTAACCCCAGTAGCAAACATACATGATAAGAGCTGATATACCGCCAATGCTTGTTCCTGCTAATGCACAGAACAGGCGGATCGGGCTCTTTCTTCACCCCATTGCCATTCCCAGCCCCTGCCGACTGGCCATTCCCATTCGCTGTCTCCTTCTTCTTCTTAGCCTTCTTCTTCTTCTTCTTGGCCGCCCCAGTAGGGGGAGATATTGCATCTCCCTCCCCTCCCGCGCCTTGGGGAGAGTCGACCACGTCCGAGTCGAGCTCGTCCGGCGTTGTTGGCGGACTCGAAGAAGCTGCGTTGTTGTCGTTCAGATGAGGCGGGATAACAATCGATGGTCCAAGCTTCGGAAGTGGTAAAGAGTTGACGGCAGAGGCAGTAGGCATTATTTGATACATAGGTTAGAGGGGAGACTTGGTGTAATCTTGATCCTTAGTTGGATGTTGCCAGGGTCCGGTTAGGTGCAAATATTCCGAAAAGGTACGGCTCGACGTCCGAGTTGTTAACGCGCTCAGAAAACGCGACAGACGAGTTCGGTATCCCCTTCGACGTCTAAAGCAGCATATAAAGACGAAGGCGCGCGTATTGTCCAGATGAAGAGAAGTGAAATGTATGGTGGTAATTGTGGTGAACGGAATGGTTGACGGCGACGAAGACTCTTTGCAGCAGAAATGAGACGTCCACTAATGGTGGCTGTCCGCTCTTTTGATCCAGCCTTACACGCCACAGGGAAGTCAATCTGAATATTGATGTCCTCGATATGGGAACATCAATAACAAGTTTGTTCAGAATCTCCCACTCCCATTCAGCGGTCAGAATACTCTATGATTCCCAGAAATACATTAGGACCAACGAATAACTATCCTTTTTACACCATATCGTCCTCAACTCGGGCTAGTTATACAAGCGGCAATCCCCGAACAACACACCACAGAACAGAACAGACCAATCGACGGCCGCCACAAAACAACAACAGAAAGCACCAAGAGAGGAACAGGCACAGAGAGTCGACATATGGTTACATTCCTTTCGGCGTCCGACAGCAGGGCACGCCAATTTTTCGTCACCGCTGACCTAGCAGGGTATCCGGTTCGTTCGTTTCGTACATCCTCGCCTTCGTCCACGTCCACTTTCGGTCTTCCACACATATAGGATACGGGCTGGGTTGAGCCAGCATCCTTTGGCTAGGATCACCCCGTTCCACCACCCATGCCAACACTTTGACCCATCCCTTCCCCACCGAGCAAGCTCAGTAGCTGGGCCTGAGCGTCATCGTCCCCTCCACCAAGTCCACCGCCCACACCGCCCCCCAAATCCCCAGTTACAGAACCAGTCACATCGACCCCGTTCGCAAGCGAGTTGACCATGGAGTTGTTCGCTGTGCCATCTTCGGGAGAGTTGGAGGGCATGCCGTTGGGTTCAATTTCGGCACGATGCCGCTTATAATAGATCGCCCAAGAGAGCGCTGAATGTCGTGGATGCTGCACACACACAACAGTCATTAGCAAGTGGGAAACAGGGGGCATGAAAGGGTCATACCAGATCCGCAAAATTCTGCCAGAACTTGGCTGTGGTCTTCCCCTGGCCCACCACCCTCAGATACTGGATCATGTCATGTTTATCGTCGTCATTGAACGGGATCGCAGTCGCCCTCTTGGCCTTCTTGTTGCTATCATCATCGTCGCCGTCGTCCATGTCCTCAAGCTGGTAGGCAGCAGTGCCTACCGGTGGATGGCCAAAGATCGCCACGTGTGACTGGACAGCGAGGGAGGGTGACTCGCGCGGCCGTTTTCGGGAGACGCTGGTCCCAGTAGAGTTGATAGACAATGGTGCCGCACTCGGAGTTGACGCAGGGTTGTCGAAGCGAAGGATACCCTGGTAGGAAGATGGGAGGGTGGATGCGGCGGTTGCAGATGCCATGATATCGGCAGATGATATGGGGATGGGGCCGTTTCGAACAGGTGCAGGCGCTTGGTGAGCGTTGGCGTTTGTATTGGATTTCGACTTGCGATTTTTGGACGATTTGCCAGTGGATGTTCCATTACCATTGGCAGAAATGTTCGCCGCAGGTTCCCCATGTCCGTTCCCCGCACCATTCGGATTTGTCAATGAGCTTGTGAAAATCCCTCCTCCTCCGTCCTCTGGTGTGAGGCCGGTGAAGTGCTCTGGTCTGAAAAGTCCCGCTGCCTTTTGCAGGCGTTCCCTGAGAGGCGCGAGCTGTTCTTCGATCGCATTCACGGCTTCCTGATTGACATCGACGATGAACTGATGATGAGCACGGCGATGTAATAGTTCTGTCATAGTATTTCTGTCTGATTGGAGTTGTGAAATAACCTGCGCGAGTTGTAGCCCAATATGTTCCGGGTCCTCGGGTGGCAGCGGAGGCTGCATGGTGGTTGTAGTGTTCGTTGTTGGTGTTGTCGTTGCAGACGTTGATGCCGGCGCGGAGGCAGACGGCTGGGACGTGCGACCGCCGGTGTGCCGCGGGGCGCGAGAGGGTTGTTGTTGTTGCTGGACAGGCGGCGGGGGCGGCTGCATCATCGCATACGGTGGATGGAGGCCGGTGGGGAGGTGCAGGACGGGCTGACCGGGTGGGACGGTCCAACGGTTGCCATTAACATCGGTGAGAGAGTGGGAGGTTGGTGCATTTGGGGAGGCAGACGGCGGCTGGCTGCGACCCTGCGTGTATGCATGAGCGGCGTGGCTGTTGTGCTGCCCACCGCCTTGGAGGTCGAGCTGACGGCCGACGTTGGGCTGGAGGTGCTGCTGGTCGCCAACGACGACGCGCACAACGCCTCCGCCGTCGTGCGTCGCGAGCCCATGTCGGGCAGACCCGTCCGAGAGTGACTGGTCTGGTGGACCCACCATATGCTTCCCGTCGACGATGGAGATTGATGCGCGTGCGATAGGTGGATCCTCTGTCATGGAACGGTAGCAGAGCCCGCCTATTGTTTGAACGTCGTCAGTCTGTGCTTACTCGCTGGCAGATTGGGGCTGCTGGTCGACCTACCCGTCGAGCTCGCTGTTCCCGGGTCTTGCCTTGCCCTGCTGGGTTGTTGGTCTCGAGGGGCCCATCCCTCACAGCCACTTGGAATCTGACCCCGCATGTAAGAGAGAATGGTGCAGGCTGTTGTCACCTCGATACTTTGTTCTTTGTCTTCTAGTCATGGCTTTTGTACAGTCAAGGTCGTTCAGCTCGAGGACAACGTCTGGTATCTCTGGCATGGTCGCTGTCAACTGAGGCAAAAGACGCGCTGTGAAGAAAAATTCAAAACGCGACCGCACAATAGACAAAGGAAAGAATCCGTGATTTTCTAGATGTTTCCGACTTCCTCTCCTACCCCCCGTCGGCCCGCTTTTAAGTGCCTCTGTTTCTCTAACAACGCCTCGAGGCCTTTACGAGCTGGTTTGCTACTGCTTTCACCACTGAACGGCCATTGAACTCGGATCCGACGTCACGGCCACGTGTGGTGCCTTTCAACACTTCTGCTCACAACTTTCTATCGCTACCAGCTGGTTGGGTCGAGCTGTTACCTTGGAGACGAGATTCAGTTTCATATCCACAATCGTTAATTCCAGTATTGCGGAACGCTGAGCCTTTATCAACTTTGCCGCCTGTTGACATGCTCGAGTGCGGCAACTTCTTAACATGTCAAGATAGTCGGGTCTACCGCTCGAAACAACATGCCGCTTGATAAAGCTGGGCAGGCAACGTCAGCTAGCAAACTGCTCATTTCTGGTTTAATTATCAAGACCGTATTATATAACCACGATCTGAGTTGCTGTAGACATCCGCAGGCCTTTGTGCACCCTTGCCGTCGAAATGTGAAACACACAAGCGTTCTACTCCCTTGCCTTTATTATGACGCCTATCATATCATCGCACACACTGGTGCGATCCGCAGTGAACGAACAAGGTCGATATTGTTTCTTTGCTCCAACATGCGGAAATGCAGAGCCACGGAAGTCATTGCCATTGTCGGCGTTGCCTGAATTGTTGGTAGGGTTGATTGCTCCCGGACATTAAGCAACGACGTCGAATGCGAAATCTCTCACTCTTGCGTGCTTGCAATCCAGTCCTGGCGTATTCAACCTCGATGCGGAGCCCCGGAATAGGAGCCCTATAGAAGTATGGTTGAGGGGACCGGCCCGAATTGTCGGCGGGTGTGCCAGCGAGACCGACCGAAATGAACTAACGGACCTCGGTAGGTCGTCCCGAGTGGACACTGGTCAGCCTCGAACCCAATCAGGACGATATATAGACACACGCATCGTTGGCTTGCACCGGCCTTATCTTTCCGCCAATATTTCCTCCTCTTCTCTGACAATCAACAGCTCGCAATCATGTCGCCTCCCAACATCCTCTTCATCATGGCGGATGACCATGCTGCCAAAGCCATCAGCTGCTACGGCGCAGGGATCAACCATACTCCCCACCTAGACCGGGTAGCGAAAGAAGGAATGAAGTTCAATCACTGTTATGTGACCAACTCTATCTGTACCCCTTCTCGCGCTGCTATCCTCACGGGCACACACAACCACGTCAATAACGTGCTGACGCTCTCGAGCAAGATCGACAAGCGCCTGCCGAACGTAGCCAAGAGTCTCAGGTCGGGAGGGTACCAGACTGCCATGGTAGGCAAGTGGCATCTCGGCGAAGGGGAGGCACACGAGCCGAGCGGGTTCGATTTCTGGTCTGTGGTACCAGGGCAGGGCCAGTACTTCGACACCGACTTCATCGAGATGGGCAAGCATATCATCGAGCCCGGCTACGCGACGGATGTCATCACAGACAAATAGATCAACTGGATCGAGAAACGTGATCGAAACAGGCCATTCTTCCTCATGTGCCATCACAAGGCGCCCCACCGGTCGTGGGAGTTCAACCCCAAGCACGGGCAGCTGTACACCGACCCTGTACGTGTTCCGGAAACGTTCGACGACGACTACAAGAATCGGGCCAAGGCGGCAGCGGAGGCGAAGATGAAAGTCGGCACGGATATGACGTACCTTGATCTGGGGCTTGCGCAGCCTGATGGGGGGAATGAGGTGGGGGAGAGGTTGATAGTCGGCTCGTCGTCGAATTGGGATCGCAAGGTTCCTGACCCGGAGGACGTGACTACCATGCGCCCGCTGATCGACAAGCACACGGGGGAGATGTTCACGTTCAAGACGCGTGCAGAACTCAAGAACTTCAAGTTCCAGAGATACATGCAGCGGTACCTGCGCACCATCCAGTCTGTGGACGACAATGTCGGTCGGCTGCTGGACTACCTGGATAAAGAAGGACTGACGGAGAATACGATCGTCATCTACACTTCGGACCAAGGGTTCTTCCTTGGCGAGCACGGCTGGTTCGACAAGCGTTTCATCTACGAAGAGTCCTTCCAGATGCCTTTCCTCATCCGGTACCCGAGGGAGATCAAGCCCGGCACAGTGTGCGACGATATCATCCAGAATGTGGACTTTGCGCCTACATGGCTGGATTTTGCCGGCCCGCCCATACCCAACTATATGCAAGGATACAGTTTCCGCTCGCTTCTACAGAACCAGACTCCTTCCAGCTGGAAGCAGGTCGCCTACCACCGATACTGGATGCATAGGGACGATATCCACAATGCCTATGCTCACTATGGAGTGCGGAACCAGCGATACAAGCTCATCTACTGGTATAACGAGGGGTTCGAGCTGGCAGGAACGAACCATGGCGGGCAGGATAAGGAATGGGAGCTGTTTGACTGCGAGAAGGACCCGCTCGAATTGCTTAACGTTTTTGGGGAATCTGGGTATGCGCAGGTGGTTAAGCAGCTTATGAAGGAGCTGGATGACAAGATGGCGGAGATTGGGGACGAACCGGCGCATGTGCCGTATTACGCCTTGACGGCGAATGGCAAATAGAACAGAGTTAGAAGATGATCCATCATGTATTCTTCTGTGAGCAAGGGATAGTCGCTGGACAACCAACAGATGATCAATTGGGACGCGGCGTTGGTCAACTCGCAACGTCACCGCACGTGCTAAAGTTGGACACAGCCACAATACCTGTTTCTGACCAGCCTATTCTTTCCTTACGACCACCTAGCTACGGATGACGACCGCTCCGGACAACAGCGGCAAGGGCAAGCACACCCTCGTCCCGCCCGTGCCGTATAAGCCGCCGCCTAAGGAGGGCGAAGAACTGCCGGCTGAGGAGGAGGAGTATGATGAGGATGCCGAGGACGTTGAGGACGATGGGGATGCTGAGGACGCTGAGGATGCTGGAGATGCGGTGAGTTGGCTTGGCTGAGTGATGTGGAAGAGCTGACAGAGGTTGAAGGAGCACGTCAATGGGAACGTAGAGGGGCAGGAATTTGATGAGGAGGAGGAAGAGGAGGAGGAGGTTGAGGAAGAGGTAAAGGATTCGACGTCGTTCAAAAGCCCTGACTGAACGTGTGTCGTTAGGGCCCCGGCCTCACCGCGTTGTATGACAAGGTATGCAATTGTTCCATTGGCCATTTGACCTCGGTGTGAAATGATGAGTAGGAACTGCCGGAGGATGATGAAGATGACGAGGATGATGTGTATGAGCCTGGTGATGAGCCTGAAGAGGACGAAGAAGAAGAGGAGGAGGAAGGTGAGGGACCCGCTGCTGGTCCCTCCAATCCCCAGGGGACAAAGCATCCCAGAGAGGAGGATGAGGACGAGGAAGACGCCAAAAAGAAGGCCAAAACCGAGTAAACTCCCACTTCGAAATGCCACGCGACATGATCGTTGGAGACGACGCCGCGCCAGTATTCCATGCATTCATCGATACATCGGGGTGGTGTTACAGGATCTTTTGTGATTAGGGCTTGTTATATATACTTCCTCAAGGCACGAGGATCGTCTTCTTCCAATCTTGACCCTCCAGTGTCCACATCGTCCTCTGATTCGGAACAATTTTGAGCTCCAGGTACTCGACTGCGAACGGCTCTAGAACAAACAGCGAGAAGTTAGCCAGCGCGTTCCTGGTCTGCTCCCTCTCCGCATCCGTCGTCTCTTCACCCGGGGCTGGGATCTTGGCTGGCCAATCCTTGCCCACGTCATAGTTGTCGATCGGGGTTCCAGGGATAGGGCGCAAGAAAGAGGCACGCAGCGAAGCTCCCATCTTGTTCTTGTATGTGTTGAACCGCTCCTCTTCCCAATCGAAGTCTGGTGAGGGCGAGAGTCTGGCAGCTGGGAAAGATGACGCGAGCGGATGGGTAGGCGTAGGCAGGATATATGCGTTCGCAGTGATGCGGAACTGGACCATAGGCTCTGGGAACCACCAAGCGAGCTCGACTTTCCGAGAAGAATCTGTGATCTGCTTCACTTTCGGAGTGCAGACTAACAGAGTATGGTAAACAGCTGACACGCTGCACAACAGTTGAATGACTCGCTGTCCGTGGTAGTGATAAGCAAAGGTAGCCATGGCTTTGCCAGCATGATCGTCCTCGGTATCACAGATCTCACTCGTGCTTGATCACCATCGATTGTTGCGAGCGTGGACGCTGTGGGGGAACGTCAAGCCGCTGGAATGCTTAGAGGACTGTCAAGGCGCACCAACAGCAGGATAGTCTTTTGTCGCCTGGTCCAGCAAGGCCTTCCAACCTGGTTCTGCAGCATTTGGCATACTGGATAGATGGCGTGAAAGAAGAGATAGACGGCGTGGGGGAGTTGTACGTTGGATGCAGAAGAGCATTGATACACCGGATTGATCCTGCCATGCCTATCAGGCGCGGCGATTGATCCCTGCGACTACCATATGCGCACAACTCATTCACTCGGAAAAGACGATAACCAAGGCTTGGTAGATTAGACAGTGTATGTTGATACATTGCACGTTGCACGTCCCGATACACGCAGAAAAAAGGTGAAAATAGAGGAAAAGACTGGACCGAAGAGAGGAAGAGTTCATGAGTCGTCAGTCATGATAGCAAGGAACTCTTGCTCATTAATCTCCCCATCCTGATCAAGATCGAACTCTTCAATCATCGCTTGGCTGAATGACACGTTGGTTCCCAAGTGGAATTAAAGGGGATTAGGACATACAGTTCGTCATCATCCAAGTTCTCGCCAAGCTCTTTAGCTACTCGCCGTAAATTCCTCAAACTGATCTTGCCTGTTCCGTCATCGTCAAAAAGCTTGAATGCTCGTCGAATTTCATCTAGAGGATCGCGCGCCAAAATGCGCTCCGTCACTAAGGTAGTTAGCCGACAGGCTCCCCGACTAAGCATACACTTGTCACTCACTGACTCGCACAAAATCCTCATATCGCATCGCCCCACTCGCATCCGAATCGTTATCCCTCAATATTTTCAGCACCTCCGCCTTCTTCATATCAAATCCCAATGCGCGCATCGCGACCTTGAGCTCATGATAATCGACCGCCCCATCCTTGTCGGTGTCGAACAGCTCGAATGCTTCCTTTATCTCCTGTTTCTGCTCATCGGTCAGCTCCGGCCGAGAGAACTTCTTTTTCTTGTTGTACAAGGACATTGCGGCTCAGCGCAGGGATGGTAGGGACAGAGAAGGGAAAAGCACTGGAGACGCGATCTGGTGTGAGAACGACATCGCGTTCGGAGCTGCGGCGATTACATGGACGCGTTTCGCGTCAGGGACCCCGAAAGCGAAGGAGGCATCGGGGGTCTTCGGAAGCACCCTAGCTGCCATCACACTCAGATCTCAGCGAGTCGCCAACCGCGCCGTGCTGGGTCGGCGACAGTGCAGTCTGCGTCGACTGTCGCTCCTTCTCTGGTAGTGAGCAGTCCAGACAGGCAGCGTACACACTACATCAAGCAACATGCAACGAGAATCAGCCAGGCGGGGATTTACTCTATAAGTCCGCTTGTCGTGAAACATGGCCTCGTACTGACCTGTGTCCTTCACATCCCATCAGCGTGTCGTTCTCGACATTGATTTCTCGGCAAATGTTAACGTACGTTCTCTAACATACCTTTCTTGTACCTGCTAATTGCTATTAGGGCTATACGGAACTCACGATACTTCCAAATGACACCGAGCTAAGAACAGTGAGCCTCCACTGTCGACAATGCAGTACGTCCACTTTCTGATATCGCCCCTCAATTGACTCATTACTCGCTCTTAGTCATTGATAAAGTAATCGTCAACGGTACACCGGCCGATTTCGTCCATCAAGACCCGTTAGCAAACATAGCGATCTCTAATCCGACAGATGTGCACCTTTGGACCGAGCTTAAGCGGAAGACCTATTCGGCACTTGCAGAGGCAGATGAGGGAGAGCTGGCTATCTCCATTCCGCGAGATGTTGCCGTCAGAGCAGTACATTCTTGTATATTTATTCCATAACATAGCTGACTTCATGCAGTCCTCGGTCTTGCCGCCAACAACACCTGAAACAGCTCACTCAGAAACCTTCGAGCAGCGACCGAACACCGAGGTTGATCCGAGCATCATCATACGCATTGACTATCATCTCCGCCACCCGAAGGAAGGCCTGAGCTTTATCCTGCCTACCAAGACACATCCATATGTGAGTCGACTGCCTAAACCGGCACGTTGTATGCTAAATCGATGTGCTCAGCGGGTTCCGCATGTGTACACGTCACCAACCTCAGCGGACGCCGCTAGATGTTGGGCACCTTGTGTTGATAACCTCTGGGAGCGATGCACATGGGAACTTGAATTCATCGTGCCACGGTCACTCACTGCTGAGGAAGACGTCAGTATGACTACGGGGCCTGACAATATGCCTGTAATGGTGGTCTGCAGCGGCGAGTTCAGGGAGCAGGTGAGCCCAATCTGTCTTTCTAGCCTGACGCATATCTAACACAATTCGTTCAGGTCGCCCACCCCCATAGCTCTAAGAAGAGCCTTTGGTTCTATCGCCAAGATACCTTAACCTCAGTACAACATATTGCATTTGCTGCCGGGCCCTTCCGGTTGCTTCAGCTGAGGGATGAGAAACCGGATGACTCCAGTGAAGGCGACGAATCGCATCCAACTCGATATCCGATGCACGCGTTCTGCCTACCGGGTCTGGAGGATCATCTTAAACCCACAACTTCATTCCTCTCCAGCGCTCTGTCATTCTTCGTCACTGAATACGGCGCATATCCGTTCAGTTCCTACGGCATCGTCTTCGTTGATGATTTACCGAGAGAACGCTCCGACAATGCTGGATTGACCGTGGCCTCGAACAACCTGTTACACGGTGAAGATGCCATCGACCAGGTATTCGAAACGCGACAGCAGCTTAGCCACGCGCTCGCAGTACAATGGGCAGGCATCAATATTATTCAGAAGACCTGGTCGGACACATGGCTCGTAAACGCACTCGCGCTCTATATGAGCGGACTTTTCTTCAAGAAGACGTTCGGCAACAACGAGTTTCGCTTTCGAATAGCACGGGACATGGCAAGAGTATGCACTATGGATAATGGGGCAATGCCGCCAATATGTCAACCTGGCGCATATGAACCGCCTGATCCGGACTACGCACCCTTCATCAACATCAAAGGACCAGTGGTCCTCCACATCTTGGACCGACACCTTGGCAAGTCTGGCACATCGCTCGGACTATCGCGAGTGCTGCCGAAAATCTTCTTGTCCTCTATGGCGGGCGAGCTGACCAACAATACACTCTCGACCCATTCATTCTTGCGAACATGCCGAAAGGTCAGCGGTGTAGACCCCAAAACCTTTGCGGATCAGTGGATCTACGGAAGTGGAACACCACGATTTGGAGTCACGGCGAGTTTCAACAGGAAGAAGATGGCTGTTGAGGTTACCATCGCCCAAGATTGCCCAGCTTATATGGCACACGAAGGCGATCCGGTTGGTCTAGCAGTCTTCAACCCCGTCCAGCTGTTTGAAGGACCGATTACCATACGGATTCACGAAGCCGACGGCACACCGTACGAGCACGTCCTGAATATCAACAGCCAATTCAAAAAGTATGAAGTACCATTCAATACGAAGTATAAGCGCGTTCGTCGACATACGAAACGCTATGCTGCCCGCCAAGCCGCCGCTGCAGCTGCAGCTGCTGGTGATCAAGATGCTGCAGAGGCGATGGTTACTGTGGACATGTCTTTCGGCCTTGCATTATGGGAAGAAGAAGCTCAACGTGAAGCTTGGAGGGTGTCGGATTGGTCCGAAGAGGAGGAGCACATCATGGAAAGCTCGACGTACGAATGGATTCGTTGCGATGCGGATTTCGAGTGGATAGCAACCATACGATTCGAGCAGCCTGATTTCATGTGGACAAGTCAGTTACAGAGAGACAGAGATGTAGTAGCCCAGCTTGAGGTGAGTCACCCCGCGGGCCCTCCCCTCTCGTGTTCGTCCTAACATTCGCTCACAGGCCATTCACGCGCTGGCTCGAATGCCCTCTCTGGTTGTGTCAAGCATTCTCACCAAGACTGTGTTGGTTGAGAACTACTTTTTCCGTGTCCGTATGGAGGCAGCTCTCGCTCTGCAAAGCGTGCGTATATCTTCAACTTTCTCCTCGACGGTCTGATTCGTTCTTTCAGTGCGCGAACATCGAACACATCGGAATGTTCCACCTGTTTAAGCTTTTCACGCGATACTGTTATTCGGAAGCAAATCATGGCGACCGAGACTTCCGAGAGAAGTTCATTCCAGAGCCCAACGACTTTAAGGACTTCGCGTCCTACTTCATTCGAAAGTCGGTGTTAGTCGCTATCTCCCGTTGTCGAGATGATTCCAATGGAAATACCTGGTCGGTGGCGAGGCGCTTATTCATTGACGTCTTGCGCTACAATAACAACGCTAAGAACCAGGTATATATCGCAAAGTTCTTTTACGTTTGTGCTAATCAAAGCTCAGTATTCGGACTCTCGTTACCTGAGCACCGCTATTGTTGCCCTTGGAGGAGCTCTCGTGCCTGGCGTGCCCCCAGAACGAGGCATTCTCACAGATGCTGAAGGACCAGTGCCACTGACAGAGAGTGACGCCACAATCCTTGAAGAAGCCGTCCAGGAAGTTGAACGCTACCGCCTTCGAGACCAGTACGTGCCGTCGCAACATAATGTCATCACAATCGCAGCGCTCGAGTTCAAGCTCATGCTCATGCTTGGAGGGCTTATTGCGACAGACGGCAATTTTTTCCTTGAATACACCAGAGAAGAGAACTTCGTTCCTGTTCGACTTGCTGCCTTCGATGCACTTCTGGTAATGAAGTGGTACATGCGTCCAGCACTGATCAGATACTTCTTCTCTGTCGTCATCAACGATCCGTCCCGCGTTATACGGCGACATCTAGCACATGCAATGGTCGAAAGTCTGGGCGTCCTATATCAAATCGGGGAGCTTGGATCGGGGCACAAAAAGGAACCAATATTGATTGAGGAAGACGGGACACAGAAGAAGAAACCCAAATCGTCTGAGGCGGCCGTTATGGCTCGTGCCCTCCGCAAGGAGTTGCAAAAGTCGGCAACGTTTCGTGAATGCATCCTGCCCACAATGCAGTAAGTCTTCACTCATACTACTGGAAAGGAACGAGGCTAAGAGGGACTCGGCAGAAATTTGTCCATCGATCAGGAAGTGCGATGGTGCATGATCCAGCTTGCTGAATTCTTCTACAAGCCTCATGAGGAAGCGCTGCCTAAAGTCACCATAACACTGCCACCAACGCCTATTTCAGAGACTGCACCTCAACTTGCTACGCCTGTTCTAGCACCTCCGGTGCCGGCGTTGCCGAAGATCAAGGCAATCAAGATCGGCATCTCTGGCATTCAGAAGGATCGTCCTTTGACTCCGAGCGGAGCGTTACCACCATTAGCTCCTGCCGTGCGGCATGATATTTCACCCACAAATGGGACTGCAGCAGTACCCATTGCGCCAATCTCAATCAAACCGAAGAAAATCAAACCGCTAGAGAGAGCACAAGAGAGGGGGATGTCCTCAAATGATCTGAAGGCGTGTCGACAAGCGCTCAAGAGGCTCAACATGAACAAGCATGCCGACTTGTTCAGAATGCCGGTGGACCCTATCAGGGATCGGGCGCCGAAGTGAGTACATCTTCCAACACCGCTCTCCTTCAACGCTCACCAGATACAGCTACTTTGACGTTATCAAAAACCCCATGGATCTGAGCAATATCAGCGCGAAGCTGGAAGACGGCCGATATGGCGATAGGTTCGCCTTTGAGCAAGACTTCCGGCTAATGATCCAGAACGCACATACATACAATCCCCTCGGTACTTACGCTCACACCGAGGCGAACAAGTTACAGGAGTTCTTTGACAAACGTGATTGTCTTCCCTCATAGTAGTCAGCAGAGCCTAATCTTATTGTGCAGAATGGGCAAGGATCAGCAAGACACTCGACGCTGCACAAAGTAAAGAAGAAGCCGTTTTACTCTCGGCCGTAGCACCTCCCTCTACAATACCGGCAGAAATTGCATCGCCTGTTGCACCGTCTGCAACAGTAGCCCAACCCTCAGCCAAGAAAGCAAAAATAGTTGACATGAACGGAACGGCTACTCCAACTACTGTGAAGATCAAACCAAAGGTCAAGCCTCCCGCAACTGACCAAACCCCAATCGCACCCGCCGCGACGCCAGATACTGCGCCGCCACCAATAGCGAAATTGGAGGCTAAGGTCAAACTGCCCAAAGTCAAGATCAGCGTTGGCCCCAAGCGAACAACACCCAAGGGGCCAAAGAAGCGAGATGCTGCAGACGCTGCGTTGGATGAGTTACTGGGGGAGGAAGTCGATGCTATGGAAGCTGAGCGACCGGTGAAGAAGCCTAGAAAGTCTGCCCCGTCCGCGCCACCCCCGATCGAAGATGAACTATTAGCGTCGCTTGAAGAAGAGGTCGCTCACGCGGCCACCTCGACTGCACAACCCATCGAGCCCCGATTCTCCGAGACACCGCCGGTCGTACCGCCTCCAATGGAAGTACCTCCGCCAGTACCGGCACCAGCGCCAGCAGCGGGACCTGCGATTGCATCTTCCCCTTCAAAGCGCAAAACAGAACCCACCCCTAGGACAAGTGATGAGCCTGTCAATGAAAAGAAATGTCGCGCTGTAATGAAGATTGTGAAGGCACTGCCTCAAGCATACATCTTCCTGCGTCCGGTGGATCCGATTGCGGATGGCTGCCCAACGTGGGTGCTTTGCTTATTTTTGGGAATGACATCTAACAGGCACATAGGTACTACGACGAAATCAAGAATCCGATGGATTTTGGTACAATGGAGAATAAACTGACCGAGGGTCGCTACGACACAATGAGCGCATTCGCTGCGGACTTCGACCTTGTGATTGGCAATTGTCGTACGTTCAATCCGCCTGGCACGGACGCATCCATTATGGCGGATATTGTGGATAAGGCTTTCAAGAAAGAATGGAGCAAGGTCCTTGTGAAGAAGCTTGCTTACAATGAGAAGCGCAGCTTGCAGACCGCCATCAATAAGCTGCGCCAGATGCCTTCGTGAGTCATTTTTCTCTTGCCCCAACGATGACTCACCGGATGGCAGAGCGTTTGTGTTCTTGGATCCAGTGGATCCAGTGGCACTTGGCATTCCTACGTATTTCGACGTCATTCCTAAGAAGGACGCTCGAGATTTGTCTACGATCAAAACCAAGCTTGACCAAGACAAGTACGACTCGATTGAGGCCCTCGATGCTGACATCCGCCTAATGGTAGACAACGCGATCAAATTCAATGGGGCAGAGTCAGAGGTTGCAGCTGCAGCTCGGCAGGTCGATAAGGATTACAATGTCCTCGTCAAGCCGTTCCGGACTCCAGCTACAAACGGGGCAACGAAGGGCAAGAGAAAGGAGACGGATGAGAAGACAGTAGCACCGGGCGGGCCTGCCAAGAAGCAGAAGAAAGCGGTATGAAGAAACACGTATATATCCATTAATCACATCGTACAATGTAGCCTTAGTCAATCTTGCTTGTTTCTGTTGTACTTCGTATTTCACCGCTTGCACGACGGATTACTGGGCCCAGGAGGCCAAGTATGTACTGCGCTGCAAAGTACGAGGGTGCGAGTGAGCCAATAATGACGGCTAGCGTTGGCACCACCGACGGGGGAAGGAAGCCAAAGCGTAGTTTTTCCAGTGTAAGTGTAAAAAGAACTTCTCCTTGCTCGAAGGATTCATTACGATGCACCCCACTGTTCTTTGCCCGTATTTGAGCATAGTGTGTCCGAGTGATAGGGCTGCGGATGCTCAATGATAGCTCAGGATGAGCCTGTACCAGGGCTTGGGGGTCGAAGATCCTCAGCTGCCAGTCTACCGGGAACTGCATTATACAGTCAGCGAAAAGGGTGGTGTATGAAAAGGAGATTCTCATACCCAAGCCGGCCATGATAACCGCAATGTAAACGCATGAGAATCCCATATCGTCGCTGCCGGGAAGCTGTCCAGGTCTAGTACGACCCACAGGGCATGTGAGCCGCCATCTGCCGTGTCTTGATGGCGATACGCTATCTCCCAAGGGGTGCCTTCTGGTACTAGCACAGGTTTCATCGTCCATATACGATCAGCGGGCGTTGATGAGTCGAGCAATGGCCTGTTCAAGAGGATCAGGACCATTGGACTAGATCGAGGTATGCGATATGGCGCACCAGCCCAGTTCTTCTTTCTCTGAATCAGGTATGTCATGATGCGTACCGCCAAAAAAGTTGATGATTTCTGTATTGGCTGTGGACTGGCGAGCAAGGAGGAGGAGGACCACGGACACCAGCAGCATTCTGATACTGACTACTGCGAGGGACGACATTGAAGAACAGACCCTTGGCGTTGGATATGCATTACGGCATCGATATTTCAAACTATTGAAAAAAAAACACACACATTTTAACATCCAGAACAACCACAACCACGGCCATAACATCTGTATTTCTAAATGTGGGCCGTGGCCAACAAGCAACTAATCGGGGGAATGCTTTGGGCAAGCGAATTCGACCACTTAATTTTACATAGTTCCCCGCCCATTGGAAGCCCTATGTAACGACATTGTACATACACAACAATTTGGCGGATTGGACTTACAGCATTTACATTCTGAGCGGATGGAATATGGTTGTCACTAGTTAAGTCATATTATGCGGATGCTCCCACGGCTATCCTTGTCAGTTCATCTTGAATCGTTTATTGGGCGGCATTTCGGACTTGGGGCGAAAAAAGTCCTCCATCCGCTTCTTGGGACGGGAGAAACTTGTTTCTTGTGTCCGCCGCCCCAACGTGGTACTTCCGTCACCTGCAGTGAAGGTGCCGGGTGTGGGAGAAGAGGCAAACCGCACCGCAGGCGAGCGGGCACCGAGCTCTGCCACTGGGGAGTTAGACTGTCTGCCAGTAGCCTGTCGACGGGTTGTCGGGCCATAACTCGAGCTAGATGGGTCCGACGGGCTGCGGGCATCCTCTTCTGGCTGTGGACTGGGTTCGATAGGTTCCCAGACGTAATGTTTCCCGGGCATCCATCGTCGGGGCTTGGGCACGTTAGGCCGTTCGGTCGGGACTATGCGCGGCCCGCGGCGTTCCGACAGAAGTGCGTCGGCAGCCTCATTGTAGAAGTGCTTCTTTGCCATAGTATCGACTATGAGCGGAGCATCTTCAGGTTTTTCATCTAACTCACGTGAACGGCGGCAAGTCAGTTACGAGGAGGAGCCCACCTTTCCCCCAGTCCTCAAGCACAAGAGTCTTTCCCCATATGGCCAGCAACAACGTCCTGACCCAATCTCGCTTCCAGTTTGCTGGGTGTGTTCCCGAAGGCAGGTCGCACTCAACTGGCCATCCAGTTAGGCGAAGTCGCTTTTCACGCAGCCTAATCGGAATGTCTTGAAAGTCAGTATATCCCAGGTTATCACCTATGACCTATCAACGTTTGACATATGTATCATCACACGTCTGCTCACTGAGGTAAACCGAGAGATGCAAGCGACACATCCTTCGAAGCAGATTCCACTCAACGGTATGCATGAAGCTCTCCGAGTTGCTGAAGTCACTCGTGCGTTCCTCAACATCTTGTTTGCCTTGAGCTATCTCTGCATCCCGGAAGTAGCGACGTTCGGTAACCGAACGCAGACTCGGAGTGGGGATATGACGGACCTTGGCCGCAGATTGGAATGGTGAGGAGTGGTTACTGGTAGGCCGTCTGGTAGCCTTTCGACCGGAAGGTGTATAATCTTCGTCTTTTCCTTCGTCTTCCGTCTCGTCATCGTCCACGAGCTCAGGATCCTCTGAAGACCCTCCATCCGTTGTAGCGACTGGTGGTTGTAGCACAGAAGGAACAAAATCCTCTATTTGCTTGGAATCGCTCGTGGGAGGTGAAGGAGGCGCCGGGATGAACTTGCCTCTAAGCTCTGCCCCGTACTTATACTCAATACCATTGGTGTCAATGACAACAGGTGGTAAATCGACATCTTTTTCCTCTGACTTACATGTTAACGATAAAATTATAGATGAAGTTATATCCATACCTTCCCCCCATGCTTCTATTTTCAATGTCTGGCTCCATATGGCATTGCAAAGGTTATGGAGCGCATCGCGTTTGTAGATGGTGACAGTGGTAGCGGGACCAGGGAAAGGACTGCCAGCGGGCCAGCCAATTAGTCGGAGATGATGCTGAAATAGTTTTCTTGGTATTTCCTGCCAGGTCGGAATCTCCCTAATACGCTCTGCTGCACGATAGCGTAAGGAGCAAGAAAGTCAATTTACTGAGTATCACGTACAAATAATGGCGAGAAGGTGTGCGTGAACAACACGCTTGCGTTCTGGCCAGCCGATGCTGTTGAGATATCTTTCCACCGCCTTGGGATCAAGGTTCTCTGGAAGTCGTCGAACGGCCAACTCCTCGTGAGCCAGCTTGATCTCCATTTCAGTCGTCTTTTTCAACGAAATCGGTTCCCCCCTTTTTGAAGACTCCTCATTTAACCTTCTGCGTCGTCTTCCAGCCATCGGGTCTTCTCCCTTGACATCTATATGGTCTTCGTAAATGACCAGATCGGGATCCAAAGAAGGTGTGGCCGCCACGACGGTGTTTACTGGGATATCTGCGTCGGGAGGCACCTCGATCTCGACATTGGCGATCAGCTCATCACTATCTTCCGGTGAACGCATTCCGAGGCGACTAGGCTTTCGAACAAAACGTCGCCTTCCTCCATCGCGCTGAGCACCACAACCTCTGCAAGAATGTCGTTGGTTTGGATTTCTGTATCGGCATGCGTCGCATGTCCACTTCTTAGGAATGGGATCACTTTCCGCCTTTGATGGGATGGTAGGGGGAGATGGAAGTTCTTCCTGTTGAACCGAGGTGTAGGATTGAACCGTTGCGTAGGAGCGGGCCAGAGGCGCCGATGCTGAGCTGGATGCGGAGGAGATCGTATCGTCCAGGTCATCGTGGAGAGGAATTGGGGCACTTTCATGAGGCAAGGTGGACCTGTGCCTCGGAGTCGGAGTTGGTACCAAAGAGGGAAAGGGAGATACAGCAAGGCCGTTTCGGACTCGGAGGGGGACCTCTAGCACCCAGTGGTTCCCGAGCTGTGTAGCTCGACCGCGAGAACGTGCCCCAGCCGGGACGATGAACATGGAAGGTATTCTAAGCTCGCCTTGAATTGCTGCCATAAACTCTCCCATGTGGTTGCCTACAATCCGGAGGCCCTCGTCCGGAGTGTCACCTTGCTTGTAAAGGTCGAGTAGCGCGTTCCGCGGGATCTGATCCGGAGAAAAGTAAGATGGAGCGAGGGCAGGCCCCGAATCAGGCGAATTTGACGAGATTGGAGAAGCAGGTTCTAGAGTAAAGTGGTTTGCATCACCAGTGGCTTCATATTTCTGGCCATTTGCGTTCGGATCTTGGGGTAATGACAGCTCGAACGTCGTTTTGGCAGACTGGATGTGCGAAGGGAAACGATCGCTTGTGCCTTGAAGAAAACACCCTCCCAGGCCCAAATCCCCTGACGTTGAAGTCTCGATATCCATTCGAGAAGAGGGGGCGTTCTGGAGAGGGGAGGCGTCTAAATTCCCGTAGTCCATGCTGAAGGAAGGGATAAAGGCGCAGTGGGTGCCGCGCGTCTCGATAGAGAGGAAAGAATACCCTTAAAACCACAAGTAGGAAGACTACAAAGAGGGGAGTGGGCCTAAAAGATCACAGTCAAGGGAATGAAAGCTTTATGGGGGGGGGGAGAAAACTCCAAGTGCTAAAAGGGGTTGGACGTTGCGAAAGGAGACAGATATGAGAGGGCAGCCGATCAGACTGCAAACGCGTGCGGAGCCTTTCCTTCCGAAGGATGCGTATGACTTTGCTAGCGTATTCTACGAACATGACAGTTGGAACCTCCTATTTCCTGGAAATATACATACCAGCTACACCTGAAACATTGCCATTTTATTGATCCATTTATTAGTTTTCACGTCCTCTGTGAGTGTGACTGCGTCACCGTCTTATAACCCGAGCGACTATCGTACACGCGAGCCACCGTGAGACAACTCAGACCGCACTCTGTATACATATTACCTTTTCGGCCTACGGTGTAGCCCGCGCAACTCATAAGCCTTGATAGCTAGTTGAATCGACAAGGATCACCTGGTCGGTCTCCGGCCTTCTTTCTCGTTACCGATTTAGTTAACGGCCCGCCAGAAAGCCAGGTTGCAGTGGAAGGCGCCAAATACTCGGCATGACATGCTAGTATAAGCCTCGCCCTTGACTATCTGAGCAGAGAAGACACCTGCTCACTTCCGAGGGTCCAGCCCGGAAGAGAGACGACCATTGTTGCTGGAAATGAGGGGCTTCTTTTGAGAAAAAAGTTCGGAAAACACAAAGGCTGTCCGAGAGCACTACTCTTCTAGAAACATCGCAAAGCACAGACCACCCTCGCATGGACTCTTTTGTTGATTGTATGGATTAGATGCGGATGTATGATGCAACTTGGAGGAGGTATTCACATGCCAGCACATCAAGAGGAGAATAAGACGGCCCGTCCAGGGTATGCCAACCGTTCTCCCCCGCTACCGCCAGCAGTCGCAGACAATATTTGACGTACAGAGCCATCAAATATCTTGCCAACAAAGTGTCCGACCAAATAAAGAGCAGGTAGCTGGCAATAATGGACCGGCCGGGATAAATTCTGTCGTTCAGCCGGAGGGATAGGGTTGGAGGCTTCAGAGATGCACGGTGTGCATCGCTTTGACAACGAGTTCGGGAATGTCTCCGAGGGCAGCCACCGTCGGTTTCTTGCCCAATCTTTCCACCCACGGCTGTTTCACACGCACAACCGATCGTGCCGCTTCACGAATAGACTCGTCTGGGTGTGTGTTTCCGAGATGACCTCAGTTTGTTATTTCTCAGGGACTGGGGCATAAGGACATGGTCGAAACGGGCCAGACCGGTGGGTCTTCTGCAAAGAAGATGGAATATTAAAGTCACGTGTTCACCACGCGGTATTTTGATGGAGACCAATTCCTGCCCCCAGGGTCCCGAACCACGTCCATTGCCCACGCTCCTGAACACAACTCATGATACCCCGCCACAGTATCTTCGGAGTTTCCCAACACCGATGACGAGTACACAGAGTGATTTCAAGGGGAGATTGAGTTCCAAGGAGGTGTCGGGTTGGTCAGGCACGCGCTTGAGTGTGCAGGAATGAGTGTGCTGGCAGATGTGCTGGAAGCTGGCGGCGGGGAGCGCTGGACCACGGTGTATGATCAGCGCTGTGAGCCATGCACATGCACTTTTGAAAATGCTCGGCACGCACCTCATCCATGACAAGAAGTGTGGCCTTCATCTGCGGGCAGTCAGTACAAGCCTTCCTATTCTGGCATGATGTCAACACACAGTTTTCAACCGCAAATTTTCTAAGTAATAATCTAAGTATCAAGAGAGGAACGCTAGAACACTGCTATGGGTGCTCGGATCTCTACATAGCACGTGCACCAGCCTGCTTCCTTCATTGCTCAGTTGAACTCATCTGCGCGAGTCTTCAGATCGATCAACAGCTCATCGCACGTAGCAAGCTGCCGAGATCAAGCTGCCGAGATCAAGTTGCCGTGTCTAGTCCGAGTCATAAATCGTCGTCCGCGCCTTCGGAAGTGCTCAATCACATCTCCGTTCATCATACAGCGAACCCCTGTTGCGAAGAATGATCCGTCGGTCCCTGCCTTTCGTGCATGGGCGCCGAGGGAGGATGCTGCAGAGCGGGATCAGGCCACTAGCCTACCGATCCCCACCCCCAGATCAAGCAGAAACGCCAGGTGTGGAAAAGCACCAGCCGTCTGTCGAACAACAAGAGAAACGTTAACGTGGATGATCTCTTATGGCCATGTCCAGTCGCATTTTGGTATTATTTATTGGCTTGGTCGACCGCTGGGCTCGATGCTGGTGAGATACTGGCATGGGGCGTTGTCGTACGACATGCTGTGTCCCGAGTGTGTGAGAAGTGGGAGGAAGTACTTGCACACGAAGGGACAGACCCTCAATACCGGTCCGGGGGGATGTGATGCCGAACCGACCTATGCATTCGCATTCGAGTCACATTCAAGTACGTTAAACGACGACCACCCTCTGGCTATCGACGACCTCTGCGCCTAGCCCGTTCCTCAGATTATGCAGCTTGATCTCCTCCTCCCCTTTCAGGTAGATACTATCAACGTCTTCCCTCTTCCCTCCTGCGGACTCTGCGGCGCGCACCATCCGTTCCAGCTCCCCCTGGACGCGGGAGAACTTGGCGACGTAGTTCCGAGGGTAGGTGTGTAGGCGTTCGGTGGTGGGCTTGTATTCCGGGATAGAGTTGCGCTGGAGGGCGCGGAGGATCACTTGCTCGCATAAGGACTGTGGGAGGGGGGTCAGCTGCCGAGCACGGAGAGCGACACTGGCAGGGACGGGCGCACGTTGTCCTCCGGATTGGGGCGGGCGAGGTTGAACGGCTCTTTGAGGGTCACGTGGGGGTTGGCGATCACCCGGAGTGTGCGAAGGTGGTTCTTTCCCGTACAATGGGGGAGGTGTGCGTGCATAAGGAGCGTATCACCCGCTTTGGCCGTCACCTAGCCCGAGAGCATCAGCTCCCACCTCCCTATCTCGTGGAGTCGAACGCACCTGCAAGAACTTCTCGCAATCCTTCACATGAGCATACATCCCCGTGTCGGGCTTGTTCCCGCTCCCCTCCGGTCTCTCATACAGGAACTTACAGATCCCCGGAAGCCCGTCTTCGCAGATGTACGTCCCCCCGCCGCGTGGGAGGATATCGGTGTACACTTGGATGACGACGAGTGCTCCTTCGCCCGAGTCGAGGAAATGGCGGTACCAGTCGCCGTCGATGTGCCAGTTAGGTTGAACACGGGGGTCGGCATCGTGCTACGTAGCATCAGTCACCATTCTCCCCGGGAGTGTAGCAAGGACTCACATCCCTCCAATACTCCGTCCCGAGGTTGACGATAAACTGATCGCCAGAGTACGCGTTCCGAACAGTATCGATCCTCTCCTCTCCCCCGACAAGCTCACACATCGCCTTCCACGCGTTGGGCGAAAAGTCCTTCGTGAGCATATCCCGGTGCCGGGGCATCCAGATCGTTTCTTCTTCCCAGGTAGACGGGTCTTGTGGGTCGTAGCCGAGTCGTGTCCTGGGATGCGTGAGCGGTTCGGACTTTCCGATGGAGGGTGGGGAGCATGAGTTGGGGGGAATGGGACGCACCAGACATCTTTCATCCACCAATCGATGTTTTCCTTTGGGATTGAGTTGGGGACCAACAGCCATCCATGTTCGAGGAAATGTTCTCTCTGCTCCTGAATGAGGAACTCGTATTTTACCATCTCTGAATCGCGCTAAGGCTTAGAGGCAGGAGATAGAGCCCCAGTCGTATAATATGGACCTGCCAGCTAGGTATATGAAGAGAGCGGGCCAACACCGGGGAAACGTCCCTCCACAAGCATAGTATCCATGGCAGTACAAGTCAGTCACTTGAGAAGAAGAGACGGCAAGGATGGCCGATGGTGGAGGCCACCGTATATGAAGTGCTGATGACGCGTGTTTCTTATTTTGGACATGACGATCTTCGGTATGCGTCGGAGGTGTTACCGGAGTATTTCTCTCTTGTACAAAGGCGATCAGAGAGTAGAACGTGACTCCACTTTGTATCAAGTGCTGTGTAATGCCCGAAGCCGAGATGAAATTCGTCTATGGGACAATCATTGCCAATCTGAGATAATCCATCCAAGCCCCCGAACATCCCTTTCACTGGGTACGCCCCTTTCCCAAAGAGGCATCTCCATAACCTCCCCTGACCGCCGATCCGTCTTTACGCAAGTATGTGTTACTGTTTACCTCTGTTTACCTCTCACTTGGGTTGACTGTTCCTACCCAGATGGGCGTGGTCGTCGTCGGGAATCTGTGCTTGGCCGAGATGGATGATACGACCCACTTGATGGGTACCGATATCTCAGGTTAGGAGGGATCGGCGGCTGTAGCGCTCATTTCCTGCATATATAACCTCCAGCTCCAGCTCGACAGCATACAGCATACAGCAAGCAAGCAGGATGCCCTTCACATCGAGCAAAGTGCGCCGGGTACCTCACCCAAACCCCGCTTCACCAGCCAGGCAGCTCACCCTCACCTTCCTCCGGTCTTCCGTACCCATCCCTCTCTCCCTCTCGCTCGAACACGTGCTCAGTGACTCGCTCTGTCACCCGCTCTCTCTCTCGGACTTCAACGCATTCCTCGCGAGGGAGGAGAGGGCACAGGAGAACTTGGCGTTCGTTCTGTGGTTCAGGGAGTACGAGCGGAGGTTCCTCGATTTGCCCGAAGAGTGGAGAGGGAAGGCGGAGATGATCGAGCCTAGCGAAGAGTGGGAGAGGCACATGAGGCGCAAAGCTGAGGACAGGCGGGAGAAAGAGAGCGAGAGGAGCCTCTCTGTCTCTGTGTATGCTCCTACGCCTCTTCCGGAAGGGGAAGCGCCATGGGAGGAGATTGACCTCGGAGCTTTGGAGGCGGGGAGAGAGGAGGTCGTCTTCCTCGGTGAGAGGGCGATGGATAATATGCCCGATGCGGAGACGCTCGCTATTGCGCCTTGGATTGCTGAGGAGGGGGAGGAGAAGGATAGGCAGAGGATGAGGGAGATCATCCAGGGTGCGGAGGAGGAGCTCGAGAAGACTGTTCAGCTGTTGCTGAGGGACGATCTCCCCCTGCGGGAAGAGGTACGACTCTCTCGCATCATTCCCCGCCGCCTGCTAACCAGGAGCAGATCGTCCGCGTCGTACTCCATTTCCTGACACTCTCCTCCCCTCACGCCCTCTCCTCCGCGCATATCCCCGCCCTACTCCTCACGCTCCGGCGTACGACCCACCCCCACTCCTTCCGGCAGCTGTATGCCGAACTGCTCTCCTACCTCCAGCTGGACGCTCACCCGCGGTTCATCCGCGCTGCTCTGGTAAACACCCGCGCGCCCTTCAGAGCAGCAATGTGGTGTATCGCTCTGGGCCTGTACCTCGGAGGCGGGCTCGCCATCGGCCTCGCACTCGTCTTCTGCCAGCAAGGGGAGCTAAACAGAGCTTGGAGACTGACGAGTCTGCCCCTGGTCTGGGCAGGCATCTCCAGCTCCCTCTGTCTCTGGAACGGGATTTGTCCACTTGCATTCAGCACCCGGAGTCGCCAGCTCGCGTTATGGGAACCGATGCCGATGCCTGCTGACTCTGGGCATCGCCGTACTCGTGGTCGTCCTCATCCGGGGTTTATGGAGTTTGTCAGGGATGACTGGTGGGCTGGACATCCGGAGGCGAGGGAGATGCAGTGGGCTGTTATGATCGCTGCGGGAAGGTGGGGTGTGCTGGGTATGCTGATATGGGCGGGGGTGGTGCTTGCGCTTCCTACGGGTAGATAACTCCCAGTGACGGTGATTAGATACTGTTTGTGTGTAGCATATACCCCATGTCTAGAAAGAAACTTGTGAACGCCCAGAAGACGCCAGAAATCACGGAAGCGGAAGTATCCTGTCCCCGACCTAACTCTGACTGCTATCGTGAGGCGTGTAGTTCTCGCCCTCCACTGCCAACTTACTTGCAGTGCATTACATTCCCATCGTTTTCATTCTGACGTGGTGCTTGTACGACTGTTCATTAAAGGATGTTAAAGGTGTGTCTTATTCCCAGGAGCACGGAAGGGGAGAGGTTGGAGAGGTTGGCGAGCGCGGGCTGACGAGTGCGCAGATATGGTCTATGAAGAAGAACGAGGAGACGGCTGCGAAGAAGAAGCCCAAGGTGTCAGCAGCGCAGATTCGATTGCAGAAAGGTGCGTTCCCATCCCAGCTACTGTGCATCGCGTATGGCGTGCGTAAGGACGTGGAATCGGGTGCTGACGAAGTGCAGATCTTACCGAACTGGAAGAGTTCAAGACTATGACTACTGAGTTTCCCGATCCTGCCGACTTGCTGCATTTTAATCTTATCATAACGCCGGACGAGGGTGTGTTTCCTGCCTCCGTATAGGAGTGTGATGCTGATGTGTCCTGGACAGGGTTCTACAAGGGCGGCAAGTTCCTCTTCTCGTTCGTTATCACCAGTAACTACCCGCACGAGCCGCCAAAAGTCAAGTGTACGCAGAAGGTACGTTCTCCTGATTGAGGGAGGACAAGGCTAACGCTTCTGCGCAGATTTATCACCCGAATGTCGATACGGAGGGGAATGTGTGCCTTAATATCCTGAGAGAGGACTGGAAGCCCGTGCTAAACCTGAACGCTGTGCTCGTGGGATTGCAGTTCCTTTTCCTGGAGCCGAACGCCGAGGATCCGCTGAACAAGGGTGCGTCTACCTCGCAGTCTAGTGCAGGACAGCGACTGATCCATGTGTGCAGAGGCGGCAGAGGAGCTCAGGCGAGATAGGGACGTTTTTGCCAAGAATGCGGCGCTCTCTATGCGGGGAGGTACGATCCGTGGCCAGACGTACGAGCGCGTTTTGCCGTCATGAGCCTCCGTGGTGGGTGTATTAGCGCTCGTAGAGAGGGGCGCGGCGGTTAGAGGCATTGCATGTCGTGTCGTGTCCTGTTCATCACGCATTCGGCTCCTGCGTCCAAGGGACAGTTTCTCTGCATTGTATAATGCATACCCCCATCCCTCTGTAATCCCCTGTATCAATGCAAATGGATTTGCTGCGTTTCTTCATAAGTACACAACGCTTGGTTTGGGTTGGCAGTGGTCAACTGCCACGATAAGTGGTGTAGGTATACGAACTGAGCAGGAGGGGAATATGATAGTGTTCCTCAGGGTTGTTCAAGAAGAACGTGATCTGTCCCTCATCAGCCTCAGCATTACGTCCCCGCGCACTATCTACGCACCTCAACAACAGGGTAGAAACACTCCCTCCCCGCTTGGGCAAAGTAAGCGCCGGTATCGAAGCACACTTTGTACGTCCCTTTCTCCAGTTTCCCGGGAGGTAAAAGGTCGGAACACCGGCCATCTGCGTCCGTTTTCCTACGCATTGATTCATATAAGCAGGGAGAGCGGAGGGCGTGCGTACCCGCTTGCGAGCAGAGGTAGGGCCAGGGGGTCATCAGACGACCCCAGCTGGTATAGGCGTACCCCGATCCCGGACCCGGGCTTGCCGAGAACGGAATCGAGTACTGGAAAGAGGTGAGGATTCGTTGAAAGGGAATGGGAAAACGGACCGTGGCATGTTATTGGGGATTTCGACATTGACGTTTGTGCTGAGTGAGGTTATTGTGATGATAACCCGGCGTATCTTCGGGGCGAGACGTAAGTTCAAAAGTAGTTTATTATATCAGATAAAATGAAGAAGCTGCTTAAACATCTGCCTCTGGTTAGCTCAGTTGGTAGAGCGTCAGACTGTAATGTGAACAACTATTCGGAATCTGAATGTCGCTAGTTCGATCCTGGCACCAGAGAGAACCCTTTTTTGTCCACTCCGTTTTTTGTGTTAGTTGATCGTAAATTGTATTTTAAGTGATTGTAGTCTGTTTTACGAGAAGTTGTTGGGCTGTGTGATAGGACAAAACTTGACTAAAGCACAAGAGATGGGTAAGCGTAATGCATTCTTTCGGAATACTTGATTTGCTGTTCTTACGACTTCCCTTATTTGGTAAACGGGAGCAAGCTGTTGGGCGTCACATTCTCGCGACGACGGCGCGTCCCTTGGCCTCGCTGCTCGCCACTCCACGAAGAACAAAGCGCCATCTGTACCACAACGTGAATATTTCTTCTCCCTGTCGGGCTACCTACTGGACATATCTCCAAAAATCCTTGGGCGTCTTGTTGACTTGTGACTCCAGATCTGCGAACTCGGCTCGCAGTTATGGCTACTCCAAAGCCGGCAGCCCCACCTGCTCCAAAACCTCTGGTGCCGGAGACTTGGTTCGATGTCGCATCCCAACGATCGTATATAATAGGCGTAGGGGTTGTCCTACAGGTGCACCTTGTCAATAGCACTGTCTGTCGCATCTGACTGGCTACGTAGGGCATCAAGCTGTATGAAGTGTTACGACATTATATCCCCCAACTACAAGGCTCATCATTATCATGGTTGCTCTATAAATGGAGCTTCGTGGACATCGCATACATACTATCAGTGCCTCTGCTTCGAATACCATGGCTGACAGTACCGCCCTACGTACGCATACGGCTGATACTGGTGGCCGTGCTCTTCAATTGGCTCCTAATGGGTAACTGCAAGGTGCGCAGCTTCTCTCGCAAGCAAACGAGGACGATGATATATGCGCTCAGATTCCCACCTCTCTTCTGATACCTACCTCGGTTCGATCCATGTTTGATTATCAAATGTCGATCTCCGAGCATCGTGTACGGGTCCAGGATGTTGTACAGCCTGGCCAACATCTTTCCGGACAGCATACTGTTCGGTTGTCCCCAGTCAGGTGCGTGCATAGTTTCCACTAGACTCAAAATCTTTTCGTCCTCATCCTAACATAGTACCGCTGAACTTAACCCACAAGGACTTCGATTCTGCTTCGCACCCAGCCAGAGGCACATCAGTGTGCCGGTGCTCGTGAACAATACCATCCCTCACAACATCAAATTCAGCATTGAATCCTTGGAAGATGCGTCTGATATCCGATATGTAACTGTTGACCGGCATGGGCTGGGCAATCTTGCGCTCGTACAGCGATATCCGTCCGGCATGCCAGAGGAAGAGTTTGGACCAGAGCCACCAAAGTGCAAGGCGCTGGAAGCGAACACCGAAGGTCAGAACCCGCTACAGTTGGAGGATACGAAGGGTTTGGTGTATATCCGAGTGGACCGTCCCGGTGTGGTTCGCTTAGAGAGTATCCTTGACTCTACCGATGAAGAAATCCGCATCACTCGTGGAGGATCTGTCACGATACCCCAATGCCCGAGTGTGAGTTTCCTGGTTGATTCCCGCGAACCGCATGCAATTCCGAGATGTCAAGGGGAGACATTTGAAGGGACATTGATGGTGAAAGGAGTGCCACCCCTCGCTGTGCAGTACTGGAGAGAGTTTGATGGGAAGCGAGAGGATCTGTATGCAAACGGAATTGACGACGACACAAAGGTTTGCACTTCTTAGGAAATACCACTGCTTTCCACTGAGCTTTGGCTAGACATCTCGAGGCGTGCAGACTATTCAAGTCCCTGTCCCGCTCGACCTGCCTCGCCCTGGCTTCTATTCATACGGCTTGACCTCCGTCACAGATTCCTTAGGCAACACTATCACTGCTGCAAATCTTCCGAGTGGGACCTTGGATAGTTTCACTGTCAATGTGCTCTCTCAACCAATGGCGGAATGGATGGGTTGCTCCGTGGATCGGCCCAAAAGCATGGCCAAGGGAGAGGAGATGCGTCTGTTCTTGCGTGTCAGCAACGGGAATGTCTCCGATGCTCCATGGGATGTGCAGGTTCAGCACACGGCACCGGACGGCACCGTTTCGGAGCGGATACATCATGTGACAGCACACGACTTGCGCTACCAAACCCTCGAATACGCACTGCCAGGGGATTACACTATCCTAAGTGTTAAAGGGAAGTTGTGCGATGGTGTCGTGAAGGGGCCAGAAGTCTGCCGTATCCTTGTCTGGCCAGAACCGAGTATGACTGTGAAGTTCGAGCCCATCGTGGATAGGAACTGGTAAGCACACTGGTACAATTGGTCGACAGCGCTAATCCCAAGGGCAGTAATGTCGAAACGGGTTTCATGGCACACGTCGTGTTCCAAGGCACTCCTCCGTTCTCCTTGTCATATGTTGTGAAGAAAGATGGGCGCGTCGTCGATACGAGACAAATCCCCAACATCCAGAGCACGCAGTACGATCTCGAGCTCCAGCCTAGTCAAGGCCCAGGAAGCTACCAGTACAGTCTGACCGAGTTCGGCGACAACCATTACAAGAAACAACAGCCGTCTCACCAGACTGGAACTGTGGAGCAGATCGTGCACACGATCGCTGATGCTCAGTTGGTAACCCCGCCACAGCCTATCAAGCTCTGGTCCTGCTCTGGAAAGACTGTGAATGTTGATCTCAAGCTGCAAGGCGTTGCCCCATGGAATGTGGAGCTACAAATATCCAGCCCACGCGAGACGAACCCGCTGCGTATTAGTGGGATCACATCAAAGGAACACACCGTCAGCGTGGCGCTGCCTTCTGATATTGATGAATACGGTGGGCACTTCGAAATCGCGCTTGGTGAGTGTTTCCCACTGTCCTATCCTCTATACAATGCTGATCAAAACTAGTGAATATTGAGGACCAGAAGCAATGTAAACGCGCTCTTAATCGACCCCGTATTGGAGTGGATGTCTCTCGTAACAAGGTGCGCAGCTCCGCTTTTGATTGCCCCCATAATGCTCAGAAGGAAGCACTACTCAGGCCACAGCGAGGTTTACCGGAGTCGCAGCTGGAACGCGTGACATCCAGATCATTCAAGGCGATTCAACCAAGCTACCTCTTCGTGTTACGGGCGATGGGGTAAGTGCTGCTTGCACAAAATTATGTGGTCCTCGCTGAGTGTCGTACAGCCGATCAGAGTACGATGGGAGAACGTAAACGAGGGCATCTCCCAGTGGACGTCAGTCAAGGGTCAGAACGAGGATTTGGATGTTCGACATGCAGGACAGTATCGCCTTCTCGAGGTCATTGACGCACATGGGTGCCCCGGGTACTGTGATGAGCAGGTTTCGACCTCCATTACTTTCATTAATCGCCCGACTGCCCGCTGGCCCACGTCGGCCGGCGAGCTCGATAAATATGGAAATATTGTCCGAAAGCCCATCTGCGAGGGTATTCCCGACCACATTGAGTTAGAACTTAGTGGTAAGTCCCACATAACAAGAACGCAGGATGCGGACTGATCTGTTTCGAAGGTTCTCCCCTCTTCACCGTCAGCTACAAACACGAAATTGAAGGCAACCCTTCCGAGCTGCCACCTGTAGAAGTGTCAAGTCCCCTGAAGTCTGCCAGGATAGATCTTGCCTCTTATCCGTCAGGCAAACACATTTATACTGTCGAAGGACTGAAAGACACAAATTATGGAGTGAGGTTATCTGATCTGCCTAAACTCCACCAGCAAGTGCTGGCGAAGCCATCTGCTTTCTTCAAGTCTGATACGAGGCTGCCGTTCTGCCTGCACGATTCCTTTGTTCGTCGCAATGGGTATCCGAATGCGGAGATCCTCCTCAAGGGTCAAGCTCCTTTCGATGTAAAACTATCAATTCGCAACTCGGATTCGAGTTCTCGCAAGGTCAAAGTCATTCACGTGGAATCCAACGAATGGGACGTTGAATTTCCCGATTACGTGTTTGACAAGATCGGGCCCCACCAGGTACGGATAGAGTCTGTCACGGATGCCAGTGGGTGCCCTGAAGCACGTTCACCCCATGATCTTTCCACTCTGTTCATTGATGTTGCCGAAACGGCTGCCATCTTGCCGATGGAGACGCGGTCTGACTACTGCGTTGGGGATACTGTCCAGTATCAGCTCGAAGGCACCTCACCGTGGATCGTCACTTACGACTTCAACGGGCGGGAGAGCCGACCGACTTCAAAGACTGCTAAGTTCAGTCGCCTCGCAGAGAAGCCAGGTATCTTCACCGTCACGTCCATATCACATCAGAACAACCTTTGCGTGACGAACGTGGACAACGTCAAGGCCATCATTTACGATCTCCCCTCCGCTGCTGTGGCTCCTGGTCGGTCAGCGGTAGAAAGCATCCGAGAAGGAGACCAGGCGCAAATTGAGTTTTCGTTTACTGGGGAACCACCGTTTACGTTCACATACCAACGATCGGAGATCAGCAAAAAGGGCAAGAACGCTAAAGTGCTAGAGACGCATACAATTACTGGTCACAAGGAAAAGACATACCGGTTCTCGTCTGCTTTGGAAGGTCAGAGTTATTGCGCATGTCTCGTTACTCTGCTGATTGTTGTACAATATAGGAACTTGGACGGTCACGTTTATTGCAGACAAGTACTGTCGATACCCACCCATTCCTCCAGCAACGGTCGAGGTCACTACCGAGACGATCTAACGAGTCTTCCTTTCTCTGGGAACTGGGCATCCTGAAAGCCATGCGCACGCATGTCTCTTGATTTTGTTTGCAGCATTGACGCATACTGTATTTATATCATCGACGCTAATGCAAATGCTTCCTAATTGACTTTATTTTGGCTTTGTCTTCTATCCATACTTGATACGTGTGCTCAGATCTGAGCAGAAGAGATATAGAACCACTTGGAGACTGAGTAATCGAGCACATCAGACGTATCCTATAAATATTGGCCGCAGCATGGACGCACTGGAGGGATCGATGGGCGCCGGAGGCTTCCTGGAGTCCGCGGGGACGCTGGTGTACGCGGGGTCGTTCCTGCGGACGAAGCCAGGGGAGTTCTCGATGGTGGTATTGGTGCTGGAGGCACCGTCAGACATGAGACAGACGAGAGGTAAAGGACGTACATCGATAGTTCGTAGGACGGCGTCTTAGAAGGCGTCTCGCCAGTGATGAGCTTGCGCCACGCCTCATGACATTCATGGATGATCTCCGTAGCGTACTTCTTGTTCTTCGCCTCACCAGAGAAAGCGAATGCGTTCTCGGGCTTTCCGTCAGCTGCGCACGTTCAGTATATGGGCCCATCTCCAATAGAACGAACATACGGATCTTGTAGATACGGAACCACTCGTTAGTAGCCCTGATCAGTCCAGGGAAATGCCTCTCGACATCCTCGATATCGTTCAGCTTTGACGCGTGCGGGTCGTTCACATCGACGACGATGACCTTCCAGTCCGTCTCGCCCTCGTCGAGCAGGGCCATAATCCCGAGGACCTTGACCTGCTTGACCTGGCCGGTGTACCCGACCTGCTCACCGATCTCGCACACGTCGAGCGGGTCGTTGTCTCCCTTCGCCTTGGTCTCGGTGTGCGTCTGGTTAGGGTCTTCCCAGGTCTGCGGAGGATTAGCTCTCCGCCAGCAAATACAGCGACCGGCAGACGCACCTGGGGGAAGGCACCGTAGTTCCAGATATACCCATGGTGGGGGAAACAGTTCCTCACGAACCTCAAACGACCCTTCTTGATGTCCTGCTTGATGGGGTTGAATGGCTCCTCTTTCGAGATCTCCATCTTGGCGTTGGTCCAGCGGGGGACTTCGACGACCATGTTCAAAATCCCGTTGCTGGCATCCGCGAAGAGAGGGATGTCGTGGAAGGGGGAAAGGACGATGCCATTTTGTTCCGTGTAGACACGGTGCTCTGATCAACGGGTGAGTGGATAAGTGCATGTATGCAGGTTGGAGACGCACCAAGGGTGTTGGCAGCGCCGATGAGGCGGGTGGAGTAGGCTGTTCAGTGTCAGCACACAATGAGCTCTGATTAAGTGCACTAACCCATTGTGTGGTGATGGTGGTCTGAAAGAAGTGAAGCAGTGTGCTGTAGACGACGGACAGCAGCTACTCTCATAGAGAGGGTCAGTACTGGGGGGTTACGCCCTGAGAAGAAACGGGGGCAAACACGCACTTGACGTGCTCGAACGGGCTGACTCGGAGCCAATGACAGCTGAGGTTGAGCACATGAGGACAAGAATCGGAAGCGAGCGGAACCGAACGGTATTATTGCAACTAATGGTTGAGAGTAACCTAACTTCCAAGTTGTTGAGGAAGGAGAAGAGCTGGGTGGAGTTGCCTCAAAACACTCGGTTACTTCCTAACAATACATTCGGCAACTGCGGTGTTTCGCACGTCATTCCTTTTCAGATGTGCGCTCAATGCTGCTTATATCAAAGCACCGGGTCCGACTGATCCATGCTGTTGCAGACACTCGCGTACACATCAATAAGCCTGACCTAGTTTGTTGGTCATCAATGCCAACATGAAATTCTGCTCCGAGAGCCGCGTCCTCCTGTTACGCGACCTTGAAATTCACACTACAATTATCCCTGAAGACTTCTCCGGGACAGAGAGCTTTATCATGGTCGGGGGAGTATCACGAAGCACCTCAGCCGCTATGTGCGCCGAGGGGAAAAAAGTAGTTCATCATCAAGAACTTGGGGCGGGATGTGTTAGGCGCCCGTTAGGGGTTTTTGGCGCTCGTGGCAGGGTTCCATCCCGACGCGTTCGCTCTAACTCCTTTTGTCAACTCGTCTCGTCGTTACCCCTTCTTAGACGACTTGAAGGAGGTTTCGTACCGTTTGAGACAGCTCTGAAAGCTATATTGTTCTGCCAAGTCACGTGGGGTATAGAAGGTTAAACCTCTCGACAGGGGCACTCTCCAACATCTACCAGCACATATCAACTAGTACCCATTTCAAGCACAACGATGCCCCTTCCTGTCGTGGACCTCGACATCTTCCTCCAGTCTCCAGACTCTGTGACAGCCCAAGCGGAATGCAAGAAAGCAGCCGACGCGCTGGTCGAGTACGGTGCACTCGTTGTCAAAGACTCCCGGTACGCTCCTTCGTATCTGTCCTACCTCTGGGATCGTCACTCATATCTTCTCAGCGTCTCCGAAGCAGATAACAGCGCTTTTCTCGACCTCCTTGAAGACTACTTCGCTCAACCCATCGACCTCCTGCGTGCCGATGAACGTCCCGAAGTGGGATACCAAGTCGGGGTGACACTCGCCAACACCGAGCGGCCCAAATGTGCCTCTTCAGCGCCCTGCCTCTCCGTTATCCAGCGGCTTGAGCCCTCCGAGCGTCCTCTGGATATCTCAGGCCATCAGGCAGACCCCAAGTGCCGGTTCTTCTGGAAGATGCAGACTCCCCCGCCGTATCCGACAGCTTACCCAAGCTTGAACATGCAGAATGTCGTACCGAAAGCTTTTGAGCACCAATGGCCGGGGATCATGAATAAGTGGGGAGGTAGGATGAGAGAGGCGTGCGTCTGTTTTCTGACCTGAGATGCTGAAAGTTGATGGATTCACAGCGTAGAGGGTGTTGCGGAGATGGCAGCTGTGGGGTTCGGACTGGAACGAGGAGCGTTCAAGGATGCGGGCGCGTATGGGTGTGTCTGACATTCCCTGATTATGGAGCTCCGAGCTGATGGTTGATATAGGCCGCATCTTCTTGCACCCACTGCTAGCGATCTGAACGAGTACGGGAAGAAGGACACGATCCTTGCTGGATTTCATACAGACCTCAACTTCCTAACCATTCATGGGAGGTCCCGCTATCCTGTATGTCTCCCCTATCCTATCGTTTCATCCCTTGGATTTCTTGCCATATTGCCCCCTCTCAGAATCGCATAACCTGATTCCCCACTTAGGGTCTTCATATCTGGGCACGCAACACTGGCAAGCGAATCGCAGTTTCCATTCCCTCAGGATGCCTGCTTGTCCAGGCTGGCCGGCAGCTGGAGCACCTTACCGGGGGTTTGGTCAAGGCGGGGTATCATGAGGTCGTAGTGAACGAAGCTACTCTGCAGGCATGTCCTCTTATCCTCCTTCTCATCGGGAGACACGGGAATCTGACATCCTCCTGCCAGGCGGTTGAACGTATCCGCTCCACCGGCCGCCCCCTCATCCGCATCTCCAGCACGTTCTTCTACCACCTCTTATCTGACTACACGCTCGCTCCTATCCCACAGCTACAACATGAATCTCAGACGCGGTACGTACAAGACGGCGAGGAGAAAGAGACATACGAGAGCATGAAAGTTGGACAGCAGGTAGAGAAGTGAGTCCTTCCCTCATGGAAGTCACATGACGCTGACCCGAGACAGCGAACTGAGGCAGATCGCATTGATGGCATGACCGGCTGAGAATACACACGCGTGACTGATTCGATGTATTAAGAACTTGATTTGATGCCCATGTTGTACAACCAGTTCCTGATCCCTCAGAGTTCATGCAAGGGGAAAGTGCCCGCTGGCCATCATTCTTCCCAAGACGGGTTGGCTGCATGATGAACGAAAGGTTTGACCAAGCAGTTTCGAAGCGTCTGACACCTGTTGACTGACCTCGGCACAGTGTTAGAGCGCCTCGTTAGGACATATCCGATCATGAAAGAAACGGCGGGTGTGACTCTTTCGCACAGCTTCCGACTCACCTACTTATACCTCCGTGTGACTCTGCCTGTCAAGCCATTTCTGCCCCATGTCTGTCATCCACCACATCTATCAGGGTTATGGATTCTCCCAACCATGAATCGTGTCAATCCCTCCGACGGTCCCGGGACGATGGTAACGAGGAAGATGATGATGCCCAGTTCGAGAAGCGCGAACCACAAGTTGAACAGGCTGTCGGATCGTCTCCCAGTCCCATAGATTCCACGACATATGGTACTCAATCATCCGAGGGCGACACATCACAAACCGCTGTAGATGTCGACATGGTTAGGAAAGACAATTCCGACCCCATGTTATCAACTTGCGTCGATTCACGTCCTCATAAAGGCCCATTCTTGGAAAACATGCACGTCATGCCGGGTAGGAGGAGCGATACTGTTGAGCAACTGTCTTTCCTCGCGCCTGACAATGTCACCATTTCATCTATGTGGCTCTACACTGCAACCGAGCACCTGGTATTCACAAGCGACTACAACGCGCTATGGTACATCTACGATGTGAAGACACAAACCTGGGCACCGCGTCATCAATGGAAGGTGCTCCCCAGTCTACCACTCCCCAACGGCGAGGATGTCGGTTTTGGAGCGATCCCTATCTATGCCAAGACGGGTCTCGAGAAGATCGTGGTTCTTGAGGTCAACAAGCCAGTCGCTCAATCTTCAATCGCCGCAACAAAGTTGCCCATCACTGTCATCGATGTGAACAAACGGTCACTATCAACGGGTGTACTCCGCAGAAACACCTCGGCAGATCTACTGACCCTCAATGATACTTGGGCGGTGTATCAGACTTTGGAAGGGCGCCCTTGTTTACATGCTCGCCATATGTCAGACAACCGGACTGTTACTCTGACAGGCAGAGGCTCTGTATGCAAAACATCTCAGTAGAAAACAACCCAGACTGATTTGGCATCCGTGCAGCCGTGGTATCGGAAGATTAATGCATGGTTCGTGGAATCATCAATTTCGACCACGCTTGTGTCGAAATCTACTCCGACTTGAATGACTCCAACGCTGGATCGAACATTTCGCCTATCTCTCGCGATTGTCTTAATGTTCCTTGCCATGAAGCAAGGCTGGAATTCACAGAGATCGGCCCCGTCATTATTTTCAGGTTGGATGGCCATATTGTCGTATTCCTGTTGACTTGGCCAAAGCATTCCAGCACCGGACAAAACGCACAACCGATGGCGATGGAAAGACTATGGACCGTCCAGTTTTATTCCGACGATGACGAAGGCTCTTCTGATGATGGATACGTTTCCGCAATCACGCTTGCCGACAAGGGTAATCAAATCATCTTTGTCTTCCATCCAAGAAAGCAGACAATGCATTCAATGGTGTACGTGGGTAGACGTGAGGTCCGGCTTGCTGTGAGCAGCAAGCCTGAATATACGCCGTTCTCGAGTTTGCTACTGGCTTGTCGTGCTGGGGATGGGGATCTTCTACGCCATGTGGACTATGTTGGTCACCTGGATGGCAGGTTAATTTGCGGCCGCAAGCATTCTTTCCTATGGTTTCGCGTGCCTCTCTCCCTTGGTCACTGTGCAGAGACAAGTCTCCCGCTGGAAGTGGGCATCACCGACGATGCGCCACTGATAGGGGCCGTAATCCAAGAACGAATACTTTGTAAGTCTACAGCGATGGTTATACAGAGTATCGCTCATGTTTATCGCGCAGCTCTCAGAATGGAAATCCAGACACGTACCTGACACCACCGTCGACAATGATCGGGTATTCAACATCGATCCCGCAGATGCGCCGGAAGAAATTTCAGTGGACGTGCTTTGAATAACTTCATCCCGGAAAGAACTGCGGTTCCTCTTGGTGATGATTGGTGCATGCGATTTGGCGCTTGCATCAGAGCACCCACTCGCCTGGTACTCGTTTACAGCTCTGTCGATTGTCTTTCCACCATATTCGAGGTGGAACTACCGCACAAATCAATGTTCTTCCGACTGGACCGGCTCTCGAATTCCGACTGTCATCCATCCGGTGGAATGCGTAGGAATCTCGCCCTTGCCTGCTGGAATCAAGATACGTGGCAAGCCTGCACAGATCTGTCGGAGAACGCCTCTCAATCTGGTGACCAATCATTGTGGTCGCTGGATATGGATCGAATGTACAAGAACGATCCGCTGAGCAAGATCGTCAAGCGGTCCTGTATTGGCTCAGTTATCCTTCGGAGAATGAGGCGGAGGTTCAGGCAAAGAAGGCTTGGACGCGTTTGGGACTGACCCATCCGGGGTTCTAGCAGCAGACCGCGCTAGCAGTTCTAGCCGTGTTCATTGTGTCGCTAAGTTAGTGGTCACACAAGTAGTCATTGCAGATGAATTGTTCGTACAAGTAGTCATTGTAGATGTATTATTGCTATACTGTAGTGTATGTAAATTATGCCGATTTCCTATATCAACCGATTGCAATCAGCGCCTGTTCTGGCGAATCGACGTCGGGGGAGGAATCCCGTGGTCAAGACTCTGCTCCACAGGTGCTCGCTGGCTCGTGCTTCCGGTCCTGTGTCGACCGGAGTGCTCGGGCTTCTGATTCCATGGTGCACGGCGGGGAACTTGGTTGAGCTGTCATTGCTGGTATTGTTTTGCTGCTAGCGCTTGATAGTCAGGCGTGGTATCGGTGAGCCACTTTCGCCGGGAGGGACCATCCCACGTCTTCGTGTTCTTCAACATACAACAATTATGATGACTGTCCCAGACCCATGTTCGGAAATTCACACTAACAGAAAAGCGAGCCATCTTATCTTTCATGAATGATAACGTCAATCGGCACTGATGGCAGACATCCATGGTGAGATCGAACCTTCTGAATGTCGTCCTGAAAAACTCATTAAGACGCGTGTCGTTGAGAGCCTGTATGTGGATGTCTCTGAGAATCGTGTCCATGCCCTTGGTATCCACTATGTTAATAACGATGGTCTTGTTATGAAGGTGTGCACAGCGCCCGCGTGTCTGAGCGAGCCAAAGCAAGCTTCGATAAGTTAGAAAGGAAGACAATGTGAATCTGGAAAGCGCACTATGCCATGAGACAGAATTCTGCACACTGGAAGCTCCAGTTGATTCGGTATGCCGTCTGAAGCCGATGGAACGCCCTCTGGATAATGATCGACGATCCCATTGCACTCTCCATCGATATACGGAATGACCGTACCGCTTCGGAGATCGAATAGTCCATATACTTGGTCATAGCAATTCGGACTATATCTGTTGGAGTCCCGAAATCTGGTTGTCCGGAGCCATCCTGACGAGGAGCGTACATGAGTGCTGGATATGTGATAGACGGGTTGCAGAGACCGTCATTCAATAGACAGCAGTGTACCTCGATAAAGTACTCACAAGACACCACCTGGTGTAGTACAACCGAGATCGTTGCGTCCAAAATAGCGCCACGCGTCTGCAGCGCTTCATATATCGCCGCCTCCACCATCGGCCATCCTTGCCGCCTCTTCTTCCCAAGTGACTGGTTTTTACTGCTATGGATTACTACAGTTGGGGAAGGACGGCCCGCTCTCTTCGTATAACTGCCGGCAATAGTCTCGCGGCAGAGTCCGTGGATAGCGTCTACCTGAAAGGGGAGGAGGAGATCAAGCTCCGTAATCTGAGGAACGTGGTCGTCGTGTAACGTCCTTGAAGGTGACTCGAATGCATATGTGCTGATCCCACTCTTTGCAACTTGCGTCGAAGAGATGAACGTGTGGGACAAACCCGTGACGCGCCAAAGAGATTGTCTTCTGCCCGACACTGACTCATCTTGACCACTTTTCCCTTGCATGCATGTCATTCGCGGACCTCGACACCATGCAATACAATCAGCCTGCGGACGCTGCGGGCGATCACATGTGTACTTGTGACCATTGCTCTGATCCCTGTGCTCTGATCTCCCGTTTAATCACTCTGCGCACGAGCCAACTAAACGCACTATAAAGACTCAACAATCCAACATGACACCACATCAGTGCTCAACATGTCTACCACCCCCTCAGACCCCTTCACCACCTCCCTGACAACCTACTTCTCCTCTACCGAAACACACACCGCCTTCTCGCTGTACCAACACACACGTGCACTCTACCCCGATTCGCAGCACGTCTTCCTCGAGGACGGGGGATTCCAACTCTCCGGCTTCCTCCTAGCACATGGACATTTAGCGACATCCCTTGAGGGGGGTGAAGAAGCCTTTCGCAGAGTGGAGCATGTCGATGGTGGGTACGAGCGGGAGGCGAGTGTGAGGACTGTGCTGCGGGACGGCAGTTTCACCTTCTGTCATCGAGGCACGGACTTCCGCGTGCACTGTGCGAGCTGGATGTACCCTAACGGTATGCGCACCAAGAGCTTCCAGTTTGTGTTCCAGGGAGAGGACGACAGGAAGGGAAGAGAGCTGGTCAAGGAGGTATATGAATGGTCGGCGATGTTAAAGGACGAGATTTGGGTGTTTAGTCAAGGGCATTGGGCGAAGGATGGAGCATTGTGGAGGTCTATTCAGAAGGCTCAGTGGGGTACGTATAATCTTTCCTTGACGAGAAACCCCGTTTGATATCGAGGCAGATGACATCGTCCTCGACGAGAGCCTTGTACGCCGTCTGAAAGCGAACACCACAACGTTCTTCGCTTCCAAGTCGATCTATCAAGCACTCAACGTCCCCTGGAAGCGGGGCATCCTGCTTCTTGGTCCTCCCGGAAACGGCAAGACGCAGACAATCCAAGTGCTTTTGAAGGACGCGATTGCGAGCGGTCTCCGGTCCTTGTATGTTAAGAGCTTCGAAGGGCAGAGGGGTGCGGAGCATGGGATTAGGATGATTTTCGAATGGGCGAGGACGCAGGCGCCGTGCATCGTGGTGTTGGAAGACTTGGACGCCATGGTCACGGACGAAATCAGATCGTTCTTCTTGAATGAGCTGGATGGCTTGGTATGTCTCTTCTTGTCACCGGATGAACTGTGCTCATGAACTGCCCAGGAACGTAACGAAGGAATCCTCACGCTCGCTACTACCAATCATCCTGAGCGGATCGACGACTCGATCCTGCGTCGTCCTTCTCGGTTTGACCAGAAATATACTTTCTCCCTTCCAACCGTCGAGCTCAGGGAGCGGTACGTCCTCAAATGGCTGGGGAAGATTGAGAGTGCCGGGAACATCACTTTCCCAGGGAAGACCAACGAGGAGCTTGCAAAAGAAGTCGCGGACAAGACCGCTGATTGGAGCTTCGCCTTCCTCAAGGAACTTTTCCTGTCCTTCCTCCTCCGGTCAGCGAGCGATCTTTCATTCGCAGATTCTGCAGCAGCAGAGGATAGCAACAAGACTTCGGCGGAAATACTCATGGAGCAGGTTGACATACTCGGCGAACAAGTGTCGAGAGGCGGGCTGCCGATTGGAAGCCACCCACCTGCCCCAACGATTAGAAAGGGCATGGCCAGAATGACTCTTTCGCCGAGGATAATACAGGGCGCAGCTTCTACCTAAACGCCATGTTTCGTGGGTAGTTAATACTTCCATAGAGACTTGAAACGAAGATAACGAGGGAATTTTCTGACTGAGATGAGCCACCTTTGGGGGCGGAAAGGCTGGGGCAAAGAAAATAGCACTTGTATGTATTGGTAAGAGCTGGCAACTTCAGTGTCAAAGCCGACTTGGCGCAGCTGGGAGCGCGGTACACTGAAGCGTATGCTGAGATGTAATGGTCACCTGTTCGATCCAGGTAGTTGGCATGACATTTCTTTTCTTTTCACCCTCAATAGGGTAACCCTTGTTCTTTTGCCACTTACTGTTCATCCATATGATGAGCAGCACTTGGCGATGCATGGTATAACAAAACGCTTTAATGGAGTGGTGTTTAATCCTTGATTAGTGTGCAACACGCGGTATAATGTTTTCTCTCATGGGCTCTCGCCCGCCATTTTCCGTACCTCCTCCGCAAAGGTATCTACCTTGGCCGGCATGCCCTCTCCAACAGTCCATCTTCGCAAGTCGCGTACGTCCATCCCCACCCCGTTCTCCCTCTTGATGTCCCATTTGTCTGCGTACGTTTGAAGAACATCATCGACGGTCTGATCCGTACCATGCATGGCAAACTGCTGGTGGTATAGGATAGTGCTGGCCGAGTCTGCGTCCGTCAGCGGCTCATCAGTGCGAATGGACAACGTTTCGAATCCGGTCGTCTGTCTTGCGAGATTTTTGGAAAGCTTGGACATGTCTTCGATGAGCTTTGCTTGATCTGAAATCTGATCCGGGCTTGCGGCGAGAAGGAGAAGGGAGCCAACCTTGCCTGTCTCTCCAATCTCTGAGCGATGCGAACCGTGCGCGTACCAGCCAGCGTAAAAGACCCGGTCGGCGATGTATTTTCGGGAGGGAGGTTGTACGAGCAAAGACACTGCTCGGCGAATAGTGATGTTTTCTTTGAACTCGCTGACCGCTTTCTTCACTGCTGCTTGTACGGTCAAATCTCCGGTTTGTGAGCACAACGGCGCGTCTTCCAGTGTCTTCAGATCGAAATCAGAGAAGCACTCTTCATCGGGCGTTCTTTCGGCAAAGAACGCAACGGTGTGCGCAATTTTCGTGGCAAGAACATTGAACGCCCCGCTGCGGGAGACGAAGTCCGTTTCGCAGTTGAGCTCGACCATGCCCCCTCTTACGAGGTTCCCGATCGCGCCTAGTCCGGGGCTCGGAACGGATATCGCAATCACCCCCTCCCCTGCAGCCCGATCATACACCTTTCCCGGCCTTTCGGATAGGATTGTCTGGTCAAACTTGTGCACATATTCGACGGCCTTGGGTACGTCAAGACCGGAGTATCTGAGTGCGGTCCTTGCCAAGGGAAGAGTGACGGCGGGTACATGCTGGCGCAGTTGTCTTATAAGCTCGAGGGGAACCTTCACCGAGTCCGAAGAGTTATAGCGACAGCGAATAAAGGGTGGAATGAAGGCGAAAGCGCGGACGGCTAGACGAGTGGTCATTTTGCCTCGGGATGGGGAAGTGGCAGGGTTGCTCCCATTAATAACTTTTCCGTAAGGGTACTATGCACCCTATGTGGCTGCGCTGTTTATCGATCACTTATCGATCACTTTTTGAACTAAATAAGCAAAGTGGGCCCCTACTCTCCTTTTGCTAATTCCCTCCCATTGGCGACCATGGACTCGACTGTGCCTAGTCGCTCACTAGGTGTACCACAGGACCTTGCATTGCTTATGGAGATGGCTCAGGAGCACGTTGCTCCCTCCGTGCAGGCCCCCGTCGTTTTGCCAGTGCGACTGCCCATCCAAGTGCTGGGCAAAGTTCCGCTCGCTGAACCTGAGAAACCCGACGCCGAGCACGGAGCACTCAGCGAAAATCAAGACGCGGCTCAGCTCAAACTGCCTTCTGAGCCACAGGTGTCTATTGCTGATCAGGCAAATATCGAGCCCTCCCCGCCGGAAGGGGCGGAGAGTTTGTCCGAGTGAGTACTCTTCAAAGGTCAGGGTTGTGGTGTTCATCAAATCTTCAGCTCAGAATCCGAGAGCGATGACGGTTCCGAATCTGAATCTGAAGAAAGCGATTCTTCCGATGAAGCTGACGGTTCCGAATCAGTGAATGAACGTTCTCAACCCCAGCGAGCCAAACGGCAACCTGCGGAGGTTGACGAGGCCGACGAGGAGCCTGGGCCAACAGGGCCTGCCGCCTTCGCTTCCAAACACGAGATTGTTATCCCCAATGTCGAGATGCCTGAATTTGAGGAAATCGGACCCGAGGAGAAGATCGAACAGATCGGCGAGGTCATGAATATTGTCGATTCGGTAGTCGTCGTGAGGGGACGGATGAATTCTCAATATCAGGTCATCGACAGTGGAAGCCTGTTGGTATTTGAAGACAGAAAGGTCCTCGGTTTTGTGCGCACTCGTTTACTTTGATCTGTGTGAGCTTAGCTGACGTATGGAGCAGGTATTTGAGACTTTCGGCGCCGTCTCTTCTCCGCTCTACACTGTCCGCTTCCCTTCGTCTTCCCTCGTTCCTTCCCGCGTCCTGCCTTCCCTCCCTATCTTTCACGTCCCTCAGCGCAGTACTTATATCTTTACGCGTCATCTGCTTTTGCTCAAGGGCAGCGATGCGAGTAACATGCATGATGAAGAGGTGGAAGGGGACGAGGTGGAATTCTCTGATGACGAAAAGGAAGCAGAGTGGAAGAGGTCAAAAAAGCTGAAACGGTATGCTGCGATCCCATATCTTATCATTTCATTTTCTGTTATCTGATCGTGTAATATTATTCACAGGCGGCATGGCGACACACTGGAACGCAATGGACCTCGATTCCGCGAGCAAGAACAAGATGTGGGACTAGATTATGGAGACTCCTCGGTCCCAGCCTCCGACCTGCTCGCTGCCCGCGGTCCGCCAGTGCGATATGACGACGAAGACTTTGGGATGGCAGATGCTGAGCCTGTGCGTTCAAGATCGCCGACTGAGGATACGAGGCGGTCCCTGGGAGTCGGAAGAGACAGGGATGGACAGCGAGATAGAGAATGGGTACCCCGCAGTGGAAGAGAAGAGTACCGCGGAGGCGGCAGGGGTAGAGGTGGTGGGAGAGGCGGCTGGCGTGAGCCTGCTGGAGGAAGAGACCGGGGCAGAGGAAGAGGAAGAGGCCGAGGGGGGCCATCTAACTATAACAACCCCAACAACTACGATCGTCCCCCGCCGCCTCAATCTGGCCCTCATGGGTACTCCAATTCAACCCATGGCGACGTTGCTGGATTATCAGGCCGTGCGATGTCGCCGGCGTCGGAGGCCATCGCTCGTGTTACGGGTCAGTACGATGCCGGCCCCTCCCAGCCATCGTACCCCAGCACTCCGTACGGCCAGCATGCTCTCCACAGCCCTCCAGGTCCTCAAGATACATACGATCCCCGCGCGCCTGCCTTCTCCACTGTCTCACCATCTCCAGTCCAATCTTATCCGTCTACACCGATGCAGACGCAAATGGCCTTACAGATGCAGATGCCGTTCGCCTTTGGCGGGCACATCAACCCGCGGTTCGCATTTGCTCCCGGGTTTTTGCCCCAGGTGCAGATGCAGATGCAGATGCAGCAGCAGCCAGGCATGTTTGGGATGCAGCAGCAGGGCCGAGGCGGTCAAGGGGCTTGGGGCTGGGAGCAGCAACACCCGCAGGGTGGGTACCCACCACAGCAAGGAGACGGGGAACAGCATGATGGTGTTGGGGGGGAGGAGCACCGATACTAGCCGACGCGCACGGGTGGCCATCCGATGATTACATCATGAACGTTCTATATTCTATGATTTCATCTTATTACTGTCCCTGATGTATGGTGCAGAGACGACACTGATGTGTCTCTTGCGCTCTTGCTCTACGGCGATGCTAAGCTCCATTTATTCTGGGGGGTCAAGATGCTATGTCTCAGTCGCAAACCTCAACCAGCAGAGACCCCCAACATTTGCAGGGGTCGGCGCATCTTTGACTGGTCATGCTGCTTACGAGCATGACAATGGATCATGGTCGAAATCCAGCTAACGAGTGAGGGGTGGTTCGGACCATGACCAGCGACGTAGAATGTGCTTCTTGCATCCAGGGTGTTCGGACCGGGGCGATAGGACAGATATGGAACACATGGCAAAAAACCGTCAGCGGATTTCTGCGTAGAAGTTGCCAAAAGCGATGCAAATACCCGTTTCAGCTACACGTTGGAACACGTTTGCCAGTCGCCGTCTTATCAATGGAGAACACAGGTCAGCGCATCGGGGTTTCTCCTCGGTATAGCGAAACTGCCCCTATTTCACGAAGAGAAGCGATTGTTTTAAACTCCGCGATGCTTCGAGACATGACCCATGATACACCCAGAAATGCCGTCCAACATCACCCGCAATCAATTTTATTACGTTGCAGATTAGTGTAGAGGTTGCAAACCGGTCAGAAGAAAAGATGAGGACCCTCCCATGACACGATACTATGGGTTTGCTTCAAATGTGGTGTGGTGCGGGCCTTTAATGCCCGGTAGATTTATTGAGAATAGATTGTTTAACAGTCACGAAGAAGCGAATAGACTGCTGGATGGACCTTTGAACCGGCTCGGAATTTCTATATTGAGCGAAATACCGAGACAGGTGAATTGCTGGTGACGTGCTTCTTAGGGGGCGCCGAGATTAAGGAAGCAAGAAGAACTCAGAACAGGAGCACGTTGTCGAAAGTAGTCTTAGCGTTTGGTAGCTTAGGAGCTTGATCCGTCTGTGGCCGAGGTAATTCAGAAAAAGTCACACGTTTCAGCTGTGAAACGCTCGTTTTGTGTTCCTTCGCCAACACAGAGATCCGGCGCCAGAGACGGACTGTGTTCAGTTAAAACGCCACAGATGAGACCGGCACACCCATTGTGTGTCGATAAGAAGAAGCTGTCGGCTAGAGGTTAGGGGTTTGGTCCACCTTCCGAAGCTCGCTGAACGGCGGCGGTCGGGGAGTTTTTTTTCGTTCCACCTAAACCAGACTTTCGGCAGAATTCGCGAGATTTAACTTGTGCCACAAACGAGGTCATCAACAATAGCGTCCACAATCTAGCTGAAAGCTTACACAATAAAAGCAGGAAGTCCATTTCAACTTGAAGCGTATGAATTTGTTCAACGTGGTCTTCAGTCCATCATTAATTCCGGTTGTTCAAATGAGTTCTAGAGCTGGATGTCGCCAAGAGTGGCAAAAAAATCCAGCCCTCTGGACCTTTTGAAAGCTCCGAGTAACCCAATATTTGGCCGCTGCACAGGTTAACGATCTTTCCAAAACGAATTCGCTCAAAAAGACATATAACCGGGAAATCCGAGTAGGTGTTTTGTGGCCAATAGAGACATAATCTGACGAAGTTGTGGCTGTTGAGTCTTATGCTATCACCAGTTCTAGTAGGCGCGACTCACTGTTTTCGTCGAAACGCCGAGGATTAGAAGGGTGGCAGGTGGCTAAGCTGTTCCGGCCGCGATGGGCTGGCTGGCTGGTGCCTCTCTTCCTGAACTGTCGAAAAGCCGAGGTGGCCATCTTGAATCTCGAATGAGGGGTATAATTCCCTTCTCTTGGTCCAGCGGGCGGTGCCCGACGGGTATCCGCCACGATCGGAACATGCCACGCGGGCACAAAAGGAGTCGGCGCACTCCGCTACGCGCGCGTGACACGCAACTCCATTCCAATTCCACCATCATATCATTTTGCACACGCGCATTGATTTTCGTTGGGCTGGCGATCGGATTGGGGCCTGGTCCTGGGCAAGAACGTAGCACATCTGGACGAGAGGATAGAAGCAGGTGATTAAGGCTGCCGTGGAGCGCTAGAATGAGCGCACGTTGTTTACGTAGCAACGGTGTGACCGTGACGGTCGGAATGCGATGTGGCAGGGGTTTGGTGGTCGCGCATCGGGATTGACGCATATCCGAGACAGTCCAGTACGGTCACCGTTCGATCCGAGGGCGCGGTGATCTTGGTTATCTGTGCTGGTGGCCGAGCAGTACTTGGTGCGAGGTTCACTGGAGAAAAACCAGAGAGAAATGCCACTTCGACGAGCAAGAAAAGGGCTCGGAGCATTTTGGCCAAGTAGACGATTTGTGGCAGCGACTCGAGACAGGGTGCCCAGCATTCACTTCAACTGCCCCTATCAAAGGAGGTCAGCAGCCACCTATCTTCCTCAATTTTCTCGTACCACAGTGCGCCTCTTCAACCAGGTCCGCTCTCCCTTGCGTGGGTATAGATCATACTATAATGCATCCGAGTGTTGGCTGACGAGCCTGACAAGCGACCGCTGTCCTTTGGACCGAAGGGCTGCGCAGGGTTCGGTCCTGCGGGCCAGTTCGGGGCAGGGCAGTGCGCTCTTGAGAGTCCGGTGACTGGTTCCTGCGAGGAAATCGGAAACGTATTAGACTCAAACAAGCAAGAGTTCGGCAGCGCGAATCCCCATGCTGCGCATTGCAGCCTGAAACATCATAATGACGAGGTGATGATCAAGATGGGCTCGAAGAGAGAGGTGAGCGAAGAGCGATGACAGCATCGGCCTTGAGCCACGTCAGCCATGGCGCACTCTGCTCCCTTTCTTGCTTTTCCGGATACTCCTGAAAGAGGGGGTTCGTTTCTGGTCTTTCCCGAGTGGGAAGTACAACAGAGGAGACGAAGGTTGGTCGCATATATGCTCCGTTCCAGCTCGACTCGACAATTTCGAGAATTTCGAAGATGGTCGGTCAAACCGACGGTAGTTGTCGTCAGTGCTGGTGGACTGCGCCCTTTCCGCCAGATTTCGTCGTAGTCGGGAGCCACGAACGACCGCGGTCTGCATTCGCCCCTATTGCGGGAAGAGGGGCCACTTTGGTCGAGGGCATTCACAAGACTGCCATGGTTCGCGAAACATCGGCGCCACGCGAGCTGGCCGAGCGGGAGAATCGGCACTTGGTTGGCCTGCGCCTCGGTGGGACGCGCATGGATGGGCGCGTGAGACAGACATAGATAGGGTTCGCGTGCCACGACACGCGTCCATGTAAGGCGCGCAGGGAATGAAAGAATATTGAAGCATCGAGGCCATTATGCTTCAATGGTGCCGCCGGCTAACCATGTGGGTCGGGTACCTGCTGTCAATTAGCGAGATCCTGCGTAGCTCCGTTCTTGCTTGGCAATGTTCAGGGCAGGAACAGTTCTGTGCGCTGGAACACGAGGTATGACATGGTTGGCCGGGGAGTTGCTTTTATTTCTGCATTAATAATACGCAATCGGGGCAAGTCCTTTCGATTCCACCGAGCACAGCTCCTGCGTCCATTCAATGCATTATTCGGGCGCAGCGAACGTTGACTACCCTGAACGGCCCGCGGTCATTGTCGGTTGTGGACACGACACGTGAAACGACGAGGACAGACTAACCTCCTCCAACATCAACGTGGCGTGAAAATACGTAAAACTTGTCTCTGGACTAGACTGGAATGTCGTAAATCATCCAATTTTCCCTGATGAGTACTTCGTCATGGGTACACTTACAGTTCGATGTGCCTGCAGGGGAGATCAGCTGTCGCACAACTGGCTACGTCAGAGGCAAAATCCTACATCATCGCACCCCTGTCCAGGCCAAATACCATATTGAGTGAAATGCCGAATGAGGCGCGTGCGATGGGCGGTGCGGTCGTGTCCAAAAGCACAGCAAGAACAAAGATGATATCATCGTGGAGAGGAATTTAAAAAAAAAAAAGGTGGACGTCTGCGGCACCAGGTTAGGGATGAGCCAAGAAAGCTCGGCCGTCTCTCGCTGTTTTGCGGGAGCCGGTCGGTGGCTTCAGTTTGATCCTCTCCCGCTGTCGCGGGCCGTTTGCCGTTCCCGGTGTGATATTTTTCACCGAATTCAAGTCGCGCCTAGCGTACATCCGGGGTCCCGCCGTATGAAATACACGGAAGCAAACTGGGTTTGGTGTCCACAGGGACATGTGAAGATCGGCGGAGATGGCTGTGGATGGGCGCGTGGTGCTGTCCCCTTTTGGCTCTGGGTGAGCTCGCTGGCCCTCGTGTTCCGGCGACCAACACCTACCCGACCTCGCTTGAACAAGAAGAGAGATGTGCGCCATCGGATGCTCCAAGACAATGTTCGCGCGATTGTCTCCCCGATATCTCCGCCTATCCTTCATTGTCATTTGTCATTATTTACTAAAGATTTCTCTCCAGGGATATTTCCTCCCTCCATTGAATCTTGGCCTCTCCACCGGATCTTGCGCTAACCTGCGGCCGGTGGCTCGACGTGTTGAACCCCGTGTGACGACGTCACGCCTCCACGTCAAGCGGGCGGCGATTGCGGGCGCAAGAGGATGGACCTGCTTCTTCTCGGCGGAAGCATGTTCCACAACCGCTGCTGATTGGCATCCTGACTGCTTTTCTCCCGCGGTTTTCTGCTCTGCTCCTCGTAACCCTTGGCCCACACTCGCTATTGTCTCGTAAGACCACCCGCTGATTTTATTGTTCCCAAAGATAGCCGTTCACCGAGAGCTTCGCGAATGCGACTGCGCCGTGCACGCACGCGTCCCCCCAGATTTCGAACGTGCTAAAACGGTGACCCTGCTTGGCTATCTCCAGTATCAGCCGCGGTATCGTCGATGCGCACCATCCAATTGTATCCTGCGGAATACCGCCCCTTCCAGCCACACAGCCTTTCTGGGCAAAATGCCGAACGCTTCGCTGGCTTCTTTCCCATTCCATCGAGGCGGGTCAGAATTGTGCTCTCGAACCTCCGGGAACAGGAGCGTACGTCGATATCAGTCACCGTCGGCGTTAACAACCTCGAATTTCCAACCCTTCGTGCACCACCACCATGGTTCTTTCTCTCGCTTCCTGCACTATTCGAGGCACAAGTGGGTTTCGAGCAATTGAGGCAGTTTTCTAAGGAGCATTTGCTGTAGAAACACTCGGTGCCCTGAAGGGTTCGGTTCTCTGTCCATCCCTTCGGCCATCCCCGCGCAGACGCCCAATTCAAGTTCCGACTCTTGAACTCAACGGGCGATCTGCGGCCACGGTTGGAATGGGGGAGCGCAGCTGACGATGCTCCGCCTTGTCATTTATTCATCCTCGGCCCGGTCGCAGCGGGGCGCCATCATCACCGATCCGTGATCAATGACGAGATCTGATGGGCGGTACGCTCGCCATGACCCCGGGTGCGCCTTTAAATGTAGAAGCACTTGCCCGGCATGAATAGATCTTGCATCATAGTTTACACCTATATTTTCGTGCATGAAAGTCCAAATCGGTGGTAGGACGGTCAGGGTGCCTTGCACAACGCGACATGTTTTGCGAGCCCAGGGGTGCGCAGATAAGTACTACCCAAGAACCATTGATCGATGTGTAGGTTGCCGGTTTAGTCTGCACCGCGACGCCAACAAGCTCATTTTCCACCTTTAACGCAGGTCACGCCCATTACCAAATACGGACGGGGATGCTATGCTTCGCATTCCGATGTGACCAATCGCAGCTTGGCGCCCACAATTACCGAAAGGGATGAAACTTGTGTGAGCGACCTCTCTCCAAGGCAATCGAGGAGCTCCGGCCATGGTTACGCTGCCCGACATTACCGTACCCGTTCCGGACATGGACGCCGACATGGGCAAGAGGCTGGACGCTTAGTGTTCCTGGGAGGCCATTGTACCGATGTGGTTTTTTTATTTACCTCCGATCAAATCGCATAGCATCTTAATGCCGTCCTGGTGATCGGTCATGATCGAGAAGTAGGCATGTGCATACATTACATTTAGACAATGCAAGTCGCCTCGTCATCGCGTTAATGCTCAAAATCCAGGAGAAGAAGTCGAGACCTTGCCCGAATAGACGCAGCGCGCATGACTTGAAAGTGCGCCTGCCGATCCCGGATGACTGCGATCACCGTAGGAGATGACTTGGTCAGAGGGGGAGAATCATGACATTGCCATCAGAATACCTCCGTGCATTGATCGGCGGTCAATATCTGCTCCGGTTGGATGCGATGATTCTTTGACCTTTACGAAGCGACGATAAAGGCACTGCCGACTGCGGAATATTGTCGGCCAAGGAGAGAAGTGAAAAGCCGTGGAGGACAGAATATGTCTGCTCTGGCGAATGCCGCGAGCAGCGCATTTATGACCCCATACCGAACATTAGTGTATGTTGTCAGATGCGGGTGGTCTGTCCTTCTTGTTTGTTGAGAGGAGAGGAAGACCCCTGAGGAAGGCCGACCGAGGGAATTGCCATGTGGTTTAAAGGGGGGAAGTCCGGATGAGGCAGGGAGGATCGGAACGCGTGTGCCGGTGAGCGGGTGCCTCGTGCCGCGGCGAGCAGAGATGTGCAAAGGGGGTCGAGTCAGGAAGAATTGTCCAACCCCGCCGCTTTAGGGGGTCTGGCCACGTATTGTATTCGTAGTGCGATGTCGGGCTGCTATTTGCGTAAGGCTGCAAGCGACCAAACTGTGTGTCCGGGCTCCTGAGAGTTTCGGGACATCGCATTGTTGAATGTCGCACCTCACACCCCCGAGGCTTCTTCTGTGCACACACTGCAAATTGGGGAATGAATCTCGCGCGTTCTCGATATCCCCAATCTCATGCACGTCAGCATGAGTCGCGCAACCGGCTCATCAAGTACATACCGGTAGTCCGCAGTTCACATGAACGTCGAGAATGCACACCGATCATCGGCGCCTCTCCGGCTGTGCCAGGGTATTTAAGTCGCGTGTTTTGCCCAGCTCAAAGCTTACTCCCCCTTCCATCTCTCTGTCTCACCTCCCGTCCGTGCGCATACATCTCGCTCAAAGTCGGCGCATTCTGCTTCATCAAGCCCTATACACGGATCAACAACCATCTTCAGAACGCGTATCAGAAATCAGCAACGCACCCATCCATCCGCTATTCCACTAGCCGCCCGCGAATTTCCTTCATCACGACTCGCCGGTGCTTATTGTTCCACGCCGAGTCCTGTCTGTGGAGTCCCCCGCAATTTCATCGCAGGGTCGATAGGGTTCAACGCGGCCGTCCGATTGCGTTTCCTTGGCTTTGAAGTTTGCCTCCAGGTCGACGGACCCAATTTCGGAATTGAAATCACAGAGTAACACCTTGCTTTAGTAATAATCAGGGCAAGCGTGACGAGTGACACGCCACCGTCGGCAAGCGATTAGTCTCCGCCGCGGACTCATCGTCTGGTACCCCATCACAGGCTCATCATCATCCACACAACCTCTGACAACTCACTCCCCCCTTCCCGTTATTATCCCCTCCTCCTCCTCCTCCTTCCCCTCCTTCGTTACTCTCCCCCCTCGACCTCCCAGCCTCGTAACAGCAAACCCATACCAATCGTTGGCCTTGCCTATTCTTCTGTATTCGCGACGACCTGCTCACGTGTACAATACCTGTGCTCCACATCCCCGGCAATCCCGACTAACGACTCGCCCGCGGGACTACGCAACACCCGTGCCCTGTCACCAGTCATCTTCTTCCTAGGTGTCCACCAACCACAGACAAGTGACTCCAGTCACGTCCTCGTTCAGACCCGGTAACCACGTGTACCGATTTGGACACCGTCAGCCGATCTTCCAGTCCTGCTTACGAACACCGCCTCGGCGTTGGACCCATCGTTCCTCTCGACCCAGCCCCGAGTCGCACGAATCCACGGCCTGTGCTCTCGACTGTGACTTGCCTCTGTATCACTCCACGTCCTGTAACAACCCGATTCCCGCACCTTTTAACGACCACCCCGGCGCTCTCATTCAACGGCGGACCTAGTTCATAATCACCGCGATTTAGGCGCCTGACGACAATCGACCGTTAGCCTTGTATTACTTGTCCCGGACTGCGCAGATAGTGTGCGCGTTCTCCGTCTGACGTAAGCTCACACTCCCGCTAGCCCATTTGTGCGCATACATCTGACTGTCATCCCCACGCCAGCACACATCCATGGACTTCAACTCAGCTCGCTTCTTACGTCCATCAGCTTATCTCAAGCAGACACTGCTATCATCACCGTCGTCATCTTATTCACCAACTACCGCACCAACACTTCCCAGCCATTGTTCACCACAGCTGTCCGCTTCCCCCCCCTCCACATCATCATCCCTCTCGAACCCACCACTCAACTCCATCCTGCAGGTTATGGGTAACGAGCGTCAAGAGATGGAGGACGATTCCTGGACAGATCTTCTCAATTTGGGCAGCCAGAGCACCAATAGCACCTTGCGGGCCAGTCAGCTCAACACCCAGATGGAAACCCCAGCGTTTGGTGGCTTTTCCGACGATTTGATCTTTCCCATCGAACTCGAACACCATCGCTCCCCCTCCAATCATGCCTCGATTCAGGATATATTCCCATCACACTTCAGCCCCATCTTGTCATCGGTGTCACCGTCACCAACGTTCATGCATGCCATGCCTGGATCCGGCCCTGCCTCGATGCCCTTCTCACCAGTGCATGCTATGACCCCAGAGCGGAGATACTTCCAACAGTCACCTCACGCTGCCGAGATTGCCCTGCAGAGTCGTATGTCACCCTTCGCCGGCTACGAATCCGAAGGGTATCAGACGGATCCACTGTCTCCGTTGACGAACGGCCAATTCAGCAACATGCATTTGTCGGATACGATGTCGAGTCCGATGCAAGGATACATGACCAACATGTCTCAATCTGCACCAACGCAGCATGTACCGTTTGCCGACATCTTCCTATCAAATGGGTCACTCAATCCTCTAGCAACACAACTGCGCACTGCACCGGCGCTATCTCCATCGCCAAAGATTGAACCGGAGCCCGAATTGGACGCCAATCATGCTGATGATGACGACTCCGTTGACTCGACACCAGAACTTGATACTGACGATGCCGACCGACCTGTGCGCAAGCATACGCGTATCCCTCTGCCAATTCCAGTGCCGAATTTGACAAAGAAGTCCCGTGGGCGCCACGTACCAACCCTCCCGTCTTCGCAAACAGGCCAATTAGGCATCATGCATAGTGCCAGCTCGAGAGATGAAGTGATGGCCGCTTCGAAGATCGCCGCGGAGCAACTGGCAAGCGGTGAATGGCGAGCATCTGGCATCAAGGGAAGGACGTATTTGTGCAAGATCTGTGGGAAGTGTTTCCAACGTGGGGAACATTTGAAGCGCCACGTCCGCAGCATTCATACCCATGACAAACGTCAGTTCATTTTTAATCAGTATATGGTGTACATGCTGACGTGTGTTGAATCAGCCCATGAATGCCCCGAGGCCGGCTGCGGGAAGGTGTTCAGCAGACACGACAACCTGTGCCAACATATGCGTGTGCACAGGAAGGCATGACGTCGTGGACTGCCGCGCCCTTTCTTGGACATCCTTCTTACGACACTTACGACCCACATGTGTACATATCTTCATCACCTCTCTTCTCTTTCATGACCTGCGCAATCAGCTGGACACTCTTTCATTCGCCTCCTACGCTCTGTCTTGACACTATGGCTATTCCGCGCTACCTCCATTTCCAATTGAGCCGCGGTTCCTTCCGCTCCCTCGTCTCTATGCTTATCTCACTGTCTTTTCGTCCTTGTCTCTTTTCTCACTCTCTGTTTCTCTTCTTTGTCTGCCTCGCGCCGGGCGCCCTCTGTACAAGTACTTGCTCAAGTAGCCACGCACGCTCGCAGAACCGAACCACGCAGATGTACGATACTGTACCCACACCTGCATACGTAGTACCCCTCCCGCGTAGGACGCACACGACAAATACCTACCATCCTTTTCTCTTATTCCTCCTTCACGGCCTATGTTGCCAGCTGCGTTTGTCATTATGCCTTTTTATATCCACTTTTTTGTGTTGATATTGGTCTGATGCGCGAGGGGTATGCAGCGCAGCACGCTCGACAACCTGTATTGTAACTTCTCCTAGTCAGACGAATACCAGGGTCTATGTCCTTTTGAAATCGATGGCCCTAAATGGCATCGACCTAATATTATGGTATGGATTGTTCTAAAACGAGCATGTTCGCATTGACGGCGACTCGGACTCAGAAGGCCATATGACCTTTCCAGTAGTTGCCGCCGCGTGAGTGATTATCACACTTCATTTGCAACAAACCACCATGTGCAGTTCTGATAATTCGCTGCCAGTGAGCAGTACCCATCTGCCTCCCGCCGAGCTACTCGCACATCGTGCGTACGCATCCAACAAATTAGACAATCGATCATAACAGGAAGCCGACAGTGACGGATGTACACTGCCATCCCACCGACTCGGATACCCCCAAGGACGTGATGGAAGCCCTCGTGATCCGGGTATGCGCAATGGCGACGCGCTCGGATGATCAGGAAAAAGTGGCTGATCTAGCAAGAGAATGGCCGGATAAGGTCACGCCTTGCTTTGGTGGGTTCTTGTTGAAAACAGAGTCCCCCGGTTGACATTGTATGATGACCCAGGCTATCACCCGTGGTTCTCGCATACGATTTCTCTGCTCCAGAAGTTACCAAATAAAGAGGAGCATTATGCATCGATTCTTCTCTCTGGGAAGGATGCGAGCCCAGAGAATAGTCTAAAGCTACAGGAGATGCTCCCGCTCTTGCCTGAACCCCGTCTTCTGAAGGATATTGTTGCTGAAGTCCGAAATAATCTGGTAGCTCATCCGCAGGCAATGTTGGGCGAAGTTGGGCTGGATCGTGCATTTCGCATACCCATGCGCCCGTATCCTTCACCGCCGCCCCGAAAACTGTCGCCTTTCTCTGTACCAATGGGGCATCAGCTCGCCATCCTGGAGGCGCTGCTTGGAGTTGCTGTGGCATTGAAACGGAACGTCAGCATGCATAGCGTGAAGTGTCAACAGGTCACGGTGGAACTGTTCAAGAGGATGAAGGCACTGCATAACGAGAAGTGGGGCAGTATCAACATCGACTTGCACAGCTGTGGATTTAGTGCTGAAACATGGAAAGAGGTCGAGGTAGGGCACTTTTGCATTAGCCGCCAGTGAAACTGACGGGAACAATAGCGCAATTATCCGAACGTATATTTATCCCTCTCAACCACGATCAACGCTAAAAATGGAGGGGTTGCGGCGCTTATCCAGGCTGCGGCGGAAACTCGTATTCTGATCGAGTCTGACTGGCACGACATCACCTTATGCACGGGCAGTGCTTGGGATATACTGAGATATATCGCCGAAGTGAAAGGTTGGAGGGTTGAGGATACATGGGAAGAACACGTACAGGGCGAACCGGGTGCTGTACGCCGGATTGAAGAGAATTGGAATTCCTTCAAGAGTGGTGGAAAAGGTCTTGCGCCTGAGCACATCGCCTCTAATCACAGAGATCGAAGACGTAGAGATCACTCCGTCGACGAGCTGGATAGCGATGTAGAGGAGTAGGTATGATAGCTGTACAACTGAATGATATGTACTCAACGATCCGAGCTATGAGGTCTCTTCTGCTGGGTGTTCCGCTGCTGCTTGTCGTTGTCGGGATGCCTCCATCGCTCTCTGGATCACCTCTCTTTGCTCCTGCTGCTTCCGTAGTGCCTTGACCTGTCGTTGCCGTTTCCTCCTACCGTTACCCCGCTTTGGTCCGTCCACCTTGATGTCTTCCATCAGTCTCTTCTCCCGCTGAGCTTGCAAGTCGGCTCGTAGCTTCTCGCGCTTGCGATCTCGTTTACGCAGCGTTGACATCGACTTCTTCAGCAAAGTTCCATATGCGGAATGATATTTTTCTAAGTCATTTGGGGATATCTGTGGACAGCTTTAGCGGGACTATCTCGAATGAACAGCCGCGCAACGCACTCGTGTTGAGAACTTTGTGTGTCCATCCGTCGCCCTCAGCAGCACAGAAAACTCCATACCATCCTCTTCTCCCCCTCCATTCATCTTAATATCCTCTCCCTCGTGTACGTCTGTGCCTATTTAGCTTCATTCAGTGGCCCCTGAAGCCACGCACATCGTTTGTGGGTAAGCCAGACTGAACCCTTTCGTGTTGTATGGGCGAATAGGTCAGATAATTTTGTGAGGAACTGCCAGGTTGTGTCAGTACCGTCTCTTTCGCAGTGATATAAGCGCTGACAGTGTCATTGTCGACAAGATCCATTGTACATTAAGGATATTGATGAGGTCGTGTGCAGTCATGTAGTTGTGCGCCAAAACCACAGGAAAGGCACACGAATTGCTTCCACTCGGCCGGCACGTGGATGTAATAAGTGCGGACCTTGCATGGGCATCAGTGGACTATCGCTGCATATCCACATAGAAAACCCCGCGTTGTTCCTCTTGCTGCTGGAGTTCTTGATATACCATCCTCGGAATGCCCCCAAAGGACAAGGCGAAGCAGGATCTGCTCATCGACTTCGACGATGACGACGAATGGCAGGACATGCCGGTCCTCAAGCCCGACGACCCATTCTTGAATCTCGACGAAGAGGACCAGAAGAAGTTCCATTACATTGCGCCTTCGAAGTCATCAGCGCCGAAACAAATTGGCAATGCTACGGGAAATCTTATCGACTTCGATGATGAAGGCGTTGAATGGCGGTCGAAACTCGACAAGGGACAAGAAGAGACGTATACCCGACTGCGGCTGGACGAAGATAACGACAATGACGAAGTCCACATGCAAACGAAGTATCTATTCAATGAGGATAAAGCCATGACTCCGTTGAGTCAAATGCAAGCAACAAAAGAGCTCTTGACCGAGTCTCAGAGGATCGCATATGTCGGTTTATGCTCACTTGCTGCGCGGGAAATGATCGAGGGGCTCAAGAAGATGCCAGCTCGAGAGATTCAGAAGGCGATTCAGAGCGCGGAGAACTGGTCGCTTAAGATTATGGGACGTCTATATCATCACATGGAGCTAGAGACTGCAGGTGTGTCGCATTTAGCTCGAGCGGGTGTTTGCAGTCTTGACTCCGGTCACAGAACAGAAGATGATCGAGAGCCTAGCAGAGCATGGTGTAACTGCCGCCGATCTAGCACCTGCACTAATGACCACGCATACTGTCAAAAATCCAGACTACGACCCGATCGAAGCGCGGCGAAAGAAGGAAGCCGAGGCCATGGAGGAGGAGAATCAGCAAGTGATCCTGCAGTCTCCGTTACCCGGAAGATTATCTCCAACTAGCTCGGATGTTTTCAATCCGTTTGTCGATGCACCAACGACTGGCAGCTCGTTACCGCCTGCTCCTCACTCTGAAGAGTTCGGCGGCGACGCTCATGACGTTCTCACACCTCGACCGGGTGACACTCTGTTTGGCAACATCCAGCCAGTTCTTCCAGCTGCCGATCCAGGCTTAACTACGCTGGAGGGTACATCAACAAATGTATTATCGACAGACGAGAACATGACGCTCGACATTCGATGGACAGTCTTGTGCGACTTATTTCTTGCCGTCATCGCTGACAGCGTATACGATGCGCGCTCACGCGTCCTACTGGAAACAGTCGCTGTCAAGTTAGGCTTAGGCTGGCTTGACGTGGTTCGTTTTGAGAAGCGCATTACGGAGGCGCTGGAAATAGAGGAAAATGTTGAGAAACTGGAGAACGACGACGTGCTGCAGACACGCAAGAAGGCGGCAATGAAGAAACGATTGCTTATGATGGGCTTAGCAACTTTGGGTGGCGGTTTGGTGATAGGATTAAGTGCTGGATTGCTCGCGCCGGTCATTGGCGCCGGCTTAGGTGCTGCTTTCACAACGATCGGTGTAGGCGGAACGGCCGCATTCCTTGGTGGGACGGCTGGAGCAGCTGCCATCACGACTGGTGGTGTGTTGACCGGCTCAGGGATCGCATTGAAGGGCATGGCAAGGCGTACGACGAGCGTCAAGACGTTCAACCTTCTGCCGCTCCATAATCATCGACGAGTGAACTGTATTATTACTATCCCTGGGTACGTCGCGTCTGACCATAGACTTTGCGTTCTCTGACATCTTCATAGGTTCATGGCATCCTTGGAAGACGATGTTCGCTTGCCGTTCAGTGTCCTAGATCCGGTCGTCGGCGATGTATTCAGCATATTTTGGGAACCACAGATGATGCAGGAGACCGGAAATGCGCTCAGAATTCTCACGACCGAGGTTTTAACGCAGGTGGGACAGACGGTGCTTCAAGCTACGGTTATGACAGGTCTGATGAGCGCCCTGACGTGGCCTCTGAGTGCGTACCTTTGATTTGTCCCAATGAATTTGACTCACAGGTTTTCAGTTCTCACAAAGCTCGGATATCTGATCGACAATCCATGGTCAAACGCGCTGGATCGCTCTGTCGCCGCTGGGCTCATTTTGGCCGATGTTCTCCGGAAACGCGCTCTTGGCGTACGACCAGTGACCCTCATCGGCTTCTCCTTGGGTGCTCGAGTCATCTTCTATGCTCTTGTTGAGCTAGCAAAACAAAGAGCCTACGGCATTGTGCAAGATGTAGTAATGTTAGGCGGTGCCATCACTGCCTCGACGAAGACATGGCACGCAGTCCGAAGCGTAACCGCCGGTCGCTTAATAAATGGATATGCTCGAAACGATTGGGTCCTGAACTACCTTTTCCGTGCTTCTGTTGGCGGCTTATACACCGTCGCTGGCCTGCGGCCAATCGAGGATGTTCCAGGAATTGAGAACGTGGATGTAACAGACAAGATTGCTGGTCACGCTAGCTACCGGGTCTACATGCCAGTCATCTTGCACCAGCTAGGGTTTCCGGTTACAGCGGATTACTTTGATGAGCCGGAGGTATGTCATGTTCGGCTGCACTAGACGATCAAGTAACATGATTATGTAGGATCTTGAAGAAGAGCAGAACTACTCTCTAGAGGGAGTACAAGAAAAGAAGCGCCGCTTCAACTTCTTCTCAAGAAGGCGAAAGAATGAACCCACGACGAGCCAGCCAAGCACCCCATTACCAGCAGCAAACCCTTGGTCCGGGACGAAAGGTGTGGCCTCAGTCACGGGGGCCACAGGAACTTCTGCTGGGATCACAGATGCACCGGCGGGTATGACTACAACCAATGGTGCGGATGAAGACTTGCCGGAGCGTCTCGATCATTCGGTCGCCGTAAATGGTAGTTCGGGACTGTCAGCATCCGGACAATCAACTCTACAGCCTCCATCAATCTCCGCTCTAGGCAGCGGATCGGCCAATAGCTCTACCGTGTCCCTCCCTGCGAAGGCAGGTTTCGACTTCAATGCGATCGAACAAGTCATCTCGGAGGAAGGGCCAGCTGATGGTCAGGATGCACACAAAGCAATCGCGGCACCTATTCCTCGCATCACCGCTGAATCTAGAACTGTGCCAAGGTCCGAGTCAGCCCCAGCTCAGCCCGACGTCCCAACGCGCCCACCGTCTGCATATGGTTCTCAACTTCGACGTGAAGATGGTATGAGAAGCACGGTGGATATCCTTCCCAAGTTTGAACGATCATTCTCGCTACGCGATACTGAAATTGCTGCACCGTCTGCTGATGTGTTTTCCAGCACAAGCATGTCGAACACCCCATCCGAACCGCCGAAGGCACCCGCAGTCTTTTCGTCTCCATCCACCATCGACTTTGGCGCCAGCAACATCTGGTCCCGTGCACGCACTACTCCTGAGGAGCCCGTAGGTCTTTCGTTTGGTTCTTCCGATGGATCTTTAAGCTTTTCGCCTCCCCTGCCGTCTTCAAGCCCATTTGCAGCCCCTGTACTGTCATTTGAGACATCCAAGCCCAGCCTATCGTTTTCTTCCACTATTTCGCCTGCTGAAAAGGACCCATGGGCAGCTCCTGACGCGAACAAGGCGGCAAAGAAGTTTAACGTTTCAGATAATCCTTGGAGTTGACAAGCTGTACCTCAGGTCTGTTGTATCTTTTTGTTGGCTTTCATTATAGGCACCGTGTATTATATGCAGTTTTCAATGCCAGTCTCCTAACTCAGATATCAAGATATCATCCAGTAGCTCCTGCAGATATCAATGTATATTTCGATCGATCAATCTGTGTCTAGCCTACAGTCACAAACACGGAAATTTGCTTCACGATGTGATCATAGTGTAAGGGAAGGTGGATTTACTCGGACATAATGAAAGAAGACTGTTGCAAATTATAATGTCTGAACATGCGCTTTGTTATGAATCTTGCTTGCTGCCATGTAAGTCTTGGTCCAGGCAGTGGTTCTTGTACTGATGAGCAAGACTGAGATGAGGACTTGAAGTGCGAAAATATATGCTTACACGAAATCGGATAAGCTGGCCACGGGGACTCGTTACTCGGAATCACTCGCCACTGGGTTCCGAAAATGCGGTCAGCTCTGAAGCCGATTGCCCGCAAAGCCTGGAGAAATCCTTCCCAAGTCACATCGCTGTCTTCCATCTCAGACAATGGGCCGAAGAGGATTTGAAGAACTCGGAAATTCTTCTTCTTTACACCAACAGTGATCAACGGCTGTCCTACGCATGAGATGTCGTGGGAGTGAGCTGAAAAGTCTAATTAGCCATCGTGGCCAGAAGATTTTGCAGTAGCATCTGATCATTGCTTACCAGGCGAAATATCTTCGACGTGTCTGGTGTCTCCGTACGAGCCATTACTCGACTCCCCAAGCTCATGACAGCCGGGATCAAAGTGCTGCCAAAGAAGCTGTAAGGCTCTTCGTGCCTTGTTTTCTTGGACCTGTGACGGCACATTTCCATCGAACAAGTATCGCTCCTGGAACATTGTGGGAACAGCAGTGGTTGTAGACCAACCCTGGACACATCCGACATCGCCGCGGAGTTTATCTCTCTGCCCAATCCTCTGAGCTTCGGACAGGAAATAGCGGCGATCCGGATGAATGGATATTTCCAGCAGGGCGTTGTCGCAAGCCTGGAGCTCTGAGACAATGTCGTGGATCACAGCTGGTAATCGACCGCGTTGATGGATATCTTTTTGTATGATTTCGTCCACCACTGCGTAGAGACGAGGAAGTTGAATAACTTTCACGAAACTCGTCTCGTCGCCCAATGTCCACAGAGGATCAATGAGATCAACGAGGGCATTTTGTCCAGCTTCTCTTCGTGACACAGTTCTTAGAAAAGTCACCTTACTTGGAACAAACCCGCTCTGTTTGGTACGCTGAAATAGGTGTTTGAGAGTAGGTGCATTGATGATCATACCATGGAGCGACTCTCGCCGCTCCACAATGAAGTCTAGAATGACGTGAAGCCTTGCCAAAGTTTCTTCCGTTGTGCTCAACATCAGCTTTCCTCTTGTCTCAGGGCAATCGGACTCTTCAGCCATGGAACGAGCGTCTTCATGATCCGCCTCTGCTAAGGGTGGAGTTGTTGGTTTTCGTGAATCGTTTGCCGTCAGATCACGTTCATGGCAGTCGTTATTGTTTTTTTCTTCAGATTTGTGGACGAGGCCGAACAATGTCTGGACATGACTCCAGGCTAACGACCAGAGCTTGAGACTCTCATATTCTGCGATCACGAGCTGTTCCATTATCGCATGCCAGTCGCTTTGTTCGAGTTTTCCGTTCATGCCACGCAACGGATAGAGGGCTCTCGTTTGCAGTCGGGTGTGAAAGTAAACAGGATCCGTTCTAAGGAGGATCCAATTGTCCTGGACGTCCAGCAGTTTGGAAAGAACGAGGTTGATCAACTTCTCTTTCGAGAATTGTATAGGGTGAGAATAAGCGCGGAGGCGATATCGTTCGATAGGAGATCGTGAGCTCAGGTCAATTATATCGGCCATGGTCAATGGCAAGTTGTCTTTCGGAGGTTTGGATAAGTCGATATCAGAAAGCAGTAATTGACTAAATATCCAATCGTCAGATCAATTCAGGAAGGAGAGGATTGACCTACACGATATTGTATAGGAACTTGATCACCTTTATTTGAAAATCGAGCACAATCACGCCCAGACTGACGCCAACCACACCTCCCAGCATGCCTTTGTGTTGTCTTTTCGCCTGTTCGTCCAGCGATATGAGGCATGCGTAAGAGTCATTGTCTCCACTGAGAAGTACGAGCCAGGGACAATGGAATCCTTCGAATGATTTTGTGTTCTTGTCGTAAGGGACCCAATCGGACAGCCTGTAAAGCGTACGGGTCGCCAACAAAGACATCAGGTTTGATCCAGTCGACAGATCCTCCACATTCATAAACGACTCGTTCGGTCCACGGTTGAGTTCGATCCTTCCTGGAGGGAGGTCGAAAGGGACTTCCAATATAGCTGGGAAAGCGGTCTTGAGAAAGCTCTTCCGTTTCTCCTTCTGTCTCTTTTGCCAACGATTCGCCATCGTCCGACCATGAGCCTTTGAATGGGTAAGTGTTATCGTCATCACGAAACGCGGGTATATGCGTACCATACATACGCCCCGCAGTTTGCCATGAAGCTCAACTAACTCTGCACGCAGCTCACCCACCCTGTTCAGATACGCCGCCGCCTTTTCTGAGTCATCCTCCACCCACTTCAACTTGCTGATGGGCACGATCATGCCTCACTTGAGGAGCATGCTATAGGTTCAGCCTAGAGCATTAATGCCAGAATATACGTGTAGTAACAGTATCCGGAGCTGTCAGAAAGGGAAAGTCTGCTTGTGGCGGAAAGGAGGAGAGGGAGTGAGCTGCATTGGGGCAGGTGGGCCCAAGCAATATATTCTGTTGCTTCTTTTGGGTCCGCACTGATGGGCGAATCAACTACTATTTCTCTACATACCGCAAATAGCGTATATTTCCGGCTCATTGCAGCTGTTTACTGGTATAACCTAGGAGACCCCACAAATGAAAGGACAATGCAGAAAACAACATTACCTTTGTCGGAACACCCGAGTCGTTTGACCAACACAGGAGCCTCAGAGCCGCGTATTTCCGCAATCTTTCTTCCTCTATGCAGACCCAAGCTATAGTACATAGTGTATACTATAGCATGGGCGTACATTAGGTGCGCTATTTGCAGCATACAATGTATGGTACAATTGGATGATGGGCGCCTCTCCTCTCCTTAGTTGTTCCTCCACGTACTGCACAAGCGATAGCCCAATTTCGACAACGTACTTGTACCTCTGTCATCCGTCGTAGTCACCAAACATAGGGCGATGCGCCTCAGTTTGGCGTGCCAACCTGTATGGTCCAACCGATTTTATAGAGGAAGAAGTGGGCGTAAAGTTTGACCATCCCAAGCTTGTTGACACAATGCCCGAAGATACCTTGGTTCGGGAAGCATAGGTATCTGCCAGGTTGAAGACACTTCAACAAGGCACTCGAGTGCCTAAGTCTTATTGTCTTTATGGAGAGCGACATAGACGCCGAAGACGAGGTTGAGAACGAAAGCCAGACCACAAGGCCAGCCTTTGAAGTGTTCTGCTCAATTAAAAAAAAAACATATTCCATGTGTAGCCGGGGTCTCGGCTCGTGGGATCTTGATGCACTCCTGTTGGCGTAATTTCGGGAATTTTCTAGTGAATTTCAACGTTGTACAAGAAGAGCCAGGTATGTACATATGAATGAGGTGGAATCCCACCATTTACTCAAGCTGTTGACCAAGTGAGACGGCACTAGTGCATAGAATGGAACAATGCTAGCGCTATGAATGCTAGGACCCCTATCTGAGCTCACACAGCACTCAATAGGGTCCAGAATTTTCAATGATACATTACTCCTTTTATGTTCAAACGCGGTTCAAGTCTGACTCGACATCGCATTACTTGCTCTGTTACACATCGATCCCTTGTCTTTACTCGCCCAACCTTGAAATATCCAGTCATGGCAGATGCCGACGCTCTTCGTGCAAAGATGAAAGCAAGTGGTGACCATGTGCGGACTCTCAAGTCCCAGGGTGCGCCCAAAGAGCAGGTCGAGGCCGAGGTAGCCAAGCTGCAGGAGGCTAAGAAGGAGCTTGCTGAGGCGACCGGGGAGCCTCTAGGAGAAGAGAAGGGGAAGAAGGGAAGAATGGCATTGAAAACGGCGAAGGTTTGTAAGAATCCATTCTGAGGTAAGCTCTTGCTCATTTTGAAGTAGGGGACACGAGACTGGGCTCCGTCAGATATGGCTTTACGAGAACACATCTTTTCCACTCTCACGAGAGTATTCAAGAAGCATGGGGGATCCACGATTGATACTCCGGTTTTTGAGCTCAAAGAAATTCTGGCGGGCAAATATGGCGAGGATTCTAAGCTCATCTACGATCTCCAAGATCAGGGCGGGGAGCTTTGTTCGCTTCGCTATGACTTAACTGTACCTTTTGCCCGTTTTCTTGCCATGAATCCCATTCACTACGCCAACATCAAGCGATACCACATTGCGAAAGTATACCGACGAGACCAGCCAGTCATGACGAAGGGACGTATGCGCGAGTTCTATCAGTGCGATTTCGACATTGCCGGTCATTATGATCCGATGGTACCAGATGCAGAGATTCTGTGCATTGTATGCGAAGCACTGGGTGAGCTTGAGATCGGTGAATTTACGGTGAAGGTGAGTGTTCAACGGAATTTCGATTGATTATACTCGTTCCTGACGCTCGAGTTAGATCAATCACCGCAAAATACTTGATGGTATATTTGCCGTCTGTGGTGTACCAACCGAGAAGACGCGTACCATCTCTTCAGCTGTAGATAAGTTGGACAAGCTCCCGTGGGCCGAAGTGCGCAAGGAGATGACCGAGGAGAAGGGCTTAGACCACGAAGTCGCCGACAGAATCGGAAAATACGTCATGTTGAAAGGTGGTCCTGAGCTGCTTGATCGATTAAAGAAGACTGAATTAGCCAACAACGCTATGGCAAAACAAGGCATGGATGATATGGAGCTGCTGTTCACGTACCTTGACATATACGGTATCAGTGACAAGGTGGGTTACGCACCACATGGCACATAACTGTTTGCTGACGGCTTCCCAGATGTCCTTCGACCTATCCCTCGCCCGTGGTCTCGACTATTACACGGGCATCATCTATGAAGCTGTTACTCATGCATCAGCACCGCCCGGCTTCACCACCGTCCCCTCAGTACCATCCACAGAAGCCCAACCTAGCGATCATCACTCTGGCCCTTCTGCCCCCTCATCCAAATCGAAGAAGCCTAAGAAGGACGCGGAAGGAGAGGAGGAAGTGGATGAGGCGACCGTCGGTGTTGGTTCTATTGCTGCTGGAGGAAGATACGACGAGCTCGTTGGCATGTTCATGTCCGCGGCCGCTGGCGCGGGTGGCTCCTCGAAGAAAGCTGCTGGCATCCCTTGTGTGGGTATCAGTGTTGGCGTCGAGCGTGTATTTTCCCTCTTGAACCAAAAGGCCAAGGCAGACGAAGAGAGTAGATGGGGTCGGAGTAAAGAGACTGACGTCTTCATTGTTGCGGTTGCGGAAGGTCTTCTAGCCGAACGGATGAAGTTGGCCAAAGAGTTGTGGGATGCAGGTATCAAGGTATGCATTATCTCTTGAGTTTGCAGAAAGGTGGCCTCTCTGAACATGCTGCAAATAGGCTGAGTTCATGCACAAGGCAAAGCCCAAGTTCCGTGCGCAGTTCGAGACTATTGAGAAAGAGCGAGTCCCATTTGCAGTACTGCTTGGTCCGGATGAGGTGAAGCAGGGTGTTGTAAAGATCAAGGCACAAAAAGGAAAGGAAGAAGGCAAAGAAGACGAAGGCGAAATTGTAGAACGAGTTTGCCTTGTTAGTTGGCTCAAAGAACGACTATGACCTCAGATGTGCACGGTTGGCACGTTGTGCCTTAGATAGATGTCAAATGTGATGTGATGTACCCGCCCAAAGGATCCTGCCATCTGCGGACAACATCATATCCGACCAGAAGACATCTCCAAGACCGGTGATCTGATTGACAACTTGCTTTTGGTGGACGGAAATGATATCGATGGTAGCGTTGCGGATGTGGTTGATATACGCCCACTGTCCGTCGGGGGAAAAGAGGACTTTGCTGGGTCCGTCTCCAGTCATGATGCGCCCAATCACTCCCCCTTTGAGACCGTCGATGAGCTCCACTTCCTGAAGAGCACGCGCAGCAACCCAGACTGTGCGGTTGTCGGGCGCGAAAAAGGCTTCGTGTACCGCGCGACCGGCAGTCGTGGCAGAGACAATAGAGTTGTCGAGTGTACGAATGACGGCCACAGTGTTAGTGGCGACGCTGATGGATACGATGTACTTGCCATCACGAGAGAAGCCGAGCCCATGTACGTTGACGACCTTAAGGTATTGAGGTCCAAGCACATCGGTCAAACGCGAATCCCCGAGGATGATCGTGCCGAGGACAGTATTATCAAACGGGCGGATAACCGTGATCGTGTTCGAACTCTGATCTCCGGTATAGATTCTGTCGCTGGGATCTATGGGACGGCCAGCGCCTTGTATCGCTAGTGACTAGACCTGAGCGGCGCATCGCAAAACCAAGGAAGCTGTAAGCAGCACGAGGGGACCGACAATCTTCATGGTGAATTTGGGGAGTTATCGCCCGGTTTGGCCTGATTCCTACATACGTTTCCTCCTCCATTAAATGCTTTCTTTTCTTTTCTTTCCAAGGTCGTGTTTTCTCACTTCACAGTAGCTTGGCACCCCGTGACATCCCGCAATGCGGACGTTCCGTAAACGTCATCATCGAAGGTTGGTATTATCTTTCAGGGAAACAACCCAAGCGAAGCTGCCTTGGAGATCCTGGGAAGATCGCTTCGCCGGGGTTGACTGAATTCCAAGTATGTCGGAGAAGAGGTCCCGAGGAGAAGTAAGCATGGGCGCTCAACATCCCCATGCGGGGATGCTGTGCAGCCTCTGCGACACCCATTCAGCCAGGACGGGCGCTTGATGCGTTGGCCCGTGGCTTCCGAGGCCGATCCGCTTCTGCTGGGAGTTGTCATTGATGGCCGAACATTCCGACTGGAGCTTCTATCGTAATCGTATTTGTACTCAATTTATTGACATGCCGACAGGATGAGTGTCTGGCTGCATACCGGGCCGACAATTTGGCCATGTCCCTGCCGATAATTGGCTCAATGTATACCACAAACGTAATCAAACAGCAACTCATTGGTTTACGAAAGGACACATGTACCACCACTTTTGACCTCCGCTACGTCTCGTGCCTTTCTCAGGGCGTCCTCGACAACATTCAAAATGGCTAGCACCCTCTCCTCGTCATGACGCCGTCCAACCAGCTGTAAGCTGATTGGGGCATTGTGATATCGTTCCGTATCCCAAAGCGAGTGAATGTATTGCTCTGTCGGATTCCGAGGCCCAGGAAGCTCCCATTCGTATTTGGTATCTTTCTTATGCCGTCCAACCGGGAAAACGACTGAGCTGTAGTCCAGTAAGTTCCAGTAGGAACTGTATCCCCACCAACGTGTGGTATCGTGGGCTGAAGCCAATGTCGGATGACAAGGACAGAGGATCGCATCAAACGGTCGTCCGGTAGTTGTGCTCGATATCGTCTTGTTCCAGTATTCAAGAGCCTGGGTTCGGATAGATTCACGTTCGACATTCAACGGCCATGTTTCTGCCGCCGTGTACAACCGGGTATTCTGTGATAAGATCCATGTTGTCTGGGGCACCGCGGGCTCACCAGCTTGGCTCAGGGTATCGTAGTATTCTTTCCCGCCGTCGAGAAGATAGATCTTTGTCTGGGATTGAATTAGTACCTGAGTTTGAGTGAATTAGTGAAAATACGCACAATCAGCGTCCAGACGGCCATGTGGTGGTTCAGAGTCTGCCAGTCCAACACCTCGTGCCCAGCAGCCAGCAATGCACTCTTCACCTCCTCCAGCGCGGCCCGAATAGGGGGATGCGGCGCGACGACCCCGTCGTCCCAAAGAATCGCTATTGACAACCTCTTTGGGAGACCTTTGCCCTTCGCAACCTCCTCCTGCCAAGGCATGCGCAGTAGCGGGGCTTCGAGAAGCCAGGGCTCGTACTGCAGCATGACCCGGCAGAACAGCTCCAAGTCGCGTGCGGAAGTCGCAAGTGGTCCGAGCACGCCGACAATGTTGTCCATTCCTGCCTGAGATCCCATCAGGCCAGCATGTGGCGTACGTGCTACGGAGGGCTTGAATCCATACAGTCCGCAGAACGCAGCCGGGGTTCTGCAGGAGGTAAGCACATGGCGGGGAGACGAATTGATAGGGTGCACACCTGATGCTGCCGCCAATGTCCGTACCCACACCCATCGGGCTTCCATGTACCGAGATAAGCGCCCCTTCTCCGCCGCTGCTTCCTCCTGGGGAGAGTTTGCGATTGAAGGGGTTCAATGTCCGACCGAATACGTTATTATTTGTCTCAAGGGACTAGACGATAGATGAGTGAGAACGCTTCTATTAAAATGGACAATACTCACAAGAAGCGTCTGCGGATTTGCTGTCTTCGCGTATAATACCGCACCTGCTCGTCTCAAGAGTGCGACGGCAGTCGCGTCCGTGTCTGCGACGGTCTTGTTCGCCCATATGATGTATCCCGTCGAGGTGTCGGTTCCCTTGAGAAGAATGTGGTCCTTGACCGATACCGGAAGACCATGCAACGGCCCCATCACCTTGCCTGTTTTCAAGAGGTGTTTGTCGCACTCTGCAGCACGAGCCAGACCTTCCTCGAAGAAGATCTCGGTGAGGCAGTTCGTGGTGTCTTGTGCCACAATCGCGACCTTGATGAAGGCCGTGAGGACCTCGACAGCCGTATATTGCTTCGATGCAAGAGCAGAGACGAGCTCGGTAGCGTCATGGTGAACGATGACTTTCTCCTTGTCCGTGAGCTTCGACAGACAGAGTTGCGATACGTCGAGAACGTCGTCTCCAGGGAGTTGATCCAACCGCCACTTGGAGAGATCTTGAAGAATCGACTCACGCGTTGCCTGTTTCCGTCCCGCTATCAACTGCCATGGCTCGACCTGACCACCCCCCATCACAATTCTTGAATGATGGGAGGAAAAGAGGTCAAGAAAGACTGGGTAAGGTTGAGATGTCAGTTTGCGAACTTGTCGGTGCGTGCAAATGAATTGCTCCACGGCAACTCTTGCTCAGGTGATGGGTCAACTTGGCTCGGTATTCTGCCGGCTTATATATCCGATTTTCTTGCGCCTCACCCGTCAACTCAAGCCCATAAATCCGATTTAGCCAAACAGGGTAGTGTAACACGAGCGCTTGTGTGAGACCTAAATAATTGGGACTGCATTCGTCCCATTCGAGCGGATTAATAGGGCTCGCCGAGCACTTCCCCACCATTAACTACTTCCTTTAACAAAAGGGAGGTGCGGGAGTTCTATAGAGCGCATCCAAACTTCTGAGAAGATAAGAAGAATGCAGGCCGGGTTGAAAGGTACGGGCAACGTGGGCGCACATGAGACCCGCCCTATCTGATCCATCCCTCTATGGCACGATATCGGCAAGTTTTTGGGCTTCTCACGGGCGCTGAACTTCTCCTGAGCGGCCGTCAGCCCCGAATGGGGATTTCAATCTAGCTCACGAGTCAGACCGTCCCTCGCTCGGGTGTCTTCACGTTATATGTATGTCCAGGTGTTGCCCGATCGTTTTGTTTAATTGGTGTAAATGACGATGTTCCTCTACAGTCTCAGAAGTTCCATTTTACGCCCAAGAAGCCCGCTGGTGCTTCTGATTTAGGCAAGCCCCCCTCGACCCCATATTTCCGTATCTTGCGCGCCGCAAACTTTGGCTATGATGCAACGCGCGACACCCACGAAGCAGGCGCTCATCCCACGCTCCTCTGCCTGTGCACGGCAATTAATTACGAGCTTGGGAGAGTCCTTTCCCGCCAGCGCTCTTTCGTGCGCATCAAACCGCAGAGATCCGACTGATCGCTTGCGGGCAGCCCCGGGATCTGCCCGTGCTGGTACGCTTTTATTACGCAGCTTACGCCAAAACGACGGCAGAGTGTACTAGTCGACTCCGCTCGACGTCTAGGGTACAAATATTTTGTGGCCATTTACACGATGCACTATTCAACTTGACAAGACATCCGTCATTCGGGCGGCAAGTATTATGTAGAAAAGTGAAATTCCTTCGACAAAAGGAAAGGTAAAAATCGGCTGAATGAAATGTGCTTGATCAACACCTTTCTTCACTGCGGCACGTCTGGTGCAACCTCATCACAACTCAAGAGTCCTCTGGGGATACTAGATATATTACAGTGAGATCGCGCAACTGGTACGATCACAAAGCCGTGCAATTATAATAAATTATTGATTCTGAGAGGGTAGGGGTATACATGATTCGGTAAATAGTAGTCCCCATTAGGTTACAGCAGGAGGGACGGCCAACAACATAAGCTAGGGTATACCCCTGTCCATTATGCTTACATCAGAGATTCTTTTGGGTACCTTGCACTTCTTCACCAGTGACCTATATCCACATTGTCGAAGCCCAGCTCCAACCAGTTCTCCACAAATGCGCGTTCGCTGAGTGGCCGATCCCCGACGCCGACAAACCCTACTCGACCGTACACATGGGCGGCTGTCTTGAGGTCATGACCAACAAACAGGACTACGACTTCCTTCGTCCGCAGTACGCTAGCATGGGTAACAGCTTCGTCAGCGCGTTTCGAACATATGAAGAAGTGTCGGGCTTACTCATGGCACACGAAGGTGAGAAGATGTTTGGCGTAACCCTTCCTTCGATGGTTCATATGAGTGAACACCTTGGACACCGCGGCGACTTTGCTGGACTTCCGGGTAACCGCGATGATGCACACGACTTCGTACGCACCGGTGCCCGGAAGTGGTGCTTCACAAACATACAGCTCCTTCCGTCCGATAAGATACGAAGCTTCCTGGATACCCTGTTTAACAGAGAGTTTGTATGGATCGTCGTGCTAGGTTATCTCAGTCAGAAGCCCTTAGAACACATTCCGATGCGCGTACCGCGGAATCAGTGAATACGCTACAGAGCCTGCCAGCTTGGGTGATATGTGCCTCTGTGGCAAGACCCATCCGACATTCGCCAGCAAATGGCTGCCTGGGGCGAGCGAGGGTTTGGCGGGTGCAGAACGTGTGTGTGGCTTCGTAATAAGCAGGTCGTAGAATATAGTGACCGGTAAGGGTTTCCCAAACCGATGCTAGATATGCCGTAACAGGTTCCAACCCCACAATCGAGAAGACACGGTGCTCCGCAATCACTTGCTTCATTCGCTCGGCGAGGGGAACAAGACGCCGTTCGAGAAAGGCAGGCGAGAGAGCGTCCGAAGGATGGTTTGTGAATACAAAGACCGGCTTGCGACCGGTACAAGCAATAAGAAAATCAAGTGTTCGAGAGTTTTGATCTAGCGTCCATACGGAAATGTAAACGGCATCTCGTAGTAGTGGTCTACCGTCGGCTCCTCGATTTGACGGTTCCATTAACGATTCAGTCTTCCCCATATTTCGTATGTAGGCATCCCACCACCGCCGCCTTTCCAACGAAGACGGGATTTCTTCGCCATAGCCTTCTATTACCTGACGTTCGACCGCATCGGATAGGATTAGGTTGGCTTTAACGGGATTAGCTTCCAAGTCGGGGCCCGCGGCAAGCAGCATATCCCGAGCGGAGAAGTGTGTGTTAACGCAGATTATGGACGAGGGCTGACGTAAAGGCTTGAGTTGATTCCGGTTGGAAGAGCCCGAGAGAGCAGTAAGGTCCTTCATTATGTGACGTAGAATGTGGGATGAGAGTAGGATTCGAGCAGGGCGTATTATATGCAGGTACGCAGGATCCAAATAGCAGGGCTCGTCCGAAGAAGATAAGAAGAAACAAAGTGAGGGGTGTTGGAGGTGACACAGACGGATTGGTTGACAAGGACCGAGCTAGTGTTTATATAAGGGATTGTAAAGCGGTGCGAGGTCATGCTGACTCATGGATAACTGTGCTCTTGATTGACATTGAGTTTTTCGGATAACGAAAATATCAACATTCGGGAGATTGCCATTTCGCCTGCATTTGGAGCATTCGGGGACCGGAAGTTCCAGGTTCTAGGCCCCAGTACAGAGGTATACAGTATCCCGGGCCAATCACCCGGAAAAGGTTGGGCCAACGAGGTACGACCCATGATCAAGCACGGGTGTCATTTCAGGGCGGCAGCTCCAGTCATCATTCCAAGCTGGGGTTCAACGCGTACTACGTCGAAAGGCCGAACATCAAGAATCTCCGCATGGCGGGACTTGAACAACGTCAAGCGGTGCCGGGTATCACCAAGGTAGTATGCGATTCCCGAGGCAGATGGTGTCTAAACCGCAGCTAAAGGTGACTCCAGTGCCGTCAGAAAGGATGCGATCTTCTAAGGTGGATAGTCTGACTCCAGCTGATGAAGAACATGGGGCAAAGCACAGTAGCTCGCGATTGCATCCGCTCGGAGTCATAAGCTTCTGTATGAGATCTGTGACTGAGAACGAATCATTGTTTTTCTCACAGCCATAACATTCTTGCATTCGAATGCATCGCCTGTTCGAATATGGGTTTGGTTGATCTTCATCCCGGTCCGCTCTACTGCGCACAAGCAATTGGTCTCTTTAGTGGCAACCCTTAATCAGTTCGGCCGGCGCTAACGAAGAGGGAGGCAGTACACCGTGCGGCCGGTGCCTGCCTGGACAGGACGATTATAGCACCCGCTCCCGGAGTCTAAACACGGTGTCGTTATGCCAACCTTCGGCCGAGTTTGTAAGTACCAGATCCCAATCTAGCAATCGTTCCGAAGGGTTGGATTTCCAGCTCCAGGCTCTGCGGCGTAAGAGCGGATAGCCAACTCGTCAACAATGGACTGCGCCAGCAGCACTGCTCGTTGGGAGGGCATGAATACGCAGGTATCCGGTCTGCTTCTCGGAAACTTGATGGAAATTTGATTTATGTGATTGCAGATCTGCAAGCGTTTCCTTCTCATCAGCAATGCACAATTCGTCTCGGGCAGTTCGGGTTTGAAGTAGATAGGATTGTATGTGCAAAATAGTCCTAGCTGCGGGAGCCACATTATTACTACGATAGGTAGTCTTTTTAATACTAAAACTACAAGTGGCTGACGGTATAGGTCGCTTTTGATTAACATTAAGCAAGTGGATAAATAGATATGTTCGTTAGATGGCCCCGTCGTATTGGCTGAGCGCGTTCCAGTTCACCAATATCCACGCACAGTGTTGTTGAAACCAAACTCTATCCAGTCATCGACCTCGGGATGCGGCGGGTTCTCACCAACCCCAACGAATCCAACACGCCCGTACACAGTTGCCGCAGCCGGGTTATCATGAGCAACGTAGAGAACGACCCGGCTCTTGTATTGGAGCACTCTGAGAAGGCGATCAGCTCAGGGGACGGACTCCGGGTAGGCTGAACTCACTCTCGGCAAACAATGGCAACGATGCTGCGAGCAAAGCCCTTGCCACGCCACTGGGGAGAAGTGAAGACTTTGGAAATCGCAGCGACATCATCAGAGTCCCGGGTAACTGCGACGATGGAAACAACTTCCGCGCTCTGGGTTCTAGCGTCGAAGATCTCATAGACCCAAAGTTGACGCTTCGCAATCATATCAGCCGCTTCTTCGATTGCACCCTCTGGTGAAAGTGGGAAGATGACCTGCGGCGCAAATTAATGACGGCGATACAATTATAAAGAACACTTACGGAGTCATTCGCAAATTCTTCGCACAGGGGTGCAGCCTTCAGTATGTGACTCGCATCGGCCAATCGCACACGATGGTTCGGTGGGAGAGCCCGAGCGCCACTAAAAGTCTGAGAGGTGCAGAAGGTGTAAGAGGCGTGATAGAATGGCTGGATTGCTCGCGTCGAGCGGTCCATGTAGATGGAATGGCCGCTGATGTGAGCCCATATAGCAGAAAAGCTGCGAATGGGGCGAGTGGGACCGAATATGGAAAAGACCCGTTTGGACGGAATGACTTGAAGTATGCGACTGGCAAGGGCGCTCATCCTTGGCTGGAGGAAGTCGTCGGTGAATTCGGACTTCTCTTTGGGTGAGAAGAGAAACAGTGGCTTCTTGCCAACGCAAGCGAGCGCAAAGTCTAAAGACGTCACGCCAGCATTGACCGACCATACGGACATCCAGTAGGCTTCGCGATAAACGGGGAAAGCTCCCTCGCCCCCTGATGCACGTGCTTGCTGAGCCAAAATGGAAGATAGGCGCTCCCTCAACCACTGTTTGCTGTCATGAGCCGTCGGGATCGATTTGCCATTGCCTTCTTTGGCTTGGTAGGTGACGGCGTAAGGTAAAATCATATTGGCTCGCATTTGGTGGTGTTGGAGGATGTAGCCAGTTGCCAGCACAAAGTCGGAAGCCGATTCGTGGTTCACCACGAGGACAATGCCAGGCGCACGGGCCGGTACCGCACCCAGAGTGGCGCGACGAGCGGTGGGACTACGGGTGATGCCAGGCATGTTGAATTAGGCGGAGATTGTGGTGTAAAGTTTGACGTTTGGGGGTAAAGCCGTTGTCGCAAAAGTTAAACAATGGAGGATGCTAAATCGAGGAAAGACTGAAAGAGGAATAGGACGAGAAGTATAGTGGGAGAACGGGGGCCTTATTACTTGAAGGAGACTAGTGTAGGATTAGGTCGAGCTGGGGCCGTAGGATAGTGCTGAAGTGCGGGGGAGGAACCCTTCGTTGGGCGGTCTTATATACGCCGAACTAAGGGCAAGTGAGCTGACGACACAATTGATGAAAAGAGCGCCCAGACCTGTGCTGTGTCGATATACTTCCCATTGTCTAAGCGAGGAACCGAAAATTCAACCCCGGCATCACTTGCCTCTCTCGGACGAATCGCTGCATGGTTGATGCCTTCCAATCACGTTGATGGAGAGGTTACTGAATGTAGAGCGCAAATACACGGAGACGCCGTAAACTCCCATCCTGCGAGCGAGCTCGGCAAGGGGGGTTCACAGCACAGGTGTTTCAACAACACATGCATAAATCAGAAAACATCATCAACGGGAGAGGCAGAGGTGAGCGCTGCACGCAGTCCATGCAAGCGGGTTGGATGGGGAGCTGTAGTCGGTGCACGACAGTGAATCGACCCTCGAAAAAACAGGCAGCGCCTCAGAAAAAGATAGTAAAGATAGTGTATAATGCGCCCGTCATTCCATGTGGATCGGAGCCTGATGTGGTGATGGTCGGAAGTCGGTGCCGCCTGTGAAAAGTCCCTGAGTCGAAGTGAATGAAAAGGTAAACCATGAAGATTGCTTCTCCATGGGACATGCCACAGGTCGAAGCAATGGAACAACTTCCCGTGAGGTAAATGAACGTAGCCGATAGTACCGCGGCTGCATCGCCTCGCCATCCGCACCTTCTGAATGCCCGGATTAGTCCCTTCATTGGCTCCGTATAGACAATGCACAGCCTGGCCATCCATGACTTGGACAATCAGAGGTTTGCGGTGAAAATTGGATCTCAGCCGGGTGAGCGAGAGATGTGGCCAAGGGAATTTGTCTTCCACGTCGCGTGTGGTTGATGATTTCGACCATGCCCTAACTGAATCGCCATATTAGTTTACTAATATGTTCCTTTCATCGCCGAGAAGGATGGTGTATTACAGTGCCATTCTCGCCCTATGTGTGTCACAAGACCCCACGCCAACAATTTTGCACAATGTGGATCATTGTCGTGATCGAGCGCCGTGTGACTCGTCGTGATTCCGGAGAAATGCCTTTGCTGTGTCAAGTGGCAATGAGGACCGCGTTGATCAAAGATCAATGAGGTACAGAAGCAAGCCAGCTTTTGGTGAAGCGAATCGAGCGCCGGTCCAATTTCCTAAAAAAGCGGTCGTTGGAGATGCGCCGGGTCAAGTAGACATGAGGAGGATGAGCGCTCGCTGGCAAGGAACGGAAACGCCGGAGCCGTTGGGAGCACCTGTAATAAAAGTGGCGGGTGTTTACGCCCGGGTGGTGCTTCTCACTTGTTCGCAAGGTGGTCATGGGCGCATAATGCACTGGGCATCCAGCGCATCGCTGAGGTCCTGTTCAAACACTTTCCCCCTTTCCTCCTCTCTCTCCATCTCCGAGCGCTATGCAATATCTTCTCCGGTCTGGTTCGGTCGCAGTACTGCGCCGAGCCGGTGCTCGGTCGCTTGCAATCGGCGCCGCATCGGTCAAGCGGGATGTAGCCCGGGTGAGTGCTAAGACTGATATCATTTTTTTTGAATGTCAATGAACCTCTATTCAGCTCAAGATTGCTGAAATAGATTCACAATCAGCGCAGGTCGCACCACAGCTTATCGATGCTTTTAATCGCGAGCACGATTATCTTCGGATATCTCTCACCGAAAAGTGTAATCTACGATGTACGTCAGCATGTTCTCCTCAGGCTGTACCTAAGTATGCATGTTGAATATATGCGGGTACAGGTTTCTATTGTATGCCCGAAGATGGCGTAGAGCTATCCCCTCCTCAGCAGCTCCTCACGGACGACGAGGTTGTGCATCTGGCGGAACTCTTCGTTCGCGCGGGAGTAAGGAAGCTCCGACTTACTGGTGGGGAACCCACCGTTCGAAGAAACATTGTCGAGTTAGTTGGTATGTCTTGGGCGGTGTTTTGTCCTCTAATGGTGCTGATTGGCCCTGTCAAGGCAGACTGTCCGGCCTCCGCGATCTCGGCCTGCAATCAATTGGCATGACGAGCAATGGATTAGCCTTGCATCGCAAGCTTCCCGATCTGGTGGAGAATGGTCTAACACATCTGAATTTGAGGTTCGCTTATTTGACACCGCGAATCCGCAATATCTAACAGACTTCCAGCCTCGACACCCTTGACCAGTTCAAGTTCGAGCTAATCACGCGACGTCGCGGGCACGACGCGGTGGTCAAATCGCTTGACACTGCGTTGAGCTTACCCGGATTACAATCGGTCAAGCTCAACGTGGTAGTTGTGAAAGGTCTGAATGACTCCGAGGTGTTTGACTTTGTCGAAATGACTAAGGAGCGTCCATTATCCGTCAGATTCATCGAATTCATGCCATTTACGGGTAAGCATTCCCCGACCAAGGCGGAACTTGTGTGGGCTAAAGCAGCAATTCCTGTCCTCTAGGCAACAAATGGGACAAAGCGAAGATGGTTCCATCTGGGGATCTTCTACATCGCATAGCCTCGCGATATCCCAATGTTCGCAAGGCTGAAGATTCGCTCAACGATACAGCACGATCATACGAGATTCCTGGGCATCGAGGCAGCATTGCATTTATCAGCAGCATGTCTGACCACTTTTGTGGTACATGCAACCGCCTACGCATCACTGCAGATGGAAACATCAAAGTGCATTGTCTTGTGTTTACATTTACCACGCTTCCTGACTCCTGTACTCAGGTTTGCTTGTTCGGTCCGAATGAAGTGTCTCTACGCGACGCACTCCGCTCAGGGGCAACAGAGGAGGAACTGATGGGCTTGATCGGGATGGCTGTGGGGCGGAAAAAAGCGAGGCACGCAGGTATGGAGCACATTGATGTTGTGAATAATCGACCTATGATTCTGATTGGCGGTTGAGGTACGTTTGAAATTATGGTCTTTCTTGCGTAATCTCAGCTGTAACACCTTTTATCCAGGTCCCATCTTCTCCCCGTCTCCGAGAAGGCTGTGTCCGCCGTCCAGGCTTCTGATTCCCACTTTCCCATTATGGACATTGACGTCGTCACCAAAACATCGGCATTCCACCGCCGAGCACAGCACATTCATGCACACCTCGGCGGTCGAGGCGGCCGAGAGGTCCGAAGGCCCAAAGCTTTCGCACGTGGACGCATCCGGCCGACCCGCAATGGTCGACGTGACCGACAAGCCTGTGACTTCTCGGACAGCAATCGCGCAAGGCCGGATCTACCTCAACCAAATCGCTTTCGATCTTGTCACGGACCCGGGTTCCGTGACGGGACCCGCCAGCGAGCTGAGCCCAGTCACGACAGACCGGGTCGCCAAGGCGCTCTCTAAAGGCCCGGTTCTCCTCACGGCCGAGCTGGCCGGTATCCAAGCAGCCAAACGCACCTCCTCGCTCATACCCCTCTGTCATCCCCTCCCGCTCACACATGTTAGCATCACGCTCTCCCCTGAACAAGACGATGATTCGCGTTCGGGTTCGCGTTGGATCCAGTGCGTAGCCAAAGTCCGCTGCGACGGCAAGACGGGCGTGGAGATGGAAGCGCTTACCGCGGTCTCGGTCTCCCTCCTGACTGTGTGGGACATGCTGAAAGCCGTCGCTGGCGCGGAGATGGAGATTGGGGACGTGCGTGTGGTACATAAGCAGGGAGGGAAGAGCGGGGACTTTTTGACACCGGGAGAGCCGAGCGCTTAGCGGTGGGACTGTGGGGAAGATGATGGGCGGCGTCGCTCGCGGCGCTGGGCGGGGCAATGACTCTCCGGGGCAGCCAAGTTCCGTATCGTCGACACCCGGGATCTCATCCCACGGATTTTCCGGAGGGACTTGTCATTTCGTTCCCGCCAGATCGCGGAAAGCCTACAGAACCCGACCATCATGTAATCCCGACTGGGGACAAATGACCACTTTTTGCTCGTTCTGTTCGTTCTGTTCTGTTAGCGCGCTCGACTGCCTTGTGTCCTTCATCCTGTATCCTGTATCTGGCCCCACCTTCCTACTGTAGCTAACGACCCACTCCACTGCTGCTGCTCCATGACTCCTCGCGACGATCCCGATCCCCATACGAGGAAATCGTTTTCAGATTACATGTAGATCAAAGTCCAGACCGGGCAGAAAGCCTAGAAATCTCCACGGTACGATAGCCGTACCTTTCTTCCTTCTAGCATGGCGCACATTCCCAACCTGACCCATACCCCCCTCCCCTCCCCCGCCCCCCCTCTCCACCCATGCTCTCGGATCACACCCCACCCGCGGGCACCCACCCGCATCGGAAATCCGGAATATCGTTTGATCAGCTCTGGACTTGGGTGTGATGCTTACTAACCCCAACCAGCGGGACAGAAGCTGGGGAGGCGACGCAGGACAGGACACTGGCAGGTAGGGATGTAGATCGTACATTGAAGTCGTGTAGGTTCATCAGACGCCTAAAGGGTAACATAACAAGTGGTAACATATCCTCTTCCCACCACTGCTTCGGCCCACCGCCCACTATCCACCGCCTTCTCCACACTCCCAAGCCAAACTGCCCACCGCCCACCACCCACATCTCATCGCTCACTAGAGCCCCCCCTCCCCAGCTCAGCGAGTCATCCACCTCCAAAGGAGCACCAGCAGCCCCCCGATCAAGCATCCAAGGATGACAGCGTCCCTCCTCCTACGGGACTGGATGAGGGAAAGGAGGTTGTTTATCCCTGGGAAGCTGTCTGCGGAGTAGGGGGTTAGCCGGTGCGCCTAGAGGGGTGGGGGGAGGGGGATGGGGGGGATGGGGGAACGTACTGAGTGCTGTGGAGATGCGGGATTGGACGCTGGAGAGGGACTGGGATTGAGTGCGGAACTCCGCGCGGGTGTCGTGTGCGTGTCTGGGGTTAATTAGTTTGAGCATGGAAGGGGGAGAGAACAGAATGGAAAGGAAGGAGACAAGGCGGGGGCAGGAGGTGGGCAGAACAGGACAGGACAGGAGGGGGGGGGGGCAGCGAAGGTGAGCAGGAAGGAGGTAGTTCGGTAGTTAGAGAATGAAGAAGGAAGACGTACTGCAGTAGCTCATCTGCCATCCGGTGTGAGGAATCGATATGCCCTCGTTCGGTTAACAACGCATCAGTCGTCGTCGATCGCTGGGTTTTGTAGTTCCTAGTCATGCGTGAGCTTGATCCCGAGAACAACGCCAAAGAAGGAGGGAAGGCAGAAGGGCGGGGGGGCAACAAGCAACGTACTCGATCTCCCCCCTAACGCTGCCTAACAAGTTTGCCTGGTCGACAGCACTCTTGACATTCGCCTGCGTGCGCCTAAAGTCCCTTACGAAATCTTGCAGCACGTCTCTGTGTCTTTGGACAGCGTGAGACACTGACGGGCCGGACGGTGCAGAGGGAGTGGAAAGGATACGTGAAAGGTGGTCGTTTTGGTCTCGTAGCTATTGGAGGTCCAGTGGTCAGTAACGAAAGAGCAAAAGGATGGGGAACGTACGCGATCCAAGAGAGAGGAGATGTCTTCCTCTAACTCTGTTGTTCCTGTGCCTGCTTCTTCGTATGCGCCTGAAGAGGAAGAAGGTATTGAAGAAGCAAGTTTTGAGTAAGTTGTTAATTTTGCGTCTAGTGTTGATTCTAGAGTTCGAAGTGAACGTCGAAGGGAATCATATGTTGCCATGAGTGCTAAGAGTGAAGGGGATAGAGGAGAGAGAGAATGATGTTACGTATGAATACACTGCCACTTTATCACGTGATTTCTATATGACGTATATTGTTGCCAGCACTCTGTAATGCATCCGTTCATTCTCTCTTCTTACTCGACATCGTACAAACCATCGAAGACACAAACAACACGTCATCAACCACGTCAACAATGTCAAACGAAGACAACCATATACCTCGTCGTCCTTCATTCCCAACTCAACAACGTTTACGTCCTTTCACTCCATCAACCCCTCCTGATCAACCTCAACCACAGCGTATCCCTTCCTCATCCTCAATCAGCGACATGGCAATCCCCTATTCCCGCCCTCACACTCCTTCTCCCCACGCACCCGCCTACGGGTTCATAGGACTGGGAAATATGGGGTACGAGATGGCACTCAACCTTTCCCGTTCTTTGCCCCAAGGGCAGACGCTCACAGTGTACAACCGCACTCTGGCAAAATCCGAGCGTCTCGCCGCAGCAGCGGGGGAGGGGAGGATCTATATCGCCCAGAACGTGCAGGAAGTCGTCAACCGGTGTTATGTAATCCTCACCAGTCTGGGCACGGACAAGGCTGTGGAGGACACTTATGACCTCTTGTTCGAAGCGCATAAGGTGAAGGAGCACCAAGTCTCAGGGCAGAGAGTAAGGAGCACAATCTTCATCGAGACGAGTACCGTACGTCCTTTATTCCCTGCTCTGTGCAGCTCACCTCATATATGCAGATCTACCCAACCCTAGCAGCGAAACTCGACTCCCTCTGTGCCCAGAACCCCCACAGGCACTTCCTCATGTGCCCCCTATTCGGCCCCCCCGCAGCAGCCCATTCCGCCCAGCTCATCCTAGTCCTCGCCGGTCCCCGCATAGCGAAGAAAGAAGTAGCCTACCAGCTCGTACCCGCCATTGCGAGGAAGATCATCGACGTGGGCGAGAACGTGGAGCGCGCAGCGAGCTTCAAGTTGATTGGCAATGCGATGGTCTTGGGCACGATTGAGATGCTTAGCGAGAGCATGACTATGGCTGAAAAAGCCGGGTTGGGAACGGATGTTGTGCGTTTCCCCCTCTATTCACTGACATCGCCCCGCCTACTTACTCCCTCCCTCCCTTCTTTGCGCAGTTCTACTCCTTTATAAAAGACATGTTCCCCGCCCCTTCCTTCATCGGGTACGGGCACAAACTCCTGCATTCGGAATTCGACGGTTCCAAAGGGTTCGCAATCGAAGGCGGGCTCAAAGACGCAGGGCACATCCGCCACCTAGTAGAGGAAAAGAACTGTCCTATGCCGATGGTCGACCTTGCCCATCAGCATATGCTTACTGCCCGTGCCTGGGATAGGGAGAGAAAGAGGCTTGGGGGGGAGAGGAAGTGGGAAGAGATGGATTGGAGTGCTATGGTCATCGCACTCCGGTTGGCGGGGGGGTTGGACCCGCTGGACCCTGCGGCGGTGAGTGGGTTTCTCGAGATATGGCAAGTGGCTGATGGTTCATGGGGGGGATTGTAGCATACCCGCGCGGTCTTGGAGGAGTGAACGCGCATGGACACAATACGGTAATGTACCGTGCTTGGAAAAGGGAGCGGGATGGAAAGATAAAGAGAATCAACAAATTGGAAAGCTGCTGTAGGTGGTAAGACGCGGAGATGTTCAAATGTATGGTATGGTCGTTGTTGTTGTATGTTGTTCTTTGTTTTTTGCTGCTTGTTGGCTGTTGGCTGTTGGCCGTCGACGGGTGTGTCCACACCTCGCACCTCACCTCAGATCCTTACACTCTTTGGTTTTGATCCTTTTCCCCCTTGCGGGTGTTTAATAAATGAACAAGAACGAGAATGAGAATGAGAATATTAGTCGCCTGAGCGCATGAGATCCCCAAGTACACCAGAGTCCCCATTCTCAGAACCAGCGGATGAACGTACACTGGTGCTTCTAGCAGTACTAGTTCACGTCTTCGTGTAAATCTCTCAGATTTCACAGGACAACCCAGAAGCTCCGAGCACGACCAACTACCACCCGGCAGTAGTGAGACGAAATAAAGGAAAGTAAGGTAGATTAATCGTTTGAGGATTACGATATCATGAGTATTCTAGAGCCTATGTACAACCGCAGGGTGGCATTCCTGTCGTGTATCCTCTATCAGTTCAGTATCGGTATCGGTATCACCTTAGCTTGTCTATTTCCGTAAACCGGAGTTTCCCATATTCCATATAACGAGAGCCGGCGTCGGATCTCGTCAGTCCGAGATCTGACCCGTCTACTGCTCCTTTCCCGCTCTCCCGTTCCCGTTCCCGTTCCCGTTCCCGTTCCCGTTCCCGTTCCCGTTCCCGTTCCCGTTCCCGTTCCCGTTCCCGTTCCCGTTCCCGTTCCCATTCCCGTTCCCGTTCCCATTCCCGTTGCCTACCCGCATGCCCACCCCATCCGGCAGCCCGTTCCCAACCCACTTCCACTTCCCCCCCACCCGTTTGCTCACCGAAAAGCAGGCAATTCCCAAATAGTCGGTTATGTCCCATATTACGAGTGTGCAGAACCTGATGTAGGAGATGAGGGAGAGGAGTAGGGTGAGGTAGATGATGGCGGTTTGGAGGGGCTGGAGGAGGGGGGTTCTGCGGAGAGTGAGTTGGTGTAGGAAGGAGGGCAAGGAGGGGGAAGGGGATGGGGACGTAGACGTACCTCCCACGAACGAGAGCGAACCAAGCGTCCAGCACGACCCCACCCGTCCAGACCCATGCCCAGTCCCACATCGGGAACGACGACTTGGTTACGTGGGCAAGGATCATCCTGCCTACCATGTGTGCGAACTGGGTCCCCCACGCGCATAGGAAGGGGAGGAAGTGCGGGCTATCTAGGATGGAAGGTGAGGGGGTGAGGTGGAGCCAGGCCAGGTGGAGTAAGGTGCTGAGTATGAATGGGATCAGGCCGAGCAGGGGCGGGAAGACGGATTGCTTGCGCGCAAGACGGGCGAGCACTACGTCCCTGTATGCGCAGAGTATGTTGTATAATAGTGCGAGGGCACCGAAGATCATGAAGTATTCGTTCAGCCCTTTGTTGGGTATGGACTGGAGGAGAGGGAGGTGGTCTAGGTGCAGGAAGGTGAGGAGGGGGGTGTCCCAGAATGATGGGCCTGGAGGGGGTTAGGGTTGTGCGTGGCGGAAAGAGAGGACGTACCGTAGAAGCCGGTGATGATGTAGATTACTACGATCATGAGGATCCCTTCTACCGGTCCTGAGAAGTAGCCCAGATAGAGCGTCCCTGCCAGTTCACTTGTTAGTGTGAGTCGGTTGGGAGGGGAGGGACGTACCGGTATGATACTCCTCCCATGTTGTCAGATAGAAATTCGCAAGCGTCGCCAGTTCCGAGGCAACGGTCCACCAAGACCTGCCGAGATTGAGAGCCTGAGCACAGAGGATCACTTCGAGCGTCGTGTTGATCGCGTCGCAGCCTGTCTCTCTGTGAAGAGATGTATGTGCATACAGGATGAGGCATACCATGGTCGAACATCTCCCCCAAAGGGCCAGCCATCCCCGTCCTCCTCGCTTGTTTCCCGTCGATCGCGTCAAACGCCTGATAGGCAAAGAGTCCCGCTGCCCATCTTGGTACTATGTTAGCTTATCGAACATGGTGGAGACGCGGAGGACGCACGTGAAGTATACCCATTGGGGGATGTACGCGTCACCGCGTTCTGCTAGGAAGAGAGGGTCGTACCACAGCAGTGTTGCAAAGTTCAGAAAGACGATTCCTAGTCCCAGGGCAGTTATCTGCGTCCAATCCACCTCAGCGAGCGAAGAAAGCAAGGAGAAAGGGGGCATACGGTATTAGGGGCGACGGATTTTGGCCAGAGGGTGACGAACCAGGTCCAGAATGGGTTGAGGACATAGCGGGATATGAAGGACTTGTCTTCTCCTGAGTACTTGTATGTCTTCAGCTGGCGAAGCTGTGTGGGACTGAGGTAGTAGATCATCCTGGCCGTCGAGCAGAGGGGAGAGGAGGGGGGAAGGAGGAGGAGGAGGAGGAGGAGAGAGACGTCATTTTTATCTGGACCCTGAATGTCATGGTGAACATGTCAACAGAGGACGGCGGCCGTGGAGTGCAAAGAGAGCAATGAGGAGTACTGGCAGTTATTATAGAATATCAACCAGTTATTGATGTTATTGTTCAGTCTATTCCATTTAGACAGTTAGATTGTCATCGTCAGTATGGATAGTCAACGTCGAAATGGTCGTGTGCAAGAGAGAAAAGGCGCTGAGCCGATCCTTTGATGAATCCTGTGACGCCACTAACCTATTGCGGTGCGATGGTGACCGTGAATGGCCTCGTCGCTGCCTCATTCTTCCCATCACCGCACAACATTACCATTACTACTGCTGTTGGATATTTGGCTCATACAACTACTGGCGACAACTAACTGAGCACTGCATACTTGCTGAGCATCTTCACTCTTTCAAAATAGCAAGATGTCCGCCGTAGCCAACGCCCTTCAATTCCCATCTCTGCGAACCCGGCGTGCACCAGGAGCCGCCCGACCCGCAGGTCCAGCGCCCAACGCCGGTCCCATGATGGACAAACGCAAGTCCCGAGTAGGTGACAAGCTACGCAAGCGGCAGACGATGCGCTACGCTGCTGGGATCCCTGGTCTTCCAGGCATTGGGGCACCACCGTTACCTGGCCAGGCAGAAGCGAGGGTGCCGGTCATCCCTGCTGGGGTGGATAGGTTTGACGAACGCGAAGAAGAACCTGGTGTGACGGAGGAGGTGCTGAGAGAGGATCCGAGAGCGCTGGATATGAAGGTCTTGGCTGGGGATAAGTTTGATCCTGATGCTTGTGAGTGCTTTGTTTTCGTTCGGAGGGGCGAGTGTTGATGGGGAGTGGAGATTTGAGGCAGAAACTGGCACGCTCGTCGGAGGGAGAACTGTCGATGCTCAGGATTACACTGGAAACTGCGCATATGGCGACACAGACCGATCTCCGGCGTAACGTATTCAAAAAGTGCGTGCTTTCCCCCCCATCTTACCCCTTTACTATTGATTGTCACATCGTATGTCTGATGCCTATATGCGCAGCTACGAAGAGTTTGTCCTGATCAGTAAAGAGATCAGCACGCTCGAGAACGATATGCTCGAGCTCAAAGAGTCCCTCTCCGAATGGCGTGCCATGCCCGAGCTGCTCAGCGTGGACGAGCCGCTTACCTCTGCAGACAGACGGAAAGCTACCCGATCCTCGCTCGCCGACCTCCAAACGCTCTACACCGTCCAGCTTCAAGCGCTCCACGCGAGCATTGAAGGCAGTGCCAAGCACTTACCTATCATTCCGGGCCGGCATGTCGTGCTTGAGAGCCCGAACCTATTTGAGCTCAATCCCGCTACGTATAAGGTCGAAAAGCCCGTGCATTTGGTATTGTTGGACGATAGCTTGCTGGTGGCAAGTAAGAGGAGGCGGAGGGTGGGCGAGGGGGGACGGTTGGTCGCGGATAGGTGTTGGGGGCTCAGCGAGATCTTGGTTTTGGATGTTAAGGATACTGCTGGTGAGCGCGTTCTGGCATTTGTTGGCCTTGGTTGACAGGAGCAGATATTACGAACGCGATCAAAATCAAGCGGGGGAAGGAGACAGTTGTCTACCGATCTGAGAAGCCATCTGATAAGCGTGCGCTGCTCGCTGCCTTCCGGCAAGTAGCGGAAGACCTACAGTCCAAGAAGCGCCGGGAGCGAGAAGGAGAGCAAGAGCGCAGACGGATGACAGTGGCGGATGTCTCTGCTACTAGAGGGGGTAATGTTCAGAGCGAGAAAGACGCTAGCACCGTCGCGGAGTTCAGTGACGAGCTGACAGTGGCCATCGCCCTCCGAGACTGGGACTTGTCCGTCGAGCTGATCGAGAAAGGTGCGTCTATCCCTTCCCATCCCCAACATGTCTAACATGAATAGGCAAATCCCTCCTCGCCGCTGTTTCTCCCTCAAGCGCAGACAGCGTCAAGTCCAAACTCTCCACCTTCGAACAGTCCCTCCGCAGCTCAATACTCTCCGACCTCTCCTCCCCCATCCACCGGAAAGCCTCTGTCATTCACCTCGTCGGCCTGCTTACCCGGCTCGGCGCAGCCATCGACGCCCGTGACGCCCTCCTCCGCATGCGCTCTGAGGTGATCCGTAAGCGCGCAAGAGCAATCAGGTTCGAGGGCGATATCATGCAGTACGTCAACGAGCTGGCTGTCGTCACTTTCACGGGCATAAAATTCACGAGCGACTGGTACACCTCCGCTTTTAAGGAGAATGATATGGCTTCCGGTACGCTCCCGGCACTACGCTTGTAATTCCTTGAATCGGCGCTTACAATGGATGTCAGGAATGGTCCAATGGGCGAAAGCCGAAGTAGAACTGTACGCCACATCTTTCCGCCGACAAGTGTACGGACCGGACGTCTCCAGCGAAGTGATCTCCGAATCTCTCAACGCCGTACGAGTACAGTCCAAGCGCTTGTTGCAGGACAGCGGGCTGGACTTCTCTTTCTTGTTAGAGGAGATGCTGAGGGCTGACCTGCCGGAGACGCCTAGGCCGCCGCCACTTTTCGTTTCTGATTCTGAGGATATAGGGGGAAGTGGGGAAGGGACACTGCTCGATGCTACGCCTAGGCAGGGGGTGCCGAACTTGAACTCGCCCAAACCACCGACGAGGAGTCGCCAGAGACCTGGAGGCCGGCAGCAAGCATGAGATGAGCCTTCGCACGTGGATTAGTCACCATGCAGTTGAATACCAAGTTCGGGATACCCTGCAGAGCAGTGTTTGTATGATTGTACTCTATTCATTCTTGAGATCTATTTGTCTATTGTCTGCGCGAGCTCAGCTCTGTTCCCACTCCTCTACACACTCATAAAACCCCTTGACGATCCTCTTCTGCGTCTCGCTTCCTTTCTCCTCTGTATCCGCCACTCCCCGGATAACAAGATACTTCCTCCCCCAGATCATATCGCTCGTGAACACCTTTCCCTCCAGTGCACTCGCCTTATCCCCAAACACCTGCCCTCCGCCTTCACGAGCGATGACGACACCGGCAGCGATATCCCAGGGATAACACCCGATCTCCCAATACATATCCAGTTGCCCCGCTGCAACAGCACAGTAGTTGAGCGCCGCGCTGCCAAGACTCCTAAACCCATGGGCCATCTTCCCTCCCCGTACCCCACCAGTAGGGTCCCCAGCTACTTGGGTAAAGCTGCGCGTCTTCTTACCCATCGTGGAGGCCGAACGGTCGGAGCCCCATTCCATCCCTATCAACGCGGTTTGCAGAGAAGGGAAGGGAGCGAGCGGGTGTGCGGGAAGGCGCGTGCTCTGGTTAAGGTACGCCCCATGTCCTTTCATTGCGGAGTACTGTCCCCATTCAGCCTGGTTCATCTAGGAGAAATGGAGGGCGCACCATCTGGTCCAGGAAGGGGTTGAACACTACCCCAATTGAGGGCTCTTTTTTGTACAGGAAGCCGAGGGAGACGCAGGCGTGCGGGAACCCGTGCACGAAGTTTGTTGTCCCGTCAATCGGATCGACGCAGTAGGTCGGCGCGTCTGTTAGCTCGGGACGCTTTCCTGCGGCATAGGACTCTTCCCCGATGCTATTATCTCGCGTGAGAGAATGTGTAGTATTCGGTTCAGAGAAGACGCACAATGCGAAAGATGGGTAGGCTTGCTCGATCTCGCTCCGAATGAGCTCCTCCACACGCACGTCGTACTCCGTCACCAGATCCACTGCGTTCTTCTTCTCTGATACGTCGTGCGACGAGAGGATGGCCTTGCTTCCTTCATATGCCGCATTTATGTATCAGTGTACCGAAAGTAGAAATTCGTGGAGCGCACCTTCGAGCATGAGCGCGCCAGCCTTTCGCGCAAGGGCGATTGTGAATGTCAGGATTTCATCGAGGTCCTTCTGGGTAAGTTCGTTGGCCATGGTGGTCGTACAGAAAGAGGATGTCACCCTGCCAGCAATGTGTAGTCTATTAGTCTACAGTATATGGAGCGTCGAAGAGAGAAGTGTGGAATGACTACAGAGCTCGGCGTATTGCTTCAGACCCTCGGCACACGTTCGATGATGTCTTTTTATTACAACTTCCTTTTTCGGAAGAAGCGTGCACGTGAAGGATCCTGTGCATCAACATCAACACAGCACCAACCACGCTGTCTTCCCATCTTACAATCATCTCCATATTCTCATATTTTCAGGATCACGCAACTTTAGGAGAAAATACGAGTTTCGATACGGATACGAACAGTCAATTACTACATGTCACCGAGCAGCTCGCCCAGATCATTCCGACGTGGTTTGACAACACAAGGAAATTCCACTGGAAGGCTACAGACCAATCTCAGCCTGTAGATAAGCCAAAAAGACTGATCGCACACACATGATAAGCCCATGATCGTCGAACTTCATCGTATCCGGCATGCTCGTTCCCATCTCGTTCCTGGCCAGCTCAAAATCGAAAGCCCAAAGCAAGTAAGCCATGTCGATAAACAGCATGTTGTTGGCAAAGTCTCTTCCTGGACAGACACGTCTTCCAGCACCAAAGGCAACGATGTCGTCGTGATAATTTGGGAAGGGCTCTTTGATGTTTCCGGAGGAGTCGATGAACCTCGATGGTTGGAACTGCTCTGGATATGGAAAGTAGGCCGGGTCGTGCGCTATGGACCAGATATTGCCGATGATCTGCGTGCCTTTGGGAATCACGTAGCCGCGATATTCCAAGTCCTACACATATTGTGAGAAGATCTTTTGACACCCCAACATTATCTTACTTCATCAGCGACATGCGGAACACCTGGAGGAACAACATCAGTGCTTGCATTGATTATGCTCTGCGACTTCCGTACCAAGCGCGGCAACAGGCCTCCATCGTATAGTCTCCTTCACGACAGCAACGACGTATGGAAGTTGATCGCGATCATCAAACGTAGGCGGACGATTCCCTACGACCGAATCGACGTGTTTTTGGGCGGCGCGGCAGACTTCGGGGTTGAGGACCATTGCTTGGATGAAGTAGTGAAGTGTGGCTCCGCTCTAGCATCATCATATCATATCAGACAATTTGATCCGTTGAAAAGTGAGCTGCTTCTCACTGTTTCGACACCGGCGATACTGATCAAGCAGCATTAGGAAGGTCGCTATGTCGAAGTATAACGCTTACAATAGGCCTCCAGCAGTCCAAGCAGCCTCCTGCTCTGTGACTCCAAACTTCTTGAATGACGGGGCCGTCGATGCGATAAATCCAACATGATGTTCCACGCCTTTCTATCAAAAACGTCAATATTCAACCGCACCACTGTTGAGAGGAAGAACCTTCTGTTGCTTCCCATCATCAAGCAGTCCATGAAAGAACCTGCCACTCTCCCTAAACCACTCCTCTCCCCAAGCCTTCCACCCGGCCATCCAATTGGGCAGCATCTTCATCGCCGGAATCACATCCACCAGAAAAGCCATAGGCATGCTCGCCCCAAGGACCGTCTCACCAACATTATCGATCCCGCATACCTTGGCCTCGTCTTCTTCTGTCAAGCTTGGACCGGAGTACAACGAACGCCAGGTCGCTGCTGCCGTGGCGTGCTTCAGCTTCTGGCCTAGGTCGGTTGGCTCCGCCATGATGGACCGGACGAGATTGGCAGCTTCCTGTTCCTGGAAAGGGTAGTACGCCTGGCAGGCGCGGATATTGAAACCTTCGTGTGTCACTCGGCGGAGACGTCTCCATCTGTTCATTTGTAAGGTAGGAGGTCCCTTAAACGCGCAAGACGTGGACTCACTGCTCTCCAGGGGACATGAACATGTACAGAAGGTTGTGGCACATGATTTCCCCGGCCTTATCCAATATTAGGCAACCACTGGACCACTGATTGCAAATCTTTACGCACCATAACGAACCTCGGTCGTCCACTTGTCGCGCCCGACTTTCGATCAAGTACGTCCCCGGAACTCTTGGCAGATGACAAGACGACGATCTTCTTCCCGGCGACGTTCACCGTGTACAGGTCGCCATACTTCTTTGCCCATTCGTCGAATTTGAGGAACATCTGCTTGGTGGGGATCTCCAGCAGGTTGCCGACGATGGGAAGCCCCGGAGGACCAGGGGGCAGTTTGCCCTTGGGCCCTCTCAGAGCATATAGGAAGACGAGACACAATAGCCCAGCGCCAAAAGCCAGCTGCGGCAAGGAGAACATTGCCTTGAGATAGGACTTCGCAGGGGAAACGAAAACAACAACATAGGTCAAAGAGCTCCTTTTTATGACAGCAAGGTGGACTCTCGCGGTTCAGTCAGCCATCATTCCAGAAAGCGAGTAGAATTGCCCTGTACGAGAGAGGAGCTGCGAGCAGTCAGCAATTTTGATATACGGATCAAATATTCCTGATATTTCTCCAGAATAACCGTTCATAACGGCGAACCCGCGAGAATTCTCATGATTCATGTTTCGGAAATGAATAGAGGGTCCAACATTCTTATCTCACCAGAGTTTAGACTTCCGGTGAAGTTGATGGTCTCAGGCTTCGGATCACCCAAGCCAGCTTCGTTTGCGCAGTGACTTGGGTACAGCACACCCACGCTTGGTAATGTCCTCGATCCAGGAGATATTTCGGCCCGTTTACCCCGGTCTTAAGACAGCACGAAGCTGGATGCCGAGCAATCAAATCCATCATCTGTCAAGTTGCTACATCCTGAACCTCTCATGGTAAATGAAGCAGTTCGCCCCGAGCCACTACGGCTGCATCCCCTATCAACCGGACAGTCCCCTTCTTTTGATCCCAAATTACCCCGACGTCCCCGCCTCTCGGGCTAACCTGTGCACCCAGGAGCATATCTCCATCTATTTTTCCCAACCTCTTCGTCCAATACGGTGCCAACGCGCAATGCGCTGCTCCTGTCACTGGATCTTCGGGAATACCTGCCGCGGGAGCGAATACGCGGGATACGAATCAGGTTTCTGGCCCCACACGGGACCGGTACTGGTTAAAATGAAGATTTTGTGCTCAGGCGCCAATTGCATCTGACACGACCGTTGTTTGAACAGGGCAAAGACAGCTCTGTGAAGTGCAACATACCACTGGTCCAGGGTTAAATGAGAGGTCCTTGAGTCCTGTTCCGCTAGCAACCTCTGCCAGGACAAAGCCTTCAAAACCTATTCCCTGTCCAAGTCCGACATAGCCAATCTCGAGTCCACTAGGAGCGCATTCCTCCACTACGCGTTTAACCCGTGCTGCGAGTTCTCCAGAGGCCAGTTTGAGTAGAGCGGCCGGAAATTCGAGCTGAATTTTACCGAAGGGCAAGCGAGAGGCGAACAGCTGTCCGGACTTCGTGTCAAATTTGAGCGTTTGACATGCGGGAGGCAGCTGCGAGAAGAGTACATTTGCCGATGCCAATGTCGCAAGTCCGCACCTGTTCCATTTCAACATGCATACTAAAAAAAATGACAAGGGGATTTCTACAGTCGGGGGTGAACCACCTCAACGCCAATCTCGCGTAGCTACCGTCCTTGCCAATCTCCTTTCTAACGAGGAACGCGGTCTCCGCTAAGTTGAACTCCTGCAAAGCAGTACGTTATTGGAGGGTGTCAGAATTTGGCAAACGTGGAAAGTCCTAACCCGAGCAATGAGTTGCATTTGTTCCACTTGGAGTGGGGTGTCCGTAATGATCACGCTGGCCGGATTACCCGCAAACGCTGTCGCTGTGAACGCATCCACTATGGTATAAGCAGGACCCATTTTTGAGCAAGGAGTGTACATTCGACTGTCCCTTTTCCTCGGGATACTTATAGACGTGCATCCAAGGGCTCTTCGCAGAGGGTGATGACTCGAGAGTGCGGTCAGGAGCAAATCACATAGGCGTGGATACAATCCATTCTGTCGACCCGGCCTTCCTAAAAAGAATCTGGCGCCCGTTGCAAACTCCAGAATGTGCCTTGCGGAGAACGTTTCAGGCGGGTGGTTGCTTTTGCCTGCCGATGCCTAGTCCTGCGCTTGGCAAGCTGTGACTCGTCCATATATGTAAGGGTCCAGTAGGTAGTGCCGGACACCGATGGGCCGATAATAAACGATATAACTCCGCAGCCACGGTGCAAAGATCATCAGCGTGTGGACCCGCAAGTTCCATGATGAGGGACAAGAGGAACGTGGATCGGATTGTGATTTCACGGGCCGTGAAGCGCCCCAGGTGTGCAAACGTGAATTGGGCACGGTGGGAAAAAGACCGAGTCATTGCATCTGTCGGCGTGGGTGTCCCAGGTGTAGTTTGATCGGGCTTTATTACTTCGATCTTGTGCCCCGGGAAAGAAGGAAATCCCCGCAGCCAGGGACCAATGTCAGTTCATTCAGTTCTGTTATAAGATGCATATAGTTGGAAGCGTGGATCATCGCGAACCGGGAAACGGCCATTGATGTTGCCAGAGGAGTCATAGGTGGGGCTGGTGGAGGGAGGAATTCCGAGTCACGTGTAGTTGTTCCCAATACATCGCTCGGTTGCGCGAAATAGAGTCCTCCACTTGATCTGGATTTGCTCGCTCTCTGGGTGCCTGGCGCCGAAATTTTCACAGGTTTGCACAGGATGTCGCTGGACGCTTGGGAAGAGCTTAGCAAAGCAAGCATACTAGAATATCATCTAGTGTGTTCAGGAGGCCAGGAGCATGAAAAAGCGTCGACTCGTCCCAGAATGACGTGGTATGGGACCGACAGTCGCCAGCGAGTTTGTCGGAAAAGGGCCGATTCCGAGAATGACACCGCTAGGTGGAGTGACGTGAATAAGCATTACAACTGTGACCAATAAAACAATAGAAACCCGTAAACAAAGATATTTCAGCTTGACCGCTGCCGAGTATGCAAAGCTCCTCCACTTTTCCGGATAAAGTGCTGAAGTTGTGACGTGAACATGGCGGAACCTCTCGTGCAGCCGTTACGCCGAAGCTAGCAATTCGTGTAAATCCGTCCGGCGGGGCCTGAGAGTGTACTCAAATGGCGCTGGATGGCTAACAGCACCATCAGCCTCTCTCTGGCTTCAGAACAAATCGAACGCACATAACAAGCCCATGATCCGTCAGCCTATCCGGATTTGGCCACACCTCGCCTTCCGAATCCGCTCCAGGCAAGAAGTCAAACGCCCACAGAAGGAAAGCGACATTGATCCAGAGTGTGTTATTTGCGAAATCCCGGCCTGGGCAGATACGCCGGCCAGCGCCGTAGGCAACTGTATCGTCGTGATACTCTGGAGAAGGGGTGCGAGGCTCGCCAAAGGCGGTCAGGAAACGCAGCGGGTCGAACGTGTCTGGAGAGCTGAAGAACGCGGGGTCGTGCGAGATAGACCTGCATTCGGAGCGTCAGGGTCAGCGTAGCGTCGGCGGTGGGTAACGTACCAGGTGTTCCCGATCAGCAGCGTTCCCTTGGGAATCACATACCCCCTATACTCTACATCCTCCTCAGCAACATGGGGTAGCCCTAGGGCAGCCACCGGCCTCCAGCGCAGCAGTTCCTTGACCACGGCGGTGATGTATGGCAGGTTCTCCCGGTCCGCGAAGGAAGGCGGACGGGAGGCGCATAGTGCTTCGAGCGTTTTTTGCGCTGTTTGCGCGACGAAGGGGTGTAGGATCATCGCTAGGATGAAGAAGTAAAGCGTGGCGGATGTCTGCTTGCTCTGTCAGTCAAGGATGAAAGAAATGAAGTAGACGTACCGTCTCAGCAGCGGCACCACTACCCCTTCGTAAGTCGTGGTTCGGTTGAAATCAAGCAAGAAGCTCACAATAGCCCTCCAGCGGTCCAAGCAGCCTCCTGCTCTGTGACCTCAAGCTTCTCGAAGCTTGGCGCCGTAGTCGCAATGAAACCTCTCGCATTCTCACCTTGCTAAATAACCTGTCAGATCTTCCCTGCTAGACCATGCCTGTATGCCACTCGAGCCAGGTAGGGAAAGTACTCACCTCGACCTTCCTCCCCTTCTGCAGTAATGATTTAAAAAACCGATCCGTTTCCTCGAACCACTCCTCCCCATCCCTTTTCCACTTTGCCATCCAGCTCGGCAGCCTATTCAGCGCCGGAATCACATCCACCAAATGTGCTAACGGCATCCCAGCCTTGAGTACATCGTCACTTATTCGGTCAACGCGCTGTACGAGCGCTTCGTCTGCCGGTGTCAGCGTAGGGCCAGAATAGAGCGTGCGCCAGATGGAGGCTGCGGTGGCATGTTTGAGCTTTTCGGGTAGGGATTCGGGAGTGTTGGGTGTTGTTGGGGAGGTGGGTGTGGAGGGGAGAAGGGAGAGCACAAGGTGGGAGGCTTCGGATATTTGGAAGGGGTAGTAAGCTTCACAAGCGCGAATGTTGAACCCCTCGTGTGTTACTCGTCGGAGCCATCTCCACCTGCCCACAGCAAGTCAGCTCAGCAGTGGCAAAGGCATAGACTCAAAAGATGAAACGCACCTCTCACCATAGGGCATAAAAGCATACAAAAGCTTCTTAGTCATGATCTCCCCCGCATAGATAAGCCTCGGTCTCCCACTCGTCTTCCTCCCAAGCTTATCGAGCACATCCGTCAGCGCCCGAGCAGAACTGAGCACGACAGCAGGCTGCAGAGGCCCGATGTGGATCGTGTACAGGTCGCCGTATTCCGGTACCCAGGCGTGTAGGCGGGCGTGCAGGAGACGCGATGGGAGGGAGAGGAGATTCCCTAGAAGCGGGTAAGGACGGGGACCAGGGGGAAGGCGGCTGCGTTGTCGAAGGAGGAGGGAGAGGAGTAGCACCACGGCGGCGGCGCCAAGCGCTGGGAAGAGAAGGAGCATGCTGCGGGCTGAGCAAAGCAGTTGAAGAGAGGAGAGAGTCGAACGCCCAGCTGTTGAGCTCCGAGACAACCTCTTCAACACTCAACCAGGGGTCATCCCCCAAGTCCACAATGATCATCTAAGAATGTGGCGCGGATGTCTATTTCAGGGCATATCCTGACAATCTCTAGCACGAGGTGATACGATGAGAACAATGGGAAGAAGGAGAAGGCAAGGTGCCTTGAGGCTGCCGTCACGCTTGCCGAAGAGGGTTAATTGAGAAGACAATCGATAAGCGGATCAGATGGATATTCTCTATCTGATCAATTTCAGCAAGATGCATTGATATCTGGCTCTTTAGAGAGATCTGATCACCAAGTTTGCATTGGTGTGACTCATTCCAGCAGCTTAACTCACTCCTCAGCGTCCATTCATCAGCCCATAGAATACAAGAATCATAACCAAACCTAATCCGTCGCTACAACGGTAATAAGCTCCTTACCTTCCTCCACCATATCCCCTTTCTTGCACCCCACCATACTGACCTTCCCATCCACCTCCGCCCTCAGCACAATCTCCGTCTTCATACTTTCCAACACGACAACCGGCTGGCCCTTGTTGACGTCTTCCCCTTCCTTGACCCGCACATCCACAACAAGACTCGGCATCGGGGCGCGTATCCCGCCAGAAGTCAGGGCCTCAGCCGCGATCTGGAGCAGGTAGTTCGGGGGAGGGATGAGCAACGTCGTCTTGCTTCCTTGGTGGAAGATGTGTAGACGGTCTGTTACGGTGCTGCTGGGCAGGACAGTTGGAGGCGGGGATTGTTGCACGACAGCGGTCTGGACTCGTTGGGCATCTAGAGTGCTTGAGATCACTGTGGATGATATCATATGCGCCTTGACGTCCTTGAAGCACACTGGGTCTGCACCGGGATTCCTCACTTCGACGTCGAACAGTCCCGGTTTGCTGGAGACGACAGTGACCTCCGATGCAGGGGAGGGATTCCCATGGTTGAGCAAGGGGTCTGGGTGGAACTTGAAATGTTTGGTATAGATGTCGGAGAACCGGCGGAAAGCAAGTGACTGCCACGGGGTTGCTGTTGCAGGAAGATGGAGGGGCTGCTCCCGTAGCAAGAGGAACAGTACAGCCTGTGCCAACACAGCTGGAGCCGGGGCTGATATGGGTGGGAAGAGTTCATCCCGATGTTTCTGGGACGTATGATGAGCTGAACTTCGAACAGCAAGACGGTCTGTGACGTACGGCGATGAAGCCGGTATCTAGCTCCTGATCCAGGAAGGCTTTGTTTCCAGCAAGGGCCTTGAGGAACTCGACGTTAGTCGACACCCCCGCAATGTGGTATCCCTCAAGGGATTTCCTCAGGATCCGCAGTGCTTCTGTTCTATCCCGTCCGTGAGCGACGACCTGCAGTTATTGAGACTTGTGGGAAGGCACACGACGCGGAGGGATACCTTGCTGATCAGTGGGTCGTAGTATACTTCGATGTTGGATCCTTGAGGAAATCCTTCTTCCAGGCGTAACGATTCCGATGGCTGCGGTGTAGACTTGTACAACAGCGGGCCGACATCAGGCAGGAAATCACTGTTTTCTCATAAGCAGTCGAACAAGAGGTGAGTCTAAGTAGCTAACTTGAGTGGATTTTCCGCATATATGCGCGCCTCGAAGGCATGGCCTATCCTTGGTATCTCATCTTGGCGCAACGGTAGAGGGTTGCCGGAGGCGACTTCCAGTTGCCACTGAACGAGATCCTGACCGGTGATCATTTCCGTTACAGGATGCTCGACTTGCAGGCGTGTATTCCTAGACAAGGTCAGCACGGAGCGGGAAAGCAGTGGGAAATCAGTGAGTAAACTGCATACATCTCCATGAAATAGAACTCGTCTGTATCGCAGTCGAAGATAAACTCGACCGTGCCTGCGCCGAGGTAATTGACAGCTTTGGCTGCAGCGACCGCCTTGTCGCTCAAGTCCTTCCTGACTTCATCCGACAGCCCAGGAGCAGGAGCCTAACGAGGCGCATCAATATGTACCAATGACGACGTCAGGTGGACCGACGCACCTCCTCGATAATCTTCTGATGTCTCCTCTGAACACTACAGTCCCTCTCCCAGAGACTGACGACATTCCCGCTCGAGTCCCCAAAGACCTGTACCTCCACATGCCGAGGGCGCTCGATCCATCGCTCGATCAACACCCTCTCGTCCCCAAACGCCTTGCGCGCTTCCCGCTGGGCCGATTCGAGCGCGGGGAGGAAGTCCTCTACGGAACGAACGATACGCATCCCCTTCCCCCCACCGCCTAGCACGGCTTTGATGAGCAGCGGATAGCCGAGTTTCGTTGCTTGCCGTTCGAGCTCGCTGATGGGGACTGGCTCGGAGGAGTGATAGCCTGGAACACAGGGTACCCCGGCGGCTAGAATGCTGTTGAACGATGCTCGCCCTCAATACGAAGGCAGACGTACCAAGCATGATATCCTTGCTCTCACTACGCACAGTCAGGTAACATCTCCGGCAACATGCTCTTATGCGCACCTCTTTGATCCCATACTCTTGATCGCCTCAACCCCAGGTCCGATAAATACGAGTCCTTCAGCAGCGAGCCGTTCCGCAAACCTAGCGTTCTCACTCAAGAACCCATATCTACTTGCACGTAAGCCCATGCATCTCATTCCAATTCTCCGCCCACCCTGGATGTACAGCCTACACAAGCGTCAGCCCCTCCCCCTCTGTTCGGTAAGGCATCACCCACCTGAGCCCCAGCACGTTTAGCGACCTCCACAATCCTCTCCAGGGACAAATAGCTCTCCGCGCTCGGCGCCGGTCCCAAACGAAACGCCTCATCCGCAAGTCGGACATGCAGCGCGTCCGCGTCCGCATCGCTGTACACTGCTATGGTCGAGATACCCAGTTTGCGGCAGGTACGGATGATCCGGCAGGCGATCTCACCCCGGTTGGCGATGAGCAGTTTGGTAAAGAGGGGCTTGCGCGGAGGGGGGCGGTCGGGTACTGCACACGTGTTAATCTGGTGGGGTGATCGACGATCAACGATCGAGGTAGTAGGCACGTACTCGTACCCGTTGCGTAGCCTCTAACAGGGAGGGACCACGAGTGTGCATCTCCACCCAGCAGCGCCGTAGACCGTGACGTCCCCCTCGTCGACAAGTGCATCAAGCGCACACCTCCGACCCCTGCCGCCGCTACTTCAGGATACACCCTCCGTTGAGCAAACCTCGCAGCCCGCTTTCGTAGCATAATCGACGAGGAGAGGAGAGGAGAGTAGGGAGCGGCACAAGCCTAACAGACGACGGTTAATGACAGGGGCCAGGGCACTAGTTGTTACCTCGCACCACCCAATATCACGTGATCTCCCTCACTATAATGGGCCCTCCTGTAGTATGAGTGGTCAAGTACAATACATCTTAATCTTAACTTGACATTGTTTCTTTAATCCATACATCCAAATCCTAGCCAACAGTCAATCAACATCCCACCTTCCCAGCTAGGCCCTCCCCCTCCCACTCCCACCCAAGATGACCAACTTCTGACCTTTCCTCTTCCTCCCTTTCCCCCCTCCCCCTCCTCCTGCTCCCCCTGTTGCTGCCCCCGCTCCCCCTGCTCCTGCCCCACTTATCCCGCCCCCTCCAGTAGCCCTCCGTTCCTCTAACGCCCTACTCTCCAACTCGAGCCAAGCGACGTCCATCTCCCTCTCTCTTTCCCACTCTCGCTCTGCTTCCTCTTCCTCATCCCGTTCCCGTTCCCGGTTTCGGTCTCCGTGTCCGGAAGAACGAGGATAAGACGTCGGTCGTGCACGAGGCCGAGGGGCAGCGTTCGCCAAAGCGGCGGATGCGAACGTCCTTGTTCCCCAAACACCGGGCGATGTGCCCGCGGCAGGGACGGACGTCGACAGCCCACCAGCACCAGCACCAGCACCAGCACCAGCGGGAGGGGGTTCAATATTGACCGATTCCGATTCCGGGGAACTTCCAGCTGCAGGCTCATCCCTCCCCTCCTGGGGATCGCTCCAATCCTCCCACTGTCGTTCTCCCCTCCCCGCATTCCTCCCCCACCCGCCCTGCCGAAGGGCGACCTCTCTCTCCATCTCAGCCTCTCTCTCCCTCTCCGCGCGCCTCCTAGCTCGTTCTTCCCTCTCCTCACGTTCCCTCCGCCGCTCGCGCCGCTTATGTAACAGATCGGCAAAAGGCGCCAGTTGTGCTGGTGTGCAGAGCGTGCTCAGGTCCGCTTCGAGGAAAGTGATATCCTGACCTTCAGGAAGGTGGGAAAGGTACTTGTGCGTCTTGCGCAATGCAGGGGTGACACGACCTACCCGCATCTTGGTGAGCTGATTGTGGATAAAGATGGGCGCAACCCACCCTCCTCAGAGGCCTCGACCCCCACAACTACCTCATCCGGGAATCGCTCATAGCTCCCGTACACGCTCCTCAAGATCCTGATATCCAGCGGATGGAGGAACACCGCCGCTCCGTTCGCAGCCTGGTAGTAGTAGTACGTCGGGCTCGGGGCCGAGGGCGCAGGCTTTCCCCGCTGCTGAGTTCCAGGGAAGGGGGAGGGAGAGGGAGTCCCAGGTCCAGGAGAGAGAGAAGCAAGGAAGTCCTCTGGTCCAGGGAGGGGTGCCCCCAGATCCGGGGCAGAAGCCCGCTCACGCTCTTTCTCCAACGCACGAAGTCGCTCTCTCTCCCTCTTCTTCTCCCTCCCTCTCCACCCTTCCAGTTCCCGCTCCTTCTTCTCCCTCTCCCGAGCCCCGCCATCCTCGAGGTCCATCTCATCTACGTGCTCTTCCCACTCGGCGATATGTTCCTGCGCGCGCTTGGCATACACCGCTCCGAGGTCGTCGTGCAGTGCTTCGAGCGTAGCTAGCTCAAAAGCGAGCTCAAGAAGATCCCGTTTCGCAGAGGCGTGCAGGTGGGCAGGGGTGGAGAGCATAAACCTGCCCAGGATTAGGGATTAACAACCTTTCCCTCCACAGGGGAGAGAACGTACCTCGAGAAAGTCAGCACATCCGGTAAGAACCAGAACGGACTCTCAAGTTCGTTTACCAACCCCGGCCAGCTCGCCGACCGGGGAAGTACGAGTGTCGTATCCGGGTGCTTGGCCATCAGCCTAAACCTAAGACTTCCCAAACCCAAAACCTCGCCCTCGCCCTCACCCTCCCGCACGTCGTCCCTCGAGCTGGTGGCATCCGCGCTGGCAGATCCGCCCGAGGCTTGAGGGTTGGGGAGAGAAGGCAGGAAGAGCACGGGCTTGAGCGCTTTCTCGTATATGGAGTCGAAGCAGATCGGGCACCGGGCCCATTTGTGCGGCGCAGAGGTATCAAGATAGTGTAGTATACAGGGGTAACAATACACCTGCTCCGCTATCAGTTCCGATGAGATAAGACGGCAGGGAATGGACGTACGTGCCCGCACTTTGTTATCCTCGGAGCTACGGGTGGGGAGAGACAGATAGGACACCGAAGTTCTGAAGGTTTGTGTTGTACGGTCGAGGGAGGGGGGACGATAACCTGGAGTATATCTGGCCATTGGAAGAAGCTGCTTCCTCATGAGCGGATGACGAAGGGAAGGAGGTGGGACCTACATATCCGGATCTGCAAAATGAACGGAATAGTCCCCGTTTGGTCGAAGGACAAAATGATGCTGAGCGTTGACGAACCCTGTGCACCACCCACTGTTATCCGCTGCTCCTATATCCACCAGTGAGGAACCAGACTCACGCTCCTTGTTCCAAACCGCCGTGCTCTGATCCACTCTTCTCGCTCTCCTCGGTCTGTGCTGTACGACCGGCTCCCTAGGTGGAAGGGAGAAGTTGAGCAAGTGGTTAAGGGATGCCTTGGACGCCTGCCCGCTGCCATGACCTGGCCCTGTGGTTGAGCCTATCGCAGCGGGGGGGAGGTTGGCCATGTGCAGTGGTTTGAGGGACATACGGTGGGTTGGTTGTGAATGTGGTGGTTGTGGATGAAGATGAGGAGATGCCTGGCTCACAGAGAGAGTGAGCGCAGGGTGATGACGAGTGAGATTAATAGGCTGTCGCTGTGCTACTTAGGGAAGAGAGAGGGGTGAGTCACGTGTTCCTCAGAGATGATTGCCTCATGCACGTTCATTCTATCCCTCTGATGCTGGCAGGAAGCGTGATCGATTATTACCGCATTGAATGATCATTCCCCTAATGGAGGTTGAGGCTACAAGGAAAGGGAGAGACATAAACAGCGTATTTGGGACACGTCTCGTGACGCGTATGACATGACAGCAACATAAACACTGATAAACGTGCGAACACCTGCCTCACCCAATTATCATCATTTATCGCCTTGAATTAGGGGTCACTTCAGCCACTCAATCGCACCTTTCCAAGATAGGCAGCACCTTCGATCATCTAGATTCACTCCCCTCCCACCAACCGGTAAAAGCAAAACACAAACCCGCTTACATAACCCACATCTCATTCCAGACCATCACAACTCAAATGCTCTCAGCACAAAAACGCCCTCGTCTACCCACACCCGCCCAGCCCAGTCAAACCGCAAACACCTTCGATCCCTCTACTTTCCATCCCGCCTGCGCATTCCACGCCTATCACTTAGGGTCAAGGATGTCCGTCCGTCCAGTGACAACGTCATCGTCGACGCAATCGTCGACTACGGGCGCACCATATGCATATACTGCGACAACGAGCGCGAGCGCAGAACCGTTTGATCCGAGAGTGTGGCATCCCTGTTGGTTTGCCCAGTGGCCGGGTATCGGCCCTGGTACAACACAACCCAAAGCGAAATTGTGAGATGGTCAGAGGCAGAGTAGAGACAGCGAGGGCAGAACAGGATCAACTGTATTCTTAACATTTCCTTGGCACAATTTGTGCTCGATACACTGTATACATGTACATGTACACTCCTCTCCCTGCTCACCCTGTCCTCATAATCAGATGCAGCCCCGAATCCGTCTTCACAATCCCACTAATCTCCCCCACCTTAAGAGCAAACGTCGCCTCCTCAAACGGCCTCTGCATCTGCCCCCTACTAAAAACCCCCAGGTCTCCACCCCGCTCATGACTGCTATCGTCCGAATACTCCGAGGCGAGCTGGGCGAACTTGACAGGATCTTGACCGATCGTGTTCGCGTACCCTTGCAGGATCTCACGCGCTTCCGCTTCGGGGAGGGTGATATTCGCCTATATCTCATCGCTTGAGCAACCGCGCGGGCGCTGGAAAGAACCGTAGCACAGAACACGCACGTTTTTCCAACTCGAAGGTCTCCGGCTCCCACTATGTTTCACAAGCAGATGACTCGCTCTAACCTGCTCATTCTCCCCATTCGTCTGTGCCCCCCCTCCTGCTCCTACGCCTCCGACAAGGTATTCAGAACCGGGCAAAGCCCGCAGTTGGGCGTCGCTCAGGTGCGAAGGGGGCTCCCAGGTCGATTCCCGCGTTTGGACGTTGTGGAAGTAGGCAGCTTTGCGCGTGTTGGAGAAACGGACTTCCCAGCCGGACATGATGTGTGGATGGATGGGTTGGGTTGGGTTGAGAACGGTTCTGATGCGAAGAGGAAGAGGCTGAAATCAGATGTCGTGGACACCGCTTCCAAGTTCGGGCAGTATGAGCTCGTTCACGTGACATCAAGCTATATCCAGAAGCAGTTGTCCCGATCTCGACCTTGATCGACTTTTGCTTGCTTTAATTTGAACACTCCTGCTGCCACACGCTCCATCTTGCTTCAAAAACCCGTCTGAACAACCATAGATCCTGTCAACATAGCTTGTACATAACGTTAACCCGGTCTTAACGCTGCCGCATCTATTGTATTTGTACACGTCTTTCCGAGTATCCTGGTTACACAAGGTACTCCCTAACGAGCTCCTCCAAGCTCTCATTCAACCGTTTCACAATCTCATCCATCTCCTCCTTCGTAACGTTGTACGGCGGTGCAAGGATCACGTAATCCCCTTTGCCCCCATCTAACGATCCGGCCATGGCGATGACGATCAACCCCTTCTGCATCGTCTTAGCCTGTACGAGCGCGCCGAACGGCTTAGGCGTCTGTTTCTCCCCGAGATCAAACTCGATCCCCCAGAAGGCGCCGCCCCCGCGGATATCGAAGATGTAGGGAGCGACGATGCTTGATGGGGATCGGAGGGTGGCACGCAGCTGGGAGGAGAGGTACTCCCCTGCCTCGGCAGCTTTCTTTAGCAAGTCGTTCTCACGGATCACCTTCTGGACCGCGAGAGATCCAGCAGCGGTGGTCGGATGCGCCTTGTAGGTTGGCCATGAGCAATCGCTCAATAATGATGAGTAGAGTTGGCTTACCTGATAGGTATGACCATGGAAGAAGTACCCACTTCCCTCCCGAATCCCTTTTGCGACCCGGGGGGACATCAGTACCGCGCCGATGGAAACGTATCCCCCTCCAAGTCCCTTAGCGATCGCCTGAATATCAGGAGCGACATTATCTCCGTATGTCTGCCAAGCATGCATCGTAGTGCCCATGCCTGCAACCGCGTCAGTACCCCTATGGGCTACAGAGGTCAGTGAGTGGCTTACGGCCCATTCCGCTCATAACCTCATCCAGGATGAACAGGGCACCGTGTTTCTCGCAAACGGCTTTCATGGCAGGGAAGTATCCTTTAGGCGCAGCGACGCATCCCGTAGTCGCCCCTACCACAGTCTCGGCGACGACTATGTCCGTGAGCAACCCCGACCGCTTGCAGGCCCATTGAATGACTCACAGCCAATGACGGTATCCGGCCCAAGTTCCTGGAACTTGTCCTCCAACTCCTTGGCTAGGCGCGCAACGTACTCCTCATCCGTCTCGCCTGGTGTCTTGAACCGCGCCGCATAGGCAGGGGAGACATGATGGAACGAATCATGGTTCAATATGCCTTCGAAGACCTTCCTTCGGCCTTGGCCCAGTGTCAGCAGGATTGTCTTCTCCGACTAGGCGAGGGATATGCACCTGGGTGACCACTCAGCGACAGCGCGCCGAGCGTGTTCCCGTGATAGGACAGCTGGCGAGAGATGAACTTTGTACGTTGGGGCTGCTTCGTCTCCCAGAAGTATTGACGAGCGAGCTTGATAACAGCCTCCATCGCCTCCGACCCGCCGGCGACGAATGCGACTTGCTCAAAGGCACCTGGCGCGTATTCGAGCAAGAGTTTCGCTAGTTCTTCGGCAGGCTCGTTAGACCTGCCCATGTTAGGAACCGGTCTGTTCATTTGAGAGGGCATGCCTTACAGTTGCATGTTATAGCAGTCTATGGCAAATAATCAACATAATACGGAAACGGTGCTTTGCATCGCTTTCTTACACGACAACTTCTCCACCTGATCCTTGATCGCCTGCTTGACGACTGGATTCCCGTTCCCAATGCACGTCACAGCCGCACCGCCAACAGCATCGATAATACGCGTCCCATCCGCCAGGGTAAAGTAGAGACCCTCCGCCGATACAGCAGTCGGAGGCTGGAATGGCGTCCGGTGCAAGATCGCCGTGTCCTTTGTATAAGCTGAAGGAGGATCAGCAGCCGCGTTTATCCCTGCGACCTTCTTCGACTCCACACCGGGAGCAGCGGTTGAAATCTCAGCAGTCCTAGTAGCAACAGGAGCCATTCTAAGAAAAGCAGAAGCAGTTCGCACGGAGAAAGGTAGTATGGGAAATGGACGCGAGGTCGTCCACCGCCTGGTACATATTGTCCCGATGCGCCGCTTTATAGGACTAGTGCCCTTTATCATGCCCCTTCCAGATGCAGATATCAACGAGGTTGGCGCGTGTGAATCCTATTCCTGACTTGAATGGGCTCGCATTCTGTAAATTCTGCTTCCCGCCGAGCTCTCGCCTAACCGGAGCCTTCTTGTCCATTCCCCACATCCCTGACATAACCCTGTCACCGAGATAAGCCTTGATGCCCGATGCATTCCGATATTATTAGCATGTCTAAAACCTTGTTCAGCACAGGTGTGCCGCCAAAAGCTAGCGTCTTTTCATCAGCACTTCCTGGCGTAATCCCGCAAATCTGACCATCCCGACTAATGACCGATAGAAAATCATGCCGATCGGGCCGATCGGCCACAGACGGCCGGCTGGCTTCTGTCCAAATCCGGAGGAGTTCACGGGGGTCCCGTCTCTGTTGTCTTTTGCTGCTCCTGCAACACGGCACGCGTACAAAACGAGGAAAGAACAAGAAATCAAGACCGTCTATTTCTGCAGTACCTCCGTGTATATCATGGTACATGCAACAACTCCACAGTGACAGCAGCTAACACGTTCCTCTCCCCTGGTCCCAGACGACCGTCAAGGAATCTCTCCTTGGGCTGACCTGTACTACTTTGGGCGGCTCTTCTGATGCTTTCTATATGAGAACGACGATGTCCCACGGAGCAAGATCAAGCTACCATCAACAAGAACCGCGATTGAAGCAAAAGGTGCTCTTTACCAGTGGTCCAGGGTTGATCGCCAACCTATCTAGTCTTTACCTTCGCGGAAACATCCTCAGATGCTGGGATCAACTCTTGAGATGGAAATTCGACTTGGATCTTTCCTTCCAGCAGGCTCCGGGCGACGAGCTCTCCAGACAAACTATCGAACTTGAGCGTTTTTGTCTCACGCTCCGGTTGCGTGAACAGCACATGAGAGGAGACAAGCTTTTCATGCCCACACAAATTTGCCTGAGAGAATAGTTCTTCGAAGGTCATGTGAACACTCAAACGTACCTCGAGCGTTGGTGTGAACCAGCGCAGTCCATATCGAGCCACATCAGGTTCTTTGCATTCCTCCTTTTACAAGATATGCAATTTTGCTGAGATTGTACTCCTGAATTCAAAGGCGTTGATCGGTGAACTACGGATGTCACAACTGCGACACACCCTTGCGATAAGCTGGAGCTGGTGGGTTGTTAAAGTGTTATCAGGGGTTATGATAACGCAGGTCGGATTGCCTGCAAACGGCGCCTTTGTGAATGCATCTGAACGCTAGTGTATTGAAGTGCTATATCCACAGCTCGAGAATAGGTTGCGATGTCGGCGAGCGCGGTATCGTGGAAATGCGTTGTTTGTACGCTTGCTCATGACTCAATCATGAGATCCAGATTCGGTCCGATAACGGTCATTCATTCCAGTGAGTGTTGTGACATTTCAGCCGTTCTTAAAAAATGACGCAAGCTTGTCTTTATCGAGGATGTCGTTCTCTACCAGACGAGCTACCTCTTTACCCTGATGTTGAAGATCAGTCACATCGTCGTTTGGACGTTCAGGAACAAGCAAACTACACACATCTTTCAGCTTAACAATGGTCGGAACCCCGGTTATTCCTGCTTCTTTTCTGTACTGGTTATCCGGATATTTCCACCTAGAATAACGTTGTGAAACTGTGTAGCGCTGAAAGGGGTGTTGCATGGCAACTGCATACTCCGCGCGCTGGCCGACCCAGATAATTAATCCTGTCGGTCCATCTGGAGCATCAAATATATCCGATACAGTACTCTCAACGGCACGGCAATCCTGTCATCGTCCGAATGAGATTCCATTGCTGAAGAAAAAATGCGTGCTGAATACGAACCGGGCACCACATCTGTCCGGTAGCGGGATCGATAGAGGCATAATAAATCAAGAATGGTCGCTTCGGCGGAGCTGGCCCGTAGAAGGAGTTCAGAACCTTGGGGTAAGGTGTGTATAGTAGTGGCATTGTGCAGAATGCAATAAGAAGTTTGATTTGGTTGCAGTGAGAAACGTAGGTGCAAGACGGCGCAGATGACCAAGCTGGCAGCGATGACGTCATGCCTTTCCGGACTTTCTTAGAATCCATCCCCAAAGTTTGCCTATGCAATGTCCCTGTTGTCCTAAATTATTTCACGCTCAAGCAGCATGCCATGCCCATGCGATGTAGACACAGATCTATGTGACAACTGGATATTCAGGGAACGCAACGTGAGTGCGCTCTCACAGATGCACCTCATTAACATGAAGGGCTACACTTTTGTCCGTGTTTGAGAGGAAATTCGGGTCAGGGTCCGGAAGGCTCAGGCAGAAGGAAACATCAGTTCGTGAATAAGTGAACGGAAACGGGAGGGAGGACAGTCTAGGATGGTTATGACCGTGAGCGCCACGATCTCTTAGCCCTGGCGGCCGGGGCGGACGTAACGTCGAGATCGCTGCTACGAGGGATATTGACCCAAGCAGCGTTGGAGAAGCCCATCGGCACGGCCAGAGGCATGGCATCGTTCGGGTTGCTGCTGATGGCTCCTGAGCCGTTCCAGCTACCGCTACCGCTGCCGCCCGTGCTACTGGAGCTGTTGGTGCTATTGCTCGACCCGCTGCCGCCCCAGGATTGCATGTCCGGCGGTAGGCTACTGCACCCCGGCCCTGAGCAACCGGCGGACCACCAGCTGGTGCTAGGCTGCACCGCCTGGCACTTGAGCGTGCAGGTGATCACTTCGGGAGGAGCAGAGCAGCAAGATGAACCGGTGCAGCCATAACCGTTCCACGACCAAGAGGAAGGCGGCGGGTAGTTGGACCATGAGTTAGACGAGCCCGAGCCGTACGAGGATGATGAGCCAGAGCTGGGAGATCCGGATTCATACGATGGGTCGGAGCGCTTGTACGAGCCGCTGCCGTAGTTGTTGCTGCCGCTGCTTCCTGTCCCGTAGCTGGAGCTGGACGAGCTTGACGACCCGTAGTTGTTGTTGTTGCTTGATGAGGGCGACCAGGTGTTAGAGCTGCCGCTCGATCCAGAGCCGTCCCATGACCAGCTAGAGCTGCCCCACCACTGGCTAGAGCATTGCTCGAAGCACACAACAACTTCGGTCTGGACCGCCTGCGCTGCCGCGGCCGCTGCAACAGACACCGTTTGGGTCTCGACGACTGTCGTGGGCACAACCGTTGTCGCGAGCAGCGTCTGGGTGACGAGTTCCGCTTCAACGGCTGTGGCGGTCACGGTGGCGGTCTCGAGCTGGGTTTGGACTTGTACATGGTCGACTGTGAGCGTCTGAGTATCGACCTCGGTCCGCACGTCAGTGAAGGCCTGTGTTACAACGGCTGTCTGAACAACTTGCACCGTTTGCGTGGCGGTGAGGGTGTGGTACAAGACCTGGGTCTGGTCGATGACCTCCGTGCTGACCCAGACCTTGGTAGTCGGAACGAGCACTGTTTGGGTCTGGGTAACGACGTCCGTAACAAGGTCTGTGAATGCCTGGGTGACGAACACGTCTTGCGTCTTGGTAGCTGTCTGTGTGACCACGTCGGTGACGAGCTCGGTGAATGCCTTGGTCTGCACGATTGTCGTCGGCTGCGTGTAGGTAACGGTCTGCGTCGAGGTGACAGTCTTGGTCATTAAGTCGGTGCTTGTCACGGTGTTGATCACAGTGGTGGGGACTACCTTGGTGCTTGTCCACGTGACGGTCATGGTGTCGTGCTCCGTGACGGTGTTTATCAACGTCTTGACATCAGTTACGGTCGCAGTAGCAGTGTTGGTGACGATGGAGGTGTCGTGCTCGGTGCTTGTGACAGTACATGTCTCGGTGCGAGTGGAAACGTCCCACGAAGTAACTGTTTCAGCTGAGCAGAGCTCCGTCTCATTGATGATGACGGTCTCGTAGCAGCCCTCCCATTCCCACTGCATGCACAAGACACCTCAGCTCAATTTTTTTTAAAAACCAAAGGCAGCAAACGCACCCAGCTCTGAGATGTACACCGCCCCGAGTTATCCTTCTGCCACCCGTATCCACACGCCATGCTACTGTAACCTCCTTGAGTGAACCACGAGTACTGGCTTTGGTCGTTGGGCATGTTCCAGCCGCCCATCGATGGGGGCTGAGTGACCTGCGGTTGAGCAGCGGAGTTGCCGTTCCAGTTGTTTCCAGAACCTCCATAACCTGACCCTCCATACCCAGAGCCCGAACCTGAACCAGAGCCGGACCCAGCCGTTGGAGCAGAGGACGAGGCGCTAGACGGAGAGTATCCATTTGCTGCGTCTGTCGGAAGAGATGAAACAGCGGTAGCAGCCGGCATTGGGACAAGTGAGGTTCCAGCCATTATTTGCGCTGCGGCTGACGCAGCGAGTCCTAAGAGTGGGGCGAAGTGACGTGCGGCCATCTTGGGATATTGTTAGGTGAGGAGGCGCTTAGATGAGATTGATGATTGGGGGATGTTCTGTCCGGAGAACGAGTGGATTGTGTCTTGTGGGAGCGCACTGCGCTTGCGCCGTCTTGCAGCTGTTCGAGCGCGCATTGACTGTGATCAGTTCTGCTCTGGGGCTCAACACGATGGAGGCGCTCACCGTACAAGGGAGGGAGTAACGAAGGAGAGAAAGGAGATAGAAGGAAAGAGCGCCGTAGGATCCTCACCGGAGAGAGGGAGGGGTGAGCGCCGTTCCTCTCCCTCTCAAGGGGCTTAAGAGGCAGCGCCTACACGGTATCCAACCAGGCGAAATCCGCGCAAAGCAAATTTAAAGTGAATCGATCCATCGTCATGGTCGGCATCGTACGTTTCACACCTACAAGCGCGGCCACGGCATTCCGGTGGAGCTGGCCGGGTGGCGTGTTGATCAGGCTGACGCTGAGAGAGAGGCAAATGCAGTCTCATCATCACCATCTCGGCGCGTGGACGTCAGTTGTTGCCACCCGGACACGCAGACACGTCCCAACGCGGTTCACAACGATGCTTCTGTAATCCCAGAAGGAGTGAGTTGTGACAACCCGGCGCCGAGAGAAGGCAACAGCGACGGCGACCGCATTGAATACAGCAGAACTTGGCAAACGAGCACAAGGGAAAGAAGCGCCGGACGACGAATCAGACAGAAGCTAGGAACGTCAGGGTCCTATTAAGTAAGCACCAAACCAGCCAATCACAGCTCATACCGTCCTTTCCCATGCCGAAGGAAGCAAGGGGCTCGCGACCGTCAGGGCGTCTCCTTGTCGACCATGTCATCCTCGAGCGCTCACATTTCTCACCCCGTCTCGGACCTACGAAACGTATCATTGAGGTTTATCCGGTCAAGTCTTGCTCGTCGTCGTCGACAAGGAACTCAGGGTCGTACGGTTGGATTACAAGGGACATGACAACGACTTCGGGCGATTGTCAGCGATGGAACTGCGCCCTACTTTCGCCTTCGCCAGACATCTCACACAGAGAATATCACACGGATGACATGTGATCCAAACGAGCCATCACCGTTGCTCTGGGGCATCACATTCCCGAATTTGGAATCAGCCTGGAGGGTTTCTAACGGCTTTAACTAAAACACGAGGCGGCTAGACTTCCATCAAACGGTCCATAGTCTCCATCCCTGCCTTACGAAACCTTTGAGCTTCCTGGATGCCACCAACCATCAATATGGCTGCCTCTCCATGAGCTCTTGTCTGTTCGAAATTGCTTTGTGCCGGGGACCCATTCTGCCGCCCTGAACTTGCGAGGGCACTTTGTTATACCAGCACGTGTGCTGCATTGACAACTGCGATGGCGTGCTTTCCGTCACGCATTCTGAGACGACAGTCATTGAGAGGGGAGCAAAGGAATGACCCTTCGGTTTGCTAATTGATTGTGCAATCGAGTCTCCTTCAGAGTTTCGCTCGGTCTAACTAATCCAACGTTTGCTTCGAACCTCGTTGCCTTTTCTCATACATTCGTCTTCACTGCGATCATACCAAGCTGCCGACCAATCCCATCATGCTGCGGATGGGGAAATACCCTAACTCTGAACACGGAAAATTCTCGCCTACCGTTGAACACTCCTACTTCAGGTACACCACAGCCGCAGAAGCGCGGAAATCAGCGCCAGCACAGTAATGTGCATGTTCGGAATGTCTAATCCAGCACTTCGCGCGACTCGGCTTCGCGTTTGATCTGGGTTGACCAATTAGCAACCTAAGTCCGGGGCAATGCAGTCCCACGCACCTCGAGGTCTCGCATCTCGGCGGTCCAAACCCTGCACCAATCGGTGCGGTCCCACCGGCCTCACGAAGCTCGAGATCACGCTTGCGCCAGTCAGCGCCTGCTTCGCGAAACTCGACATCTTGCTCCTCGTTAGTCACATCCCTGCGCCAATCGGTTCCCGCCTCGCGGAGCTCAACCCAGTAAGTGCGGACACCCTCTCCGAAGGCGCCGGCAAGTGCTTCTTTCATACCGAGATTGGGGAGCTCGGTCTTCAACATCTCGGAGAGAGGGCCGGTCTGGATTGGCCAGTAATAGGTGCTATCGGGCAAAAGACCGGCCGCGAGTGTGGACAGGACCGGACTGTTAGTGTTTCAGTACCTGGTTGTCGAGTAAATGAACGAGATTGAAACATACGCGATACTGTGATGTGGAATACAGAGATAAAGCAACTAACTTTGACAAGACGATGCTTCGTACTCTGCAACTGAGACCAACGTCCCTCTCAAATAGGCGAACTCAGATCACCGATCTTGCCGCAGTTCACCCGAATTTGTCTGCTTCAGTCTGCGAATGTTCAACACGAGCTCGCTTGAACAGCTGAAAGGAGAGCATATCGTATTAGTGGAAGTTGGCAATACACCAGACAGTCATCCTGCGTAGTTGACCGTTGTCCCCGAGCCAAGACCAACAAGGGAAGTCCCACGAGGCGTGTTCATAAAGACCAAGGAATCGCTAAGTCGGAGTGGAGGAGTTCACAACCAAGTCCGAACTCGCCGGTTTTTCAACAATCCGTTCTTAATATCGCCGTGTCGGTTGGGTCCGAGTCAACAGTCGCATTTTGTCAGCACCCACGCGGCCAGAAGATGATTTTTCCGAGGTAATAACAGCTAGATCAGACTAAATCGAATGATTGAGCAATGGACAGAGTATCAGGCCCTGAGCGAGGCGTGACCTCGATAAACGAAAGTGGCCCGTGCGAGAGTGGTCCGTGCACCCAACTTGGGACCCTATATAAGCCCTAGCTATCGCGTCACGTACACCCCATACTTACCTTGGGGGATGAAGCCCCCTTCACGTCGGGGCTCATAGCGGCATGAACTCGGCATTGCACGGCGACTCATTGTCCCACCGAGAGCTTGGTGTTTGTCAGTCTCTACGAGGTTGGCACTCCCTAAATATTTTCCTGCCTGCTTTTCCCACTCTGGGAGAAGCGGGCCTCTGCTTTTTACATCCGGAGGATTGTTTAGGGCCGGCTCCCCTCCCGTGGGTCTTAGTACACGTAATTTGCTTTCGATTACCCATCATTTCATTACCTCGCCTTCTGCTCATGGTCGTATGGCGCATGGCAGCATGAGATGGCATATTGTCTGAAAGAGCAATACAACGTTTTTTTTTTCAGACTAGACTCCTATCACACGGCTCAGTCCTCCCAAGGCACACCTAGTACAACGAATAATTCTCTGCCTGAGCGCAGAATCAGTCTATCAGAGACAGGCCAGGATGCGTGACGTGCACCTTTACTACTAATCCGAATTGTCAAAACCCCATGTAACCTTCGACGTAAAGCGACCAGTTCCTACACTAATTATGAAATCCGCAAATGCCATCAATAGATAGTGTCTAAAACAACAGTCCTCTTCACAAGTCCTTCCATGTCACCACCTACCACTACACAGCAAGACACCTCATAAGCACTACGGCGTCGTCCCACCGCTCATGATCTCCCTTGCCCTTTCTCTCCCCTCGTCACCCCACAGCCCAGGACCCCTGCCAGCTTTGGTCATCATCACTCTGAGCGGTATGTTATCCTCGTCCTCCTCTCCGTCCTGCTCTACCGGAGCCTGTTGCACATCCGGTCTCCACCTCTCCCCATCCGGATCAGGCACATAAGGCCAAGCAGCATGCAAGTCCTCCGCTCTCGGCCCATAAACGCTGTCTTCCCCCTCCTCGGCTTCGGCAATCGCTTCGTCCACTTCTGCGTAGGTCACATCAGACCGATGTGCATGGTGGGTGCCGCGCTGGTGAGCGTGGGTGCGGGCGTAGGGGTGGTACCGGGCTGGAGGGGGAGGGGCGGGAGGGTAGCCTTGTACCACCGTGGGGGTGAGTTCTTGGGTGGGGACGTGTTCGTAGGCACCCATATGTCTTCTTTGGACAAGTCAGATCGCGTAAAGAAAGATAAATACGAGACGTACGAGGGAAGGTGTTCAAGCTCGCCGTACTCGATCAGATATTGGGAGACCGAGAGGGAGACAACGACAACTAGGAGCATGCCAAGGTGGAAGGTCATCGCTACAAGCATATACAGCCTTTATACCAAACTGCATCAGATCACACACAGGCTGACGACAGAAGACAAACTCACAGTCTCAAGAACGTCAGCAAGCCATACATTCCCGCCCTCCATGCCGCTACACCCCTCCTTCCAAACTTCTCAAACGTCGGTGGTACATAATTGTGCGAATGGAGGAAAGTGAGCGAGCGCTCGAGGTAGCAGATGCAGGCTGTGAGGGTGATAGCGAGGAGGAAGGAGGGGAGAGAGGAGAGGCGGATGAAGGGGAGGAGGAAGATTCCTGAGCGAGGGTCAGGAGGAAGCGTGAGGAGAGAGAGAGGGGCGTACCGCCGTCCAGACCCAGGTGGAAGTAGGGCTTCCAGTCTGCGTCCATTCAAGTCTTTGGCAGTTGGATGAGGACAGCGCGCAGTCAGACGCCCTTTCGAGGTTATGTCGTCGCCAGCAACACAACAACACGAGGTTTAAACAATCAAGATGTCCAGCCCAGATTCCAATAGTTCACTTCCAAGTATAATGCAGCACCGGCGCGGACGACAAAAAGAGGTTAGACGAGGAAAGTAGTAAGACTCGAAGGAAAGATCATTATTCCCACACTCGCTGTTGCGTTCAATTATGGACCAGGCCGTCGCACCCGACAATCAAGGAGTCAGCCTATTTCTGAACATGCCGAACACTGCCACACAATGATGATGATGAGACACGTACATGGATAGGTTGTCGGGGTTCAGGGATGGTCGAGAAGGCAACAGTGAGGACGACTCGATTCCAAAACAGTCACGGATGTTGTATTATACACATTGGCTCGTTAACAAAGATTCTTTACTTGAGCGGGCTGAAAGGCAGCGGGATCAGGATCTCAGAGTCCATCGACGTCGCTAGTTTCGCCGTTTGGTTTACTGTTGCGCTCCAGCCCTCGAGCTGCCACGCCTGCTCGCGAGCTTCCTTGCGAGCATTCAGATCCCTGGAACACCCATATCAGTCAGAATACGGAATTGAGTGGAGAGCAGAAAAGACACGTACGCGTACTGCCAAATGTGGTACACTTGGTGAAGCCGGCCGACTTGAGAGAACCACGCGCCAACAGGCTTGACAAAATGCTTCCTCGCATCCAATCCGCGACGCCTACCTCGTATGAGCCAGGTGCTCCCTTAACAGCGTGAGCTACACGCACCAAGTATGTTCCCACTCCAGCAGCGTCCCCGGTCGAAGCTGGTAGCTCCTCATCTCGTATATCCCACCCTTCGTCAAGGGCGGTGACGTGGGCAGGAAGGCAAACTCCTGGCAGATCTGGGAGGTGCGGCTCCTCACGTGGGGGAGGACATTCTCCTTGAAATGCTTGTGCAGCTGAAATAGATGTTAGCGGGCTATTGTTTGATATACGAAGCGATCGGAAAGAGAAATAGAAACGCACAGCAGAGCCACGGATAAGCTTGGTCGACTTGTCATGCCCAGCATAGTTCTCGTACTCCAGGATATGTACTACACGCGGATTAGAACAAACGTCGTAGAACCCCCTTACACAGGGACAAAGTGTAGACGCACCGAAAGTATCCTGCTCTCCGACAATCTTTTCCCAACTCCCGCTCAGCTTCACATGAAACTCGGGGTTGCTCGCAATGCCCGTCAAATATTTGCCGCTTGACATTCCCAGCATGTCAGCCACTGCTACATCCAATCCATTTTTTAAAAATAAAATCAACGCACATATGTGTCCGATACTCATCTACCGCTTCCGGCTTGACTCTGTGCGCTGTACACGCATCAGTCGTGCCTACATCTCCTGGGTGGAGAGGACGTACTGAGCAGTTCATGCACGTACTTCCCTCTGGCAACGAGCCTTGAATGCTGCAGGATCGCTACTTCCCCCTCAGCCTTCGCCTCCGGAGATCCATGCAGTATAGCCTGTCATTCAGCGTGAGGCACCTAAGGGAGTTAGAAGGAAGAAGGGGGCGCACGTCGAGTGTTATCCCCCTTGTTGCGAGCGCAGAAGGGCGGGATAGCGCACGTCGAGGGAGGGTAGCAAGCAGGCTCATCGTTGTCTTTCCTCTAGCTTTGTCCGGTATGCAGATGGTATCGGGTGGGTATGATGCACAAGGCGGAGGTGTATGCTCCCAACATGGCAACGCGGCTCATCGCTCACGAGGACACGGGAGCAGTCACAAGCCTCGTGATGTCATCGCCCCTCCCTCAGTGGCGCAGCAAGATTATGTAAGCGTGATTCAGGAGACAGAGTCATGCTCTCCGTCGAATCACGCGCTCCCCGTAGCCTGCGGGAGTGCGCATGCTGCGAAAGGGAAATTGGCCTCCTCTCTGACGACCATCTTCTCCCTTCCGCTTGCTAGCTCTCGTCGACCCACGCTCACCGTCCAACATCAAGCAGCAGCGATCAATCGCATCTACAAAAAAGGACAATAATCTACCTTATCTCCGCTTCTCGTGAGGACAACACCGGGGCGAACAAAAGCGGCCACAAACGTCGTTCAAACGTACCGTTTGTATTAGTTGGAAGGCCTTGCAGTCTGCAGGAAAGGAAGTTGCATGTGTGGTATTGGATTGGGCTTGGTCCATTGAGCTTCGAGATTGAAGGAATTGAAAAAGAGCATATATCGCGCTCTCGAGCTGCGTTGCTCATCGACATTACCGCTCAGCCTTGTACAACTCCAGCTTCAGCCATTCGTGATCGCCCAAATCACGTCCATCAAACCGAACCAATGTCAGCAGCACTCGTCATGCCCACCCCCATTCCTGTCCCGAGCCCGTTGGACAACTTCCATCTCTCGTTAGGTGGTGCTCTTCCGCGCGTACGGCGACCGCGTCGTGCAAGCTCTTATGATCAGTACACACCTTCTTCTTCTGCGGTTGGTACTGCGTCCACTGGCGAATCACGATCCTGGGAAAACGATTACCAACTGCCGCAACGCCCACAAACGCCACGCACGCTCTCAACCCCCATCCTTCCCCATACTCGGTCAATGACCGCCCCTTCTCTTCTCCTAGCCACACACACCGCGTATGGCCATTCTGCAGCACGCATGCGAACACCTCCCATCCGACTGAATCCCCTGGCGCTGGCGCATATGTCCAGGATCGCGGAGAGCGCGGAGGTGCTTGTGCGACATCTCCACGCTACGCTCGCTAAGCGTCCTGCAGCAAGCTCCCCCGAGGATATGCCTCAGGATCGACCCCGAGCAGGAGAATCAGGACTGCAGCTCGACCTCGGCCCATCGCGCGAAGAACTGGTGAACGGAGAGCTTTATCGCGCTACGCTGCTCAAAGGACTCGCATCATTCCGCACCAGCGTGGACGGGATGAAGCGGGCGCGTCACCTCGGATCAGCGAAGAGGAGTGCCGTGCATTCCGTTGCTCCGAGAAGAGTGTTTGGAGCGTCGTATGGGAAGACAGCTGCGTGGAGACCACGGAGGGGAGCTGTGATTAGTTTGGGAGGGGACGAACTTCTCCCTTCTTCTGAGAGGGGCGCGTGGGTGGAGGACATACCGGATAGACAGGTTGAGGAAATGGATGTGGAAGAGTTGGGGGAGAGGATGGGCGATATCCACCTGCAAGACTGAAGTTGCCCCTCCTTCCCTTCACCATGACCCTGACTATTGTTACGACTGCGATTGCACGGATCGAAGACACACGTATCTTACCTTGCGTGATAGCCGTTTCTTTACATGCCGAATTCAAGATACAAGATGTTCCTTTTCACTTGTTTTGTATCAAAGTAGCACTTTATATCGACAAGCCTCTGTATCGTGTTAGTTCGGATAAACTACGGCTCCGATATGACGTAAGCGCGGTCGTTATCATGCGTCATACTCTTATGGCGGGTTGGTTGATCCGCCAAGAGCGACCGTTGGTTTCTCGCAACATCGAAGTGATTGCGCGTCCCTATCCTTCTCTCTCTCCTTCCTCCCATCTACCACCAGGATGAAGCTCTCCCTCCTCCCCTTCCTCCCTCTCGCCTTCGCCCTGCCCAACCAACTCGTCTTCCCCTCCTCGAAGACGTCTAACCCCCTCTCCAGCCTCCCCGAGAAGTTGCACACATGGTATGAGAACGGCCGGGAGTGGGTATCGAAGAATGGCATCACCTATGAGTTCGTGACGCATCCCGAGTTTCCCGAGTACAGTATCCGGGTCACCGAGCCGACGTTGTGCGATTCAACTGTACAGCAGTACTCTGGGTATCTCGATATCAGTGACGGAAAACATTTGTTCTTCTGGTGCGTCTCACAACTCGAACTACGCCGTAGAAAGTACTGACACGTGTATATATAGGTTCTTTGAATCTCGCTCGAAGCCGAGCGAAGACCCGCTCGTCCTCTGGCTCAACGGTGGCCCCGGCTGCTCCTCCATTACCGGACTCCTGTTCGAGCTCGGCCCCTGCATGGTCTCCGACGAAGGGAAGAATACGACATTCAACCCCTATAGCTGGAACAAGAACGCGAACGTTATCTTCCTTGACCAGCCTGTGAATGTTGGGTTCTCCTACTCGGACGACGGGACTGGTGTGAATACGAGCCCGGTGGCTGCGGAGGATGTGTGGACTTTCTTGGAGATGTTTGTCACTCGGTGGAAGAAGTACTCGGAGGTCCCATTCCAGTGCGTGAAAGTTAAGTATATGGGCGTGATGTAGCTGACGTGCACATAGTATCTCCGGCGAGTCTTATGGCGGGACCTACCTTCCCAACCTTGCACACGTCATCCACTCACACAACAAGGAAATCGCCGCTTCCCCAGCGACGTTCGCACCCAAACAGCTCCACGCGCTCAACTTCAAGTCTATACTCATTGGAAATGGTCTCACTTCGCCTCTCATCCAGTTCCCTGCTGTGGCGGAATACGCGTGTGATGGCCCATACCCGGTGTTAGAGAAGGACGGCCCAGAATGTCAGGCGCTGTACAGCAAGATCCCTACTTGCGTGAGGTTGATCGAGTCCTGGTATGTATGCGTCCTGTTGTGTCTGCTATTGAGACTGATGACTGTCATACAGCTACAAGTACAATAACCGCCTGACATGTGTGCCTGCCAGCATCTACTGCTGGTCCCAGATGTACGGCCCCTTCCAGAACCTCGGCCTAAATCCCTACGATGTCCGTCGCACCTGTGACCGGGAGAAAGATGGTAGCCTCTGCTACAAGGAGCTGACCTGGATCGAGTCATTCCTCAATACTGAAGCTAACAAGATAGAGCTTGGCGTGGACACGGAACGCGGCTACCAGGGTTGCAACAACGACGTCAACCGTGCCTTCTTTTCTCAAGGCGATAGCATGCACGATACTGCCGCTCTTCTCCCTCCTCTACTGGAAGACGGAATTCGCTTGCTCATCTACGCCGGCAACGCCGACTTTATGTGCAACGCGATTGGCAACCTCGAGTGGGTCGTAGCGCTCGACAACCCCTTCGCGTCCGAATTCCGCAACCAGACCAATGAGCCCTACGCCCTGCCCAGCGGGAAGATCGTGGGAGAAGTACGCTCTGCTGGGGGTAAGGGAGCGGGGAACCTCGCCTATGTCCAAATTTATGAAGCGGGACATATGGTACCGTACGACCAACCAGAAGCGGCGCTAGACATGTTCGAGCGGTGGATCTCTGATGTCCCTTTGACGGTGAAGGAGGTCGACATGGAGGAGATCCCGTTCTTGGGCTGGTGAGCGGCGGCAAGTTTGACTGCTGGGAGTTAGTGGCTTTAGTGGAGGATTCCGTCGCGGGCTGTCTGGGAGCGGTACCAGGAGTTATCTAGATATTGGTGCATGTATGGGATGATTGAATGGACGAAGCTTGTGCTTCGAACAACTTTTAGCTACGTACAGTAGTGACGCTTTTCATGCCCGGGCCAAAATCCAAGACGTTGTGTACTTCTGGCTGTATTTCACATTTCAAGTGTTCTTATGACTCTGGAGCGAGTCACGCTTCAAACGGTCTTCTTGAGCAAGAAGCAGGCTGTGGAACAAATGGAGGAGAGTTTTCTGAGGACACCTAAGATGCTTTGGTTGCCCAGGAGAAGCGACCACGGGTACATAACGGCATATACCTATTGCCTTTACTGATGTGGTCTTTCATCACTGAGACATTTTACAGATCAGATCTGGATAGCCTTGCTTCTAGCCAAGTCCAATTCAATTCCCCCCATAAGTCTAGAAATCGTTCCAATGAAGCAACACCTGGTGACGCCTCCTTCAAAATAGTACATACAAAATGTCACCCACGCGAGCCTTCCGAGGCAAGGCGCTCCTAACGCAACTTCTGCCATGCCGGCACTTTCTTGTCGACGTTGACGTTGTTCTTCGCGGGCTGCGTGCCCTCTTCTGCCCTCTTTTGCCACTGGGCCACCAGCTTGTTCACGCCCTGGAAGGTCGTATCCACGCCATCGGATGTCGCAGACGGCGGCCCCGGGGAAGGGTTAGCCCTGCGTGGTGTTGGTGACACAATGCTTGGTGTGGGTGGGGAAAGCTCGACAGGTTGCAATATCACAGGCGCGGGTTCAGGAACAGCAGCAGACTTGGGTGCAGGTAGGGGCATTCCGATCGGAGATATCGGTCTCATGGGCAATCCGGCTTGTGCTGGGGAAGGTACTCGCTTGATTTGCTGTGGGGAATTTGTCGGTGTGCTGAGGAACGAGGACTGTTTTGTCGGAGACGGAGGCTTTGCAAGTCCAGGAAGAGCGCGGGGTTTATAATCCCCAATCGTCTCTGAATTTTGCCTCAGAGGCATCAACGGAGCTCTCTCAGGTACAGAGGACAATTTCGCCAGGCCGGGCAGACCGACATGAGCCTTGGGAGGGCCGTGTATGCTGCCGATACCTCCGATGGAAGTATTAGCTAGAGTTCGACGACGGCCGAGAGCGGCATTTGCACCGGACGCTGGTAAACTGATAGCAGATTCCTTGGTGACTTCAGTCGTTGCCTCAGAACGGAGAGGAGTAAGAGATGATATGGAAGCGGGATTCTTCGAAACTGCGGCGGGCAGAATGGTGGGAGGGAGAACGTTCTCTGTGATCTTCTCTGCCGGAAGGCTTTCCTTGGATGGCGACTTCGGGGCAGGCTTTGACACGGTCGAAGAATTGAGGGCCTCGTACTTTGACACCATGTCAGATATTGAGCCTCTCCTGGTCGAACGTCTCTCTGCAGCTACAGTCGATGTGTCTGGTGGGGGCTGTAAGGAGCCCATCGTCTGCATCATTGAGCTGGACAAGAACATCGACTGGGGTCTTGGCCTTGACGACGATGTAGTTGACGGGGGAGTTGCACCGGGGTTCGACTGTTGTCCGTTTCGATTCAGGAAATACGAAGGACGCGCGGGAACAGCTGACATCTCCTCGTTTGCTTCGTCCATGATGTTGGGGGAGGGGAGAGGGGAGCGCCGTGGCTTCTCTTCAGTATGTGATGCCTGAGCGTCAAGCCCTGCAAGATCGGGGAAGCGCGCGGCAAATATCTTTGTAGGGCTATCGGGGGCTACAGGCACGTTAGTCTTCGAAACATCTGGCTCCTTAGATAATGCCAAGACCGCCGGCTTTCCTGCAACAGGCTTTAGACCAGCCGGCTTCGGCGGGTCAGGCTTAGGTTGCTCAAACTGGCGCCTGAGGGTCCGGATCGCCCCGCCTTTGGCATCCTCAGGGCCACCGTCGTCGTCTGACGACTCCTTCCGGCGATGCCGAATTTCGATCGGGCTCCAGTTGTCCGTCAGAGTAGGTGGTGGTTTCCGATACGAAGTGTCGACTTTGGTACTGGCCGGCGCAGGTTTCTCTACATTGCGCAGGAAAGATGGCTTCTCGTTCGCCATGGGCGTATCTGTGGCCTTGAGAGATGGTGGCGAAAACACCCCTGATTGCGGACGTGTGGGCAGCTTGGGCGGTTCGCCGTCAGTACGACCAGCTGAAGCACTGGGATTACTTGCTGACTGGGCCACTGCCACCGAGCGTCGTTTAAACGGCGAGGTTCTTCTCATCCCTGCCTCAGTGGGCGAAGAAAGGGACGCCTTTACCGGCTCAGGTGACCGGACAAACTGTCTTAGAGATGCCATGGACGCTTCAGAGGTTTGTTGGGCCAATACAGGTGCAGCCGTTGAGCTATTCGACTTCAATTCTGTCGGTTTCGCAGCGACACTAGGTTTGCTGGGGGCTGCCGGTGCAGCGAGGGTCGGATCATCCGCATCGAAGCTTCCAGTAAGCCAGTCTTTCGGTTTCGTCGGTCTCTTCTCCGGTGGCTTGGATTCGTTCAGTGGCTTCGGTCCTCCCAGAGCCAGAGGCGCATGTTCGTCGTCAGCAATAGTACCAGAGGAGGAGCGCTTCGACTTCCTCTTCCGTGGCTTAGCAAAGTCTGCTTCAAGCTTCTTCATAGGCGGATTCGTTCGCTCAGGCATGGCAGCTTTGGCTCCTACGTCGTTTCTGGAGGCTGGGGTCGCTGCGAGCGTTGGTGCTGGCTTTCGTTGCACAGAGCGAATAGCCACTGCAGGTTCAGCGCTCACCGGCCTACCTACCATGCTTGGTCGCGTGGGAAGAGACGGTGCGGTGGCCGTCGAGGGAGGGGAAAGCATACCGCCCTTGGGCACTGAAGTGTCTCTCACGCCTGTCGATCTCGAGGACACGGGTTCTAGGCGCACTTGCCCACCTGCAGCAAGCTTGGTAGGGGATGCACCCTTCTTCGTAAGCCACGGCGTTTCTACACCTTTGGTCTCCCCATGAGTGGTCTTGGTAGGCGATACGTCCAGGAAAGGCTTGCTACGCCCAGCGGCCGCAGTGGGCGGGGAGAAGGCTGCGTCGAGCTCATCGATAGAAGGGAACCTATTTTCGGCAGATGAGAAGGGCTCGAGGTCCTGCTGTGCCTGCCGGGGGGAGCGGAAAGCTGGCGTGCGAGGTTGGGACTGCAGGAGCGGGGCTGTACTGGAAGGAGGGGGAGAGACGAGGCTTAGGGAAGAGGAGGTAGAAGGGGACGGAACAGCGATGGAACTGAGGCGAACGGCTGGTTTTGGTGCTAGAGAGGGTTTCGGAGCTGGGGAAGGCCGTTCTTGAGCTGGTGGGGAGGTGAGAGGGGTCATCCCGCCGGCTGCTTGACCAAGTTGGCCGATCCTGGTGGATACGTAACTGGGTTTGGTAGCCACCGCTGGCTTGTGCTGTCCTTCACCGAACGGTAGTTGAGGATGCTGTGATGCAGGTGAGGTCGTAGCCGGTGTGAACGCAGGTGAGATCTTCCCCTCCCCTCCCGGACCGCGCATGGCTGCTCTCAAGCCCGCTTGCCTGCTTCTCTCTGCCTGCTGAGTGTCTCCTAATATGTTTCCCCCATTTCTACCCGTGGCGGGACTGCTCCGCGCTCCAGGGCCGGAGATGTGTGTTCGGAGCGAATCCAAGGGGGTTAGGGAGGAGAGGATCTGGTCTCGGGCTGTGATGGCGGCGGTGAGGGATGAGGAGAGGGGGGCAGACCGGAGGGCGGCGGTTTTGAGTGGTTTTGTGGGCGAGAGAGGAGGAGGAGCGGATATGTTCTGAATACGTGCAAATGTATGCGTTAGCGCCTTTCGCGGAATGTGGTAGGAACAACGCACATAATGGAACTGACTTCTCGTGCCCTGCATCCTATGCACCTCTTCAAGAAGCTCAAACACGCTAGGCCTATTGGCCCCTCTCTCCTGCAGCATGCGCCCGATAAGCCCATTCATCTCCTGAGAATACACTGGATAGCTCGGAATCTTGTAGCTGGCAGTGAGGATCGCAACCGGCCCGTGCGCCTCAAACGGGGTAGTATAATAGCAAAGCTTGTAGAGGAGGACACCAAGCGCCCAAACGTCGGACTTGGTATCGATCGGCCGGCGCTGGGTGACATCTACCATCTCCGGTGCGCGATACTGCAGGGTCGTGTGCTTATTTACGTCCGCTTCGAGCAGGCGCATCTGGACTAGGTTGGTCGGAGGCGCGGAGACGGCTGCGGCGGAGCCGAAGTCGCAGAGTTTATATAGTGTTGATGAGGATTGGAGGATGTTTTCGATTTTCAGGTCGCGGTGCAGGAGCGGAGGCTTGAGCGCGTGCATGCTGGCGACGCCCTGGACGAGGGGCAGAGTGTTAGTTCCATTCTTCACTTGTGAACGCAGCCACGTACCTCACAAACATCCACAAATATCTGCAGAATCTCCTGTTCCGTCAACCTCTCCCTCAATCTCCGATTCATATAATCAATGATCCCTCCTCCAGCACAGAACTCCATCAGTATGAGAACCACGCTGCTCCCATCCGCCTGGGGCTCGGAGGTGGCCGAATGCAGTTGTACAATGTTAGGATGTCCACGGAGGAGTTTCATCACTTGTACTTCCATGCCGACTTCGCGTAGGTGTTCATCGGAGGCGCATGCGATACGCTTCAGTACGTGTCGCGTTTCGCCTTTTATAGGGGATGAGGTGTTGACCAAGTAGACGTGTGCGTATCCACCTATTCCGCATCAAGAAAGATGATTTCAGCTGAGGAATAGAAATAGAAACCGAAACACACCCTCAGCAAGATACCGTTCTACAACTACTTCGTACTCCCCTATCTTGAGTCGTTGGCCTGCCTGGAGCGTGCCCTGGTGGGCGAGTGGCACACGCGGGTGAACAACAGCCACAGGTATGGTGGGCACCATCCCTATCGCCGCTTGAGGGAATTGGAATGGCATTCCCGCTACGGGAAAGGATTGGGGCCCCGTGCGAGGGGCGTAGATTTGCGGTTGGACGTTCAACATCGTGTCAGGGACCAGTTCGCGACAAGTGGAGTAAGAAGTAAACAAGACGAGAGTTATAGCACAAGAAATGGGTATTTAGCCAAAGTAAATCAGTAGCCAGGTAATAGAAGAGTCACAGTGCGCAATTCCGCAGACAAAATTGAGGAAGAGTTGAGCGCTGGATGTTGGTAGCACTTGTGCAGCAGATGGTTGCCTGACCGCTGTGCCGTTACCCTCACACGCGGAATGAATGTTCCTGTTGGTGACGCCCCAGCGGACCCTGATTGGCCCAGCCACACCATTCCTATATTTGAACAAATACCTCCGCAAAGGGATAGTTTCTTTGTGCTTATGTAAGAGGATGATCAGGGTTCTGAGCTGAGATTTTTGGGATCGCCACTTTGAAAGGGATACCATCGACGTTATTGACTGTCGGACATTAAAAGGGCGTTCTGCCTCAACGAGAGCAGAACATACACAATGGACATCGCCCATCCTCTCCCCTCTACCGTTGCATCTCTCTCATTCTCTTTTCTCTCAACAGACGACGTACGCCGAATATCCGTCAAACAGCTCACGAATCCAATATTGCTGGATGACCTCAACCGGCCAACTATTGGAGGGTTGTATGACCCTGCACTGGGGCCGTCAGGGAAGAACGACATGTGCGTTATTCTCCCCTTCAGAAGTTGATAAACGGTTTAACAGGTTGACAACTCGATAGATGTGCGACCTGCCGTCTGACATATTTCACCTGCCCGGGCCATTACGGCCACATCGAGCTCCCCTCTCCTGTGTATCATCCTCTCTTTATGATCCCTTGTTACACACTCCTACGGACGTGCTGTCTATATTGCCACAAGTTCAAGGTCTCGCGAATAACGGTGCGTCGCCCTGTTCTTCCCGAGCATATCAATTCTAATATATAGCCCAGGTTGCGAGATGCGCCGCCAAACTCCGCCTCCTCGAGCACGGGTTGCTCAAAGCCTCCCTAGCGGTAGACGATTTCTGCCCCCTTGTTAAAAAGGGCGACGCAGGCTCTCCCTCCAAGCCGCAGTCTCTGGCTAATGCCGACTCCGACGCATCCGACTCCGAGGCCGAGGACGCAGTGCAAGAGTCCCAAGTGGAGCTGATCAACAGGCTTAACGTGTTCGTCATGCTCACTTTGAAAGAGGCAGCAAAGGGCAGAGAGGACGAGCGACTGCAGAGGGATCGGTATAAGGATAATCTGGTCTTCCAGGCTCGGAAGGCAGTCATCGCACAGTGGTGGAAGGAGGCGACTGTTAAGAAGTGTTCCTCCTGCGGAGCGTGCGTCTGATTCCCTTGTATTTGATATCGCGGCGCCTGAATCTGATGCATAGGTTTGCAAACACGTTCCGCAAAGAAGGGCATACGAAGATCATCATGTATGCTCTGACGAAAAAACAGCAGGACATACACGACCAGACCGGGCGCACGATCGAAGATGTGCATATCACCCAGCCTAAACTAGAGAGCGAGCGTGCACGTGCAGCGGCCAACAGCCAAGGCACCGGAGACGTAGAGATGCGGGATGCGGACGGGTCCGAGAGTGAGGAGTCCAGCGGCCCAGAGACCCCTGACGACGACGACGACCCTATGGAGGCCGTCGAAGAGCAGCTACCCAAAGCCGCCAACGGCACCCTCAAGACCTCCCGTGGTCGGTCAGAACGCGTCCTCTCCGCGTCCGAGGTGCGCGCCCACCTCCGCCTCCTCTTCCAGAAAGAGGTCACTTTAACTTCCCTCCTTTACGGCCGACACGGTCCGTATGCCCTCGTCCATTCCCACACCGGCCTAGTCCAAGCCAACGCGGACATATTTTTCCTCAGCGTCCTCCCTGTTCCTCCTACGCGATTCCGCCCACCCGCAAAGATGGGTGAGCAACTATTCGAGCACCCCCAAAACGAGCTCCTTGCCCGCGTCCTTGCCACTTCTTACCGTATACGGGACGTGAACGTCCAGCTTGCTGAGATAACTCGGAAAGGCAGCGCTGCTGGGCCGGAGGAGACAGACAAACTCTTGGCGGTGCTGTTTGAGCGGTTGGTGCAGCTCCAGGTGGACGTGAACTCGTTCATGGATAGCGGGAAGAACCCCCAGCCTGTGAGGCAGGGGAAGAAGCCGCCTGAGGGTGTCAAGCAGAGGTTGGAAAAGAAGGAGGGGCTGTTCAGGATGAACATGATGGTAGGTCTATTCTCCTTCCGAGGTGGGATGGTGCTGATGATGTATGTCAGGGAAAACGAGTCAACTATGCCGCGCGCTCTGTCATCTCCCCCGATGTGAACATCGAGACCTCCGAGATCGGCATCCCTCCCGTCTTCGCGCGCAAACTCACATTTGCTGAGCCCGTCACCGCACAAAACCTCACCGAGCTCCAGCAGCTAGTGGAGAACGGTCCGCGCAAGTACCCTGGAGCGACGATGGTCGAATACGAGGATGGGAGCAGGCAGTCGCTCGACAAGCTCTCGGACTCGCAGAGAGCTGCCGTTGCTGCTACGCTTCAAACTGCTATGCCTGGGCGAGGTGGCGAAGGGCAGGGGATGATACGTTCTGGATGGGTGAACAAGAAAGTGTATAGGCATCTCAGGGATGGGGACTACCTGCTCCTTAACAGGCAGCCAACACTGCATAAGCCGAGTATCATGGCGCATCGGGCGAAGGTGCTTAAAGGAGAGAAGACAATTAGGCTTCATTACGCAAATTGCGAGAGCTATAATGCGGACTTCGACGGTGATGGTACGTTTCCTCTTCCTCTTCTTGCATATTGATGAATCAGGGAGCTGACGGTGTGGCAGAAATGAACATCCACTTTGCGCAGAATCATATTGCTCGTGCGGAAGCGATGAGTATCGCGAACACAGATAATCAGTACCTCGTTCCTAAGACTGGGGAGCCTCTGCGCGGTCTCATCCAAGATCACGTTGTCTCCGCATTCTTTATGACCGCGCAGGACACGTTCTTTACGCGTGAAGAATACCAGCAGATCATTTATGGTGCCCTGAGACCGGAGAATAACTATACAGGCGGGGGGATTGTCTTGACGGTGCCACCGACGATATGGAAGCCAAGACCGTTGTGGACCGGAAAGCAGATTGTGAGTATACGTGACCGAACCTCAAGCATGCTGACATTGATGCTTTCGCAGATCAGCACAATCCTTAAGAACATCACTCCTGCTCGGGCCGAGGGTCTCAACCTCCAGGCTAAAGCCAAGATTGGTGGCAACATGTGGCGAAAAGACTCTGAAGAAGGCGTTGTCCTCGTCATGGATGGTGAACTCATCACCGGTGTGATCGATAAAGCCCAGATTGGTGCATCGGCACACGGAATCACTCACTCGGTATATGAGCTTTACGGCCCTGAAACTGCTGGCAAACTCATCAGCATCTGGGGTCGGCTGTTCACGAAGTTCTTGCAGCATCGAGCCTTTACATGTCGCATGGACGATCTTCTGCTGTCTCCTGAGGGTGAAGAGAAACGCAAGAAGCTTATGGAGAGTGGTCAGTCTCTCGGTCTCAAAGCTGCCGTCAGCAACTTCCCAGATCTCGCCCAACTTGAAACTAGAGAGGCTGCCGAGCAGGTGAAGGACCGCATCAGTTCAATTCTCCGAGACGAGGTCAAGATGGCCGGATTGGATATGACTTACCGTGGGGAGCTCAATCAGCTCACAGTGGAGATCGAAAAGGCATGTCTTCCGGGCGGACTCGTTCGACCTTTTCCGGTTAATCACATGCAAGCGATGATCATGGCCGGAGCGAAAGGAAAACCGGTCAATGCTCGGCAAATCTCGTCTTCGCTAGGTCAGCAGGACCTCGAAGGTCGCAGACCGCCGGTCATGATCAGCGGAAAGACTCTGCCGTCGTTCCAGCCGTTTGAGACTTCTGCCGAGGCGGGCGGTTATGTCGGGAGTCGATTCCTGACGGGTCTCCGACCCCAGGAGTTCTATTTCCATTGCATGGCAGGCCGCGAGGGGCTTATTGATACTGCCGTCAAGACGAGTCGCTCTGGATATCTGCAACGCTGTCTCATAAAACATCTGGAAGGCGCCCGAGTTCATTACGATCACACCGTCCGGTCAAGTGACAATTCTGTCCTTCAGTTCCAGTATGGGGGAGACGCCCTGGATGTCATCAAACAGGCACAATTGACTCAGTTCGACTTTGCGGTCCAGAATTTGGAATCATACGTCAATAACTTCAATCCCAAGGATGTTTGGAATAAGCTCGACGTCGAGACTGCGCTCAGTCATATGAAAAAGGCGCTTAAGAAGCCTGGCAAACACACGCCAGTGCTGGCAAAATATTCACCCAGCCGCTTCTTGGGCGCTACTTCAGAAGCCTTCGCTCGAGAAGTGGAGACCTATATCGAGAAGAACCCGCGCGGCCTGATCAAAAAGAAGAAGGCCGAGGGCAAGTCCGGTATGCCAGCCGCCGCGTTCAGATCTCTCATGAATGTGCGGTATATGCGCAGTTTGGTGGAGCCAGGTGAAGCCGTCGGACTTCTCGCGGCTCAATGGTATGTCCTTGTCTAGAGATAGCTGGATGACTCACTGATGTCCTCATTAGTATTGGAGAACCATCAACTCAAATGACGCTTAACACGTTTCATTTTGCCGGCCACGGTGCCGCTAACGTGACCCTCGGAATCCCTCGTTTACGAGAAATCGTCATGACCGCATCCACTAAGCCGAAGACGCCAACGATGACAATTGTGATGAAGGCGTCCGATTCACCTACGGAACAAGTAGCCGCTAAGGCTCAAAAATTGTGCCAAGCTATCAGCCGAGTGACTCTCGCTGATCTTGTGCATAAGATCACGGTAAAGGAGCGTATTGAAACCGCTAACGTTCCTGGGTCCCTCTCGCGTCATAAGAGCTACACCGTAACGCTCGACTTCTTCTCCAAAGAAGAGTACAAGGAAGAGCACAACGTATCGCCAAGACAGGTTTTGGCCGCGTTAGGAACGAATTTCGCACTTGTGCTGAAAAGGGAGATTGCTGCTGAGCTGAAGAAGATCAATGCCGACTTCAAGGGACAAGCAAGCGGAATTGGAAAGGGCAAAGCTCCCGTCGACGATGACGCTCCTGCCGGTGGAGATCAGGACGAGGATGATGCTGAACCTCGACCTGCGGCCCGCAACATCAATGAAGACGCAATGTCCGATGGAGATGGGGACAACGACGATGAGAAGCGTGCGGTACAGATGCGGCAGCAGGCAACATACGATGACGAACGGAGTGATCAGTCTGACGACGAGGGGATGTTCGACGACGCCGCTATCGACGCTGAGATAGCTGACGATGATGAGGACGACGAGAATACTCTATCTCGTGCCAACCCAGACGAGATCGCCCAAGAAGTCCTTCTGGATGCTCAGACAGAGGAGATGCGTGACCTTTTCCTCGAGACGGTACCCCAGGCTACCAGGTTCAATTTCAAGAAAGGGATCTGGTGTGAGCTGGACCTCCAATTCCCCCTCAGCGCGCCCAAGCTCCTCCTAGTCGGGCTAATCGAGCGCTGCTGTGCGAACAGTGTTGTGCGGGAGATCCCTGGACTGCAGAACTGTTTTGTCGTCGCGGCCGACGCAACCAAGCGGAACATCCAGACCATCGCCGGGGAAGCAGAGACAAAAGTCGACCTCTCCCAGATCCAGCTCATGACAAATGGGTGTAACTTCCCCGCCCTCTGGCAGATCCTGGACGACAGCGTCGATCCCGATCTGATCTACTCGAACGATATCAACGCCGTTCTCCAGCATTACGGCGTCGAAGCAGCGCGGTTCGCGATCGTCCAGGAGATCAGGGCCGTTTTCTCGACATATGGTATCGAGGTAAACTTCCGGCATCTCCGGTTGATAGCGGACTATATGACCTTTGACGGCGGGTACAAGCCGTTTAACCGGTCTGGGATCGCGACGAGCAGTTCTCCCCTACTTAAGGCGTCTTACGAGACCACGGCGTCCTTCTTGTCCGACGCGACGCTCTACGGTGACTTTGACGATCTCAGCTCTCCGTCGGGGACGATCGTCATCGGGAAACCGTCAAACATCGGTACAGGAGGGTTCGATATCGTTGCTCCCGTTGCTTGATCTAGACTACACGTGTATCACTACATAGCATATCCATACCTGCCAGGAACATACAATCTAATACATATCGGTTCATCTCCTTTTGATCACTCAAGCATCCTTGAGATCCACGACGTTCCTCGGCCTCGCTCCTCCGTCCTTCCATTTCCAAAACGCAGTGTAAGGCGTTCCCCTCCTCTCGATAATCCCAACCACATACTACACAACGTCCACATCAGCTTCCCGAACCCCGCAGAGCCAAACCCAAGAAGCAGACATACCTTCCCCAGCACGGGCATATGTTTCGCCGCATGCCCCGACCCGCAGGTAGCGACGACCAGTCCCTCAAATCCCGGCACATAATCGACAAGAAACTCGTTCTCAGGCCCGTCGGTATACCAGCACAGCCTGGAAGACTGGACGGGCACGCCCTGGAGCTCGGGGAGAAGCTCGGCAATGGTAGAGGTTACCATTCGGGTTGCTAGTTCAGGAACTTGGGAGGGGTAGACGGGCGTAGACGCTTGCTGTTGTTGCTGCTGCTCCTGGTCTGGAAGGAGGTTGGTGAACTGCTCACGCCGGCTCAGCCTTTCCCAATGGACAAGAATAGGACCCAAGCGCGGCAGACCTTTGTACCCCTATACCCAAACTTAAGCTTCCCGTCCCTCATCCGTGGCAGGATGTAGAGCCCGCTCCTCTCCCCCGAACCCCAGATGACAGCCGGGAACCGCTTGGGGTCGAATCGCGCCCAGAGGTCGGGCCGGGAGGGAGGGAGCTGGAGGGTAACTAGCGTGCCGGCTGTGGCGGTCGCGCATGCTCGGGACTGGAGTAGAAGGAGGGGTGTGTAGGCCCCCGCTGGGTGCTGTGAGCGAGAGCGAATGAATTGAGGGCAAGGACGTACTGGCTACGACTACCAATCCTGCTTCCCGTTCCCCTTCGGCAGTGAGCACGCCAACCACTTTTTCCTTCTCCTTCTCCCCCTCGGCTTTGGTAGTCAGGAACCGAAGTACCTTCCCCTGGTTTCCAGAGCTGAATTTCACCCCTTGCTTGATACAGAGATCCCACATCCAGAGACAGGCTTTGTCCATAAGGACATACCCAGCGGTAGAATCGAGTACCCCTGCCATGCCCTTCCCCTTCCCAGAGGGAAAAGCCGGATCTCCAAAAACACAAAACCGGTCCTTCCATTCCGGGTCCGCGAGCGCCCGTTCCCTGTCCCCGGGGTCTTGGAGGCTAAACTGGCGCTCCCTATGTCCTGCCAAGTCGAAGTTGCCCAGCGTAGCCAGTTCGTGCGCGCTCAGTTCCCCGGTCCCGCTAAGCCGGAGGAGACCACACAGATGCACAAGCTTGTCCTCCGGTTCCAAGCCGGCGGGTAGCTCTCCAGGCCTGGAGCGCGAGATCTGCTCGTCCCATTCTAGCCAGATGGATTGGGCTTCGTATGCCAATTCCTGGTAGTGCACCTGTTCGCCATAAGAAGCCCGGAAGATCTTGTTTATGTCTGCTGAGGCGGAACGGGAGCCGTTGTCCGGCGAATAGAGGTGGGAAGGATGATCTTGCTCGTCTAGGACTGTTATGTTCTTGTAGCCTGTTGGCTGTGGTTAGAGGATAGGGAAGGGAAGAGAGGGAAGATGAGGAGATACCTTTGAGAGCGAGATGATAGGCTGTGCTTAACCCGAACACGCCTGACAACGCCGTCAGAGGTGAATAGATGAGTCAGTCTGTGCCTGGCTGTCAATGCGTACCTGCACCTATGACAATGATCGGCGTGCTATGATCGAGCATGTCTGACAATCATATGATAGTGATTGTGATCGTGTTGAGACTGTTTCATGTCCAGCGTATCATTGTATCATCGATGATATGATCAACGAAGAGAAGAATGTTGACGTAAGCGGGTGATCTGGTAAAGAAGCACAGAAGCAGAAGCACAGAAGCAGACCCTTTTCGCTTCATTTGGAAAAAACACGTTGGGGAGAAAAGTTTAAATTTGACTTTTCATTTCCTTTCATCCTTCCTTTCATCCTACTACTCCCAATGGCCGACCATCCGCGCTCCTATACCTTCTTCATCCGTGCTGTCCTCTTCCTCTCGGGGTTATACTGCCTCTGGGCAGTGCTCGACACCCAACTCCACCGATTTTACATCTTCCAGCCCGCGCCCCTCCAGGCCTTGGTGAGGGAAGCACTCGACCTCTACCCAGGGCAGAGCAGCACCAGCCTACAAAACGTGATCGATCATATCGTTCTCAACCTTACGGAGACACATGGGACAAAACATATCAACACCAACAGCAAAGAATGGTTTTTTAATAATGCGGGTGGGGCGATGGGCGCGATGTATGTCATCCATGCGAGCGTGACGGAGTACATGATCGTACGTCTGCCTCCCCATCTTCATCCCGCGTCGGTATCACGAGGGGTAGCAACGCGCTGACGGGTGACGACGTGCTGTTCTGCAGATCTTTGGGACGCCCCTGGGCACGGAAGGACATTCGGGACGCCATACGGCTGATGATTATTTCCATATCTTGCACGGCGAGCAATGGGCGTTTGAACCCGGGGCGTTGGAAAAGGAGGTGCGTACCCGGTCACTGTCACTAGGAGCACCGTCTCTCTATCAGTAACTGTATCTGTATCACTTCGTTCTCCGCTCTTCCGGTTTTCGCCCTACGTTTCCCTGTTTTCATTTCCAAGTCCGCCCAGGCTGACATGCCCTGACTCACGCACCCCAGGTCTACACCCCAGGGATGGTACATCATCTCCGGCGTGGGAGCATCAAGCAATACAAGATGCACGAAGGGTGTTTCGCGCTGGAGTACGCTCGTGGGTGGATCCCGCTCATGCTCCCCTTCGGTACTGCGGACCTGCTCACGAGCACGCTGGACTTGCCGACGTTGTGGGCTATGGTGTGGATTACGGCTCGGGAGATGGGGAGGAATTTACTCGCGGGCAAGTTTTGAGTTACAGTGCGTGCTGTGCCGGGCGAGGCCTTGGCGGTAGTGGCCATGAACGGCCGCAGTGGGTATAGGGGTGATTGTGATATCCTGAGAAAGGGAAATATATTCGGATTCGCTGTCGATCGCGTATTTAATATTATTCCTTGTTCTGCACGGAATTTCCTGTTCAACCGCGTGGATTTATCGTTGTTTGTGCGCCTGTGTGAGACCGATGGGCGTCTGATGGGCGCGTATCAGCCGCCCGGAGGTACAGCAACTTACTCTCTTGGGCATTTAACCCGCTAGGGTCTGACATTCTCCGAGAAATAATAATTTCGACCTACTGCCACTCCCTCTTCTCCTCCTCCTCGACCTCATCTCCTTCTCGTAGAATGGCAAAAGGTGGAAAGAACTACAACCCCGCAGACGCGTACCGTAAGTCCCCATCCATCTACCCCACTTCCCACCAACTCACCATCCACTCTGCGGATACAGGAAAAGCCCAGCGAAAGAAAGAAGTAGCCAAAGTGAGCCCTTCCCTGCCTCTGGACAAACCAAGACTAACAGGAGCAGAACAAGGAGTCCCGAAAACAGGCAAAGGAGCTCGCTACGGTCAAGAAGGATACGTCGGGTGCGTCGCGCTTTGTCGGATTTGGGCGAGGGCTTATGCGGTGCAGAGTACGAGGCTGAGATCCTTAGGCTTTCTGAACAAGGTGCGCCCTCCCTACATACATGATATGCAAGCCTGCTAATGCGTATATGTAGAGAAGACCACCCCCCTCTCCTTAGCGCAAAAATCCCGTCTTCAAGACCTACAATCCGAAGTGTCCCGGATAAACCACGCGAAAGAAGTGTTCCTCCAAGCCCACCCAGAGCAGCGCAGGCTCGTGCACGCCTCCAGACCGAGGCAGGCGAACCCGCATGGGGAAGTGAGGGAAGATAGGAGTCTGTTTGGGAAGAATGGACTGCCGCTGAGGCCTGAGAGGAGCGTGTATTATCATCCTGTTATGAACCAGTGGGGGATGCCACCGCCAGGCATGCCATATGTTGAACGCGGTACGTCTTCCTCCCTCTCCTCCCTTACCTATCCATTGGCCTCACCCCCTTCCCTGCCCGTACTCGACACATGCTAACACCAAGCAGACCCGACCCCAGAAGCAGACGACATGCAGCAAGACTCCGATTCCTCCTTCGACGCCGCCTCCCCCTCTGCAGAAGGTCTCGATCTCGAGAAGCTCGAATCTATCCCCCTCCCCCCAGGGCCCGCACCACGCAAGTTCATAGGCCTCCCGCCTTTGCCAAAAGGTCCACCGCCGATGCCTCCCCCCCTCCCGCCTGGGATGGGGATGCATGCTCCGCCTATGCCTGTGCCTATGCATGGGTTTGGGTTTGGGCCTATGGCGGTGCCTGGACCTGCAGGGGCGCAGATGCCGATGCCGCAGGGGTATCTTCCCCAAGGAGTGACCTCCGCAGCTCCGGTAACGTATTCCCATGCCCTGCCCCAACCTCAACCCCCCCACCCGCACCCGCACCCCCAGTCTCTCCCGCTTCCCCCCGCTTCCCTCCCCCCGAAACCTGCAGAAACGCGCCCAGAGCCCCTGCCTGCTGGCCCTGGAGGAAGCGCAGGGGCGACCATCTCCGCCCCTGCGGAACTGAGGGACTTGAAGAGGGAGGCGACGGCGTTCGTTCCGATGGCGGTGAGGAAGGCGGGGGCTGTGGGGAAGTAGCTAGGGGAGGTCGATGTAGGGCAGGACGGGCGGGATGCATGATGCAAGATAGTAGGATGTTGGGATAGCAGGATGTTGCCAAGTGGACACAAGAACACTGTACTGTATTTCACCTAATGTACCTCTACTTCCTCCTTCTACGCTCTCTGCTCCGTTTGTTCCTTCGCCTGCTCCATATCCACAACCCTAATCCTCACTTCTGCTTCTCCAACCCCATGCAAGACCACTCTTGCACTCGCGTTCCCCAACCTCTTCACCCTGCCACCGTCGACAGCCTCCCCAACAAGGTCGACCGTGCATAGTGAAGGGTCTGTAGGGAGGGGGAGGTTAAAGTCTGCTGAGAGCCGGGAAAGGATGTTCGAGGCTGTGACGGAGCCGTAGATCTGTTGGGAGGTGGGGGTGATTGGCCGGCGGGAGAAGAGGATTGGAGGCAGGGACTGGAGGACGGGAAGCAGGAGTGCCAGAGAGGGGGCCTGCGGTGCGCTTGTAGTAGTCTGCGCGATCGGCTGGGAACCGAATCAGCTCTCCTCCCACAGTAGCAGTACCAGTAGAACACACCTCCGCAACCACCTCCTCCACAGCAACAGCAGCCGCGAAGTCCTCCCCTCTAAACCCGCCTCTAGGCCGAACAACGTACTCCGCTCTATGCTCAGGAAAATACCAGGCACGCATCATCTGCCTCGGCACTTCGAGCACTGCGCCTGCGCGGCCGACGGCGGGTATGTCCTCCAGGAGTCGGATGAGGACGCCTTTTTTTGGACGGCGGTGTCGGGTGCCGCGCTGCGTTGATTGGATGGGTTATTAGTGGGTAGTGTAGATGTAGGAGGGGACGTACGGCTAACAAGGGGATTGAACGCTCGAGACGTGCTGGTTGTCGTGCGAGGATGAACATTGTTGAAAGGTGTAAAGAGAGTAAAGAGGAAATGAAGACCCTGACAGTAAATATTGTCTCCGTGACGCGTTGTAATAAATGTTGAATAAATACTTGTACAACAACTACAATTCTGAATTAACTTGTTACTTTGTTGTACACTTCTACTTGGGACAAGAATGTTCATCGGTATTGTAGGCACAGAATGTGCAGGAAAGTCATTCATCAAGCAGTACTTGATCACACGTGGTTTCACAGAGCTCTCACTGCCAAACGATCACAGACCGCGAGTGAATGGCGTACGTCCCACTCCCTCCCACCTACGCCCTCTAACTCCCAATACAACCCAGCATCTCTCAGGCCTCACCTTCCCCAGCGCAGAACACATGCTCGTCCACGCAACCCATAACTGGCAGGCGGACCACGTCACTCTCTCCCTGCGCACCCGCGCCCAGCTCGAGCCATTCATGAAGCGCCCATTCTTCCTCTTGGTCGTAGTCGACGCGCCTCTCCTTGTACGATTCCAGCGTTCCCAGGCCCTCGTTCCTGGGAAACTAGAGGACTTCTTAAAGCGAAACGATGAGTTCGTGTTTGGACCCCAGAACCCGCTTGGGGAGAGCTCGGGCACTGTAGACGCTCAGGGCGCTAGGGGGGGTGTGATGCACGATATTGTCCGAAGCTTGGTACACGTCAGTGTCGTGAACTCGTTTCACAGCGTGAGGGAACTAGAGGCGCATTTGGACGTGCTCAACTTACGGGACACGGAGCGTCTCCGCCCTGGCTGGGATTCCTATTTCATGGTGCGCCCCTCTTTCCCCTCGTTCCCAGCTTGAGGGCATGCGCTGATAGGAGCAGACATTAGCGCACCTCGCTTCCCTCCGCTCAAACTGTATGAAACGTCGTGTTGGCGCCATCCTCGTCCGCTCCCATCGGGTAATCTCAACGGGGTACAACGGCACTCCCCGCGGACTGCAGAACTGCGCCGACGGCGGGTGCGCAAGATGTAACGGGAGCGCGAGGAGCGGGCAAGCGCTAGAGGAATGCCTGTGTTTGCATGCCGAGGAGAACGCTTTGCTCGAAGCGGGGCGGGAGAGGGTGAGTGGAGGAGAGGGAGGAGCAGCGGTGCTGTATTGTAATACTTGCCCGTGCTTGAGGTGTAGTGTCAAGATAGTCCAGACTGGGGTGAGGGAGGTGGTGTACAACCTCGCGTATTCGATGTACGTCTTATTGCCTCTCTCGCTTGATGGTGGGGTGTCACTGACAAGAGAAGGGACGAAGCATCGGCAAGAGTGTTCAAAGAGGCGGGTGTGGCACTACGGCAGCACTGTCCGCCTGCATGATGCGTATATACCATAGATGTACTTACATACCCAATACAAGCCTGGCGTTATCTTCTATCTCCCAACTAGGCTCTCTCAGGAACCCAGGGAGGTGGACCTGTTCGTCAGGTAACAAGTCTTCCCCCACAGTACCGACAAGCAACAACCACACGGCATCCGCGTTCCTCTCCCGGAGGGCGCCGAACAGCTCCCTCCCCGCCGCCTGCAGCTCTCCCTGCGTCTCCCTAGTCAACAACCTCCGACAAAGCATAGCCATCTCCCACGTGTCCTGCTCTTTCAACCTCGCGCTACGCACCGCTTGTGTCAGAGTAGCCAGGACAGCGCAGTACAGCTTGTATGCTGTCGAGTACGGGTCTGCAACCAACGCGCCTTGCCTCCTGCGAGCCATAGCCGTCTGCCCATCAGCAGCAGCGAGTCGCAGCAGCAGTTTCCTAAATCGAGGCCAGACGTCGTCACTTACTCGGGTGGACATGAACTCCCCCGCGCGGGCTACGAGGGCGCACACGAGCGTGGCAGCCTCGAGTAGTACGAAAGGCTCTGGGTCTTCGAGCCTATTGAGGATGAAGGGCCAGGCGGAGTGGACGGAAGGAAGGAGGTCGGATTCCCTCAGAAGGGGAGTGGCGGATGTCAAGACATGTAACACTCGTGCGCGGATCAGAGGAGAGCCGTGCGTGAGGAAATAGAGCGATTTGGCAACGATTTGTTTGCCTAGCGCTTGGGATGGCGTTGGGGGAATCTCCTCGTCTTCCGGGGGCTTCTCGTCCTCTTTATCTGGAGATGTCCAGGGTTCTTGGGGTGTCGGGCCGAAGTCTTCCGGTTCTTCTGGTGCAGGGGGATCATCTCGGTGCCCATACCAATGCACGAAGCTAGCAAAATCCGAAACCTCTTCCTCTTCAGGTCTTGACGCTCCCTTCTTTGTTGGCGGGGGCTCGTCCGGCTCAAGCACGGAAATGACCTCACCCAAGACGGACATGAGGCCTTCGACCAGAACGCTGTATCCATGAAACTCGTCCAGCCTATCAAAGCATTGTTCAATAACGTCACCAGCTTTGTCGACCACGTCCTTTCCTACCACTCTGACAAGGACGACCAGTACGGAGGTCGCTTGTAGATCCAGTCTCGTCCTTGTGAGTCGGTGGGATACTGCGTCCAGTGCATAGTCAAAGTTTGACAACAGGAGATTGGCAGGACTTGCGTAAGACGTTGAATGGCTGATGACTTGCAAGGTGCACATTGCCGTAGCTGATACGGCAGGTATCGGGGAGACCAACGAATGCAGCACCGGGTATAGGACTTGGAGGAATAGGCTTCGATAGTTACTGGTGAGAACCTGTGATGAAAGTGCGAGCATATGGAGCGAAAAGGACGCATGAATAGGTATTAGTGATTGTCGTGAGCTTCGTGAACTCTGGGCCCCACTCCCTCGGGTGTCGTTTCGAAGGTCCAGAAGTGTTTGAATCTGGTTGATGCCAGAGACTCGTTCAATAGGCAATAGGCTGTCCTCATCTGTGGTCGCCGGAGGGACGTCTTCTTCGTCTCCGTCATCGTCGTTATCCCACAGTTCTGCCACATTTCTCGCCAACCACCTGCAGAACTTGCTCAGCGTTTTCCCTGGCGTCTCTCGGCCTCCTTCGACTCCAAGCTTGACGTTCGCAATACCCTCCAGCAGTCTTCCCGCAACCCATAATGCCGCCACACCCACCGCGGTTCTTCGCTTCCCCACAGTAACAAACCATTCCGCCGCATACAGGCCCTCCTGTCCCCCGGCCCTGCCAAAAGAACGAAACAGATCTTCCAGAGCGCGCAAGGTTTGGTGGGAGGTGACGTTCTTGAGCTCGAATGCGGGGAATTGCGGTAGTTCGGTTGGGCTGCTCTCGAGTAACTTCGACGCGTTAGTGTAGAGAGCTACGGGTGGAAGAACGAAATGCAGCGAATGGAGCAAGGAAAGTCCCCATTTCTCGATCCCACCGTTTGGGCCCAGAAGCTGGGCGACGCCATCTGCGAGGTGAGAGAGATCGGGCTCAAGGGCCAGCTGTGCCGCTGCGGTGATTTGTTGAGCCGCGGTCTGGATCTGGGAATCGAGGCCAGAGGGAAGATATCGGGGGAGGGAGGAAAGGCTGGTTGTCGTTATGCGAAGAAGGTGGGAGACTGCAGGGTTTGATGTGGAGAGGGATTCAATAAGGGCATGTTTTGCTCGGTCCGATATATCTGGGTACGGGGAGAGGGAAAGCGACAGAAGGATGGCGATCATCAACGGCACGATGTCAGGCAGTGATTCGGAGCATGCGCGGAGTAGAAGCGCATGTAACGTCGCCAGACCCTCTTGAGCCTGTGGTGATGGGTGTTTGAGCAGCGGATTCAGGCTATTGAGCGCCATCAGCAGCTGGGAGGAAGTCGCACGATACCACGCCTGCGATCGGGGAACGGTGAAGTGTTTGTGTGGTTGGGCTTTCTCCTCGGGTTTCGGGGTACTCGTAGCGTTCGCTGAGGCAGGAGTAGCCAAGTCGAGCAGGTCATCAAGAGAGGAGACGCTCCGTATGAGCCCCGCAGAACGGCAAACTTCATCCCCTATGCCTTTGACCATTGTTTGGGCCAGTAACTCCAGTGCAAGATTCACTACCTCTCCTCGCTGGTGCGCCGCCCTCTCCCGCCCGAGAGCAACTTTGGAGCACGAGCTGACCACACCTGGGAGAAAAGAGGGAACATGCGAGGTATCGAAGTAGCTCGTGATGAGGATGTTGAGGAGCTCGAGGGAGTGAATTTGGAGTGGCGCGTGTGGAGAGAGGTCAGTTTCCAGTAGCGAGCTGAGCGTCTGCCCGAGCAGGGATAGGTGCTTTCCTTGTGCAAGCGTGCGGAATTTAGATAATCTGTCAGAGGCAGTAGTGCCGCTCCTGGCCTCTTCGTCTGCCCACGGTCGTAAGAGAGCGAGAAGCAGAGTAACAGCAGCATCTTTCGTTTCGTCGTCCCTTGCGCGTCCTTTGCCTTTGCCCTCCTTCCCATCTCCCAGATCTAGCAGCACGCTCCCCCCGAGGATCCAGCACTGACTCCATTCTCCCTCTTCTGGATCACACACCCACCACCACTCCTCCCATAATAGAGCCATGCATCGGAGCACTTGCTCAAGCACTTGGTCTGGGATGGCAGCGGAAGTGTTGCGCCGCAGGATCGAAGAGAGTGGGAAGAAAGCATATGAGATAAGTGAGGGAGTGAGAACTTGAGGGGTTGATAGTAAGGATAAGAGGGTCTGATTCAGTGTTGAGAGGAGGGATAGGACGATGGACGTAGAGGTGGGTGAGAGGAGAGACTTGCCCAAGAGGGCGACGCATGTTGGCTTGAGCTGCAAAGAGGCTCAGCGGAATCGAAGGTTGTGACACACTAATAACGCACCTTCTGGAAAGCCTCTTGTACTCGCGCCTTATCTTCATCATATTCGTTCATGATGATTGTAAATACGCATATATTTGAAGCATGGGGAAAGATATCAGTGAACGCCGTCAATCTCAATGGGCGCTTGTCTGCGTCCCTCACATCGGATAAACGTCGCTTCCGGAGCCGACACCGCAACTAGTGTCCCAAAGTATACAAATGAAAGCTACCTCCCGAATTTCGTCTACAGTGTAGTTTAACCCCAATCAGACCCAGATATGGCATCGACGCCATTATGCCTCGATTTTAGAAGCTCGAGTTTGAACTAGGTATTGGTCTTCTATGCGCGTTTGGTTTGGAGTGCGGTGCCCTCGAAACATAAAGACTTGCCATTTTCAGGCGAGAAGTCGCCGTCGGGCGTGATGAGGTTCACGTTGCAGAAGACTCTTGACGGGAGACTGAGCCGCTCATACCGGGACAGCTGTAAATGTACCAGACCGGCCTGGTCGGCTTTCCGGGCCACAGCATTCAATTCGTGGCACCTTCGAGGGGCGCGATCCTCTTGCCGCGGCCCTGTCTCTCTTGCAGTTTATGTAGCATTCATTGTTAAGGGTTGGTAACGACGAGAGGACGGGCGCACAAACCGATTTGGTAGTTTCCAGATGACAAGAACCAGTCACTAGTGTAGGGAAGGAACCCTGTGCCGAAGACATCGCGCAGTCTGAGTCGAAAAGCGTCTATGACATTAGGGTAACGCTGGTGTATAGTATGATGTCTATGGGGGTATCCATGTGAAGATCTGCGGCAGCTGCTCCCAGTCCGCACCCCCAAGCAGATCCCACGGAACCACAGGCAAGCTCATGAATGCAACCCAATTCTATGACAAGCGGGCCGCACAGGCTCAGACGATCGAGCGACGCTGCTCAGCAGGCGTCGTCCCACGGCGCCCGATATCGTGGTGGACGTCGAGCAGTATCTTGAGCGCGTTACGTGCACGGGTGCGGGAGATGTCTTCTCCGGCGGCCAGCGTATATTGTGTTTCGAGGCGCTGGGGCTTGTCCTGCCATGGGTAAGGGAACCACTCTTGGAGGTATTCGTAAGCGACAAGGGTAAATCCGAACTTGAATACAAATCAGTGCGGAGCCTCTTCACGGTTGGAAAGCAACATACCTGAGGGCTGGAGCGAAGAATACGAGCAACACCACCCTTGAACAGAGCACGGCCGCCCTCCTCACGGACTGTCACAGGGTCAGGGAAAAGTGGAGAGCCAGTAATGACTTAGAATATACAGATCTTGACACCAGCATCAACTAGGCCATTATACGTCGACTGGCCCTTCCTCGCTTCTACCTGGAGACGAGTCTTGATGACATCCGCTGGCGTGGTGAAGTACGCAGCGGGCATGCCGGCCATAGCAGCAGCGGCGAGGGTCTCCCAGAACGTCAGCTTCTTCCCGTTATAGCCTTCGCGGAAAAGATCCTTCTTGAAGTGGTTATAGGCCGGGAAGTAGATCGCAGAGAAAGGGATATCACGCAGCAGGCACGCGGAGGCACCCTTGTACAGGCCAAAGAGACCGAGCGAGCGGATGATATGTATGGCACCACGAGGCTTAGCACCCTGTGACTTGGCCAATTCACCCTGGACCTGGAGACGGATCTTCACAATTTCCAGAGGATTGGTGAAGACCTACAAGATACTTGAGCACGAGCAGGTCAGCACAAGAGCATGGCACGTACGACTTGTGAAGCACCAGCCACACCACCAGCGACGAGCTCCCAGCCAAGGCTAATCCGCCCAGTCTCAGGGTCACTTGCGTACCCTCGTACGAGGTCATTCATCGTCAGCTTGATAGCCTTTTCTGGCGCGACACCCTGGCGAGAGGCGTGAGAATGTTTCGCAGAGGGACAAATTGGCAACGCACAATCAATTGGGGCCCTAGACCACGGTAAAAACCCAAGAACCCCTCGTTCCGGTATACCTTCCTCACACAGTCCAGAGAGTTCTTGTACAAGAGCTCGCCGACGACGGTCGTGCGCTGGTTCTGCATGCGTGTCTTGACTAGAATGAAATTTAGCACGCAAGCAGGCTTGGACAGAACAATTTACTGACCCAAATCAATCGGGTACACCATCGTCGCACCGAAGGCGCCCGCAATACCGCCCAGGCCGAAGTTATACACGCTGTGACCGAAGTCGCGCGCAAAGTGGGCAAGGCTGGTCCATCTACCCTTACTGCCCTCGCCATCGACAGGTCTATTAAACGCAACTGGTGCTTGCCATCTAGGATCGAGGAGCTTTGCGAAGTCGATCAGAGTGAGTCTGTTCGATGCACCCGCTGCACCACGGGAAGCGAAATGGAAAATGATGGATGCTTCCATAGGTGAGAAGAGGGCATAGCGGGTGGACTGAGAAGCAGCGGTCAGGAAATCAGACGCGGCGATACGGCCGTCGGATGACTTTGCGACTGCCTCGCGAATGATGCTGGAGAAGCTACATCAAGGACATGGTTTCCGAGCTCAGGTGCATTTACGCACCGCTCGACCATGTCCATGTCGCGAATGACATTATAGAAAGCGACAACCTCGGAATAGCTTATACCCTTCCCAGGGTTCAAAGTGGTCAGGGTCGGAAGACGCTCAATGACTTCGTCAGAAAGCTTGTGTCCAGCAAGTTCCTGCATATTACCAGGGTCAGCCCTGAAGCACGTCATGCGGGCGTTGGAGAAAAATAGACGCTGACCAGAATGATGCGCTTGAACTGGTCGGGCGTGATGAAGCCATCCTTGTTCGAGTCGAGATACGCAAAACCTTGTCTAAGACGTTCGCCTTGCAGACCCTTCATCAACTGGGTGAACTCGTTGTCTACGGACAACTTTCAGCACGTCGCACGATGGCAAGCTCAGCAGAACCCACATCCAAGAACATGTGCACCATCTTTCCGACCAAGGTACAACTTCACCCAATCGCAGTCAAAGTTAAAAGGGAGTGCCTCCGGACCCAGGCATGACTCGAATACGTTCTTGAACTCGTCGTAATCAATAGCACCACTTCGGTCGGCGTCAAAGTACTGGAAGGCAATCCAATAATCGGCGTCTGGTCGTTTGAGCAGGGTCTCAAACACGTGGAAGTCGTCGAACGATAAACGACCCCGTCGATTAACGTCAGCGACACGGAACAAGAGCGCATATTGTCCTCTTGTGATTTTTGACAAGTCCTGCGGAGGCGCGATAGCGTTGACAAAGTTCTCAATGTCGAGATACCTGTTCAGGTAGAGCAAACACGTGGATTAGTCTAATGTATGCGTGTTGTTAGGTTACCGGAACATACTTTTGCCCATCCGTCCCAGTCAACTTCGCGTGTGTCTCAAACGTCCTCCTCCATCTTCTCAGCTCTGATTCTGGGGGCGTGACTTTCTGCTTGACTGCTTCTATCGCCTTGCTGGCAACAGACGTCTTGTCTGTTGCGCCATCCTGAGCTGGCGAGTGGGTGCCATCGTCGCACCGTGCGACACGAATGGAGAATGGGAACATAGGGGTATGAGCAGGTAGTGGGATGAAGAAAAGTACAGGGGCAAGTGAGAGGGCGCTGACAAGAAGTTAGGGTCAGCGGCGTTGGAGTTACACGAGGCAATAGCGGTGCTCACTATCAAGAAAAAAGGGTGGCAGTTGCCCTCCACGGCGAACCGAGAGATATGGTCGGCGCCGACACTCGTTGGGCTATTTGCTTACACCGGTGATGACCCGACGTGCAACACGCAAAATGGTCTAAATTCGCCGAAAAATATTGGGTCCGGCGTTGCACCGAACACGAGCCGCGGCCCTGACTCCCCCATGATATCTCCGAAGGACCGCCCCGCCGCGCCCCGGTGCGGTCCCCCAACTGCTCCACCATAACAATTTTCTCCTCGATGACGGTGTCGGGTATTGAATACAGCTTAACTCATGCAAAACATGAAGGAAACTTAAGAGCGGATTTTCTGAGAGAGTAGGCTTAGAGGAAGTGACCGGTTTTCACAAGGCTTGTCACAAGCAAATGTATCCGGTGATTTCACGTATATTCTGGAACACAAGGATTTATCCAGGTCGATTCTGAACCGGTCCGAGTGGCCACAACGTGAACTTGAAGCAAGGGTCCGAATGTTCAAGAAAAGTATCTGTAATATCAATCCCTTACAAGTCCATAGATAGTTGATAGTGGCTACCATTTTAGTTTTATTGCTTCCATTATTTGACCTGTGTGGTTAAGTGTATTTGTATTATGAAAGTACTGATGTACATGTACATCAGACACTACCAGTGCATTGTTATGATCACATGATTGCAAGTCAGCACAACCTCAGATTTGATCAAGCGGATGCTATAAGTTAGACCTGGTTTGATAAGTCTGCATGGCTCTTACATGACTTTGATCTGGTTTGTCCTAATTTTACATGGGTTTTTGCATGGGTTTCATATTATCAGGACTTAGGCACTGCTTTCCAGAACCTCATGAATCAAGCTTGGGGATCTATCAGATCTTTCCATGGAAACCAAATCACATCCATGATCTTGACAAAGCCAAAAGGCCACATGGCTCTAAAGGGTCCATGGGAACAATCTTCCAAATAAGGTCAATTTCCATCCCCTAATCTGTTTCCATGGCTCCAAAAGTCACGTGATATGGCCTTAGCCCTGCCAGTATATAAGCCTGCACAAAGAGCCCGCCCCTATCTTTTGAATCCGGTACCTTCCTCTGACTTGCTTTGCTCTCCAACCTGTTTTTTGCCCCTACACCTCTCTGACATCCCCTTCACCTACCATACCCTAACACATTCTCACATCTCACTGCACATCACTCAGCATACCCTACTACCTGCATCCTCATCTATTCAAGTCTCTCAATATTTCCATCATTTACACCCTGTGTGAGTTCTATAGCCCTTTTGTGATATTACAGAAGCTAAATATTTTGGACAAATTCAAGCTATTCACTTTCTACAAAGGTCTGGAGCGCTAACCCGGACTGATTCATTCCTGTTTACTAGTCAATTTGCGCTTAGCAGGTCTGTATATACAGTCAGCTTGCTTATTGTTTATCATAGACCAACTTACTTCACATAACAGATGCTCTTTCATCAGCGCCAATTTCCCAGTTCTGACTCCGACGTGACAATTATGGATATCGATGTACCGTCACTCGGCGATATTGTGATCGAAGATAGCAAGAACGAGAATTCCCTTCCCAAGCGGTACGATCAAGGGCAACACCAAAAATCTGGATTCAGTGTTGCTCCGACATCGGAGAGTGAAGTTGAAGAACCCCTCTTCAGGCCAGACACGCCTCCGCCTGAACTCCGTCCCATCCCGAAAAGGCTCAAGAGGGCTGGTGCGCCCACTCAGCCCAATGCGCCGGCAAAGAAGCCTCGGATCAAAGCTCCACTACAGAACGTATGGGACCCGAACTATATCGCTCGAAACATAACTGCCCTTGATGCCCAGCTGGTTGCGCGGGGGTTGCCACCGTTGGCTCCTGTTGTTCGTGCCGCTGGGAGATCGCAGTCACCTCTTGTCGCACAGCCCAACTCGGCGACCCGTTTTCCGGTTGTTTATCCCGATTCGGACGATGAGGATTCTGGCCTGATTCCACAAAATGTGTTTGCCAGAGCCCTTTTCGGCCATTTCGCCAATGTCAGAAGGGCCGGGTACCAAGATGAGCAGCCTTCAAGCTCCCCGTCCCCGCCGCCTCCGAGAAACAAAGGAAAGGGTGTTGCCAGGCCAACCAGATCGGCTCTCCGTAACACACACGCGCCACCGGAACAGCAAGGGAGTCGAAGCGTTTTGGTACTGCCCCAGGTGACCCGCGAAGTCCATTTTCCACCATCGCCGACCCTCAACATTGTCGAGCTCGACAGTGACGATGAAGATACGCCTGAACCCATCGACCAAAATGCTGCCGAGGTCATGGCGTTTGAACCAATCGGCCAGAACATCAGTACAACCATGCCGATGGAACCCATCGTTCAGAATGTCGGCAGGACCATGCCATTGGAGCCTATCGTCCAGAGTGTCGGTAGGACCATGCCGTTGGAACCAATCGCGCCAAATGTTGTTCAGGCCATGCCGTTGGAACCGGTCGCCCACAATGTTAGTCGGGCCATGCCGTTTGAACCCATCACCCAGAATGCTGATCAGGACATGCTATTCGAGCCCATCGGTCAGAATGCTGGCTGGCAAGTCATGCCACCGGATCCCGACGCTATGGATGGCATCGAGTCGGATGTACACCTCGACTATCTTTCAAAGGTTGCAGAGGCCATCGTGCAAATGACTAAAGCCAAGAACCCGCCGACGGCTGGCGAACTGGCGTATATTAGTGCGCAGATGACGTGGGTTGACGAAAGGAGCCAGATTCTGAGTGGCAAACAACTTCAGGTATGCGGTAGGCCAACTAAATTGAGCTGTTAGCTAACATTCATAAAGAAGAGCGGACTGAAAGCGGCAGTGACAGCACTCTCTCAGATGGAACGTGGTCGTATCCCCAATAATGATTCCGACAAATTGATCAACAGGTCACAGAGGCTGGTGAGAATGTGGAAGAGGAAGTAATGTGAGGACATGTTCGTGTTGGAAAGTGTGCCAGTCACAGATGCCAATTTAAGTTTCTCTTGCGTGGCTTTCGTGTTTCTCCTTGTCACAAACGCTTCAGGATATGTACTGAGACACAGTCCTCTTCGAAGCGAACATTGTTTGATCATAATATATGGTTGGGTGTGGTGGTCGTGGTGCATGAACAATGACCATCGCTGGCGATGGATAAGCAAAGTGGTGGAGGGTCCCGTCATCCATCCATAAGGGACTGGAAATTTATGAGTCAAGCGCACATGAGCCCTACATACTTACCCTGATTCGGACTACATAGTGCTACACAGTACTCTGTGAGCCGTGTCATGAACCGTCAATGCTGAGGTGTCTGAGTCACCTGCAATTTCGACCCTCCAGACGCCCAATAGCCCACCCTCACTTTCTCCAGCCTACACCTTTGCTTGTCGTTGCCAGGAACATGGCCATTGACGTTAACCCGCCAGTCGTCCCGCTTGGAGTCTTGGATAGAGCGGCCTTTACAAAAATCGTTCGGGTTCTGGCTGCTCGAATCCCGGTAGTAAAGTTGGGCGAGATACGAGGCAGTAAAGTGGGGCGCAAGTACGTACACAAGGCTTTCCCTCACTTGCTCCCTTGTTGATATGACCTCAGAGCGCTCCTCGATCTGCCCAAAACGGATACCATAATCAGAAATCCGGACCCTAAAGCTGACCACAAGCTCATGCTGCTGTCTTCCGACAGGGAGGATGAAATTGATCCAGAAGGGTTGGCATTTATCAAAGACAGAGCAATCGAGCTGCTTCCATACGACATTAAGCTCACGTATGATTTCTGGGATTCCAGTAAGGAGATCAAGTGAACCTATACCAACTGTTCACTTATGATCCTTACAGATGATATCTTGAGCACCATTCTACCTCCCGACGTCGTCGTCCCAAATTCCTTCACGTCGATGGGGCACATCATTCACCTGAACCTCCGCGCCCATCAACTTCCGTTCAAGCATCTCATTGGCGAGGTGTTTCTGTCGAAGAGTCCTGGTATGAGAACCGTAGTTAACAAGACCGACAAGATACATGCTCAATATCGCTATTTTGAGATGGAGCTCCTAGCCGGCGAGCCTGACTTTATGGTTCATGTGGTGCGCCCCGTCCCGTCTTTGCTGTTCAGCAGCACTTCGCTTACCATAGCCCCAGTCGGAATCACGACACACGTTTATGTTCGACTATCGCGAGGTGTATTTCAATACCCGGCTTGGCACCGAACACGACCGGATTGTGTCAAAGCTTTCCGGAAATGGCCTCGTGTGCGACGTCATGGGCGGTGTGGGTCCGTTTGCCATCCCTGCAGCTGCAAAGGGGTGTGCTGTTATGCTGAACGACCTGAACCCCGCTGCGATAAAATGGGCAAAGCTGAATGTGGAGAAGAACGATGTATGTGCGTGTATGTTCTTTCCATGCGGATGCTTACGCGCAATTAGGTCAGCGATCTCATTCGCCTATACGAGATGGATGGTGTCGACTTCATTAGAAAAAGTGTTATTGATGCGTTCAAGAAACCATTTCCCCCTTTCAAACCCCGGATCGGAAGACAGGAACGAAAAAGACTTGAATGGCTAGAGGAGAAGAAGGAGAAGAAGAGGCTGGCTAAACCCTTGCGCGCACCTTCGCTAAATCGTAGGAATGACGGTCAAGGAACATCAAGAGGACGAAAAACAGACAACGTCTTCCAATCGCCTATCAGTCGACCACAAAACGACGCACGCCCCTCTAGTCCGACAAGTTCCAGAACCCCAAAGACACCACTCCTAATGAACCCCACCGTTTCACATCGTAATCCTCCCTCACCTCCGCAAGACCGCTCGTTCTCAACATTGGAGACCCCAGTAACGTCATATACAGACCAGGCACAACGACCGGACGATGAATCGAGGGAATCCCCGTCGACATCACCTGCAGACCTCGACGTCGTCGACGCTGCGCCTGACGAAGAGCCACAAACATCCGATGATGTTCAATCTACCCAAACCACCGCACCTGACATTACCCCACCACTGTCAGAGGCAATGTCTCATCTGCCAACCGTGAGCAAGCTTAGTGCAATCCCATCTCTATCCGATCCTGCTGCAGTCATCCCCCCATCAACCAAGAGCGTCCCCAGGCCGAAGTATTCTCCCTCCAGCAATCCCCAGTCCCTTCCCGACCTACCAAACGGCATGGAACGCCGAACTCCGACACATTACATCCTGAATCTCCCGACAACTGCGATCCAGTTTCTGTTTGCGTTCAGAGGACTTCTCCGACCTATCATGGAAACCCACCTGATGGCCCAATATTACAGCCCTACGAAGAATATGCCCATGATTCATGTGTATTGTTTCACGAATGCGCTAGATGAAGACTCCATGAGAGCGGACATCTTGAAACGTGCATCTGACCAGCTCAAATACCCCCTAACGCTGGATATGCCGGAACTGGAGCTGCACTACGTGCGAAAAGTCGCTCCAACCAAGACTGGTTGGTGCCTGTCCTTCCGGCTACCATGGGCTGTGGCCATTGAAAATGTATCAGAGGCGGAGATTCGTGTCCTTCAAGACGAGTTGCGCAAGATCCACGAGGATATGGAGGGCCTTCCAGACGACGACGATGCGTACGAGGAAAACCCGATCTTCCCGGATGCGAGGAAAAAAGATAGAAAGGAGTTCCCCAAGGTTGACATGATCTAGGCCCGCATCATTCACATCCGCCTGTATTGTAGCGCAATATTCTCTGATTAATACACCTAGCATCCCTCTGGAATCCTTCCTCCGTGTGTCGCTGTCGCTAATTCGTATCGAACAATCTTACTCAAACGAGCTGCCTCGTCTTCAAAATCGTCTAGTCGTCTTCCTCCTCCTCATCTTCGTCGCCCTCTTCCAAATCGTCCTCTGGTATCATCCTCAGCAACTGCAATTTTCACACATTATAGAAACGTCATACCATCCACAATGTCCCCTGCGGCAATCATGGTTGCCGTCGCTGCGGCCTTCTTGAAGATTTCTCTCGTACGGTCATCGTCTCCTCGCACCATATCCAACGGTGTGTTCCCGAACTTGTTGCGAACCTTCGGGTCGGCGCCTGCATCCAGTAGTGAGGCAACTGTCTTCCGGTTAGAGTATTTCTATGTGACTGTAGAGAAGATACACACCGACATAATGCCGCATCTCCTCATCCTCTACCCCCACAGCCAAGTGAAGCGGTGTCGCCTTGTCTAGCCGATTTTGGATGTCGACATCGCACAAGTCCTGTTCTAATATATGTTCCAGGCAATCTATCGACGCGTACTGCACACTGAATCGTTGATTAGGCGAATACAGGGCGTCAAAGCAAGGGAATTACGCGTAGTGTAATGCTGTCAGAGCAAATAAGTCAGGCTCACTTTGCGTCTTTCCTCGAAAGTATGCGCACCAGTATTTCCAAGGCTGTTCAACGCATATATCTCAGCCTACAATATGTTCTCTCTCTTTCTCCCACGCACCCATCCACAGCGTTGATGTCATAGGTACCCTCTTTCTCGAACACCTCAAGCAACATCTCCTCGTTGTCCTGCTTCGCAGCCGCTAAGAGCCGCTCATCTGCAATGCGTGTAAGCACCGCTTCAGACGTTGGACACTTTTAATCACTTGGTGAAGCTCCTTGTTCAGACATGATCTACAAGAGAGCAACAAAAGCCAATAAAATAAGAAATCGAGAGAGAGGATTCAGATATCGAGAGGATCGATGAGCACAAGATGCTGAAACGCACCAGGGAACGCGGCTCCGGATGCTGCGCCCTCTATCGGACTTTCCCATTGACTACCATCTTATGTGAACAAAACTCCCGAACATGTACACCTGATCAGTAAACGGCTGTCTGATTGCAGGGGTATAATCACAGAAGTGCAGCTACATGGATGATATCGCGAAACTACGACTATTGACCAGCCTATCTCTGACTACCTCAAAAAGTGCAGCTCAGTGATTTGCGGTGGATGTTACAGCAACTCCGCACTGGACACTGTCCCCGGAGAGGCCCACTGTCATATTCCATGACGGCAGTTCAAGATCAAAATTGCTCAGCTCGGCTGGGCCTTTCGATGCACAGTTGCCAAGTCAGTCAGCAACTCGATGACTTCCAGTTCATCCATCGAGAACTGGCGTCGATGGGTATCTGCACGTCGCGGGATGTCCTTATGCAGGTGTTTCCTGGTACTCGTTTTGCTCTGAGAAACCTGTTGCGTTGGACCCAAGAAGAACCTGTCCAGCCTATTCATTGTTGCAAGTTTTCCCGTTGACTGCACTTTGCTATATTGTTCTTTCTGGAGTGAATGTCTGCGAAGCAATGGTTCGCGTGTTTCCCGGCATGCCTGTTGTTTTCGCTTATCTTGTTCCTGCTTCAACTCGGCATCCGGTCTGGCTCCCTGATTCAGTCGACACGCCGTCCCCGCAAGCTTCCCAGTTACGTGCTGTATGAGCTTCTGCGCCCGCTGCTGCTTGCATCTTGCACAAGCACAGCTCCAGGAAAGGTGGCACTTCGCCGGCCGGAAGATGGGCGTAGAATTGGCGAGTCTCAACGCTTCATCTAGGCTCATCTCTCGTTGTATGTAACAGATCCGATCTTTCTCGTCCTCGTCCGAGCTGCAACCGCAGTCCGCCGAGTGGTCGGGGTGTTCAATGTCGACTCTGTGGGCATGCTCCTCTCCCGAGTCTTCAACAGGCTCTTCTTGAATAGCACATAGCTCGGATTCCTCTGCTGAGTTGTGATCGATCTCCTCCATCGACTCCTGTTCGACACTCTGCACAGAAGAGTCCACTTCGGACATCTCGACCTCCGAATCGCTGAACACGGTGGCCGAATTGACTTCTTCGTCAGAGGTATGAATGCGGGCAGAAAGTAATTCCAGATCGTATTCGTATCCTTGAATTGTAGCAAGCGTGTTGTATGTAGCAAGCCTGGTGGTGTTCCGTTCAATTCCCTTGGAAAAGGAGAAGGCCGTTTGAGACCTTCGCGTGAACTCTGATGAAAGTGAGACCTAAAGAATTCAAACAATGAGGAGCTTATGAGCACTTTGGGACACAGCAAAGGCCATCTACGACCGAAGAACATCAAGCACCAGTGCGGGCCAGGAACCACACGACCACTAATTACAAGAGGTGTGCATTGTCCTTGCACCAAGATCATGCCAGCTTAACCACTCACGCTGGAAGCTGGCATTGGTCTAACATTAATACGACCACTGGGCTATTGGCGGTCTGCGACCACTTCGGACGTGTCTTTTCAACAAACGAAGAATTGGAAGACCAAGGAAACCACACGTGAACTGCCATGCGACTGCGGCGCCACGAGGAAGTTCGCGATAATTCCAAAGAAGCACCGGGATTGCAGACAAAGCTTCTTATCCCGTATTTGGGGACAAAGTCCTTGACTTCATCAACTGCTCCATCGACAACAATCCGCCAGCCGGCGAAATGGTGTACAAATCTCCCTATGGTCTTAAACGGCGGTAATCGTCCGACCTTGTCATGTTCTCAATACTATCGGCCGGCTTCTATTACAATGCGGTCATGTAATATATATGTCGATGACGGACGAGCTACCGTCCTGCCAGCGGTCAGACCACCGACAAGAGCGGGAAATGCTGCGGAACATTGTAACCACCCTCGAAATGCATGTGAACTGTGATTCCATTACATGGCATCGCGATTTGCGTGTAATGTACAATGTGAGCGAGTTTGCGAGCGAAACCTCGCGATAGAGCCGAGACCCATCACCACACCTTGCTACATATGGGCCTTCGAGTAATACGGATAGAGAAATAGAATGCAGAAGAAGAGACGACATGGAGAAGAGAACGAAGAAAATCGAGAAAGGTGATGCGATCGGGCACCGCCTTGCGGGTTCAGAAACCGCGCGACGGGAATGAATGATGAGTCTCATGCGTGGGGGAATGCTTTGGTAGAAAGTCGTGTGATGGCATATAGTATCGAACGTCCGCAATGGGGTGAGTATATCAGCATCGTTCAGAGCATAATTTCGTGCTTCATCCTGTGATGAAGTATTTGATACGGTGTAGATGGGCAGAAAATGTTGAAGAACCTGCTTCAAGAATTATACGAGCGCGCCTTCTCACTGTTGGAACAATCAGCGAGGACCAGTTGGGCTTGTTGGTGAACTGACAACATCCAGATCACTTTAGCACCCGTGCGCGAGCCTTTCAACGTGACAACATGGCTGCGAAGCTGCGGAAAGGTTATTAGCGTATGCACTATCTGATTTAAGGTAACGCGCACAGCGTCGGAAAGCATGGCGCGATGCTCTTTCCCCACCTATAACAATGACAGGAATCTCAATGAAGACCACTAATCCACAGATACCAGTATCACTCACCATATTCAAGACTTGGGTGATAAACTGGCTGCCAGGCAGCGTTAATGCCATGTCAACAATGATAGCCCGCTTTCCTGTGACACGAGACTCAGCCATCTTCCGTACAAAGCCATCCAGAACCATGGGATCGCTCTGCTTCAGAGCTTTATCGAGCGACTTCACACCCTGCTGATCGGTAGCCAAGGTGAGAATTTCTCTTGTGAGGATTGAAATTGCTCGAGCTTTTGCCTCGGGTGAACCATGTTCAACAACTTCCATCGAGAATTAGATGGAGATTGCTCGCTCAAGGTGATACATACTGTGTTGCACAACCCAACCTTCAATCCTCAGCGTCAGTCATGCGCGAGCACTCAATCGAGTATGCACTTACTTCCCCACTGGTTCTTAGAGCACAGAACCAAATTGTCCAGCACCTCGTCGACACAAGGCCTTTTTAGTTCTTCGCTTAGATTTTCGAACACGTGCTGCAGTTCAGGTCAGGACATTCGACTTTCAGAATGAACTCGAGTACCATACCTGGGCGACGAGGGAGCCCGTCTCATGACAGGCCAGCTGTGCCCATTTGCCGCGCAGTGCATGATTGACGCTAGCGACCGTCACTACCAGGACTTCATGATTGTTAGAATCTACTTACTATTCAAAAATGGGGGGAACATTGCCTTCCCATTGAAGTTCCATGATCTTCATGAAATGAGCTGAGAATGACATAATAAGACATTGAAGATAACACGCACTTTGCTCCAAACATGGCTGGCATGCTTGTTGATGAGGGTTTCACCAGGATCGTCCATAAGCAGTTCGTTTACAATGAGCAGCTGATATGCGCGTGAATGTTGAGAAGCCACCCGTGCTTCAGTCGAAGGTGCTCACCTTGCAACGTTCGTCCCCGTCCAGAGCCTTCTGTACCACGTGAGTCCCATAAGGAGAGGTGGCGAGTTCCACGACGTGACCACGCATGACATTGACCACCTTGACCCTTTCCTCAGCTGTGCAGGGATCTTCAAGACAACGCTGGACAGCCCAATTGCCGAATCGGTTAGTCTATCAGGCTATGCATGAGTTTCGGAGGCTCAAAGCAGGTAGCAAGAAACACACCATCAGATCAAGTCCTTTTTCCACAATAGCATCAACGATTTTGAAACGCTCCGCGGCGTCAACTGCCTTGAGCTTTTGCTGTGCAGATGGTAAGATCTGGGTATTGAAGAATAACATCTTGCATACCTGGATGAATATCGAAGCTTGCTGGTCATTAACGCGAACAATACGTTCGCAGAAATATGCATAGGGAGGAGTGCTGGCTGGTTGCAGGTATGATAGATAGTTGATGCCTTGAGATGGGGCATGGGTTGGATGCTGGGGATTCAGGTTTCTGGAAGGCGTGCGATGGCGACCTCCGGGCGGCGGCGTCTGAGAAGAAGGCACAAGGCGCTGCGGCGAATGTCCCTGAGCCTCGTACAACTTCCCCCCATAAGAGTTGCTAGGAGAGGGATGGCGAGCGACGTAAGAGCCCATCGGACCTTGAGAAGCGACCACCGTCGAGCCCATGGAGGAGCTTGCGGACATGGGAGGGGTTCCCAGGCCCGAGGGTGAGATCGGAGATATGGCCTGTTGACGTCGCTCATTTATGAATGCAATCCAACCGTTGTCCTTGGAACCGTTTTCTAGTGGGCTGCCAGCAGTCGCACCTTGACTGAAGCGAGGATCCCGCACATGAGCGCTATCAATGGTGGGGATCTGCATTGGTGGAATGGACGTGTTCGTGTTGGGCATTTGGGCCCAAGCAAATGCAGACGATGCAATGGGAGGCGGGAGTCTTGTCGGGGATTCATGCATTGGTAGCTGAGCATTGGGAAAGTTGGTCTGAATAGGCGCCGGATACGGCTGGGACGATGGAAGACGGTGACGGGGCGCCGTGTCGTAGGAGGGCTGAGGCCAGTTGTTATTCATATGCGGGTTAGACAGGGATCGAGAATGGGGATTGAGGAAAGGAGGCTCGTTGGACTGGTTGGACATTGTTACAGTTGATGCTGGCAGACCCAGAGACAAAGCGTGGAGGGCTGGCTGCAGACCTGCAAGTGCATTGTGTCCTTGGGCTTGCGGCATCCTCGCGTTTTGATACGAACCCTGAAGATGTTGCGGACTCTGGGGATCAAGAGAAGCTAAGGGATAACCGGAGGGAATTTGCATGTTAGATGCACGGCAGTCTGGAAGCGTAGTGGAACGTGGCCTGCATGTGTGCGCCTCCGGCGAGGCGGGAGGGGACATGGCCTGGAAATAATCGCTAGAGTCCGCATTTATAGGCAGCTGAAAGAAGTCATTAACAAAGAGGGCCTCGTGGACAAGCACGCGTCAGCGAACCTTCGGCATATAACGCTCGTCACCAATCGCACCCAGTCCCTTGACCTTCCCGAAGACATCCTCCCCACCTCCCTCCATCTCCACGTTGCCAGCTTGCGGCGTCCACAATAACCCTCGCTTCATCCTCGCATCCATCCGCTCAGGCGAGCCGGTCGAGATACTATCGTTGGGCGTAGGGAGTAAGGGTACAGTGCCGAGTTCGATGCTACTCTCTTGTGACTTGGAAGATGATGAGTCAGGTGGAGTACTAAGCCCAGTGGCTGCGTGCTCGGGAGAAACGCGCTGCAGCCTAAGTCCAGACTCGGCATGCGTGGCCGTTGAAGACGTCGGATCCGTACTCTTCGTTGCCGACATGTTTTTTGGTGCCCACATAGACGACAAAGTTGATCGATCGTCGTTGTCAGGGCGATATACTGACCTGTATACCCAATGATTAGCATATACGCTTCCCGCATCGCGCATATATGCGTATACTCACCTAGATTTTGTCGGTGCCCAGATAGAGCTCATCAAGGAGCGATCATCCGGTGATCCAGCAGCGGTGATTGGGTTCGATGGGAAAACGGAGTTATCCATCACCGAAGAAGTTTCGGGTGAAGAAGTAGTTTGATCTTATTCTATTGAGAAGGTGGAAAGAAGGAGAAGAAGAGGATGGGGAAAAGGTCGCGGTATGCCGATGGTGAGTCCATTCTTATAGCTCAAGGTCTCGCACACAGTTCGGTCCTTCCCTCCCAAATGCGGAATTGTGAAGAGTAATGTGCGATGATCGGAGGCATTTCCCCACATATCACAGGGTTCGCGGCTCGCACTCTGTCGCCACATCACGGGGCAGCACGTGAGATTTCATCTTTCTCCGCCGATCCTTCACATCCCCGGGAAAGCAATTGGGAAGGCTCACAAAGACTGCAAAGATTGACAACAACAAAGCTAGTGATAATATTTAAGGCCCTTTAGGTCGTTAGTAAAGATGTGCACCGTGTGCTAAATGTGACATTAGAGTGAAAGCTTTCTGCCAAATTACTCGATTTGTTCGCGGGAAAAGATCAGGCGCCGGGAATCGGAGGATGCGTCGCCGGAGTGAAGACCTTTTCTCCAGAGAGACGGTACTTCTTCCGATTCTCGTATGCCTCCCTGATAACTGCCTTGATAGTATCCATAGAGTCGTAGATGTTCTGTTTCTGCGTCTTTTCCAATGTCTGAATTTGCTCAGGAGTCCTACAAGCAAAGTCAGCTTCTTCTCGAGAACAACGCGCATATATTGCGGGACTAACCACACGAGGTTATAAGAACTAGACCACGGAGCAGTCTATCAATCCCGACGAGAGTCAGCAATACTTTCACCGGCGGGAGTCGGAACTTACCGCGGGGTCGTATGATGGCTGGACTTTGTTGGGAAGCAGCGGCATATAAACCATAGTCACGTTGCGCCTAGCCTGCGGTTGATGACTAGAGGAAGAAGTTATGAGTCATGCGCATATAGCCGCGGACAATCCCACTCACCGGTTGTTGTAGAGAACAGGACCGCCCGGCATTTCCTGCGAATGGAAATGGAAACCTTCGGGTAGAACTTCTTCTCCGTGGTTGTACTGGTGCGTTCCGTCGATGACTTGAGCATACCGTCCTGCAAAAGTTTCGGCAATGCTCTCCTCAGTCCAAGGTTGGGGTTTGCCTTCCTCGTCCGTAATAGGTGGAGGTGGAAGCTTGGGTAGCTGTGCTCGTGGTTCGAACTTCAAGCCCTTATCGTTGCCGAAGTCCTCCATCCGCTGCAACGCTGCGTCCTTCTGGACGTCGGACGAGTAATCAAAGTTGAGGATAACATCGACGTCTCGGTTCGGGTGAATGAATGAGTATGTGGGCATGTTGTTACCCATACCAGCATCGATGAGATGCAGCCGAGGAGAGTTCTCAAAGCCCTGTCCACGGTTCGGTTCCCTCTCCGCACCGAAAAACGGGTTCGCTTCGTTACACGCATGGATAGGATGGTGTTCACCAAACCTCTCGACGTGGTGTGGGGCAAAGCGCTCGATCTCCTTCGTAATGCCGCGCATCATCGCTCCAAATGGTCCTTTCGGCAAGTTTCGGTAAATCGTGCCAAGGTAGCTTGACAGCGGGCCGGCTGGCGCTGAAGTTGACAAACCCAAGATCATGGCCAGAGACTGTTCTGGCATGCGCATCTTGCTCAGGCCCTTATCGAACCTGAGTTCACGTAAGCGATAATATCAAGGGGGTACAGTGCACAACATACTTCCGTCCAAATGCCCAGGTGGGCACCCATCCCTCGAGTTCATCACTGCCAATTTCCAGCGGGGTGATCTCAAACCACTGCCACCATGCATCCTGGGCCTCCTGGTGTTCCTTGCTCGTGTGATTGTTATCCTCCCAGGGCTCCTCCTTGCTCTTCCAATCACGCCTATCCTTGTATAAGCATATATGCACTCCAAGGATGTTGTTCAACTTACCAGGGACGCTCGTGGCGAACCGCAGTCAATATCGGGAATGGCTCCTCGGCCGCCTTGATACCAGATCGCTCCCAGACTGGATTTTTTCTCTTAGCTACGAGCTCTGTGGAAAAGGTAGGTGTTCACGCACCCTTAGACCACTGGAACCATTCCTTCCTCAGCATAGGCTCTCCCTCACCGCGTTCCTTTATGTGGATGGGCAGGAACATGTAACTGTGTACGACGGTGGAGTACATATCGAGGATCACCGGAGCGACACCAGTCTTCAGTTTCGCAAGGAGTGGACCAAACAAAAAGTCAGCTCCATGAGGACTGTTCATCACGTGGTTGAAAGCGGTCGCAGAGATAGGATGGCTATGGGAGTTCGCCATAAAGTGGTTCAACGCGTTGTGAGCATCTCGGTTTGCGAAGGTGTAGTATGCTGAAGGCCAAGTTAGAGGGTGACAAGTAAGGGCTTGTATTTACGCACCTCCCAAAGACCAGCAAGAGCCGCTTACACCTGCAACATATGTGAACAAATCCCACAAACCCTCCTCCTTGAAAGCGGTGAAAGCGGAGAGAAGACCGCTGTGGTAAATCGTGAGCCAAACAAACTCCTGCGGAAGTCCTGTACATACAAGCAAGCCCGGTACCCTCCTCCACTGCCTCCAACACCGATAATCGGTACGTCATCTGGATGTATGTCCTCGTCAGGAGGAAGACCAAGGAACTTGGCTAGCACGCCAGACTGGGCGATCCGTGCGCGTCGATCAACCACGAACTGCCACTCTTCGAGGTGAAGCGCATTGTTTCGTCTGCGGGCGCTTTATCAGATTCCCGGTCCCAGTTATGGAGGCGTTTATAGCTCACCTCAATTCGGCATCCCATTCAAGCTCCGGATAGAGGTGGTAGTCCCTATCGTCGTGTCGCTGGTCGGCATGCACCATCAGTATGTCGTGCATCTTGTGTGTGGCATGCTTGATAGAGTCCTTCAGGGCATGGCCAAGATCTTTCATGGAATGTATTCCCTTCTTCTCTTCCTCGTGATTCGGCATCGACCTGTCAAATAGGACTTGCTCCGTCTCTCCTTCGTTTTCCCCATTCGTGACGACGGCATGATGTTCGTCCTCATTAGTCACGACCGTGCCCGCGGCTTGGTGAAAACGCGTCTCTTCCTCGCACGTCCAGTGATCCTCAGGGCGAAGGCCGGTATGTTCTTCAGTTATTCCATGTTCACACATATTGGGTAGGTACAAAGGGGAGGAGGGGGTATATGGTTCTCGTTGCTTGTGGGGGAGGAGGTATAAGACGGTGCCTGGAATTGAATTGCTTGGCGTTAGGGATCAACCCTGCGACAATTATGAGGCAAGTCTCACATGTTAATTGCTATTTCCGGAGCATACGCACGTGTACGAGCCTATTTTACTGCGGGCGGTAACGGGGTGTTCAACGCCGTTTTCCGTCGAGCTCATCGTCTTCGCCCCCTCGTTATCGGTCAATAGGAGGCGGTGGTTCCATACGATCCACGCAGTATTTCCACGGTGGTGGTGATGCCGGGCTATGTGCTTAATCTTATCCCAAGCACTGCTTTCTCCTGACTCCAGACTCTAACTTGAGGGTCTGGCGACATGCACCGTCCCCTCATACTAGACCGGTCTAGTATGAGGGGACGGCCCATGTCGCCGGACCCTCAAGTTAGGGCCTTTTCCCACGAGACACAGGTGATCCCAAGGGGTCTGGCCCGAATCACCTTCCATTTTGGGAGAACCTCCAAATCTTCACTTCAATTCTATCAGCATCCGCTCATGGGGTTATATAGAGCGAGCACCGCGCGTTCACACACAAGGCCAAACATTCCCCGCCCACGTCTTCCCCCCTCCCACTTTCTCCTGCTATTACTTCCTCTCCGCCTTGCCCTTCCATCTCACCCTTTCCATACTGCTGGAATCCTCCACCTGATCGTTCAATGAACCTCAACGACGTTCAGAAGGAGGTCAATATCGATTCGGTCATCGACCGACTGTTGGAAGGTGTGTTATACGTGTCCTTATCTACATAGTAGTACCTTCCATGTGTGGAGTTGGGTTGGAGGTGTTGATATAGAACTACTGGTGTTGGCGGCGTTTGCTATTGTGTAGAGTTAATCTTGGCGTTCGTCATCGCTGCCGTCTGAGTCAGCAGCTGACATCGCCTTTTCCTCGCACATTAAGTGCGAGGTAACAGACCGGGACGAATTGTAAACCTGCACGAATACGAGATTAAACACTTATGCGCTAAAGTGCGCGAAATCTTCGTCGCACAACCCATCTTATTGGAGCTCGAAGCTCCAATCAAGATATGTGGTATGTCGCCCACAATAAACCACTTGACTGAAACATGAACTCATAAACACCTCTATGTAGGGGACATACACGGCCAGTACTACGACTTACTGCGTCTGTTCGAGTACGGTGGTTTCCCCCCCGAGGCGAATTACCTGTTCCTGGGCGACTACGTAGACCGCGGCAAGCAGAGCCTGGAGACCATCTGTCTGCTTTTCGCGTACAAGATCAAATATCCAGAGAACTTCTTCCTGATTCGTGGCAATCACGAGGCGGCGAGCACCAATCGCATTTACGGGTTCTATGATGAATGTGAGTTTATTTCGTCCGCACGTCCGTCAATCAGGCTGGATTTGCTGTGCTAGGCAAGCGCCGCTACAACATCAAGCTGTGGAAGATATTCACCGATTGCTTTAATTGTCTACCCATCGCCGCCATCATCGACGATAAGATCTTTTGCATGCATGGTGGGCTCAGCCCGGACTTGCAGAGCATGGACCAGGTGCGGCGAGTGATGCGGCCTACGGATCTCCCAGACGAAGGTATGTTTACTTCGGCACGTGACCTCGTTCTCCTGTCTCACTTCGTCTCCCAACAGGACTACTGTGCGACCTCCTTTGGGCCGACCCGGATAAGGACGTCACCGGATGGGGGGCTAACGATCGCGGTGTTTCGTACACGTTTGGCCCAGACATCGTCACAAGGTTCTTGGACAAACACGACCTGCAGCTCATCGTGAGAGCCCACCAGGTCGTCGAGGACGGGTACGAGTTCTTCGCCAAGAGACAGCTCGTAACTCTCTTCTCCGCTCCGAACTACTGTGGAGAATTCGACAATGCTGGGGCGATGATGAGCGTGGACGAAAGTCTCCTGTGCTCATTCCAGGTAAGGCGTTTTATGGTCTTTCATTCCAGAAGCTCAATCATGTGGTAGATTCTTAAACCGGCGGAGAAGAAACCCGGAAGGTCAAGTACCAGTACCATGAAGAAGAAAGGCAAGGCTACCCGTTTTGCGGACTCTCAAAGCCCATATGGAGACAATTTCGGCTCGTACGGCGGTTCGCGGTAAACCGAGGATGTTCAACCGCACCTTCAATACCAACGTGGTCGTTCAGCCGTCTATGGAGAACACCTCCTGATTTCAAGGTTCTCAATCAGGTGTACAGTAACAGGCGAAGCATACGACACGAGTTTTGCAATCGCATGGACACTGGAGGGTCCATCAAGGCGTGCTTGCACGTTCCACTTCATCACAACCAACATTCCCCATCCCATTCCTGAGACTTCCCCCTTTTCATTCCAGATATTGACCCTCCCGAGTTCCGCTTCCCACTTTGGTCCTTTTTCTTGCGAGGGATCGCAGACGATGTTTCGCGACTGCTATCCCTGCCGCCGTTACTCTTTCTCCAGTTTCCAGGTTTTATTCCGTTGATGACCCTCGTGCTTCACGGTACACATCAAGTATGGTTGTTCCACCAGTTCCACGCCATCGCAAGTCCACTCAAGTAGTATGGTGACATCAAATTCATGACAAGTCTGTTTCACGCTTGTCCCACGGATGGCTGATAAAATGCAGCCGCAGTATATCGTCACATGAATTACGTCTGATTCTTTTCGCGCTTATTTTCTCCCGCTCTAATGGAGTATAAAGCTGATAAATCGGTATAACGACACCTGAGGCCCCACTTTCCACCATACCTGCGCTCCCATCCCTCGCAACGTATGTATTTCGATGAACTTGCTGGCGACCTTATGGGCTCTTCGCATCAATCACCTCCCAGCACACCAACTCGGATCCATTAGTGAAGCTATCTCATGGACATATCGTGCCGCACATTTATCTGCTGTCCATTGGCAGATAAGCTTCGCAGACTATTTGGCCGTGTCGTGGCTGCCAGTTTGATCCTGATGCACGTCGGAAGCAGTTGCAGCACAACAATATTGAAAGCCGAGGTATTTCCTCCGATGCCCCGTTTTCGGAAACAAAATACCTGTTATGCCCCTCCGGACGCATTTTCCCCAAATGCCCCGTCTTCTTTAAGGGTTCACGGCGTTAGCAGCTGAGAAGCCTGTAGAGAAGCCCTGCCCAGGAGAGGCCCATCTAAAATCCCTGAGGTAGCTCAGGGGTCCAATTTCTAAGCATGCTCATTTATCTGAGAATACACTCTGTAAAAAATCGAAAGAAGACTCTCTATATGTCTTATTTTTTATATCTATTGATTTTTTTCTTTGATTTTCTTTTTTTTTGTAGTTTTGTAAGTGAATTAAGAGCTAACTCTGTCAAGCAGAGGCCAGGACCCCTAGGTGACCCATTTCTCCCTTGGGGGTTTTCAGCACAGCTTCTAAGCTACTAACGCCGTGATCCCTTGAAGAAGGTATTTTGTTTCCGAAAACGGGGTATCGGAGGAAATACCTCATTGAAAGCCCAATAGGCTTGCCGCGTTGTGGTGAGTATATCGATGGTCCCTGCCCCCTTCAGCGAGATTTGCGCCTAAGCTGCCAGCATCACATAGCACACTACGGAATAAACGTCTGCCTAATGGATGTAGAGCAGTTTCACAAGTGAGACGTTCTCCAAGGGCGAGGATGAGCCGTATTATCTGTCCGAGGATTCTACTGAGGACGGGTCAACCTTGTTTCGTGCCATCTACCGGGAAGGAAGGGAGTTGGATAGAGGAAGAACGGCAGTTGGCACGGGCTTCCGGAATGCAGAGGTATGTGTGCTCCGGATCCGCGGACTTTGACGCGGACGTTGAATTGAAGCCTTCATCCTCTGTAAGACTCCTCTCGCACTGGTCGCAGGTACTACGCTGCTCTCTTGGCATTCAGAGGTACATGTAACTACTTGCCAAATGCTATGCAGAAAAATCGTTGACGCGTCAGGGATGCAGGTTGACTGGCAAGAAACGTGTCCTGAAACTATCTGCACTGACTGGAATTTGCACCTAGGCAACAGAATGGCATCTGCTGGCAGTCTCGTCCTATGGCGGCTGATATAATTAAAAACAGAAGACAATAACATCGTCACCGGCTTTTACGTACAAAGGAAGGCCTTTGACGACCCGGACTAAGCAGGATGCTGACGATGCTGTACGTAATGTGCGAGCTTGCTTTCGCCAATCTTATCCCCGGTCCCTCAAGACTGGGCAGTTGACTTATCCGGGACGTCGGCCATGCTTCCCTGTTGTAGCAATGCTTACTCGCGGAGGTCCAAGTGCGGTCTTCCGACGTTTGTCCTGCTTTGGAGGTCAGACAGTGCTCCATGGATGAAGTCTCGACGAAGGACACCGAACCCATCCATTCCAAGGGCTTCCAGGGTCGTTCGCGCTGATGATGGCTCAGGCTGCTATCTCATGCGCTATGGATACAGGCTGATGCCAGTATGGTGGCCTTAGTGACTTCTGACCTGCAACCCCCTTATGGCATGGTCGACACCTCAATGTCTTGCGACAAACTGCGACGTGGAAGACCGAAATTCATCAAGATAGCAGGAAGAAGCCAATCATGCAACTACGAATAAGGCGCCACCTCGAGTACTGCCTTCTGCGTGGATGTATTCATACCCGGAATGCTGCGCGGCTGGGATCTACCGATAATGCTGTCGTGTTCCTGACTTCTCCAACCCCCGACCCCCTACGCGGGCACCTCTGTGGCAACCCTGGATTTCAATCTTGCCATCTAACCTGTTCAAGCGAAGATGTCCCAACCCACCCTGTGCTCCGCAACCCACGGCATGGTAGCCCCGCGTGAACTGATAGATCGGTCAAGCTGTCATTGTCATTACCGAGTCTAGTCCGCAAGCACATTGGTGTCGCCATCTTCCACCCGGTGCTTGTGAATTAGACTCTCTCCGTCCTGCTCAATAAAAGGGATACCTTCGGTGCCTGTCTGCCACTGAGCTGGTGTTACTTTCAACCCCCCCCCCCACCCCCCCAACTTCCCTTCTCCCCCTCTCGCCTTCACGCCGCTTCCCCGTCCCCCTATTCCATTTCCCCAGACGACTTAACGATGTCTCAAGAAAAGAATCTGAAGATCAATACTGACGATTCCGAGGGCAGCTATGAGCCCCACACCCCGGGTGGCCATGCTGCAGATGCCAGCCAGCCAACTATGCCTGTGTATCATCGTCAATATGGCAACCCGGTATGTAGACTTCAACGGCAATAGGGCTGTATTCTTACATGTCTATCAATTAGGCACCATTAGGATTGCTTGCATACGGCACTGTCTTCTTGGCCGCCTCTCTCTTCAACATTAACGCCCGCGGGATCCACAATGGGTCTCTGGTTCTTCTCTTCGCTATGTTGTGAGTACGCAGAAACTCTGGTGTGCCATTCCCTCAAGGTGTTTAGCTATGGCGGCATCATGCAAACGCTGGTCGGGATGTGGGAGATGTTCCTTGGCAATACCTTCGGAGCGTAAGCAACTCTTTGACCGTGTCAGCGCTGCGCATATTGACGATTGCTTAGAACCGTTTTCGCCACCTACGGTGGGTTTAACATGTCATATGGTGCTTTGTACCTGCCCGGCGTTGGCGTTCAAGCTCTGTATACCGACGCCAATGGGGTTCTTAGCCCTGACTTCGAGCAAGCTGTTGGTATCTATCTCCTGATTTGGGAGTGAGTCCTGAAATTATATGCGAGAAAGGAAGGTCGCTGACTCGTTGCAGCGTTATCACCCTCCTCTTCCTTATTGGATGCCTTCGCTCCTCGGCACCTGTCGTTTGGACTTTTGGCACCACAGTAGTTGCACTGACTTTGCTCGCCGCAAACAGTTTTACTGGTAGACCTATTCACTGCGTATCGGTTATCTCGTCATGCTCAACTTCTTGTTCAGGTATACAAAGTCTGGCTGTTGCAGGTGGCGTATTCGGTCTCTGCGCTGCCGCAGGTGCCTACTATGCCGCCCTGGCTGGCTTCTACTCGCCAACAGTGACATTCAAGTGGATCAAGCTTCCTCCCATGAGTCTGGCATACTCCGAGGTGTAGATGCACATTCGTGTTGTACCTTCCGCGGAACTGTTCTTCAGCTCGATATTGTCAGGATACATTTGATTAGGCAATCCCTGCAAAATGCCCGTGGAAAGGTGTGATTGTTCTGCGTATTGGAGTGTAGCTATTTTCCTCAAGTCTGATTTCCCTAATACACCATATTGCGTTAGCCATGTGTGTTGCAGAAGCGCTGTCCATCATGCTAGTAGAGTTGGACATCAGTCCGTATGTTCTATCTGAATATCGATTGTTTTCGACCCAAGAACCGGAAGCGTGCAAAGACTGGATATTCTCGGTGAACTCAGCCAAAGTCTACTCCTTTTTTGACTATCCAGGGTTGACGAAGCCCGGTCTCAACCCCCTCTTTGTCGTTATACTCCCAGTCGCCTCGATGAGCGCCACAAAATTGCTTCGTTTACGTGTAATTACGTGTGTGGACGAAACTGATATGCTTCCCGAGTACCCCATCAAAGTCGATCAGGAACCAAATCCGGATGGGCGCTCTCACGACGCCCTACAGGGCGGTCCATGCCATCTTGATGGGTCTACTGCTATGTATACTTCCCTTATTCTCTTGTGTGTTTGGCGACTGGCGGGCGATCTATTGTTGGTCTAAGGTGCGTCTTCGTCCTTTTTAGCACCTTCTCCGGGGTACCCTTCCTTCGCAATTTCGCAATGATGATGCTCTAATCTTATCTCCCGATAGCGGTTGCCGAGCTTGGATGCAGGGCCGAGCCGGGCAAAGAGCTGGTGCAGGGCGTCCCACCTTCAGTGGAACATCCGCCTGGTGCTTGCCAAAGGTTCTTCATGCATGAACTTGGCGCACGTGTGCCGCTGCATGAGGGTTATGTTAGTTTGCAATCTGAGCGGTTTTCTTCTCCTCCCTGTTCATTCCTCGTACCATGTCTTCGGGACGTAAGCTTACTGATGCTGATTCAGCTGACAATGGGTTTAGGTCACAAATAGGATTGTATCGGAACGCCAGGAATGATGGAAGTCCTCGGTAATCTATTGGCCGCACACGGGAAGCTATTGACCGACCGGGCTGGCATCGACCGACCACAGGGCGCTTCATTGTGTGGGAATCCGGTCTCTCAAGCACAGCAAGCAAGTTGTGGACCGGCAAGCTAATTCGGCCATCAGACGATACCGCAATTGTATCATGGGCTCAATCACATTGTCATATTTTTTGGGCTATCATAGTACAGAGAATACATTGAACCTGTGAGCGTGACTCCTTGGGATGGTTTGCTGGTTACTCCTCATCCGACTCATCAAATACTAGCACGTAGCCGTTCCTGTCCCTAAGGACTGCATCTTCCCGGTCGGCCTGCGCATCAGCGGAAGCACGATGAGCATCCCGCTCCAGGGCATTGGCGACTTCCGCCCAACCGTCGTCCATCTCGGGCGGGTGGACACCAGTAGATCGGCCGGCAGCCAAGGCTGCATCGTTCCAATCTTCGTCATCAGAGTCACCTTCACTCAAGGAAACAACGGAAACATTGGAGGACAGACCATGGCTGGACTCTTCGACATCGCTATCAGCTTGAGGCTCGGCAGGTCGGGTCTCGGAGAGGGGTGATGTGGGCGCGGGCGCATCAGCATCAGCTGCAGATCCAGCAACAGACGGAGCAGCGGGCATGACGACGACAGAAGACGCGAGAGACGACGATGCAGAACCCTCGCGGGCAACCGTAGACGCTTGCATAGATGTGTTCGTGACGTTGATAACCTCAATGCTGCAGTATATGTCAGTAATCTGTGATGGACATGCAGGAACGTATACGCACTCAACCCAAAGCCTATCCCCAAATAGCTTTCCACCCTGACTCAGGCTCCAAAATCCAACCTGCTTGCCTAAGCTCACAGCCTGCATCGCAACCTCAACGACTTTGTCCTTTTTGACGGGAACAGCCCCAACAGAAACACTCAGGGGAGCGCCCATAAGAGCACCACCCGTGAAGGCCAGCGCGGTGTCAGCGGGCCAAGCCTCCGAGCCGGGGTTAAACAGACGCCAGCGCTTGATGAAGCGACTGTTGGGTGGGAGCTGGTGACCGTCGGGAATGGATAGGTCTTCGACAAAAATGCCGTGCAGCTCGGACGACTCCTCAAGGGTCGGCTTGAACGGCTTGTTGTTGATATCAACAATGGGAGGAATGGAGGTCATAGGATGGCTGAGCAGCGCATCGATAGTGATAGGGGCAGCAGGACGCTGGGTCATATTCTTTGCCAGCTGATCCGAGACAACAGACGATTCGGTTTGAGGCAAGACGGGCTCTGAGCCAAGGGACGGAAGAACTTCGGGTGTAGCAGTAGCAGTTTCTTTAGGCGAAATGAAAGGGTTATTCGACGCCCTAGGTCGAGGAGACCTCATGTCTGGCCTCGCACGGGTGTACACAGGCTTCTTCATTTTGAGCAACACATGGGCCTTGTTATGAGCCGTAGGGAGGCTCTCACATGCCGCGCAGAGGTCAAAGTCGTCACATTCGGCACACTTGTAGCGCACGCCAACGATCTTGCCACCGCAATTGTCACACCACGCAGGGTACTCGGCTGGCGCCTCCTGCGCCTCATTCTTGAGGACTTCGCGGGGCTCGATCATAGAGGCAGGTACGCGCAACTTGAGCAAGGCATGCTCAACTGGGTGCACGGGAATAGGAAGTGCCTCACAATCTGGGCAGAGGTCGAAGTCAGGGCACGAGGGGTGCGTGCATTTGTATCTCGGGCCGGAGGACGGAATGCGCTCGTTGCAGGCATTGCAAGTCGCGTTATGGGACGGCATGCGACGGGTTGAAGCACCGGAGCGGCGGATGAAATCAGCTGGGTTTGAGATACGGATGAAGGAGTGCTCGGGGTGCTGTTCTTCAGTGATGGCGAAGCAGCTCTCGCAAGTATCATAATCTGTGATCGAGATATCAATAAAGATATATTAAAATAGAGTGACAAACATACCAGGGCAGTCAATGCACTTATACCTCACACCAACAATCTGAGAGGAACACATGTTGCAGTTGGCGGGGTGAGTAGAGCGGGCACCAACCCCATGGGCAGGCGCAGAGGGCGCAAACACTGGAATGGGCTCGGGGACCGGGGCGTTGGCGGGAACGGGCTCTGGGCCCCGTGCCGCATGTCGATGACGGTGATGACGCCGTCTTTCGCGGGTCTCTCCGTCATGCGTATGCTCGTGTGAGTGCCTGTGTCCGTCATGGTGATCATGATGATGACGATGCTGGCGCTCCTCTACACCATCGGAAACGAGGTGCTTGACTACATTGGTAGGGCGATCGATCAACAGGAAATGATGACCGGGGTCGTGAAGCTCCTTGCGATGGAAGAGACACCCGCTGCAGAGATCATAGTCTGGGCAGTCGAGGCACTTGTACCTCACACCCGCGATACCCGAATTGCAGATATCGCATGTCGCAGGATGGAGTGTGAACTCAAACCCGGCAGGCGGGTCGTCATTAAATGCGCGTATAATATCCGGCATATTCTCTTCGTGCTCCATGTTCCACGTGAAGACCTCGCCGGGTTCGCGGAGGTTGACGAAGATGTGACCGGGCCGATGGACAATAGTGCGTTGAAGGATGCAGGAACTGCAGAGGTCGTAGTCCAGGCAATTGGTACACTTGTATCTAGTACCAGTAATACCACGGAAGCACGAGTTGCAAAACGCTCCGTGCACGGGTTCTTCTGCGGACTTGAGTTCGGGCTGCGGCGCGGGTGCGGACTGGGCCGCAGGCGCGGACCATACTGCTCCCATATCGAGAGAAGCAACCTTGAATGTATGTGGGTGACCGTACGTGCCGAAGCGCGTTGTGTTTAAGTTATAGCATTCTTCGCACTGCAATGGCCACGTAAGCGTTACTGCTGCGCGTGCCACAAACGAGAGATGACTCACGAAGTCAAAATCTGGACACGTCTCGCATTTATAGCGCTTTCCGGTGACATGGCAATCACATCCATCGCAGATGATCACCACAGGCGAAAGCTGGGTTTGGTTTGGCAGCGGGGCACTCTTGGCAGGTGGCGAAGGTACCTTTTCCTCTTCATGCGAGTCATCGTTTGCCCCCTCCTTGAAGTCGACAGTGAGATTCTCGAAGTCGGACGTGAATTTCTTCAGCAGCTCAGCCATATCACGCTTTGCCTTCGACACCGAGCAGCACGACTCGGTCTTGTGGGATGTGTCGCTGCGCACAGATGCCGGCGCAGGCGCCGCGGTGACAGTGGCGGTAGCAGGGCTGCGGTAATTGTGGATCTCATCGAGGAGACTCTCCTGCTTAGCACCGTTCGTTTGCGAACAATCAATGACTTGCACCTTGAATACTGCGTTGTGCGGGATGTCGTTTCTTGTCCAAACTCTGTTTCGGAGGAAGTAAAGCCAGTCGAGTTCATTGCGAATGGTCGTCCCCCAGTCGAGTGAGGCAGGATTCCCACCATCGACGAATGCGATATCCGCGAAGCCTATATTATCTGCACAAGAGAACACGCGCCGGACCTACAACAGCAAGGACAATCAGTTATGATGATGAGGTAGGTAAAGCGGCGAGAGATAAGAGCATACCTCGCTGGAGATCTCGTCCCAGTTGGGCATGCCCTCCCTATCCAGAGGCTTGAGCTTCCTCATCTGCCCGTAGTAACTTGCCTTTATAGTATAAGGCATGTTTGTAGTTGAACAGTAAAGTAAATAACGGTCGTCCAAGTTAGAGATGGACGTGCGCTGTTATAGGGGGTGGCAACGAGCGACTAATCATACTGCGGATAACGCCACTATCTCACGTGCGCTGACGCGGCTGCGTCCGGTGGGAGTCACCCTTTCCCTCACGAACGACCACAACTCCAGTACTTTGCGTGGTTCTTTACCGAAAGGCTGCACGTAAAGCGCGACACTCCTGTGGCTAACATCCTCCCACTCTCCCAGTGGCGCTTAAAGTGATCTACACGAAAAGTTTGGCACCTGCTCATTTAGCTTGATGACTCCCTATACAACTGGGCGATAGTTATCGATGTTCGGTCCATTAGGCATAGTCACAGCCAGTAGATGGCCTGATGCCTTCCACAAAACCGAAGTTAATTTGAGATTTTCATGGGATATCTGCGAGATGACGGTTGCGACCTTACGAGTCCCCAGGTTCTGTCTGGTGTGGCGCGCGTTAAAACCTCGTCTGAAGTTGCTTTACTCGTCTCTATCTGTGGGACGCCTCCCTCTCAGTCCCCCGGAGAGCCGAACAGCTTGCAACCAGAAAACTTTCGCACCTACTTTCTCGTTCCTAGCTCCAAGGCCTCAAATTAGACCGCAAGACCGCAGATTTGGCACAGCCAGTGGCCTTCAATGCACTTGGGCCTGTTTTTCCAAGTCTGAGGTAGATCCCTGTGTCAAATTACCGAATCCAATGATGGCACTGTTTTCCTGGATATGGATACTTTGTGAGTGCGCATGACCTTTGACCGTGTACTGCTGGGATCATGTATTCTGGGATATTCATTCAGCACTGACAGTTCACGGCAGTGTTTGTCGGAGATTGGATTCAGGTAGTTAGTGACGAGACAAACTACATCTACCTCTTCCATGTCGATCAAGTGATAAACCCAACGATGGATGATGCACCCAAACCACTAAGGACACAACGACGAAAGCGTCACTAAGCTGCGTTCCGAATTCTAATTTTGCTAAGGCTTTCTATGATTCCTTCATGGATCTGCCCTAGCAAATCATGAAGGAGAACACATCAGCTTATTCTCTTAGATGACTGGATCGCTTTTCCCGCCGAAGCCAGTCAAGTAGGCTCAAATCAACCTTTCGAATGACATCTACATCACAGAGTTTTCCCTGTCCTCCCAATGAAACACCTTGTTCAACATCGCCCATCACAAGCGTTGCCTTCATCCAACTGAAGCGATGCAAGTGGAGTGCCTCCAGTTGAACTCTCTCATTCGACCGACTCCGGAACCGGATTTGTCCCATGAGACGATTTTACCAGATATCCAAAAACGATGCCCTTGACCATTCCTTCAGATACGCCAACTTCGTCGCGACTGCTAACAACGAAGCGAGAATTTTGGTTACAAGATTGGACGGAAGGCGGTGGACCCGGATTGAATATGCACTTGCTAGGATGCACGTCGAATTCCCTACCATTGCAATGAATCCCCAGATCAAAGCAACGCACAGCGTACAGGAGGTCTTGGAGGGTGCTCGAAGATCATGTGCATCATGATAAATTATTTCTATCTACCAAAGCTTATAACTCCAGATCATTGCAACTGTGCAAACCCGACCCAAGTACTATATATGTAATATTGTTCACGTGACCTTATCTGGCCCACATCCCGTTGCAGCGGGGTGTCTTCCCTACACTGTGCAATCCACGAACGCGCACTGGCTGCGCCGCCCTCCCGTTCTCCTCGTCTTTCTCCCCTGAATGTGTGACATCAAGGGATAGAAGGTCGCTATAGCTGTGCACAATTGCATAAAGTCACGGTCGGTCTTGGTCCAGCAAGTGACTGGTGCACGATTATAATTAGCCAAAGATCGTCATCCCAGCAGTGTTCGACTAGATCAGTATATCGTTTTTCTCGATCCTTATCGTCGGTCCGTCAATCCGCCGTCTTTGGCTCCATCATACACGACGTGCATCCGGAAGTTGCCGCTGGTACTTCCTGGCGGGAAGGGTGCGAAGACCTCCTTAACCGGCCGAAGCACCGTTCGCCGCATGTACTCCCCGACAATCGAAACAAAGTGCTGAATGTACACAATCGATTGCTGCGTTGAAAGGGTTGAACTTATCAGCTGGACAATGCTTCATGTGGCGTGCTCCCGCCGTTGTCAGGAAGTGTGGCACCTGCGGAGCGGCGATTGGGGTTATCCGCTGGATGGACTACACTTCAATCCCCGAGGGGATTTCATCGGTGCTTCTGTTTCCCAAGCCAAACCTAACCAAACCCAACGAGCGGATTATGCACTAACTCGATGATCGACAGTGCGATGATGCGAGTAGACATGCACGAAGCGCGGGTTCATTGCAATATAAGTCGCGATCAGAACGCGTAAGACTTTGTGTCACCGCATGCCTCGCGCTGTCCGCCTTGTTCGTCCAACAGCAGAGCGAAATATACTTTTTTTCCAACTCGCGGGATCCCTTCCACCTTGCGTCCCACACGAGGCGTGCAGATCCGAGCCAATATTTTCTGGCCCAGTTTCCAACTAGAGCGTCTATCGCCGAAGATCAGGCATCGGCGCGTGAGGCAGAATCGCGATACTGATGGAGCTTTAGGCGCCCCTCGACGGGACACGCAACGTAACGCGTGAGGTGTGCAAGTTGGTTCGCTTGTCAAGGGGAGCAGCTGACCTTGTTGGCTTGTGATTAGACGCAATTCGACAAATATTCCGTAACAGCAATGTTTCGTACACGAGGGAGGAAGAGAGTCACCAGTGGAAGGGGGTCGGCGTGAACAACGGGTCGAGTTGCTCGAGCGTAGGTAACAGCGCTCCGCTCCCGCCCACGCCAACCTATCGACCATCGACCATCATCTATCGCCATCTTTGGCATACTGTTCGAATATTCACACGTTCCCTTCGCATCGGCTGGGCCTTGCTTCTCCAACCCGTTCGTGATCCCCTGGCTCCTGCTATATAAGAGCCGCCAGGTCTGCGTGCTCCTCCGCGGCCTCGCGCACAACAGTCTCGTCATCCCACTTGCATACTGGCGTGTGAACCGCCCCGACCGCCCGAAACGAGGAATAGGCTCTATGTCTTGGGTGCAGTGGACCAACTACCTGCGCGATCGGGCAGCCGCTTCAGAGAGAGGCGAGGTCCCGCAGTACGCCTACGTCTATGTGCGTCTTCTCGTGCATCAGGCCTGCTTCTCTTCGCTTGCCCCTCTTGTGCCTGGGGTCCACATTCTGATGCTCATACGGCACAGTTCGATATAGCCATCGATGGCGAACCCGTCGGGCGTATCCTCTTTCGTCTGCTCTGGCGCGACTGCCCAGTCACGACCGAGAACTTCATGGCACTTGCAGACGGGGTGAAGGGCTATGGCTACAAGGGATGCAACTTCCATCGAGTCATCCCCGGGTACATAATCCAAGGCGGGGATATCACGAGTACGTCCCGTTCTACGCGCCCTCCGTGGGAGGTGCTGACATGGATATAGAAGGAGACGGCACGGGCGGGAAATCGATCTACTTCGGCGGCGGAACGTTCCCCAGCGAGAACTATCTACACAAGCACAACCAAAAGGGACTGTTATGTATGGCGACGTTTGGCCCCGATACAGCACAGAGCCAGTTCTATATAACAATGCGGGATCACACGCTCAGTGAGTCCACCTCCCGCCCGCTTCACCGCTGCTCCACCTTTGACCGTTGACGGAGCGGTACCGTATCGTGCCATGCGATGATGATACTGAACTATACGTAGGCCACCTGGACAAAAAGGACGTCGTGTTCGGCAAGGTACTAGAAGATCCCGAAAATGTGTGCCAGAAGATCAACGACCTCGGTGATGTCGCAGGTACCGTGCACAAGGACGTACGCATCGTCGCCTGTGGGACGACAACGGCTCCGAAGCCATCATGAGCCTGGTGCCCGCTTCCCTTCCCACCCATGTTATATTCTCCCGCTTGCATATCCCCATACATTCTTATCACTTCTTATAAGTGGCGGGTGAATGATTATATTTGGTTCCTGCCTAAGCTGCAGGAGCCTCGGCTGACTTTGATCAGATGTGGCAAAGGCCGGGTCCACGCTATACCCGTACTGAAACAAGGCATTCCATTGGTGTGAAATGCAATGATACATCGTACAAGAGCAGGCTACAAAAGGAATAGGAAAGACAAAGACAGCGGTGAATCCTAGATACCAGTAAATGCAGGCCCTGAAAACCTCGAGAAAAGTGCAAGCGTGTGAGCGCGGAAAAGAAGGCAGAACTACGGGCTCATCGGCACAACGTCACTGGTGCCGACGTTGACAACCTCCACCCCTTTGACAGCATCGAAGTTGACATACTCAGAAGACCAGCCTTCATACAAGTTGGCGTCCTCTTGGTCCTCCTCCACGTGGGCCACTCCATTTACGCCATTAGGCAGAAGTCCATTGCCCTGCAGAAGACCGTTCAAGGTCTGCTTTCCCGCTTCGGAAACTTCGGGAAGGACAGGGGCTTGATACCGTGGCTGCTGCGGCGCAGTATCGTAGTTCTCCATAAACTGGTAGAGTGTTGTAAGGAAATAATCAGCGCCGAGCGTGGGGTTCACACGCTCAGCACTGTTATTACGATCAACGCCAGGTGTGGGTACATGCAGCTCGCTTGCAAACTGAGAATCCAGGTATGTGCGGCTCTGCTCGAAAGCCGACGTGTCGATGACGAACTGGGGGACAGTATTGTCGTCGCCCAGGTCCAGCGCCAGCTCGACCCACCTGCGAAGATTACGATTAGCTGTATTGTGCAAATCATTAGGGGTGAAATATCGTACTCGGGGTCTTTCTTAATGTCATCCACATCCAGGGAATCACCACTATGACCTCTCTGAATGTCCACCGGCATGCCGTTGTCGGTGACGTCAACAGTACTTGAGAACTTCTTCTGCAAACGGAACAAGATGTCGGCTTTCTCTCGGGCAGCAGGCCACACCGTGCCCATCTCCCTCAAGAGTCTTGCACAGAACTTGATGCCGTCCAAGCCCTCTTTCCGTTTCTTCTCAGACAAGGGCTTGAACTGCACTGCCGAAAGGAGGAATGTGGCTCCTGCAGTGAACACGATCGCACTATGCTCGGGCGTGCATGTTCGTAGACCATGCGAATCGTGCCATGAACGGAATAAGCGGACCAAGCGTCTCAAGGCTGCGTCACACCGCTTAACGGCAGGCTCTTGGTGTAGAGGTTGCGTGACAGAGCGATAGAAAGGTCGATCAAGAAGAATTATAAGCCAATTAAATGTCATCTGAAGAGTGAGAATGTGGGGTATAGATGCAGAGAGCGTCGTCGTTGAATAATGCAAGGCAGGCGGTAGCTTGTTATGCCAATCGTCCAGCTCCAGCCGGAGTTTGCTGACCACGTTCATGTCGATAGTCTTCTTCGTACCATAGCTAAGCGCACTGTCAGCAGCTGACAGAAATGCCAATTTGAACATGCGACGTACATATTGGTCAGGATTTTAGATGCAATGATCATAATCTTGGATGTCTGTACGAAGGTGCTGCTCAGGAATGCCGGCTGGCAGCCAATCTCGGTAGTGATGTCAACGCCATCTCCGACATTCATCGGGAGAAGGTCGACCTGCGGGTCCGGCTCGGGAATGGGGATATTGTACGATCCCTCTGGCAGACCCACGGTTCGTCCAAACCAGAGCGACCAGTACCTGTCCTGTATGAAGACGGACCAAAAGGTGGCATTGCGTTCTCGCTGCAAGGACTCGGAGATATCGCCTGATTCGACAAGCGCAGTACAGTCAAGATTGAGTCCAAGGGCGAGTGCCATGCGGAGTGCCATGCCAAAGTATTGCCAACCGAGCGCGTGGTCCGACATGCCCGCATGGAAGACAGCGAGGTATTCAAGCGCTTTCACGCCTGTCAAGCTGGGCGAAGCAAGTTCTGTTTCAAGGTTTGCCTTTGCCATCTGGGCAACTTCCCGTCGTAATTCTAACCCACGGTTCTCGATCTTTGCCGCATAGGTCAACGCCACCGAAAGCGTCGCGTTGTGTAGCGTGGGCGAGTAATGTGGGGTGACTTGTGGCGGGAGTACGGGGGGCATTTCTCCGCCAAAGATAGCCTGGAACTCTGTTCGGTTCATCACTGCGTGCGGAGTAAACACGTCTAGTGGTAATTGCGACGGCAAGGGGCTAGGTAGTGTGGGCGCTGTACCGAAGTCGAAGCTGTCTGGTACCGGAAGGTATGGCAATGATGGGTTGGGCATTGGGGGGAACGGGAAGCCGTGATCTGGTGGTGGCAGGGGACAATCACGGGGTCTCGGAGGGAAGGGGAAGGAGGGAGAACTTCCTGATGGTCGATGCTGAGCGGGGAAAGCAAGCGTTGATCGCAATGATCGAAGAAATGTAGCAGCGTGCAACTTCATGTGAGCAGGGAGTACACGGAAGAGCGTGTGGAGTACTTCCTCGTGCTCGTCAAGTGTCATGCTCAGATGACACGGGAGGTGACGCAGGTGGTCATAGCCAACCATGGTGGTGCTGCTGCCGCTGGACGACGATTCCGACCGATGTACCAGAGTCGGTGAATTGGACCTTGACGAGGAAGGTACGGGTCCAGCGTCGTGGAATACTACTTCTTCCGACGCCAGCGAGTTGGGTAGATGTTGCATGGATGAAGTCGCTCCATACATGAAATAATGTCCTCGTTCATTGCGCTGAGTCTGAGTGAGAACGAGTATCAGGTATGCGGATATATGGGGCGTACTATCAGTCTTGGCTGCGCATCATGTAGTAGCGCCTCATTATCTCCCGTCGGACTAACTCTCAACGTATTCATGACGGGAGATATGTTCACCAAAGTCGTCTCAGGTGGTTCGGGGCTGATTGAATGGCTGTTCACAGCTGTTGGACTCGGCTCTTTTGAGACAGCCACAGACTGAGGCGACTCATTCGCTCCTGCAGGCGCTTCCAGGCCCATGTCCTTGATGAACTTTGTGAGTTGGTTTATTCGTGCATCAAGGCCTTTGTTCCGCTCCTCTAGCGTCTTGTTACGCAGCTCGAGCGAGTCTACGAACTGACGATCGGGGTGGTGTCGGCGGTCTCCTTCCGTGAACTCGCACTAGATGATGTCAGGTCGTGTCTCGTCAGTGTCATGTTGTACGTACCTTCTCACGACGTAGTTGGCAGGGACCACATGATGGTCGCTGACGGTCACATTTCGCCTTTCTGTGAGAGCTTTAGTGTGTTCCTCGACAGCCCTTACAGGAAGAGGGCGCACCTCTTCTTACAAGCATTGCACGCCTTCGTGACGTGTCCGGATTTCCGACCTATATGATTCGAATCTCCGTCCATCTGCTCGTCGACGTCATCGAGAAAGTAGCTCGTCATGACCATTGCTGGTTTGTCTGGTTGGCTAGACAGCCGATAATTCCGAATACCAATTGCGAACGGGACTGAAGTGGGGGGTGGGGATCAAACGTAGGGGACAGAGAACAGTAAGGACGTAGAGCCAAGCACGAATCTGTATTGCGTTCCGCAGTTGGATAGAGGATCAGGGGACAGGCGAGGGTTTGAGGATGAGTTGGGCGCTGTGGGGAGAGAAGAACGATGTGAACTCCTTAGGTAAGGAATTGAATTGAATACACGGCCCACTTTATACTGAGCGCGTGTGCGTGTTGATGGTCGTTGTCGAGGATGAGCGTACAGTTCAAAACTCGAGGCGATACCCTTCTGACGTCTTTCCAGACCGGTTCGCTCTCCTGAGATGGAGAGAGAGTTGGGGTGGGAGGGACGCTGCACACGGTCCAGAGAAAGGCGGGGTCAGTCAGTCCCTTACACTCTTGCTTACGATACTCCCCGAGCGTGTACAGCATGCGTCACGTTTCCGTCCGATACCGTGTTCACCATCAATCAACATCCACTTTCCCTTCTCCCTGTCTTCTACGTTAAAACTCGAAACACACGTCCAGGTCCACATAATTTCCCATTCAGTCCAGGGAAACATGCCAGCCAACTATGTTGAACTTCCGCTTTTTCAGCTAAGAGCCCAATTGCAAATTCGTTCTTCATTCAGTTCGTGGTATCCAATTTAGCACTGGGCGTTTGCATAATCCCCCTCACCCCTTCTGAGAAGAATAACCGGCGGAACCTCGACACCCCTGTCTTGTTCCGAACAATATCTGGGGACCTTAGCTGCCGATCTCTGGCGAGCTGTTTTCTCTCGCGCACGAGGGGATACTCTGGAACTCTATCTACTCCACAAGTTGTCGGCTAGATTGCAGGCTCTACCGACAATCATTGACTTCCTCGCCGGGTATGCTTCTAGCCTCCACAGCGGTCGGAGACGGACGACTACTATGCTATGACCCAATGCAGTGACTTTTCTCAGTCTGGAGTGCGTCACCTCAACCACACATCCTTGCGAGTCAGTCATACAGTAAGCTCGTCGTCTCCTTCAAGGACTCGAAAACTCTTCGCACAGATTTCGTCATCTCTTCCACATTCCCCGGTTCTCCCCACCTCATCAACACCTAAGAAGCGGATGCCTTGCCACGCACATGTGCAAGAGGCGGTGCTCATCTCCACCACGTCTTCGTGGTGAGACATGAGGGTTTTCTCATCCAGCAAAAATCCAGCCACAAGCAGGAGTATATGTCATGCACATGTGCTTGTATAGCTGCTGGCCACACTGCTTCTGCTGATCAGCAAGCTTTCCATCACACAACCACCATGCCGCCATTCATCACCGAGTACCCTTACTTCCCCGGTCTCTCCAAGCGCATCATCACCAAGGCCACCTTGTTTGAGCTCAATGCACAAGGTCAATGAGTTGTGGTTGACCCAGCAGCAAAGTTCCCTTATGGTCACAGCCCGAAGGAGAAGACTCAGGCATCATACTTGGAGAGGTAAGTGACTTGTTAACAATCAAGCACTTGCTCATCATTAACAACTAGAACAAAGATGCATCATCTTGAGTATCAACATCAACAGTCCAAGAAGGTGCAGGAGAAGCAAAATACAAAGAAGGCGAAGTCACTGGCATGCCTTGGAAAGTGGAAGATGCAGAAGTGGAAGATGCAGAAAGCGCTTTGTGAAGTAGTTGAGGCACTGACTGAGGACCAGGGGGAGTAGACCAAGAACTTGAGCATGTTTTTGTTAACTATCATTATCCAATAAACCCATGTTCAAGTACTCCCACTGACCCATATTGGTGAACAAGGTTGCCAACATGTCAGTGGCCTGTGGGGTTGATGAACCAGAGGCAAGTGCATGGGCTTGGACCATGGCAGCATGCAGCATTAAGTGGGAAACATCCCCATGGAGGTTGATGGTGGCTGGCAAGTGCTGCAACAAACAAGCACTTGTTATTCTTGCCTTCTTTGTCACTTGTGGAAGATCCTCTGCAGGATCATCATGGCCATCATTATCATCTGCTGCTGCCTGCTTGTGCTTTGTCTGCCCAAGGGCTGAGACATGAGCTTGTTCTTCTGCATGGCATACAAAGTCTTGCTTCCCCATGGGTTGAAAGAAACAAGACCTATCTGCAAGAGCTTGTTGGACCTTTTGCAGGTCGCTGAGCAAGGAGATGTAGGAGGGGTTGACAAGTGCCGGCAATGGCCATCCTTGAAGCGTGACCTTGTAGTGGTCTTCAATGTTGTGGCCAAATTGCTTGTATGACATCATGAGGTTGTTCTTGCCTGTGAGCTTCTCTACCGGAATATGAGCACCACAAAGCATGAAAAAGTACATGCTCATGAAGGCTGGTTGTCAATACAAGTCAGATATGGGCCTTGAGCTCATTCACGCACTTGTTCAAGTTACTGGCAGCACCTAGCTTAGGGATGAGTATGCATCAAGGAGGGTGAAGATACAGGTCAGATGTACTTGCCTTGAGTGCCTCTGCTTGTACAGTATGCCTCCAAGTCCATGGCAATCTGCAAGATGGGGTAACCAATAATCTCCTTGAAGAACTGCTTGCAAAGTTCATCCCCGAAGAAGTGCAGCTTGGCGTAGTCCTTGATGTTGCCCCACACAACAAAGCCACAAGTGTGGCCTCCTGTGCAAGTACTAAAAGTGGCACTCTATGTTTCAAGATCAGCTAGATCCAAGCAAGATCAATTACAAGAACTTGCCTCTTTCTCAAACATATCTTGAATGAGGACAGTGTCAGCAAGACGAGCATGGGCAGGGATCCAGACTTGAAGATGCTTGTTCCCCCACTTGGCCAAGATCAATTGCTCTATGGAGAGAGTGGCTTCTGGATGGCCACAAAGCCATTCCACCTTGGAGTTGATGATGCATTGGTTCTTGGGCAAGGCCCAGTAGAAGACATCACTTAACCATGATGAGAAAGCAAATACAAGGAAAGAGATTGGCATACCTCTTGCCCAAGCCTCTTCAGCAAGCAGATGCTTGGCTGCATTGTGCAAGCTCATGCAGTGCTTGTTGTCAAAGTAGCCAGTCTTCCTCCCCTTCATGTTTGCATTCAAGATGTTCTTGGAGATCCCTGTGTTGATGGAGATCTTGTCAAGTGTCTGGATCCATGCTTGTTCCGTGATGTCAAGCAGCTTGGCAGCTTTGGCATGTTGCAAGCAGTTCAAATCATGCTTGAGCTTGTGCTGTGCCCATTCCTTTTTGCTTGGCCCCAGGCAGGCCATGTTTGTTCTTGTTCTTGTAGATGGGCAATCAAAATTTAGACTGGATAAACAAGATGAGTGACGAGCATGTACATGTTGATGGATCCTTTTGCCACCTCACGTGATTCCAAGCTGGAGCACATGCACACACACATGCACATCAACAAGCTCAAATTCTGCATGCTGTACTACAAGAACTCACAACAAGCATTGTACAGGCACAAGAAGAAGAACATGCAGGTTTCTATACTAACAGGTAACTTCATGCATGCAGCAGGCCATGTGGAGACTTCATGCATGTACAGGCCATGTGGAGAACTTGTATGTGTACTTGTGGAAGAGAATGAAAAAAAAAAACTTGCCCTCCCTCCCTCCCAATGTGTTTTCCTTGTGCTTGCCTAGAATGTGCCATTGCAGATGTCCATGAGGCAGTCCTCAATCATGGCAGGGTAGATGTCCTTCCAGTATGTTGACAGGATGATCAAAGAGGTACACCGCATGCAAGTTGAACTTGATGCTTGTGGCATGCTCTTGACCAACATCATGAAAGAAGTCGCTGCAAGTGGCACAAGTGTTGTACAGGAGCTTGCGCATGCAGCAGTAGGACTTGTCATTGTTAGGGCACATGAAGATGAGGTGGGAGAAGGACTTGGTTGGATTGGCAGTGATCAACTTCCCATGACCAAGTGCATGAATGAGGCAGGATGAGCCAGCAGCATCAAAGATGTGGGCAGGCAAACCAATAGTTGTGGCCCGCATGCCCAAGGTCATGGGCTGGGACAGGGCAGGAGCAGTAGGCATTGAGGGCAAGATGAATGAGCTCCCACTTCCAGCACAATCATGTGTCATGCTCATGGGCATGGACTTGGTCACGGGGGTGGGTGTCAAGATCTGCATGCCCAAGAACAAGTTTGTGGGTGCATGACCCTTGCCACGACCTGGGGGAGTTGAAGTGACAGCTTGCAAGGCTTGGGCTTGCATGTTGCCCAAGAGCGAGAGCAAGCCAGAGGGGGTCATACCAGTGCTTGAAGTGTTCCCCCCCTCAGCATGCTCCCACTTGATGTATGCCTTGGCATACACAAGAAGAGGATGGTTAGCAGGGATCTTGGTCACATCATTGACTGCAAGTGGGTGCTGCTTGATGTGGGGCACCTCAATCTTCTCTGGCTTGGGAGGGACAGGACAACCTTCATGACAAGCAAGGTCACAAGCCTTCTTGTGAGCTGCTTCCACCTTCTCCTTCGTGTGCTTGGCCACCATGGAAGCTGTCGCTTGATCCATCAAGTCAGCCTTGATGTATCCCATGCTCTTGAAAGCAAGCATAGAATGAGCTTGCATGGCGTGGAAGTCCTTGTCAAGCCAGGTGTTGCCAGGTGTTGCACAAGAAGAAGGTGTGGATCATGGGCTCTTGACCAGGCCCATTGTCCAAGCAAGCAGCATGGAACTTGAGCACAATGCCCCCACAGCAACAGTCGATGATCATGAACTCCAAGAATGAACATCAGCAAGAAACATGATCAAGAACCAGAGATGCACAAGTTTGAAGAGCTTGGGAAGGAAGTAGTTGGAGTACACATCACAGCAGACTTCACCATGGATCATGGACATGTATGGATGCGTATTGTAGCCCACAAGATCAAGACCATCAGTCAAGATCTTGTCCCAGTTTGGTGCATTGTTCTTGGCCTTGCTGCAGTTAGCCGCACTGTCAGGATTGAACTTGCATGTGACAGGCTGCGTCAGGCCCCTGGGCAAGTTCTTGCTGCCAATGGTCTTGTCCATGAACCACCACTGGAAGTCAAAGGACACGACAGGATATGGATGGCCTGCAAGAACATCAGCAAGCACAAGAGCATGTCAAGAGGATCATGTGCACAAGGAGCAAGACCATCCTCCACATCTGCATCTGCCAGTTCTGCAAACACTGAGTTGTGCTCCCCCGTCTCCTCCATGTCAATCATGACATGTGTGCCAGTGAATGCAGTGCACTCAGACTCATCCAAGTAGTCCAGCAAGGGCCTAGGATGACCAAACATGTTGAGGAGACCTTGTGGTTGTGCTTGTAGATGAGTAAAGGGGTGGATGGAAGATGGTTGGTCGAGGAGATGATGGTCAGAGAAGAAGAAGATGATGATGATGCACCCCTGCAATGTGGGGTGACAAGAAACATGTGAGCAGAAGGAAATTCATGCAACAAGTCATCCCACTAGTCCGAGACTTCAATAATAGAATGGTGGAAATGATCACTGCACAAGTACAAGTTGTAGAACTTGTACATGTACATAAGCAAATACAACAATATGTATATTTTCAGCTTGTTTATTAATTATTTGAATTAGTCCTGACTTCTCATGGCAAAGTTTGCTGCTGTTGCACAACAGAACAAGTCAGTGAAAGGGTCCCAAATTCAAACATGTACTTCCCAAAGACACGAGTGTCTTCATCATAACATTCATTCTTTCAACTCAATTTTTGGTCAAGATCCAAGTGCAAGTGCATGCACTAGGAGAACAGGCAGAAGCTTGTGGCTTGTCAATAATAATTATCATGACATGAGCATTATATCATGCTGCCATGTCTCCTACACACACTTGGGTCCTCTGTTTGTGCTTGTCCTTGGGCATGAAAAAGAATGTGATCATCTTGATTTAATTAGAAGCAGAAGTACATGGAAGATCTATTGATAGACAAGTAGATATTCTTACACATCTGCATGAGGAGTGGGAAGAGACATGTTCAAGAAAGCATTGTTGAGGCAATCAAACTCATTCAAGAGTTCATCATCAAGATCCCCCAATCAAGTCCATCCACATCCGAAAGATCTACCCACTCATCCTCATTGGTTTCCACTTTAGGCAATGCAACATCATCATGAGCTGGGGGGTTGAACATGGTCCTGAACTCATATGTGCCAGCATGGATGCCAACAGAACAATCCCCTGAGAAGCCCACAAGATCAAAGAGCATGAGCAGGTGCTTGCAAAGATGGTCATTCACATGCAGATGCCATACTAGATGCAAGCGAGATGAGCTTGCAAGAAGCAGAAGCCCAGCTGCTTCAGTTACCTTGGTCCATGCAAGAAGCTGTTGTGGTTCAGCATGAAGAGCAGTCCACAAGCACTGAACCTCAAGGTTCAACCGCTTGATCTCTTCCTTGATGCAGCAGATGAGCATCCAGTTCAGCATGGTCTCACAAACAAGTGCATCTGACCATCAATGCTTGCGGATGTCATCCTGCAAGTAGCAGAGCAAGGCAAAATCAGAGAGGAAGGACATGTTGATCACTTCCTGGTAGGTCAATATCGGCCTTGGTGGGTCAAGCATGAGTGCAGCTTTGTTGTACTTCTCCATGGCCAAGCAGATGGCACTGCTATGCTCCTGCATGGCCTTGGTGATTGATGTGCACATGGCATAACCTGCATTTCATCAACATGTGCTTACAGGGGGCTTGCACATGCTCACCTGTTCCTCGGATGTTCATCTTCTCCATCTCAAACAAGCGTTGAACCACAAGTCCTTCCAGATCATCAAGAGCTCAATTGTAGGCATGTTGAGCTAGTGCAAGCTTGGCTTGTTGCCATGCTGTTGACTTGGGTGTCCATCGGTCCATGTTGAGCAAGGTCTTGTATTGCAATGCCAAGCACTCAAAGCACTCATGACCTTGAAGCATGGTGTTGTAATCAGCTTGCAGAGCTTGCTGCCTTGTTGACATGGGCATGTCATTGAAGGACTCCGGGGTCATGTTGATGAAGATGTCAAAGGATTTCAGCTTCTCCCTCATCAAGAGTAAGCTTGGTACAAGATGGCAAGCATGTACCTATGTGTAGAGGTCTAACTGCTTGGGTGTTTCCAAGTACTTGAAGGCTGTCTTGTTTTCTTCTGGTTCATGCCAAAGGTTGTTGAAGTAGTCTTGCTCTTCTTGAATGTACTGCCATATGTTGTCATCGGAAATCTTCTGCTCAAGTTGAACTTGACAAAGCCATGGCTCTATGTCAGAAATGATGTCCAAGGCAGCAAGTCTTATGCAAGAGATCAGCTGTAGAACAAGTTAGAAATGCATGTACTTCATCAAGAAGATGTTTTTTACCAAGGCCAGCTTGTCTGTCCTCATCCCATCAACTCCAGAAGAAGTGCAAGGTCATGTGTCAGTGGTAGGTAGATGCATGGCAGAAGAGATGGGTGGTGAGGTTCTGCTTGGAGAACACCCATTCGTTTGTCTCCAATGTCTCCAAGCTGGCTGTCATGAGGAAGCAGGGATGGAACCACAGCTGGCACTTGTGGTTGTGTGCATAGCCATGGAACATGCTGATGTACATGTGGAACTTTGTATCTTGAACTTGTTGGCCAAGTGAACTTGATGACAAGGTCTTGCTGTGATCACAACCAATATCATACCCAACTGTGAGATTTGGCCCATATACGGACAGAAGCTTGCTGATGCAAGCAAGCAGATACTTTGATCTGCTATGCAATCAGCAAGGGCTTGAGCTTGAGCTTCTTGAACACACACAGCTCACTGCTCTGCAACATGTTGGCCAAGCACACAACCATCCCATGGCACCATGTACACAGAAAGTTCCCAGTAGCATCAAGACCATCCATCTGGTGCGAGGACTGCTCCTTTGCATTGGAAGTCTTTGACTTGTCTGTGCAGTTGTCCTCGTCTGGCTCAGTCTTGGTCTTGTTTTCTTTGGGAAGCTCCTTAGCTGAGTGGGTCCTACCATGTGTGGGCTCCTTCTTGAACTCATCGATGAACATGGGAGACAAGAGATAGTTGCTCTTGAATGTGCAAAGATCTTGATCTCCTGCCTGGGCAAAGCACTTGCTTGAGTTGTTGCCATCAAGACTGATGAGCTTGGAGTGAGCAAGCTCAGGCTCTCCTTCAAGCTGTGCTGATGAGATCAGCTTGGGCATATCATGGCACATGTCCAAGACACTTACAACATAGTTGCAGGCAGGACAAGCATTCAACATGTGCCAGTTTGGCTTGTCATGGCCCAGGGCATGTTGGACCATCTCCTCAAGCTCAAGGAGCATGAGCACGTAAACATTGTATGCCTGTGAGAGCTGCAAGTGCAAGTGTGGCTTGTGCGGGTGCTAGGGGAGATCATCAGCTTGATCATCAACATCAGAATGAAGGTAATGCACCCCATGAAGATCACAAAGCATGTGAGTGAAGGACTTGTGAGAGACATATGCTCGGACATGAGCATGATGAAGAACTTCTACAACTCCAAGTGTGATCACCAAGTGAGGTTGGATAGCTTAAGTCAACAGGTAGCCATGTTCAAGAAGATGAACCAGCACTGATTCCCCATCTTGTTCACAAGAAAACTTGGTGGGCTTGATGCCTAGAAGGTTTGACTTAGCCTGGCCCAAGCCCCCAAGAACTAGCAGATATACCTTCCCAAGAGAGAAGATGGATGACAATTGCATCTCCTTGCTCACTGGTTTTGGATGTGCATGCTGCTTTTGGTGGTCCATGTTGCCATTGCAAGAGTGCTTGCACAATGTCTGGGATTTGAGCCATCCAGGAGTCGAATGAAGATGCAAGTCAATGGGCATGAGGACCGGAACCAGCTGGATGTTGGGCATGGGGATGTGCATGAAGCTTGCTGGTTGGTCAACTTGTCAATTCACACAAGTTGTGATCATGTAAGGAGGGGCACGCACCAAACAGATGTCACAAGCTCTTGATCACACTCTCCTCTTCTTCTTCTTGTGCCTTGAACAAGTCCATCCCTTCGCTCACATCCCCCTCCATGAAGGCATCATGGCTGGCCCATCCCTCATGTCCATTCCCTTGAGCTTGTTGGCAAGCAGCAAGAAGTCAAGCAATGAACTGGTTGGCTTGCACTTCTTCTGGCATGGCTATGTACATTGAGTCAAGAACAAGCTGAAGGTGAGATCAAAAGCATACTTGCCATGTCTTGCTGCATGCTCCTCACACTCATGTCAATCCATAGCCTCAAGGGTCAGCGTCTGAGTGCATTGATTCCTGGTGCTTGAAGATGGCAGAAGGTTTGTTGAATTGTCAGCCAAGCTGTTGGCAAGTCACTGGGCCACAAGCTCATCCTGCAAGGCCATGAGGTTGACCATGGCAGCAATGGGCTTGCCTTTGTTCACTGACACCTTGTATATGCCCAATCTTGCACTATGTGAACTAGAGCTTGGTGCAAACTTGGATCTAAGGTGCCCAGTGTGAGTGGATCTTGAGGAGCTTGAGCTTGGAGTCATGGGGTTGCATGTGAGAGTACAAGTATTATTAATTAATGCAGAGTGCAAGTTCAAGCTGAAGGAATGATGAATGCTTGATCAAGTGGTTGTTGTTATTGACATGTGACACGATTCCATGGAACCAGTGCTTGCTTGTGTCAGCAGGGTCTCAGGGTGTGGATGATCTCTGGATGAGACACAAGCCCCAATCTACCACATGTACGTAGTAGAGGCGAGCACTGCCTCCACCACATGTATGTGGTAGATTCTTGGAGTTACGGGTCCTCATTAACAGTTCGGCCGGTTGGTACACCCTTTCCGACGACGATCCAGACCACACTAGTACTCCCTGCCAATTCAAGCCACACGGCCGGAAACCTTTTCCTGCACCGCCACAGCTCCGAATCTATTTCACATGCAACAGTTATCGGGAAGCCACCCTGCGCCCGATACTTTGATTTACTCTTCCTGGGCGTATACTTTGACTGCATTTAATGACGCCAGGTTCATTTCGCCTCAATTATAGACCGGACCGGGGGGGGGGGGGGGGGGG